ACGTTTTTCTTAGGCACAGAGGTTTTTGAATTATGTCTCTTCCCAACGGGTCTCTCTCTCTCTCTCTCTCCCTTTGCACATCTCTCCAAAGAGAGTACAGATATTCAAAAAAATCTCTACTTTCACTTAGCTCGAAAAGAAGAGGGAAACAAAATTAAATAAAAAGATAAAAACATTAAAGAATTCTTTTTAGGAAAAACAAAAGTAAGTTTTTTCATCATGAGTTCTCTCACACCCAATCTCTCTCCGAGTTAGGGTGCTCATTTGGGGATAAAAATCTCATCTTTCCTTTCTTTTTTTGTTCCCTTCTCCTTCGGATCGAACTTGCGAAGCTCCTTTTACTTGAAATCGGTACAATGAAAAAAATGTGTTTCTCGAATTGGCTTTTCTCAGTAATTTCTGCAGCTACCCTTTTCGTCTCGTGCTCTGTTGCTCTCACTCTCGATGGTTAGTAAATACTTTTTCTCATAACTCCTTGCTTTTTTCTGGTTTGGTGAGAAATCTGAGATTTGATCACCTTTTCGCCTACTCTTGTTTATTGTCAATGTAATAAAAAACACTAGCCCATATGGTTCTTGCTGAGAAATTTCTAAAAATTGGAGCTTTGATCTTGTAGGATTTGCTCTTTTAGAGCTGAAAAGCGGATTGAATGATACGAGGAACTCTCTAGAGAACTGGAGAGATTCAGACGAGTCTCCTTGTTCTTGGACTGGTGTCTCCTGTAATCCCCAAGACCAAAGAGTCGTTTCCATGTAAAAATTTGCAATTAGTCCTTCTTCTTTATCACATTCTCAGTCTTCAGCTTCTTTCTTTATCTGAATTGAATATTTTCTCTTTCTGTGGATTATGCAGAAACTTACCTTACATGCAACTAGGAGGGATAATTTCTCCTAGCATTGGAAAACTTAGTAGATTGCAGAGACTGTGAGTGATGATTCTTTCTACATTTGTTTTCTTATGCTAAAGTTTCTATCTTTAGGTAGTTTGTCTTGAATCTAAAACTGGTGGGGGGTTATGTTATGTAGGGCACTTCATCAGAACAGCTTACATGGGACAATTCCTAATGAAATCACAAATTGCACTGAGCTCAGAGCTATGTAAGTCACACTTTTCTGCCCATTAACATATATGTGTCTCTGCAATGAAAGAGTGTTTGAGCCATGGACATTGGTGTAACTGTTTCAAACATGGTTTCAGGTATTTGAGGGCTAATTATCTTCAAGGAGAGATTCCACCAAACATCGGCAACCTCACATTTCTTACTATATTGTAAGATTAGAAAAAAAACTGTATTGTTTTTGAGTTTCTCGCCATTTTGAGTCTTTTCATGTTTGATCATTTCAATACTTAAATGAGGATGTTTGATATATTTCAGGGATCTATCAAGCAATGCACTGAAGGGTGCTATTCCTTCTTCAATCAGTCGACTGACACGTTTACGCTCTTTGTAAGCACACACAAAACTCTCGCCTTTAGATGTATTCTGTTCAAGTTTTGTCTCTGTTTAATGTATTTGTTCTTGAACTCTCTGTTTGATTCAGGAATATGTCAACCAACTTTTTCTCTGGCGAGATCCCGGATATCGGAGTTCTCAGCAGATTCGGGCCTGAATCGTAAGACTTTTCTTCTGTTATAACTGTTGGTTTTTTTACATCATCAAAGGATCTTTGAACATCTCTTCGTGCTTATGTTAGATTAAGATGTTATCTCTGATTGTGGTTTTGTGTCTTAATGGTTAGATTCACCGGAAATTTGGATCTTTGCGGCCACCAAATTCACAAGCCATGTAGATCATCAATGGGCTTCCCTGTTGTTCTTCCTCATGCAGTGAGTGATGATGAATCAGGCAAGTTTCTTTTATTAGACCCACTCAATACGCTACTTGAGGCTTGCTTTGCCTAAGCTCTCTGATTCTTGAAATCCATTCAGATCCTCCAAAGCGATCGTCGCGGTTGATTAAAGGAATCTTGATCGGAGCAATGTCTACAATGGCTCTTGCATTCATTGTGATTTTTGTGTTCCTATGGGTTTGGATGCTCTCAAAGAAGGAAAGAACAGTAAAGAAGTACACAGAAGTCAATAAACAAAAAGAACCATCTGAAACAAGTAAAACCTTCATAACACTGCATTCTTCTCTTGCTTCTTAGTCTTTATCTTTCTTTTCTAAATTGGGTTTCTTTTTTGAAAAAAGGTAAAAAGCTTATTACTTTCCATGGTGATCTTCCATACTCCTCGACTGAGCTAATCGAGAAGCTGGAGTCACTCGACGAAGAAGACATTGTGGGTTCGGGAGGATTTGGCACGGTCTATCGAATGGTAATGAACGATCTTGGAACTTTTGCTGTCAAGAAGATAGATAGGAGCCGACAAGGATCAGACCGAGTTTTCGAGCGTGAGGTTGAGATTTTGGGCAGTGTCAAACACATCAATCTAGTGAACCTACGCGGATACTGCCGCTTACCGACTTCGAGACTTCTCATCTATGATTATCTTACTGTGGGCAGCTTAGACGATCTTCTCCACGGTAAATGCACTTATAACATATCTTTGCCATATGATTACAGACTTACAGTCTATGATGATGCATATTGATCTTTGCTTTCTTTGCCTCACAAGAACGAGCTCAAGAAGACGGTTTGTTGAACTGGAACGCGCGATTGAGAGTAGCTTTAGGTTCCGCGAGGGGTCTAGCGTATCTGCACCATGACTGTTGTCCCAAAATAGTTCACCGTGACATAAAGTCAAGCAACATTCTACTCAATGATAAACTAGAACCTCGAGTCTCGGACTTTGGTCTCGCAAAGCTTCTTGTTGACGAAGAGGCTCATGTTACCACCGTGGTAGCTGGCACCTTTGGCTATCTTGCTCCAGGTCATCTTCTCTGCTATATCTTCTTTGATGAATCTTAGACAATAAAGTTTCTATCTTTTTGTTAAATATGTTGGAAAAAGCTGCTAACTTTCTTGATTGATCTTGGAATTAGAGTATCTGCAGAATGGTAGAGCGACGGAGAAATCTGATGTCTACAGCTTTGGAGTTCTTCTGCTTGAGCTCGTTACCGGAAAAAGACCAACAGACACGACATTCGTTAAAAGAGGCTTAAACGTCGTCGGATGGGTAAGAGAGAAAAAACAAAGCTCAGATCTTCTATCCAGCAAGAATCGTTCTGTTTTTACAACTTATTGAGATTCGGTTTCGTTTCTTTCTCACAGATGAACACTTTGTTGAAAGAGAATCGATTAGAGGACGTAATGGACAAGAGATGTATGGACGTAGACGAAGACTCTGTTGAGGCGTTGATTGAGATAGCTGCGAGGTGTACGGCTGCTAACCCGGAGGACCGGCCGGCTATGAACCAGGTGGTTCAGTTGCTTGAGCAAGAAGTAATGTCGCCGTCTTCTGCCATCGATTACTACGATGATTCCCATTCCGATTATTGTTAGAGCTTCTGCGAGGCAGAAAGAAACCGGCAAAATTACAAGCATTCGCGGGTTTATTATGGTTTTGGACCGAGGGATGTGTTTGTAAATTAGAATTGAAGATGGTGTAAGATTATTGAGAGGTGCATTGTTCTTGTGCACTTTACTGTGTTTGGTAACGAAATGTTCCATTTTGCAACTTGAGAGAGGTCTGACTTTAAATTGTGGAAATTTTGCTATTATGTAAGATTAGATTACACCAGCTAAAGTTTTTATGCGAAATCATGATTTTCATTCAACTATTACAACACTGATAATATGCCAATTGACATATATCTATACCCGCAAAACTTTTGGTAGTAAAATGAAGTTTTTGATTTCTTAATAGTTTTATACCATTCTTTTCTGCAATATTATATTTATGTTAATCTTTGTTATATGTAATACATAAAAAGAAATGATTGAGAATTTGTTTAAAAGATTGATTTTTGTCAGCAAGACTTATATATAATTAAAAGAAAAAAATATATTTTAAATTTTGAAAGAGCAAATGGTTTAATTTAACTAAATAAAAATGGTTTTTAGACTCAAAATTTTATGATTTTATATTACTGGAATTTGTTTATGTTATCCTCTGAATGTGACCTTTCGTTTAATGGAAGAGTCTTCGTCCATCTCCAAGCCCCCCCATCCACCTCTTAAAAGGCCAACGCTTCTTTGCCCTATACGCTTTGCTACACACGTATAAAATCATTCCTCTAATTATTCATTTTAATAAATTTATTATTTTGTACATATATGACCAAAAAAGTTATACCATATACACGATGCATACTATTTCGTAAGTAATTGATCTTATGCATACAAGAGACCATTGATATATCATTAGCATTCTTTTTTTAAAAAAATGGTATAGTATAAATTACTCGCAACGTAATTTTGGAAGAGTTCCGTAGTAATGATTTCAAATGAAAACTCAGTTTCCCTATAGATTCCCTTAGCGATTGGAGATTTCATAAGTCAGTTTGGAGTATAGTTTGAGATCCTCTATTATGAAAAATATATACTAAGAGAAACCTAGAATACCCTAGAACCAAATAGCACCAAATCAAGTTTTATTGAATGAGTTAATTGCAAATTGTACTATACAATTATTAATAGTAGCTTTTATAACCATGACTATGAATCCCTATAGGCAACTATGAGAAAAAAAGAGAAGCTAAAAGGCAACAGCAGCAGAATTAATACACGATCAAACTTAAAATAAAATTAAGCGATACTAATCTATGACTTCAAATTAGTTACGGAAATTTATTCAAGTGATGGTTTGATAAGTAACTTCGTGATAATTATAGTTAGCATATTAATCTGCATAATGAAATAGATTTGTGATTAGGTATTTAAGTATATGCTCATCTACGCTACATACATATATATATATATATATGTGCGTGTATATATATGCGCTGATCGCTTGTCTCTCTCCCATTGGTGAGAAGAAGAGTATTTTTTAGCCTTTCATGTGATAATTAGATTTTGAGCGGTCTTATCTTTATTCTCCACCTCAAATTACCATTTACCATGGCGACGGTTCCGGTGAAGCCACTACCTCCGTTTGGCTTATACCTTCCTCGCCGGAACCTCGCTACGACAATGCTCTCCGCCGTTTCGAGCCGGCACTTTCGCGGGGCCTCTACTTATGATAGATGCTTTGAATTTAAATTCTTAAGCCAAATGAAGAATCCAGCGTCTTTGAGCCACCGTCGGCGAGTAAGCACGGTGGTGGCGTCGGCGGGAAATTTGACGGCACCGTCATCGTGGGAGTCTTGGAAGCCGGATAAGGCGGCGGCGGCGACGGCTATATTGCTGAGTGACGTCATTTGGCCTGCAGCTGGTTAGTGGATTATTTATATGCTAATGACTAATTAAGATGATCATTTGTTTTGTCTTGAGAGTTGAGATCATACGTTTTACTAATATGTTTTCTCCATCTTTGTTTTTTTCTCTAAATTTGATGCACTTTTGTTTCTAAATCAGAAGAACTACAACTGGCGCGATTAGGGTATAGAAGGTGAAAACAAAACAAAACAAAACAAAAATAAAGTAAAGAGAGAAGAGAGAGGTACACACATTCAAAGAATATAAATTTAGAAAATTAATGGACAATATTATTTGCTGACTGACCGAAAGATGAGAGAGAGAGATAAAATACTCGGAGAGAGAGAGAGAGAGATTGTGTCTCTTCTTACGCCCAAATGGTCATTTATATGAATATGTCTTCCGAGTTTGACTAATTTATGGGATTTTTACCTTGACATTAGGGTATGGTTTTTGCAGGATAGATGTGAAGAAATTAGCGTAACAAAGAATTTTATATGAATATAATTGGTTGTGAAGAAAAAGTAACAATTGATGAAAAATAGAGAAAATAGTTGTGTGGAAAGAAATATCCTGAGATTTATGTGATTGTGTCATTAATGATGATATATAGTCAAACTAATGTTTATGTCTTGAGAATCTTAGTTTTTGTTTATTAGTCAACACCCTATGCTGGCAAGGTCTTATTATTTAAAGGTTTGTATAGCTGACTTGTTCCACTTCCAACAAATATGAAATCATATTAATGTGTGTCAGCTAGAACCATCTCTGCTGGTTTGAAAACTCAGTCTTAGTTTCAACGGAAATCCAATTAGATTAGAAAAATGTTAGATAGATTAAACTAATTAATGCTACATATATTTTTAATTTTTTTTAACAAGTAACAAAAAGGTGATTGTAGAGAAATTGTTTACTAACACATTTTACTACAACTTTTTTTTTTTCACAAGTATTTCTAGAATCATTTGTATTTTTTTTTACGTTTAATTTATTCCAACTAACTAATAAATAAATATATTTTAACTTGTTAAACTCGATGGAATAAAACATGTGAAGTTCTGTTCATATATATATATATATTAAAGTTATTGGTCTCTTAAGTCTTAACTAATCTTGAATGTGTATAAGGAGCATTTGCGGCGATGGCAATAATGGGAAGAATGGATCAAATATTATCTCCAAAAGGGATTGCAATGTCAGTTGCACCACTTGGTGCTGTCTGCGCCATTCTTTTCACCACTCCTTCTGCTCCTGCTGCTCGCGTAATCACATCACTTTTCAAATGCTACCTAATAACTTTTTTTTTTCATTATACTATATAGTTAATTAATTAACCGAGGACTCTTTTGTTTTTGTGTTTTGTTTTCAGAAATACAATATGTTTCTAGCTCAAATAGGTTGTGCTGCGATTGGAGTGATAGCGTTATCCGCCTTTGGACCGGGCTGGCTTGCCCGGAGCGTGGCCCTCGCCACTTCTATAGCGTTTATGGTCATTGCTCGTGCCAATCACCCTCCTGGTAAATTATACTTGTCTCATTGTTTTTCAACAATAAATGATTCTAACTTGATTAAAAGTTTTTTTAATAAATTTTTCAATTTTAGTAGAGCAGCATTCATAAGTTATCAAACCAAAAGGAACCAAAATGATAGCAAACGTAATATCTTGGTATTGGATGATGCAATTTTAATCGAATCCTTGTTCGAGTTTTCATATTAATAAAAAGAAAATAATTCAAATTCAAATAGCGAATAAGCCCATATGCTAAGCCATTCACATAAAAGTACCAAAGCCCATATGAATAACCAAACCAGATCGTGAGAGAGAGAGAATATCACCCATGCACTACACTACCTAGTACCCAAATGAATAACCTGAAACCTTTGGTCGGTTCAGAAACATCCCCTTCATTAACTCTTCACAGTTTTCTTTCTCTCTTTAAATTAGAAATCCTGCCATTATTTTTTCCTTTTCCCTTTTCCTCCATTTTTCTCGTTAATTAATTTACAGACCGTGAGAGTAAATATTCATCTGACTAATAATTAAATTAAAATTCACAGCGGCGAGCTTACCACTAATGTTCATAGATGGAGCAAAGTTCCATCACTTGAATTTCTGGTACGCATTGTTCCCAGGTGCAGCTGCTTGTGTCATTCTTTGCCTTCTCGTGAGCTTTCCTAATTCTTTTCTCAAATAATAATATCTAAACTTTATGTTTAATGATAATATAGCTTTTTACTAATATGATACAATTTGTTCTTTCTGCAGCAATCGATCGTATGTTACTTGAAGGACAACATAAAATTTTGATGAATTCTCAAGCAACACACACAATCGAATTATATTATATATATATATATATATATAATAATGTACAAATATACACACATTGATGGAAATCTTGTGAAGATATTTGATTCATGTATACACTTGAACGTATCACGTACGTAAATGGTAACCGTTATATAAACTGCTTTCTAAAAAACGACTATAAATACGTTCATTAAAAAAAAAAAAAAATTACTCGTGTTTGTTATATATATAGGATGTATTTGTTTCTTGACACTACATGTGGGTAGGTTTAAACGAAGTTTTTTTTGTTCGTTGTAGAACTTTTTAGATATGTAACGAGTAGAACCAAAACTACATTACGTATATTACTCGGATCGTATGACAATATTATTAAATATTTAGTAGTAATTATCATGGACGGCTATCGTGGTGAGGTTGAGTTTCTAAATAAGGATATATGACAACCCAATTTGTTTGGGAAAATGTATAATAATGATACATGTTCCTTGCTTCCTTTTATCCTTTATACTCCAAAATGTATAATTATGAATTTTTTGGTTTGATCCAAAAACTCTTTTGAACCGGAAACGCCTCTACTATTGTTAAATGTTAAAACAAAAATGGTTCGGTTGATAGATATATGTATTAGTCTTTAACCCAATGAAATTATAAATGGGTTTGGAAAGTTTTTTTTGGTTTTTCATTATTAAAATATTTCATAAACCGCAAACATTATTATGTAGATTTAATGAATTCAGTTAAAAATTCAACGAGCGTTGTAGTAACGTCTAGAGAGATTATAGAGCTGAATGTGATGAAAAGGGTGGGGGCCATTTCGTAAATTGAGGGAGGAACTAGGCAACCACCCAAATTGGATGATTGTAGAAGAAGAAGATGGTTATTATTATGTTATCGTACATTGCTCGTTACAAATTTTATCATCCACATAAAGAGTTTTATGAAGAATGGAGTGTGGTTGTTGCATGTTGTGGTGGTGGCCCAAAAATGATATCTTAAAGCATAAAACCTTGTCTTATGCACATATAAATAATACATCAATGAACCGGTTTGGTTTGGGTTTGTTCATGACGGGGTTAACCGGCTTCTTAAGCTATTATTCCAAAGACATTGAAGAATAAATTAATGGAGAATCGCAAAAACTAAAGCTGCAGAAAAGAAGTCACTTCCACTAGATGCTAATGTTCAGTTCATGTTTAAACTTTTAAATTTGAATCTTTTGCATTCTGATTCTTTATGAATCTTAGTTAGTTTTTTGTGGATAAATCAATTTGTATGGTTTTGGTGTTCGTTCGAATATAGGTTTTTGTTTCATACATTTAGATCATATTGGTATGTATGATTTATCCAGATTGAGCATGTATAATATATATGCTCACATGCAAATGCCCATGCGTGGCTCAGGATTAGCTACCTATAGGTTTATTCACATTTTTTTTTGTTTGGTTCGGTTTTTGGTCAAAAATGACATTTTACTAAACAAACTTACCAAGCTAAACCGAAAAACATCTTATGAAGATTTAATTTACTTCGAATCGATGATCATACAAAGTTACCAATCATGGGCGACATATTTAGTGAGAAATACTATTAGGTTAAAAACGTGACAATGAAACAAGAATATCGTTATCACGAGAATTAAATGTTGTAGACAACTTGCATATGATATATTCAAATCAATTGTTCTTTCAGTATTTATAATATAATACAGCCAACTTTCTATTTTGCGTATGAACCAATTAGATTTGAGAAAAGGGTCGAGTCGTTCTCACCGCCTCTCTAAAACGCGACGATCTTTCACTATCAAACCGATGGTAGCATTAACCGGTTTTTAATTTAGGATTCTCCAATTACACTTATAAACCCAATACAACTTTTAAATTTGTAAAGAGATATTTGTTTATATCTTGTGAAACCCGAACAAAAGACTACACCGTGGGACATATAACTTGGTTAAGCAAATGAAATTCATGTACACCAAAATAACGGTCATAATTGTGTTGACCGTGGAAGTATATATGCTGGTTGACTTAATTTGTTACGGAATATTAAATCTCAAGACTCGCCATAATTTTGTCATTGTGGTATTTTGGTAAAGTGCAAAAGTAAATTTACTGATATCTAATGCTAGTTTGTCTGTCGAAACTAACAACGAGATTACGGTAAAATATACAAAATAATTCTTTAATAAATAATTTTTTTTGCCAAGATATTTGGTTTTAGAACAAATAATAGCGTACCGAAAACACTTTGTTCATAGTGTCACTTAACAAAGACATCTTCAAAATTCCATATCACACAACAATAGCATTTTATAACCTAGCAACATTGTAACATTCCACTTTATAGGCTTTTAGCAATCATTAGTTTATAATTTAAAATAGTTGATGTAAAATATTCTAACACAGCCAAATAATTACGAGTGAACGCGTGTATTATATCCAGTTTACGTTATAGAAATTCCGTAATCAAACGAGAGCCAAGAAATGGGGTAAGTTAAGTTTTAGGATATGTACGTTGCCTTGTGAATGAGGAAAGCAACAGAGGAAACACAAAAAGAGTAATAACCACACACCAAAAACAGTAACACCTCTTTGGTTTTGGAGATGTACATTTGGTTTCTAGAGTTTTCGCTTGTTTGTAATAACCACACACCAAAACTTTCCCATTTACTTCCACTCTCTCTCCCTATAAATGCCCACACACACCACTATTGCCATTAATCATATGCTCACTTTCATTCTCCAAAACAGCTGTTTCTTAATGATCATGTCTCTAGAGTTTCAACAACAAATGGTGAGTTCTATTTCTCTCTCCATCTTTCAAAATCCAACTAAAAGTTCAGACAGTGTAGTTAATCTGGATTTGCAATAATTATGCTAATTTTTTTTTGACAATATTCTTTGTGTAAAAATATGTAGGATGAAACAAATGGGTTAAGCGCGTGGAATGGATACGTAGATTGGCGAAATAGACCAGCTTTGCGTGGCTGCCATGGCGGTATGCTTGCTGCCTCATTCGTCTTGGGTGAGTCTTTCTAAAACTCATATTTGTTTACTATATCTCTTTCACTCTTATACGTAAATTCATTCAAATCATTTTTCTTTTTCTTCTAATGAGCATTAATGGGGATGATATATTTATAAATTTTTTTATGTCCATCTTTTAGCTGTGGAAGTGTTGGAGAATCTTGCGTTTTTAGCAAACGCGAGCAATCTAGTGTTGTATCTGTCAACAAAGATGGGGTTTTCGCCGTCAGGAGCCGCAAACGCCGTAACTGCTTTCATGGGAACAGCGTTTTTTTTGGCCCTCCTCGGAGGGTTTTTAGCAGATGCTTTCTTCACTACTTTCCATATCTATCTAGTCAGCGCCGCCATCGAATTCTTGGTAAGATTTCATAAAATTATCTTAAAAGAAAAGAAGATAATGTAAGATGAGTTTAAATATAAAAACCTCAACGGCTCTACCTAACACCATGGCAAGTGAAATGGGCTTCAGGCAAGAATTTTATCAAGATATTGAATGTGGTTGAGAAAAAGACACTTTTTGGTAGTTTGATCTCAAAATATTGATAAAATCTTCAACACTAACTTGTGAAATATACAGGGCTTATTGGTACTGACGGTCCAAGCCCACGAGCACTCCACAGAGCCATGGGCTCGTGTGGTTCTATTCGTGGGTCTATATTTAGTAGCTCTCGGCGTGGGAGGTATAAAAGGCTCGTTGCCACCTCACGGAGCTGAACAGTTTGACGAAACAACACCGAGTGGGAGGAGACAAAGATCCTTCTTCTTCAACTACTTCATCTTCAGCCTCTCGTGCGGTGCCTTAATAGCCGTCACGGTCGTGGTCTGGCTCGAAGACAACAAAGGCTGGTCTTATGGGTTCGGTATTTCCACGGCTGCTATCTTGATCTCGGTTCCGGTTTTCTTGGCCGGTTCTCGCTTTTATCGCCTCAAGGTTCCTAGTGGAAGTCCCATCACGACTCTTTTCAAGGTCTTGACCGCTGCTTTCTACGCTAAGTACAGGAGAAGAACTTCAAGAAACGTTTTTACGTGTCCTACGACAAACGATTGTGATGACAACGCAAACAAGGGAAATTGCGATAAAGATGACGAACCTCTTGGCTCTTTCCTCAGCGAAGCCGTGAGAAAGCGTGAATCCCTACCTCGACGGCTCCATTGCACGGAGGAACAAGTAGAAGACGTGAAGATAGTCATCAAGATTTTACCCATTTTCATGTCGACCATAATGCTAAACTGCTGTCTAGCTCAGCTCTCGACGTTTTCCGTCCAACAAGCTTCGACGATGAACACAAAGCTCGGGTCATTAACCGTGCCACCGGCGGCGTTACCCGTTTTCCCAGTGGTCTTCACAATGATCTTAGCTCCGACCTACAACCACCTCCTCCTTCCTCTCGCTAGAAAAACAACCAAAACCGAAACCGGCGTAACCCATCTCCAACGCATTGGAACAGGGCTTTTCCTTTCTGTAGTCGCAATGGCGGTTGCAGCCTTAGTAGAAACCAAACGCAAGCTCGTCGTCACAGAGGTTGCTTGCTGTTCAAGCGACAACGCTTTATATTCTTCTTCTTCTTCGCCGCTTCCTATAACGTTTCTTTGGATAGCTCTGCAATATGTGTTTCTCGGATCAGCCGATCTCTTCACTTTAGCCGGTATGATGGAGTTTTTCTTCACCGAAGCTCCTTCTACGATGCGCTCCCTTGCGACCTCGCTCTCTTGGACGTCTCTAGCGATGGGATATTACTTGAGCTCTGTTCTCGTCTCGGCTGTTAACTTCGCCACAGGCTTGAACCAACACACTCCATGGCTTTTGGGGAAGAATCTAAACGAGTACCATCTCGATAGGTTTTACTGGCTCATGTGTGTGCTTAGTGGGATTAATTTCTTGCATTATCTCTTTTGGGCTACCCGCTATGCGTACCGGCCCAACCAAGGCTAGGTCCGAAGCGCACATATCGATGGATATATTTCGTGGTAATTTGTTGTCGGTTTATTGAAGATATCTAGGGTTTAGTTCTTGGATAAGAAGTTACTATGATGCTAGACTGGTTTTTACGGTCAGGGTAATAAGTATAATAACTAGCATTAATCCCATGCTCTCCACGGATATGCCATTAGATTTAATTATAAAGGATTATTATTGCTACTATCTCGATTTATTTGTAAATCAAATCCCATGAGATAGATGTATGTAACTATAATTTTTGAAATTAATGGTACGTAGTATTTTAGTTATGTTTTGCGTCGTGATTTTGTAAAGGTTTACCAAAGAGTAGGGAAAAAGAAAAAAATAATTACAAAATAAAAAAACAAACAAAACAAGTTTGAAGTTATTCATACGAAAATCCAGGCTTAACCTGTAAAAAGTAAAAAGGACCTTAAGTAGTTCCCACCCCAATCCATACCGGTCCAAATCAAGCCTGGAGTGATTTTTGTTTTTTGTCACGTAACGTAAAAAGGAACACTTTTCCTTTTAACTTTTTTTAAACGGAGATTGTAATAAAGCTTCATTTGGATAATTAATGAAGAAATTAAAAATCAACAGCTCATCTCTTACTTGTTTTGTTTAATTCTCTTAATTTAGATAGATCCCATTTTATATTGATCACAGATATATAACAGCTAACAGTTACTTTTTTTTGAACTTTATAACAGCTACTAACAGTTAAAAAAAACCAAACTATTATTTTTTAATCTAGATAAAGAAAAGAACTACATAATAATTAATTGCATATGATTTAGTCAAGATCCCTGGGGTATTTCTACAAATTAAACTTATATCGACTTTTGTGCAAAACTTGAAAAGATAAGGGTGACAATTCGAAATAGTTGAAATATTTATTATTAGCGTAGTCTTTTTTTCTCTACAAAAAAAATCTTCTCTCCCCGCTGGAAGATATATATCAACCAGCTCGGTGGAATTCTCCTTTACTTGCAAACTTTTCTTCTCCCACAGAAATCTGAAAGTAAAGAGGTGAAATTTCGGTAAACCCTAATTTTTTTCTTTTTTCCTCGTGTCTCTTTCATGTTTCTACACGCGGTTTTGTCTATCAAGTTCGTCTGAAATCTCGACTATCGAAACATGAAATCTGTGGAATTCTGTGTATAAAACATAAATTTATTACGAATTTATATATATATATATATATATATATGTTTATATTGTGAGCGTATTTTCTGGGCTTGGTAGACTAGATCGAGAGGAAGAAAAAACTGAAAAGCGATCTTCTTTAAAATTTTCCGGTGGAGTATATTTCTTTGGGTTTTGGGTAAAACCAATGGCTAATTTCAGCTTGATTTGTTAGCTCGAGTTCAGTATTTCTCATATGCTCATGAATTTTTCAAGAAAAATCAAATTTTGTTTGTTTGGGTATATAACTTTTTTATTGAATGGATTAGGGTGTGAAGGAAGAAGATGGGGAATCTATTTTGTTGTGTACAAGTTGACCAATCAACGGTAGCGATTAAAGAAACGTTTGGGAAATTCGAAGATGTTCTTGAGCCTGGTTGCCATTTTCTTCCTTGGTGTCTTGGTAGCCAAGTCGCTGGCTATCTCTCTCTCAGGCTTCAGCAATTGGATGTTCGTTGCGAGACAAAGACTAAGGTTTTTTTTTTATAAACCTCTTAGATTTTCTTTTATGTTTCAGAGTCTGGTGAGTTTCTGTTTAGTACTGATCCAGATTCTTCTTTGGTGTGTTTTTGCAGGACAATGTGTTTGTTAATGTTGTTGCATCGATTCAATACCGCGCTCTGGCTAATAAGGCGAACGATGCTTTCTACAAACTCAGTAACACAAAAGGCCAGATTCAAGCTTATGTGTTTGATGGTAAGTCTCAATTTCGTAAACACACAAAAACATGATTTGGAAAGTGAATGTGTTAAAGAAAACTGATCATCCCGAGTCCCTTTTTGTTTTTGGGTTTCTAGTCATTAGAGCAAGTGTCCCCAAGCTGCTTCTAGATGATGTCTTTGAGCAAAAGAATGAAATTGCGAAAGCTGTTGAAGATGAGCTCGAGAAGGTTTTATAATCGTTACTGTGTTTTGATTCTCTTTTGGCTCTGCTTATATATGAATGCTTCATGTGCTTTCTCTGTCACTCGCAGGCAATGTCTGCTTACGGTTTTGAGATTGTCCAAACTCTCATTGTTGATATCGAGCCTGACGAACATGTCAAACGGGCCATGAACGAAATCAACGCTGGTAACAACACTTCCCATCATCATCATCTATATATTCTTGACTTTCTTGTAGATCCTCTCAAATCTGAGTTTCTGCATCTTGTTTGTAGCTGCAAGGATGAGATTGGCTGCGAACGAAAAGGCAGAGGCCGAGAAGATCTTGCAGATAAAGCGAGCTGAAGGTGAAGCTGAGGCCAAGTACCTCTCGGGTCTAGGTATCGCCCGTCAGAGACAAGCCATTGTAGATGGTTTACGCGACAGTGTGTTGGGTTTCTCTGTGAACGTCCCCGGGACAACCGCTAAAGACGTGATGGACATGGTGCTTGTTACACAGTACTTTGACACCATGAAGGAGATTGGTGCCAGTTCCAAGTCTTCTGCTGTCTTCATACCGCACGGACCAGGAGCGGTTCGCGATGTGGCTTCTCAGATCAGGGACGGGCTCCTTCAAGGCTCGTTCGCCAACGAGTCTTCAAGTTGATGATTCTGATTATGTTGTGTCGTGTTCTTTTTACTAAGGTGTGATTAAGATCATATGATGGTTTTTTTTTTTCCTCTGTTCGGTTACAGTGAATCCTGAAAACATATTTTGGTTTATTAGCATTAATTTTTGCATATGATGGTTTTCCTTTGTTGTTGTACTTTTAGTTCTGGTTGTATAACATATTTGGGTTTGTTAGCATTAATTAATGTACATGGATTATGGAGATACTTCAACATATTTGGGTTTATTAGCATTAAATGTTAATCTACCTCAATTCAAGGGGTTAATTGAGAAGCTATATGTACTCCAAATTCTTTCTTTTTTTTTTTTTGGTACCATTCCAAATTCTCTCTATGGATTGTGGAAATAAATTTAAAATGATTTCTATTTTTTTTTTCAATTGATTCGATTTTCTCAGAAATCAACGAGGAAAGAAGGTCAAAGATGGTGTACATGTTAATGATTTGATGTCAAATTGTGCACCATTCACAAATTAAAGTATTCACATCACATGCGTCAAACACGTAAATATCCAAACTAAATGCTGTTCAACATTTAGTTTTGTTGTGTTACTAGAATATTCAACGTCGATATACAACCAACGTTAATATAACACTATACATGCAATTACACCAAGTAACATGACCGTCATTAACGTATTATTGTTCGTAACTAAGTTCTACTGTTATGTTTATTTCGACGTGTTATACCATTCGCACTGCTGACGTAAAGATTGATAGTTTTTTTTAAAAATGAATAGTTATTACGCAGGGAGATGAAATTTCGCAGGAAACTTCCTTCACCTGCAGGAATTAGTGCCACTTTCTTTTTATGGCAAGTAGACATTGACATTGTAATAAGTTTTGCAGAGCTTTTTTATATTTAGCATCAATAATTCATCTAAGAAACAGGCAAGCCTTTCACATGGTAACCTTTATATAATATGAAACAATTCTGAAATGTGATTATTTATAAGATGGTGATGTATGAACTTGGCACGATGCTACTTCCTCTACACGTAATGACAAACGATCCTTGCTAGAAGTAGAAAATTCAGCTTTTTTTTGGTTAGTAGACATTTGCATTTTGCAGGGTGATCTTGTTTCTATTTTCATGGTGGCAGAACTAATTTACAATCTTGCCCGTCAGCATTCTTCATTATTTCAACCCAATATCCCTCGAAATTAAGGGGCAGGCTCGTTAACAAATTTAGAGTAAAGGTGTGGAGTCATAATTACTCTGTATCTAACTTTTACCAGTCACAAGGAAAAACGAGGAAAAGAAAACAGCATTTTGCTCAATCAAGTACAAATTCAGCCGACCAAACAACTAAAGTTTATATAGTCCTTTCAATGAGGTTTACATCAGAATTACCAAAATATATTAAGCTTAAAAGTAATATATTAAAAAAGACATGGTTTTTGTACAATTTACAACAGGCAACTCTGATTGGTATGAACAAAACAAAACAAAAAACCCTACCAGAATACGGTGAAATCAGTCTTCACCAGTATTTCTTATTGAGATACAAAGCAAACATAATAGAGAAATTAAGTGAAATTCAAACTTTAATTTGGTATTTGAATTAGTTAGTTAGTTGGTGGTGGTGCATCGACTGCAGTAGTCGCCTTACCTTGTTCAGCCTCATGAATAAGCTTCACGATCTCATCTTTCTTTAGGACCATAGCTTGAATCTTGTCTTCAATCTTGGTAAGTTTCATCTTCAACTTCTCTGGATCATTTTTATCTTCAGGGTTCTTCTCTTTCTTCGTCTTCTTATCTTTCTTCTTGCTTTTCTTCTCTTGATCATCGCCTTCTTCTCCTCCGCCATTTTTATCGTCCTCGTGCTTATCCTTCTTCTTATCCTTCTTCTCTGTTTTCTCAGCCTTGCTGTGCTCCTCTTCTTTATCACCATGGTTCTTCACTTCTTTCTCTTCTGTTTCTCCCATTTTTCTTTATGAAACTCGGGTTTGCTTTTGTTTTTCTTAGATAGTGCTTACAAACGTTTCTTACATATCTCTTGTCGAGCTAAGAGTTACCCTTTATATTACAAATGGATCTTCACCCAATTTTAGACATGTAATATTCACATCCGTAGAAATATCACATGTACGACGAGAATTATGGAGTTTCGTATGTTGCAAGTTTTTCTATCTTTAGAACTTTTGGTTTGTGGGATGGATGAATCTTATAATAAGCCTGTCCATAGAATCCTACCCTCCTCATTATAGTTTTCACAATGCTACGATTTTAAAGACACCTATAAAAATTCAAAATCTTTGTATCGATCAATTAAGCATGTACTTCTTGCTTTCTCTTACGCTGAAACCATTGCGTAAAGCTTGGCGGTTTTGCTCAACATAGATAAAACGTCTTCTTGAGACTAATGTTGTTTACTCGGTACGAAAATAGCATTTGAATTTAGAATTTGAAAGAAACTTCTTTTATAAATGATAAAATGAATACACAAATAACAAAGGAGGAAATTATTAGTCCCAGTGTTTTTTTTTGGCTTTCTTTCTGAAAGAGGAACATTAAAATTCATATGATCACAAGAACAAAGGGATTATTATAATCTTTCGTGTTTCTCTCAACTCTATTGATCAATGTGAATGTAAAGGTGGGGAACTTGCTAATTTACCCAACTGATCGATATCTCGTGGATCAGGCAAAATAAATTTTGATTTCCCAGGGATAAATCATTACACTTACTCGTCCTTTGAGCTGTAAGAAGTAGCGATTCGTACATGTCTCTTGTCAAAAACAGCTTTGAAAGACTCACGCTCTGCTCTAAGCTGATCCTGGAAAATCCCTCTTACCTTTGCTTTGCCAACAGCATCAGCGAGTGCAAGACTCTCTTCCCGTGATAGAGGATTCGATTTCTGCATGACAGATTTTTTTCTTTTTAAAAAGATGTATATATAGTAACAAGACCAAGAACACAGCCATTTTTTTGTTCTTGTTTGCTTACCAAGTTGTATCCTGATCCAGGACCTATAACTAAAGAAGGCATGTTCATATTCCTCGCAGCACCGATTGAAAAACCTGCGTCTCCACCCTATCCGCACAAACAAAAGCATGAGATTTTCCAGAAGATCAGCATGCCTTTAAAGCTAACAGATCTTCTAGAGACGATTTGAAGCAGCAAAGAGTGTATTCTTTTTATACCTTATCGCCCCACCAAACAGTTTTGCCTTCCCGCAAGCGTTCTCGGCTTGACCTGGAAAGGGATTTTGAGTTTCGTCTTGTACTTTGGGATTTCTCTGTTTCGTCGTCTTCCTCTTCTACATTTGACCATTTACTTCTGCTTAGCTCTTTCACTTTCTCTGTATGGGTGCTAGGTTCTGCTTCCCATTTACTCTCATTTATGTAAGAGCCTGCCAATATATCAACAGAAAGACTCAGCTAAGTGTTTTCGGTTTGTCTTGGCAGTATTAAGGCGCCATTCCAATTTTACCTTCTATCGCACCCTTTACTTCTGACTGGGTGCTGTCATCATATTTTCTTTCTGGCGGGTCAAAATCATCTTCCATGTCCATATCCACCTAGAGTAATTTTATGACAAGTTTACGAGGTGAGATCATATAATAAACTAATGAAGGCCGAAGATTCAAAAAACAATCAATACAAGGAATTTATATAGTAAACTCAAGAACAGAGAGGTATATAAATAACTTATTCTATTACCTCCTGGATTCCACTCTCCTTCAAGTCATCCCACCGCGTTAAAGACTATCACAGAAAAAGAAGATCATAAGCTATTGTAGAAAACGCAACAACATGAGATTGGTATTGTTTAAAGTCCCAAAAATAAGCTGTATGAAACCCATCTTATGCACATTTTCCTTCAGGTCAACGCAAAATCATACATGAAGGCATTGATCTGGCATATTCTTCCCATTTATCGAAAAGCAAGGTCATATGTTGAAAACGAAAAAGAATAGTACCTTGATATCTAGTTGCATGTACAATGATGGAGCTTCTTCCCATTGTTCTGCCATCTGCTGTACTTGATCTAGTGTGATGCCATGTACGTTTCTTGCTGCACAGCCCTGCAATTTCACACCCACTTAGCACAGCAAGATATGTGAATGACATTCTATTCAAATATGATTAAAGCTTTTAACACCAGTTTATTTAAAGCTAAAAAGCGGAAACTACAGTTGAGATACAAGATCCAAGTTATCAAAGACTAAAAAGTATGTCGAAACTCACAGCTGGGTCCTTGTATGTTGCTTCCATTATGTAAGCTTCATATCCAGATCTCTGCACAAGAAACAGAATGTCAAGGAAACTTCCAAAGTACGATTAAGATGAAAGCTTTTCATATTCTGTACTAGACGAGGGATATGCTACAGTTGAACTTGAACTCGTTTTAAATGTTACAATTAACAATTTAAGGTGTATCATTTACAACAAGCATCCAATCATACACAGAAATTGACATCTATATTTCGGGTATATATTGAAACAAACTGAATTTCAGCAAAACAGGAAAAGGTGATTCTCGCATTTACAGCCTATTATTTAAATCATATAGGTTTTCCGCTGGTCAAGAAGCCATCTTTGAAAGGTTATCTTCTTCAACATGTTATTTTCACGTAATCACAAACCAAAAACAAATGATCACGGTGCCAAACAACAGAAATGGGAAGAGGAGTAGTGCCTGCATTGCCCAAAGCAGACAGTACCGCTATATGTTTATCAAAAAATAGTAAAAGGACAGAATTCAGAGTATATTGTTTACTGAACGTGCATGGCTCCGGAAATAAAAAGAATGGCAACTTCACATAAAGTTGATTGCATGATGTTTAGCAGACAACATGAAGCAAGCAGATAAAAACAATAACAACTCCAATTTTCAGGCGAAATACCACTTAATAGTGCATACAGTCACTAACAAGAAAATGACTCCCATCTTGTAAAAGAGGGAATTAGCAATAATAAAGGAGAAAGGACGTATAAGAAGTTGGTCGCTCCATCACGTCAATGTCCTCTTCGATAATGCACACACAACCAGAAGGTTTTAAAGGAGAGAGAGAGTGGGAAATGCAATGTCACTTTAAAATTTCGACGGAGCATTATGCTGATTCTGAGAATGTTTCAGCTAACTAAACCATTGACAGAAACGTCAACTTACTAGAGAACATTACGTGTAAAAGAAATTAGACTAACGCTTAATGCACATGAAACTATCTAGACACATGAGAAACCAAGAATAACTAAGCACTTAGGAAGCTAGATGACTTTACAAATCATTATGATTCTTCCATAGAATCCACAAACAAAATCCACTCTCCACAAGGTAATACAAAAAGAAGCGAGGATATACCTTTGCTGTTGCCCAAAACTGAGCAAAATCAGCTACCCGCAGATTGCGGTCATCCACTAAGATGAGCGACATATACCAGCAAGAAAGGGTCAATTCCAGAAAACAAACTGCATCCGTGGTTAGAGAAAATGAAAGTAGTGCTTGGATACTGCACCACCCAGTTCCCCGCTAAACTAGATGAATAGGATCCCTAAATGAAAATCTTACACGTTGAAATATATACTACTCCCTATACCTTGAGCAGACAAGAGAGCTGCTGGGAGAATATTAAGTTCTTTAAACTAAGAAACTAAAGAAAACAATTTTAGATGGAATGTTTTCTCCAGAATAAAAGTAGTTGCCATCATGTCAACATCATCAAACCAAAAGAGATAATGTCATCAGATCACAGATACCAATTACCTTTTGCAAGGAAATAAAAATTTCAAAACTGAGAGATATAGTCATACATTCTAATATGAAGTTACGGGAAAAAATTTCATTACCGATTACAAAGCTGAAAGTCCCATCTTCAAGAGTCCTCTTAAAAGCTTTCAGCATGCTTGAACGATACGCCTGATAATTCAAGAGCGCCAAGAAACTTAACAAAAGGAAAATATCGTCGTGGTTTACGTTCATGTATCATTTATCTCAAAAATATATGTTCTGAAAAGATACCTCTTCCATCTCAGGTTCGTAGCAGTATTCCATAACCTTCTTTACAATAGGTCTCTTGCTTCTACCAGAGCTTGAAGAAGTTGAATCACTCTCATCAACCTTTTACAATGAACAAAGCAACACAATCTTAGAATCGTTTGATGGTCCCAGGTAAAGAGTTCATTCTTTTAAGAAACGTTTTAAGAATCATGAGGATTAATTAATTAACCTTCACAACTTCAGCCATGAAGTAATCATCCATAGAATGGATTCGTGGGGCACTACCACCATTTTCTACCTCGATGTCACGCAATAACTTAGCTAAATAGCTCTTCCCACTACCTGCATATATATACACAAAAGGAGTTAATACTCAGTAACACCTACACTTAGCAAGAACTCACGCAAAGAACTAAAATTATGCAATAGGTCCAAGCAATAGATTAAGAGAAGGCTTAGAAAATAACCTGGTAGCCCTCGAAGGATAATTACAAAATGATCCGGACGAGTAGAGCGATGGGGAGGCTTGAGCAAATGGGACACGTCAATCACTTTAGAACGAGCTGGTGCTCGTTGTGCAGAAGATGGCTACCAAACGATAAGAGATCATCAGTATAGAAAGACACGATATTTTCGAGGTATGAACGAAGCCACGAAAGCAACATTACCGAAGCATTTGGCATTTGAGGATATGGTGATGATGATGGAGGAGGGACCGTTGCAGAGGAATTAGCGGTAAGTGGAAACAGAGAAGAAGGGTGAGATGGAGGCAAAGGCGGTGGTGGCGAAGCCGGAAGGGGAGGCTGACCATTAGGACCGCCGAAATAGGGTCCGTACGGCGTCGGTGGCAGCGGCGGATGATGAAACGGAGGCGGAGGAGGAGCTGCACCGTTAAATTGACCGCCATTCCTAAATTCACTCCTCCCATACTGATGATTCATCTCGATATTGGAAACATCGAGATTTCCCGGAGACGGCGCAGATAAACCGTAACCATGATCCCTTACCATCTTCAGCCTCCGTTCGTTCTCCCAGGAGATCTGAGGAGTATGATAACCAACGCTCCCGGAAACAGTGTAAACAGGAGAACCACCGTTGATCGAATCAATCCGAGCTCTCTTAGAGCTCCGATCAGCTTCCCTATCACAGTCAACAGCACTACGGTAGTCAGACACCGGTCGCCATCCGTGGTAAGGTTGCCACGGTCTTGGATCACCGACCGGATAGTGGTTTGGCGGTCGAACCGGTGGTCCGGTGAATGGGTCGAATCCAGGACGAGGTAAATTGAGGTGGGGAGGGAAGTTAGGGTTGTGCGGGAAGGAAGATGGAGGGTACGGTGGGCAGAAAGGGAAGTGCGGCGCTGTACAAATCGGGCATATGTTTGGCTGTGTTGGTCCTGGACGCCATTGATGATGATGATGATAGTTCTCGAAATTATTATCCATTGTGTTTGATAAATGCTTTTCAGAGAGGAACTTGGAGATTTGCAAGAGAAGTCCGATGAACCCTAAAATCTAGATTAGGGTTTATGTGGTGAAATTGATTGAAAGTTGGGGAAGAGAAGAAAAACTAATGTTTCAGAGAGATGCCGAAACTTCGAACTGTCACTTATTGATCTGAATAATATATTTCAAGTGACTAAAAACAGCGAAAAACAAGATTAATTATAATAACCTTAATTATTTCACAGTGAGAAATGCATCGGTTAGGCCCATTTAGACTAAGTCCCATAATGTGAATCCCAAACGAGACGGCCCAACAAAAAGTTGAAGGGGTTTCGTTAATGTATTTTTTTGATCAAACGGGTTTCGTTAATGTATAGGCTATTTAAATTTGGTATGATTTTGGTACTACCAACAAATAATATGATTGGTTAGACATTTAGGCTTTATCCTCTTAAGGTCTTCATTTATCATTATAATAGTGGTCACCGAAACCAGACAAAAAACAGAGTGGTCACCGAAACACTGTATTAATGTTTTGCATTCACATATAATTCAATCGAACTATCATTGTCTATTATATATAGTTATATCCGTTGACAAACAAAAATATTTTCATTAGATTATACTATTATCTAAAAGTACCATTTAGTAATGTTGCCAAAAGTTAAAATTTTGAAACATCGAACTTGTATGAAATCTGAGAAAATGTAGGAATTACTACATCTTTTAAGGGATTAAAAATCCATCTAACAAAAAAAGAAGAGAGGTATCATAAACTTGTATCCTGTAAGTTGAAGAGATTATACATGTTAGTACTTCGTAGTGAGTGATACTTTGGAATTTGGAAACAAAACAATCTTCAAAAAAAAAACTAAGTTATGTTTTGGAATTTGGGACAGTAGATTTATTCCCTTGACTTGTCACCATTCGCTGTGTTCATCACTACAAGGAATCAACGCGGATTTTACCATACATTTTGCCTTTTAATCCTGACTAGACTTCCCTAACTTTCATTCACATACGTCATTTCTGTGACATCATTAACATAGAAAGGAAAATAACCGAATACTAGATAAGTTTATCACCTCGTGATTTGATGGTGTGATTAAACGTGACATCGAAGAAGATAAGTAACATTTTCTTCAAGTATTCTTTATATATACTACAAGATTATTCCTTGACCGGTACCGATAATAGAGACTTATTATTTTTCTGTCACAAGTGAAGGAGACTAATCTTAAGTTTAAGCGTTTTGAAGTTTTTTCGTATTTTATTCGACGTCGTTAGTGGCTTATGTTCATTACGCGCTCCTTAGGTTTTTGGCTCCTGATTAAAGTAAAATTAATCTTCGTAATGTAATGATTAAGATTTGTGTTGACAAAAAAGAACATTTAAATTTGTTTTTCTCCGTGAATGAAAATACAATTTTTTTTGCCCGTATATATATATTCCGACGGGACCCAACTTTCGAAGCGTACCATCTCTCTCTCTCTCTCTCTCTCTCTAACGTTTCAGAAAACTCTGCAACAGCTTTCTAAAATGCAGTCGAGTCGGTTACTCTCCTTTTCCTCCACCTCTCCGAGCTTCGGCAGTTTTTCCTCCGCCGTAGACCTCGCCGCCATCGCAGCCCGAGTCGTCGAGGAATTCAGAGACCAGGAGCCGCAATCCCATTCCCACCGCGACGACGACGATTTCGAGTTCGCCTTCGACTGTCCCAGCCGCAGGTGTTCTCACCCCATCGCCACCGCCGACGAGATTTTCTGTAATGGTCAGATCCGCCCGTTAAATCCGTACGGTGGTCGAACTGAAAGGGCTCCGGTAGATGGCAAGGGCGGCGCAGAATCTCAACCGACGACTTCTCCGGCGAAGAGTGCTCTTCCTCGTCGTCATCGACCGGCGCTGAGTAAACTGATGAGTGAAGACAGAGATCCGACGTCGAATTCATCGTCGGAGGCCGAAGAAGATCTAACCGGTGTTCCGCCGGAGACTTACTGTGTATGGACACCAAAACAGTCAAATAGCGGTGGAGTTTCGAAAGACGATGATCTCCGAGGACTCTCGTCGTCTCCATCACAGAGCAAAATCAAAAGCAATTCAGCCGGATTTTCGAAACGTTGGAAGCTCCGGAATCTTCTGTACGCGAGAAGCAGCAGCGAAGGTAACGAGAAGCTCGTGTTTCCTGCGCCGGTGATGAAAAGCGATGAAACCATCTCTGAACAAGGAAAAGTAGAAGAAGGAGAAGAAGTACGATCGCCGTCGAAGGACGATGATGCCGGAGGTGACGAAAAAAGGGAAAGCGAAGAGGCAAAACGACAGTCGTTTCCGTATAGGAAGGATATGATTGGAATATTGAAAAATGTGAATGGGCTTAGTCGTCATTTACGTCCTTTTTAAAGGTGACGTGGCTCTCGTGAAGAGTAACAAAAATCGAAGACGCGGACTTTGGGTGGGCTTCGGTTTCTTTCTTTTTCCAACTTTACCTTTTTCTATTTTATTTTTCTCTCTCAACCTTTTTCTTTTGGTTTCCGGGAAAATCTTGAGTGTTGGCAAGAAGGAAAAGTGAATATTTTTCGAATATTTTTTTAATTAAAACCTCGATGTGTCGGTTTGGTTAGATGTAATGTAAGTTTTGGTGGTTGATTATTAGAAATTTAGAGATAATTGCTTATTCGTTTCATTTTATTGTAGTAACCATTTTTTGTTCTTACTCATCATAATGTTGAATTGTTTTTGGCAAATTCAAGTGTCCACACGACCTTCCAATAAACTAATTTAGTGATGAAATTCGTATAAAATATAAATTACTTAAAAATGTATGTGTGTATAATAAATTCGAAACTTGGATAAGTGTTGTATGTTTCTTTATTTTAGACACAAGGAAAGTTTGTGGTCCTTTGACGTGTTAAACATTAACGTGTGGAATCGCGTATACTTTTCTATAAATAACAAAGATGTGGATTTATTAATTTGGATATAAGCAATTTAGGTGGATATAGTAGGAATGTTTGGTTGCCTTGGGATCTTGTTCTAATTTTCTATAAAATGATATGTGTTCACATTATCGATCGAGTGACTCGAGTCACCCCAACTACATACAAGTACGTATAACGTATTCAGAAGATTAGATTAGTTTAATAGTAATGATCAAGTTGATGTACCGCTTCTCAATACGTTTCACCTAATAATATAGTAACTAGTAAGAGTTGGATTTTAATTATAACAAGTCTTATTGCTTAGTATATAATCAAAATACAATCTCAAGTATAACCAACAAGTAGTACATGTGTCTTTTAGGAAACGCAGTAGCACCTCTGATAAACTGATAACACCGAATAATAAAAATTAGATTGTGAAAAGAATGACTTGCAAGTTACGATTAATGATAACTTACAAGCTTTTGATCATAAATCGGTCCTCGTATGTTTATTAATAATATCTATATAAAAAGAACATCATCATTTCACAATAATGAGCCGACAAAATAAACATTTTTGTTGTTCGAAATCGCTCTCACCAAACAATTATGAATCTAATGTGAAGGTGTTTCATATATAACTTGCAAGTTAAAATTATTCCTAATGATTTTAGCGGTGGGAGTAGGTTAAAAAGAGTGCGTTGATGTCTTTATCCCTACTCTAAGATGAAAGAAAGAATCGTGATTAGTTCTCTTATTTCAAGTTTATCCTCTGTTATCATTAAAAGAAAAAACTTATAAGCTTTTCATATCTTGCAGTAGTCTATACATTGATAATTTGATATATTCTCAGAGCAATTATCGTGATAGAAAAATGTAAATTCCCAACTTTTCATTTTATTTGGTATACATCTTTATTTTTGTAAAAGAGGCGTATCTATAAAAACCGAATCCAAGGAAAAATAAAAGGTAACAGTTGAACCGGAATAAAATTGAATTCAGTTTGATTGGTTTAAAAATTTCGGTTTTGGCTTGTTTGGATCACAGACAAATTAGGTACAACTTAGAATCGGTAACCCTTGCCAAAAGAAAACGGTGTTAAAAGGTAAATCCCATTCTCTGGGACAATCTTCTTCCAACATTCTTAATCACACTGCACTAATCATCAATCTCTTGCCAACAACTATTTCATCAGGCGTGAACCGGTCTCGCACCGGAAGAAATCTGCAGGTTCGCAGCGTATTCACGCGCCCACAAGTCATAGTGAACAATCTCTTCAAGTGACGGCGATGATACCAACTCGTTCCGATGTTTATCGCATGTTAGTTCCACCACCTTGAAGATATCCAAATAGCTTATCCTGTAAACAAAAAGACAGAATAATATAAACAACGCTGATTCCTTTCAAGAACTTGGGATGATAACCAAAATTAAATTTTTTTACTTTTCATCAATGAACATTTCGACGGCTTTCTCGTTAGCTGCACTGAGAACTCCAGTCATTGTGCCTCCGGCTCGTCCAGCAGCATAAGCAAGATCCATTGATGGGTATTTCACATGGTCTGGTTTCTTGAAAGTCAACGATCCCAGCCTACCAAAATCCACATTTTATAACCCACTTTTAAACTATTACCGATCAAAGTATCTTGCTTCTGAAGTCCAGAAACAGAGTAAAGACCTTATTGAGAGAACAGTTTAACAGGTCTTGCTTATGTGGTGATTAAAATCTTCAACTAAGCTTAGCTCAAAACTTGATTAAACAGAGGCAATATATGCAATTGGCTTACTTGCAAAGGTCAAGTCTTGGCCAAGTTACTTCAGAACAAGGAACCCTATCGGGCCACGACATGGTGTAGAGGATCGGTAAACGCATATCAGGCCATCCCAATTGAGCAAGCACAGATGAATCCTATGGAACAAAACAATCCTTATATATGTTTATTTTTTGAATCCTGAAGACAAAATGTTGCAGTTATTGTTTTCTATAGAGCAAAACCTGTGTTTCAATCATGGAGTGTATGATACTCTGAGGATGAATGACAATCTCTATATCGTCATACTCAGCTCCAAACAAATAATGAGCTTCGATGACCTCAAGACCCTGTTTCATCTTACACTTGATCAACAAAGGTACTTCTAAAATCAAAAGTTTTAGTGGTTTTGAGAAGAAACTGATCGTAACCTTGTTGAAAAGCGTCGCTGAGTCCACTGTGATTTTCTTTCCCATGTTCCAGTTTGGATGCTTCAACGCATCTGCTACTTTTACTTCCTTGAGCTTCTCAACAGGCCAATCCCTATTTCCAACAATTTTCATAACCAAACGAGAATCAAGAAGGAATCAATGGAGACTGGAGAGAGACGTATAGCAAACGGATTTTGAAACAAACCTAAAAGCTCCACCAGATGCAGTCAAGATTATCTTGCGCAGAGCACCTTCAGGCAAACCTTGAATACACTAGAGAACATAAAAGAAGATTAGGAATCGAAAACTTCACTCAAAATTGTATCAGGACCAAAACTTGAGTCCAATATATGAAAGTGGGGTTACTTTAATTCTATGTGCATTTCCAATACCTGAAATATGGCTGAATGTTCAGAATCTGCGGGAAGAATCTTAACATTATGCTTGTTGGCGAGTGGAAGCACGAAAGGACCACCAGCGATTAATGTCTCTTTGTTTGCAAGAGCGATGTCCTTTCCCGCTTCAATTGCAGCAACCGTAGGCTACAGGGAAACATAAACAACAAAGCTTTATCATCTTTTTTACTTTCTTACTCATATTCTCTCAATCAGATTTAGTGCCCACAAAACAAAAGACAAACTAGAGTAAATATACCTTTAGTCCCGCACAACCTACAATTCCAGTAACAACAGTTACAGCATCTGGGTGACGAGCAACCTGTTGATGAAATTATAAGGTAAAAAACTCGAAGAGGATCCAAAAATTTGTAAAAAAGTCACACACCACAATCAAAAATTAAAGCAATGCACTAACCTCAATCACTCCTTGCTCCCCTGGAATGATCTCAGGTTTATAGTCCAAACCCGCTAAAGCCTCTTTAAGCTCATTGACCAATGACTCATTTCTAACAGCAACCAATGCAGGTCTAAATCTCTTTACCTGCCACAGAACCATTCAAAGGAGAGTCACAGAACCATTGTATAGAGTTTTCTCGAGATCACCGAAGGTGAAAAAAACTAATCAAGAACCTGACTTCTCTGGTTACAGTATCTTGCTTATGATACTACCGCAGAATTGAGAAATGAAAAACTGGTTTCAGGTGGGATAAAGGACAAATTGGATGCTAATTTACCTGATCAACAAGGAGAGTAACATTCGAACCAGCAGCTAGAGCCACCACTCTGAACTTCTCGGGATTTTCAGCCACTATATCTAATGTCTGCAAAATACAAGATACTGAAGTTTCTTATCGATAGAAAATGATTCAGCAATAACAACTCATTCTTCTTCGTGCATAAAACATCTTAACACTGTTTGTTTACAGTCTCAGCTTCACTCAAGAACTGCAAAACAAAGTCCCTAGTCCAACTAAAAGGAGCTAAAAGTCATCTGCCAAAGAGAAGGAAAACAAGAAACGGATGTAAAACCCAACCTGAGTGCCAATGGAACCAGTGGATCCAACGATAGAGATGGGTTTTGGTCCATCCCAAGATTGACGAGGCGGCTCGGGAACAGCTCTTCCGGGCCATGCCGGAGGCGGACCAGGTTGCTGCTGCACTTTCACTGAACACTTGACTCCTTTTCCAAAACCTTTCCTTTGATCCCTCCTCCTCAAACTAAACCCACCTAGTGACACTCCAAAGATGTAAAATTTAAACTAACGGAACTAAAGTAACCAACAAATTTCGAAGTTCCCAGAGTTGAACCCGAATATTAATGCTTGAAATTCGAGGAATTTGCAGAGAATTGGGTCATATGTTACAAGCTTGACGATACCCAAATGGCGAAATTTCCATACGAGACTAACGAGCAAAGATCGCAGCTTTTTTATTCACATGAGATTTGAAGAAGGAGAGGGGACAAACCTGGGATTATAGGGATTTGATTGAGCCTGGAGGTTTCCAAGAAAGAAAAAGCTTTGGATTCAGCTGGAGATAACGAGTTTAGTGTCATCATCAGTCTTTTATTACAAATCGAATATTTTCCAAAGAACCCACTTTTTTTTTTTTTTAATTCAACTTTGGATTATCAGAGAAGAACTAGCTTGGAAGAAATCAGAAACAGTGGAGAGGTGGTGATAAGAAGAATCTCATGGATTCGCAATTTGAATGGTACACGTACAGCAACAGTTTTGACTTTTTTTTTGTTTTGTTTTTAATTTATTTTCGATCTAGCATATTATTGTGTTAAGAAAAAAGATCCGAGTTTTTTTAGTAAGAGTAACCTTTATTAAGGTAATGACAAGTTGTAATTTTGTAAATGGTAGATATGCTGTCTTACGACGTTCCCATTTTCTATTATATATTTCTTATTCTTCAAAAGGAAGAATATCCTAAAATTATGTTACTGTATGAGGCCCAAATATGTTAAAAGGCCTAATTAAAAGATAATCATGCTTTCTATATTTTAGGCCCATATGATGTAAGGCCCAAATAATTCCTCTGACCAAGGAAAATAAAAATCAGACACGACGGCATTATCCTCTGTTCGTGTGGCCACACACATTCACTCACCTAAACAGCAGAAGATTAGCAAAAAAAACAAAGAAAAATCAGCGAGAAAAGACGATTTCGGAGATGATTCCATCTTTAAAACTCTCTGCCTCGATATGAGCAAAACCTGATTTGATTAGTGATTACTCGTCACCATCATCATCCCACAATCGTTTTCTCTTCTTTTCCTCCCGGAGGAAGATCTCTCTTCTCTCATCTTCGCCCTTATCACTCGTTCTCGACTTGGTTTCTTCTTCCACACCTGGGTTTCGAATCTCTCCGCCGCTTGGATCCTCTGAAAGGTCGGTGAGCTGCTATGGCAACTCATCAGCAAGCGCAAGCTCCTTCCGATTTTCTAGCTCCGGCCGATGGAAACTCCCAGCTTTCAGGTTTTAATTACAGCCTCTGATCGTTTCTATTCCACCCTTTTGGTGGATTCTGAGCCTTTTTTTTTAATTGGTTTTTTTAATAGAGATACTCAGTATCTGCCTCTGTTTTCTTATGATGAGATGCTGTATGCGTGTTGAGCTATTTTGATGGTGTAGTTACCGATCTCTATTGGTGATGAATGTTCAATTTCCACCGAAAATTTCTTTTGATTGTGGAAGATCATTTATTGATTCTGGTGATTGAAATTGGAGAATTCTTGTAGAGTAATACGCAGTAAGGTTTCACCTAAGTGTTGTTTGTTAAACATTACAGAGGTTACAAAGCCTACAAGCGAGGTTCAGCAACCTACGGAAACTGCTAAGCAGGAATCTCCGCCCTCTGTGTTTAAGAACTCAGAACCAATACGGGAGGATCAAATTCAGAACGCCATCAAGTTCCTTTCTCACCCGAGAGTTAGGGGCTCGCCTGTAATACATAGAAGATCGTTTCTCGAGAGGAAAGGCCTCACAAAGGAAGAGATTGACGAAGCATTCCGCCGTGTTCCTGTAAGCATTCCTCCTTACTCTTCTTGGTTGTAACTTTGTCCATTTCTCTTTCTCGTCTTGATAACATGAAAAGAAGCTTCCTTTTTTTTTCTTCAATGGCTTACCTCTGTAAAAATCTTAATCATAGGACCCACCACCAAGTTCACAGACAACTATTAGCAGTCAAGGTAAATGAGCAATGACATGTATTTGGTTGTTACCTTTGAATTGATTACTGGACTTTTCAGTGGAGTTGTAACTTATATGTATGAATTTTTGTATGTTACAAGCAGATGGACAGCAAGCAGTGTCTAATGTTCAGCCACAAGGGCAGATACAAGCCACGCAGCCTGCTCCTGCGCCGCCCGTTGTCATGATTCCGCCTCCAAGTTTTCTCTCCCGCTTTCGATGGTACCATGCTGCTCTTGCTGTAGGAGTTTTAGCGGCTTCTGGTGCCGGAACAGCTGTTTTCGTAAAGGTACCGTCGACCTGAAACGCCTTTGTTATCTCCATTTATGGGCAGAGTGTTGAGCTCTTTGTGTTGTGAGATTTTTCTTAGTACGTCGAATAATGGGATAAGATAGTTTGGCTTAGCGAATGAAGCTCATACCTCTCATTCTCCATTTCAACTTGACCACCAGAATATAGTTGCCAAGAACTTTCATGAAAACAATCTACAGTCATCAAAAGAGTTTATTAGATTGTTGGAAAGTTGTTTCTCCCTGTCTGGATTTTAGCTATTTCTAGATGTGTGTTTAATTTGGAATGCAAGCTATATAGTATTAATTTCCTTATACAAAATCAAGACCATATTGAAGTGATATTTGTTCTTGTTTCAGAAATCGCTCATCCCCAGATTAAAATCGTGGGTCCGCAGTATTATGTTGGAAGAAGAAACTGATCCTCTGAAGAAAGCTGATGCAAAACCTAGCTTGGCTGAAGAAGCAGTAGCTGCAGCCAAAGCTGCTTCTGCGGCTGCTTCGGATGTAGCCAGGGTTAGTCAGGAAATGATTAAAACGAAGGGTGAAGGTAGTGTTATTTCTGCAGTTTTAATCTAGACCTGAGTTTCTCTTACTTCTTTTTTTCTTCCTTTTCCACTGAAACCAATACTGTGCATTGTTTCTTGTCAGAGAAAAAGTATTTTGAGGACTTGATGCACCTGTTAGGTGTCCAAGTACAAGAAATGAAGTCCTTGAGCAATAATATCCGTATGCTCGAAGGTAAGTATTCAAGCTTTACTGATCTCCTCCTGGTATACATATTCTTACATCTAATTGTGAACAAGAACTCTTTTATCTGTAGCCATATAGAGTATAGGGTCTAGGTGTCTAATGTTTGGTTGATCCTAAGAGCCACTGTTAAAGCTTCTTGATCTAAAGAGTAATATTCGATTTCCACTTCTTCGTTTCAGGTAAATCGAACAACCTCCCAAAGATTTATTCAGCTGACCAAGACGTTTATGGTGGCTCGGTCACAGCTCCTGCAGCAAGGGTGAGTTTGAGGTCGAAGGTTTTGGAATAATAATTGATACATAGAGTAAATGATCCACAAACAGAAAGAAAACCCAAAAGCACTTTTGTTTATCGAACTCGAATGTAAAGTAGCAGAATCTGAAACCAAAACACCCCAAAGAGAACAAGTCTCTACCCTCAGTAATCAACTGTGAACTTGATAATACAGTCGTTTTGGTAATAACATTAGGAACGTTGTTGATATGTGATGCAGAAACCCTACGCAAATGGCAGCAATGTTGATTATGACGCGCGCTCAGGTTACATCTCTCTCTGGCTCAATCTACGTCATGTTTTATTGTCTTTGAATGAGGATATTCTCTCTAACTAATTAATAATAATACAGCACGATCTGCTTCTCCTCCTGCGCCACCAGCTGATTCATCTGTGCCGCCTCATCCAAAGTCATACATGGATGTAATGTTCTGAAATCTCTAAAGTTCGCTGCAGAATCATGGGTTTATATTGAATCTTAACCCTTTGAATTGCATTTAATCTTCGTAATATTTAGTCGAAAATTGGTGATGTTGCAGATTATGTCTATGATCCAGAGAGGAGAGAAGCCTTCAAACATTCGGGTAAATTGAAAACTAATTTCTTCTTTGCACCATTTTTAGACTATTGTGACAAACTTATCGCAATGTCACTGAAATACAGGAGATTAACGACATGCCACCCAATCCGAATCAACAGCTATCAAATCCTCGCGTCGCTCCTAAAACTAAGGTACAAACTGAAATGTTGATCTAAAACCAACATTTTTTAATGAATCTTGCTCGATTTTGTGGTTATATGTAAACTTTTTTTTATAGATTTTCTGACTACCCATCTTCTCTTATTATTATCAGCCATGGGACTATGGTCAAGCACCGCAAGACGAGAGTTCCAACGGTCCATGGTGGCAACAGAAAAACCCGAGATCCACTGATTTCGGCTACGAGACAACAACAATGGCGCGTTCCGTGGGTATCCAAAACGAAACGAGTACAGTGGAACCAGCAGCTCTTCAGAGGCAGCGATCATGGGTTCCTCCACAACCACCTCCAGTTGTTATGCCAGAAGCAGCCGAGGCTATTCGTCGTCCTAAGCCACAGGCTAAGATAGACCAAGAAGCACCTGCTAGTGATGACCAGTCAGGTTTGAGCGATGAGTTACAGAAGATCACCAAGTTCTCTGAGTCTGGTGGTGGTGATGAATCAGGAAGATTGCAGATTTCAGAGATTCAAGAAGAAATAGAACAGCAACAGATCATCCAAGAAGGGAACTAAAAAATATATTTAGGGTTGTCTTGATACAAACACATTTCCTGTGGTACTCTTTTTTTTTTAGGCTTGGTTGTAAGAGAACATAGTGTTTGGGATTTATCACCAACCTTAATTTAATAATGGTTATAAAAAGAAAACAAAGTCAAACCTTGTTACACAAGTAATATCAGTCATTGGATTGCTTGCCTTATTTTCAAAATATACTGAAACTTTTATCACACAAAGAGCAGCAAGAATCAATCACTACCATAAGCTGTTTTCTAAGCTATAAGAGAGACTGTACAAAGACAAGGGTCACATTTGGTCTCAGGCGGCAACACAAAGGGGGATAAATTAAGAGGAAGCATGAGTGAAGAGCCTGTATGAGGAAATCAAAGCGCTGAACGCAAACGCCCCAAACGCTATAAACGAAACCGCGATGGAAGCTGTTGCCATCTGAGTAAACTCATCTTTGCCCCAATTCGAAACCCAGTCATCAACTCGCGTAGCAGCGCATGAAGAAGCCGACATCAGAAGATATGCAAGAAGCTAAACCAGCAGCAGAAAAACCAAAAAAAAAGGCTCATCAGAATCAATCTTGATCATAATGCTTGATCACAGATGCAAAATGTTTAAGATCTCACTTGATCCATGGAGAAAACGAATACGTCGTGAAATCCGTTGTTTATCATATAAGTTTCTTTGGCGATGTAGCAAGCAGCGTCGCAAGCTTCAAATGCAGAGTAAACGAATGCTATTACGTTCACAGCCAAACAATACCTGCAGAAATTTGTGTTGAATCCTGATTAAGATTTAAAAGCTCTAAGCTCAAGAAGGTGTTAGAAGATAGGAGAAACTAGATCGAGGAGAAGAGAGACCTGTACTCTTTGTAGCGATCATAGGAATCGCCACTCCATCCTTGAGTTTTATCAGCCGCCATGATTGAAAACGAGATCACGCACAGAATTACTTCGCTCACTCTAAACCCTAGCGCCGCCAGGCTCACCAATCCATCCCGGCTTGTTCTGTTTACCGTCGTCGTCGCAGATTCTCCGCCGTTCGTCGGGGGTCCAACTTTCCTCGTCGCAGTCTGTGGACCGTCCTCTCTTACCCAGCAATTTGTCACCACCATAGACGATGGAGACTTATTCGAAGAAGAATTCACCGGGACTCTCGAATTTCTCTGATGCCGCGACGGAAACTGAGGAGGAGGCGGCGGAATCGGCGAGGAAAGAGGCGTAAACTGCGAGAACTTTCCGTCGGTTACGATCGCCTTCGGGTTTTCGATTTTGAACGGAGATCCCTCAGGCGAAACGTAACGGCTCTCCGGTGGATCTCCGGCATCTGATAGCGGAGAATGAAATCGAAGAGGAGAGAGTGGTGATTCGATGTAACTCTGTGCTTCCGAGTTCGATGAGGTAGTCCGCTTCATGGTTCACCGTCTGATTCGATTCTCCGGCGAAAATTGATTTGATGAGCCTTTGTGTGTGTGTGTGCTATGTGCAGTGAGAAAGTGAAGGAGAAAAGGGAACTTTAACTCTGTTTTCATTGTTTTCCCGGCAATGAAAGAAAAAGGTGCACTGGACCCCACTTTGCATTTCTTCGTGGAGAATTAAAACCCTCTGTGATCCAGTGTGACGCATGTATATTGGTAGTACCTGCACCCAGATATTATTAACCAATAGCCTTCCATCACGTGAAATTATGACGCAATCATAAGATGTTTACGTTTTTTTCTTTTGCATGTGTTTGTTGATCTTCGTTGCTCTTCGTTGCTCTTTTTACCATCCATAAAGATTCCATGTTAAAGTAATAGTATATCAGCTTACTAAATTTATAATATATATACATTTGTTTCACATAAATACATTCTTTTTATGAATCCAATCGTTTTTTATATATATTACACTTCAAACCAAAAACATAAGCCAATTCTCGAATAAAAATCAGCACAAAAGTTAAAGGAAGTCTAAGGAAAACACATAAAGAATATACACCAAGACGAAGACGAAGCTAAAGTAACGCATCATTGATCTCTATCAGTTATTTTTGTTTCAATCTTGTCAAATCTTTTGTAGTTTTCCGAGCTTTCCCTTTTGAATCAAATGTCTTCTCCCTTTAAATGAAAATCAATACATTACAAACAAACAAAAAAAAGTAATATATCAAAAGCATTGTTTTGCCTTTTGCTCTTTGTTTAAAGCACAAAGCAACCCACCCACTCCTATTTTTTCCCCTTTTTTATTTTATTTATGTCTTTAACATATGAATCTTTTACAATCCATCGTCAGTCGTCACAACACTTTCTTTTTTTCTTCTTACGGTCATTTCTTTTTTATAGAATAATCGATCACGAAGGCCGTTCTTGAGTTCAAATCAGATGAAAGCACATTATCCAAGTTATTATAAAGAATTAAGTCCAAAATATTTAATTTCGAAAAGATAATTTTTTGTAATAACTTAATTAGATTCGTACAGTATAGGTTGATTCTCTCTATATGGGCAATTCTTGTTTCTTACAAAAATGTAGAACCCAAAATCGTTTTTCCCCCTTAACTTTTACCCAATTAGTTCATTTACAGTATCCTCTTTTTTGACATTTAACATAGTTACAGGCCACAGCTCAAAACGTTAAAGAATATCAGTTGAAGATATATATTTTTTTTTTACAAAAGAGATAATATAGCTCACCTTCGACCTCATTATAATTTCCATAATTTAAAAATTTGAGTTAAATTATCAATTTTAGATAGAGATAATTAAAAAAAAAATGTAATGCAACCATAACATATTATAATTCAAACTATAACACATTTTTTTTATAAACAATGCATGATTGGCAATCATTTTGAGTTATGGATCTAATTCAAAGCAAACCAGAAGATACCACATATTTTAATGTTGATTAATTCGCATCATTTTTTATTGAAAGTTTATTTTACATATTTTTGGTCTGCGTTTATTGGATATGACTTTTATTATATGATTGATCTTTGTTTTTTAATATTATTATAAGTTATTAACGGTTTAAATAATACGTCGATGTTGTTAATTAAATATGTTTTTAGATTATTTGATTAGATTTTAATCAATACTTTGATCCGCGTCATTCTTTTTGATTGAAATCTTAAGTTTCGGGAGAAGACCAAAGGTGGAGAGACTACCAACGACATTCTTGGACATTTAATTAACCCATTACATGTAAGTTGAAAATATGTTTGCAAGATTTTTAGTTAATATTGTGCAACGCTAGTTCAAATATGAAAACATATTTTTAAAGTTAGTATTGTAGCATACTTGAAAAACCAAAATATGGATATTGTTTAGTATTTTTAGATGTTTAATGTGATTTTTGTTTCAATAGTTGAATTACGAGATCTTTTTATTTTTCGAGATTCAACACCACAAGCACTTTTATCTTCATCTTTTGTGTGTTTTTAAGTTTGAATTTCAAAATCTAATAAATGAAAATGACTGAAGTTGATAAGGCAAAATTGTTTTACTAGAAAATTTATGGTAAAACGTATTACTAAAAGAAAACTCCAAACACCAAAAAAACCACATTAACATATTTCAAAAATAAAATATCACCAATTATTATTATGTAGATCTTATCAAAAATTAGAGGAATGCAATTCAACATACATGGTAAATTTATAAAAGAATCCAAAGTAATGGTTGATTCCACCAATTTGTCTTGCTTTAAAGTAGTGTCAACCATTTGCATAAATATTTCACCAATGGAGTTGGAAAGAGAAGAATAAAAGCGACAGCTTAATTTAAATTTATTTAAAAAGTGGAAGGAATCAATTAGATTATACAGGCCTGTTGTATCAATCTCTGTAACTCTACATTTTTTTTTTATTAAGTAATGAACTAAGTTAAATTTAAGTAGAATGTACTACACTTGCATGGAAGTGTAAAATTAAGCTTCAAAATCATGGTTAAATCACAATAGTATATATGTATTATAAAGAAAACGTATTGAGAAAATGAAATTAGTCACAGTTTGGTGGGTTTGTACATTTATACACAGCAGAAGCAGGTTGCTTATACACACGGATGCTGTTTGCGTCCAACAGTCTTACTTCTCCTGGTCCAAAATACAACTCCGAGTGCCTTCGAAGGTCGAGGCCCTGAACACCAGCTTGCAACACAGATAAGTTGTCTGAATCAGGCGAAACAATGACGATCGTGTCCTCTGAGTACTGAGTCTCGAGAATGGACATTAGCTGCGTCACACGCACGAATACATCCGAGACACTCTCGTTGGGCGTACCGTCGCTTATAGGAGGAGGTTTTGTCTTCATGGATATTGAGTCTAATGCATACACCTGCAAGAAAGAAAGAAAACCCGCGTTATATACACTTCTTCAACCCGAGTTTTTGTTTCTTACTTGTGATAATGCTAAACCTTACTTCTGATATGGAATCTAGCTTCTTGCCTTCGTAAGCTCCCAAACCACGAGCATCAAGGAAGCTATACTCGGGAACTATGTAGCTGTTTGAAAACCAAGTAAACACACTTACCATCACAAAGATCCGATTCCACAGATATATTTTACCTCAGTAAAGAGTAAGACTACTATCTTACCTGCGACTAATTCCATTGATGGAGGCGATGATTTCAGCAGCCTGATAAGCTCTCTGAGTAATGGAAGGCCAGAGCCAACAGTTACGGTCACAGGCTCCCATTGACTTCAACTGTAACGCAGCTCTCACCGTCTGCTTCTTACCTTTCTCTGATAATCCGCTATCGACCGATGTTTTGGCCACCGGGTTTGTGTTGATTATCCCCAAGCTTTCGTAATCCGATTCCCCAGCTCTCACTAGGTAATATCTTGTTTCAAGAAAAGACGTTTTTGTTATTAGCTCACCAAGAACAAGAACCACATGAAGAATTTGGAGTCTCACTAATACAAGACAGCTTAGCAAAAAGAGCATTCAATGTCTGAAGTCTAATTCCGGTAAGTATTCCAAACCTAAAGCGATCAGCTTTTTCTGCCTACGGAATTTTGTAAAACCGAGAGAAAGCAAAGAGCTGAAGATAGATACATATTGATGCACATTGCTGTATACACACTAAGATTTGAAATGAGGGTTAGTACCGATTAGAAAGCCGGAGAGGCGGCATTTGAAAGAGGCCTCGTGCGTGGGCTGGTGCGACGGTGGAGACGGAGAGTGGCTGTGCGGCGAAACATAGTGAGAGGGTCTTGAAAAGTTGTCGGCGGGTAATCTGCGGCGATGAAAGTAAATTCAGAGATGATCGGTAGGTTTCCGGCAACGGAGGAGGATGAGCGGTGGTGGCCGCCGGCGATGATGATAACATAATTCAATCGTCATCTCAAACAGAATCTCTGGTCCTCCGTGTTTTAAGCCTCATCTCAAAACCACATTCCGGTTTATATTATTTGGTTCGTCTCTACAATCGAATCGGATAAACCGGTAATATTTTCAACTGCGAATTACGTATTTACCACTCACGTAAATGACAAATCTGTTAACCAATAGCCTTGCATTACGTGAAATTATGAGGCAATCATAAGATGTTTACGTTTTTTCTTTTGCATGTGTTTGTTTGATTTTCGTTGCTCTTTTTACCATCCATAAAGATTCCCATGTTAAAGTGATATATCAGCTTACTAAATATATAATATATATACATTTGTTTCACATAAATACATTCTTTTTATGAATCCAATCGTTTTTTCTATATATTACAATTCAAACCAAAAACATAAGCCAATACTCGAATAAAGAACAGGATCATGTACGAGAAAGTAGAAGACATAATTATGAGAATCTTCTTGAGCAAAGATGTTGGATTTGAATCCTCTGATATGGAGACAGCATCAACACAATTGTTGTAAGCAAGGTCCTTCTCTTTGATTTGGGATCTCGTTTCTTCAAGTTCTACTTCAAGTTTTTTTACTGCTTCGCCAAGCTATATATAGAAAAGGTTGGCGGGATCGAAAATGTGAATATGTGCCTCAAGTACCAAAAAAAGGCAATATGAAACTGACAATTTAGCTCAAGATATGAATAGAAGGTGGAGGTATAAACCTTGAGATACTCATTCTGTTCAGCCCTCTTCAGGAATAAGGACAAGTCATACGTTCTTAGCTCCAGCCGTGCTTTAACATCTGTGACTTTCTTTTGCAGAGGCTGAAGCTCTTTGATCTGAGATGCAGAGCCGTGCCTAAAGGTTTTAAGGCTATAGGCAAAATTAAAAAAAATAGTTGCATGTAATATATACATATATAATACACAGAAGTGTAGATGAAAAAAGTTAATAAAGATGCTAATAAACAGAACAAAAGAAAAAACAGAAACAATGAATAATATGAAAAATCAATTATTGAGAACACAAATCTAATATTTTTTTTTGAAACTTACTATATAATTTAACAAACTAGGGTATAGATTTACATAATTACTTTAGACATTATATTGATAGACTGGTTTTAATTTTATGGAAAAAATATTAACAAATAAAAGAACTATCACATAAATATAACTATAAATTTTGCTCACTAAAATCTGTGTAAAATTAATAGACATAGGCGAAGATTTCTTTTTTCTCTACATAGGCACGTCCTGCTGAGATGTCAAGATAAACAAGCACGCTACATTCAATAATGCACTTCATTACTGAGACATGAGGAGCCTAAAAAGAGCAGCCAGAGAGCATGACAAAGTTTCATACAGTTTCTTTGTAATATCGAAAAATGCCAAGCACGCCTGTTAAAGAAAGGACAGTTCTCGCACCCAGGGTCCCTGAACTGTTGAACGAAAATCAAACACCGAGAACGATACAAAAGGAAACGGAGATGAAAAATTAAAACCCTAACAGAAACAGTGATAGAATCGAAGAGACTTGGTCATAGGTTTTCACAAGTCGGCAGCGAAGACTAAGCTCGTGGCCAAAAGCTAGTCCGAATTTCACCTTTCTAAATTTCTCTCCCCAAATTCATCCAGTTTCTTGTTAGATTATTTTATAAATTAAAGTCTAAGGAAACGTGTCTCTTTATTGTTGATTAAATTCTAAGAGAACGTGTCTCTTTACTGTTGATTCAGAAAGGCTTCTATTGCTGCCTCTGCATGATGAGAGGTTTAATGAACGACCATTGAAACATGAGAGAAAACTTGCAGATAATCCAACGGGACAAATACATTAATGCATTGAAGGGATTTGATTAAAATATTTTCATAGCAGAGATTACATAAAACGATAGGATAGTTATGGAGATTATATAAAACATAAAGATAAACGCTAGGATAAACTCTCATCTACAACTCAATATTTTTTCATCATCTTCTTCTTTCCCTTCCTGCAGCGGTTCAACTTACTCTTCTGCTCCAGCGTTAGCGACATCCGGCCAGGGACGTATTTATCGGGAGTAGGATACTGCTTAGCTTTAGCGGGACCATTAGAACTAGAGACATCTTCAACATTGTTGTTGTGCAACGTTAGTTCAGATGTTGAAAACATATGGCTTACTTAAAATGTGAAAATATTAGTATTGTTTAAGGGATGTATTAAAATTAAAATTTTAGAGAATTCAAAAAGATTAGAGTTCTAATAAAAAATTTAAATGATTTTATATGGATTGAGCAAGTTAATATGACTTGATATTAAAATTATATGAGATTTCACCAAAATAATATAATTTAGTTTTCTATATTTTTAACTAATAAACTCCACCAAATCATTTAAAAGTACTTAATATTTTTTTAAAATCCACTAATTAAAATATTTCTAATAACATTGGATTTGATTTAAATTTTAAAAATTATTGATTGAATAACATAGAAGTTTAAGTGATGTTAATTGGTTTTATATAAATATCATGTTCAATACATAGATTTTGTTGAGATATTTAAAATCTTTAGTTGAATAATATGAAATTTTAAATAATCACAATTTTTAAAAAAATTCAGTTTCAATACATCGTTCTTAGTGTTTGTAGATATTCAATATAATTTTTGCCTCGATAGTAGAATTACGAAATCTTCTTATTTTTGAGATTTTCAACACCACGTACATTTGCATTTTCATTTTTGTGTTGTTTGTGAGTTTTAATTTCAAAATCTAATAAATGAAATTGAATAAAGTTGATAAGCAGCAAAATTGTCTGACTTTTATAAAAGAATCAGACAATGAACTTAACTGAAGCTCGTAATTGGGCTAAAATTCTAGGTTAAAATTGATTCCGATTAAATCAAGGTTAAACCGTAAATTTTTGGAACTGTGAAATATATTTTTACCCTTACGTAAATGACAAATCTTACTACTCCTCAAATGAATACTATTCAAATTTCAGGTTCATATTCTACAAGAAGAACCGGCCAGAAGCAAAACAAACCGGCAAGGCTAAAACAAGAGAACCTCTGTTTATTTCTCTGTTCTTACTTAACATCAATTATATTTGACGAGTTTGTTTTTGTCCTTTACAGCTTACAAGAAAATGTTATGAAATAATCTAATAAAACTTTGATTAAAACTGTAATTGTAACAAATTACATAGGTTCAACTTGCCAAAGTTATATAATCATTTCAACAAAAAAGTGGAACCTCTTTCTTTCTACTCAAGAAAACTTCGAACTTCGGGGGTTCCACTTCTTCTTCTTTTTTTTTTTTGTTTCTTCATAGGCATCTCTTCTGATTCTATGTTGACCTGACGATGAAGCTGGTAATGACCAGTGGACGATGATGCTTTCGTAAAACATAAATTAAATAAAAGGAAAAAGTGCGAGCCATAGCTGCAAATTGTCAAGCTCGGCCAAGCTCGATTTCAGCATTTGAAGTGCCCTTTTCTTTCTCGTCATCTTCATCGTTCCAGTTAGTTGTTTTATAGTAAGTTACGTATAATAAAAGCTGGATTATTCCTGATAGGGATCCAAGACCATTTGGAATCTGTTTTCATGAAATGAATCGATACATATTAGCTCTTTAAGAATAAAATAAAAATAAAAAAAAAAAGTATATCGATTGAGTTGAAAATTGTTAGGGTGAAAGATAAAGCTTACCAAAATATAGGGGTCGAATTTGAGACATGCATAAATGACCCAAACAACACCGTTCATGAAATTGGCTAATGATAGGAAGAAGGGCATGTACTTCACGCTCTTTGTCTGTATCACTCGTTTCTGTTCCCACATTAAATGTTAGTTCACAAGACAACAAGAAAGAAGAGAACAAAAACAATTTTGATTAGTCTAGATTCTTCTTCATGAAACCGGCGGTTACGAAATTTCGAGATAAATTCATTGAGTCATATAAAGCAACTTTGGATACCAAATATAATATTAAAGAGAGAAACGAGAAAGAGGATAGAGCATACCATGACGGTTAAAGGAGCAGCATACATGATAATATTGAAAACAATGCACAAGATCCCAATAAGCATAGATCTCTGTTTCGTTGTATGCAAAAAGTACAATGTGCAGAAGATCACCACCGCCATGAATATCACCTCGACCACCATAGCTATTGTGATCTTTTTCTGTATAAAAAAATCAAAAACTGCATCAAATAAACATATTACATGCAAAAGTTATGCAAATCAGAGACTATAACAATTTGGGAGAATCAATTCGGGGGATGAAACTAATTAACCTTATATAAATAAATTAAAAGCATTATCGTGCATGCGTGTTGACATTGGGGGATTAAAAGCTTACGCGGACGGAGGAGGAAGCGAAGACGAAGAAGATGGTGACATAAACGAGTTCCATGAAAAGACCAGTTCCATTGATGGTGATGACGAGGAGACTGTCGGGCTGGACGAACGGAAGTCCGTAAAAAGTCCACATCATGCAGTTTAAAACCGTAGCTACGTACGGATCTGGCTTAAACTCCGACACCGATTTCATCTTCCATATCTTCACCATCGTTGGTCTGCACAATTCACCACATGCATTTGAGTTAACATATATCATGCAAAAGCAAACAAACAGAAGATGTAATATGTGTCTTACATTGGAGCGCAGAACAAGCCGAAAGAAATCACGTTTCCTGAAAATATAACCAAAACATCAAGAAATTTAATATATGCATTAAAAAAAAATTTCATTCGTTAACAAATAAAAAGGTTTTGTTTAGCTGATCGAACAAATCTGTGTGTTTTTTTGTTAGATTTTGTCGGGATCGGGAGGGGATTACCGATGATTCCGACGATCGTCCTGGCAGCGTGGGCGTCCGTCATTTTGATTTTGTGTCTTTCGAAAATTCTTGTCTTTTACAGATTTTAGAGAAAGAAAATGTGAAGAGAAAAGATTAATTAATATTCGATTCTTCTTTTCGATGGTTTGATCTTCTTTATATATCTGATTTTCTCTAGTGTCTTGCTTTTTTTGTTTTGTAATAAGTTTTGTTTGTTTGATGAAACAGTTCAAAATTTTTTGTTTTTGGATATGGTTTCTGGGTTCTGTTTATGTTTTTTTGGTATTTGGATTATTTTTGGTTTCTGTTTTACCAACAAAAAGGAAAAAAATGGGTTTTAATATATAGTGAGTCTGTGAATCAGCAGAATCTGGGTGTAAGTAACAAACGCATGACACGTGTTTAGAATATGAACCATGAAGCACGTTGACTCCGCTCGTACCCCATGCATGAGAAACACCCGGCTCTTCACTCGCTCGCATTCACACACACTTCTCAAACATTAAATTCTTCTCCCATTTTTGTTATTTTTCTTTCATTAACAAAAACATTTCATCTATGTGTTGCACTGCGACATATTCTTATTTTTGCTTTTGTAAGCACTTCACTCGCAAATCTCATTGTCTGTTCATGATTTTCCTTTAATGGGGGTTGGGCTTTTAATGTCTAAAATACATGGGCCATAAAACTTTGCTTTCTTTTCCTTTTTATGCTTTGGAATTTCCAGTATAATTATAGTAATTAACACACACAGAAAAAAAAGGAAAAGTCATAATTTCTAGTACTACTAGGCATCCGGTTATAGACGTACCGGAGATAAATTACGAAAAATATAGCAGCAGCTCCTGTGATGGGTTCTTTGGGTATGATCCGGTTGAGAAACAAGTTTTCACATGAACGGGAGGTCCAAAGAAGCAGCAATGGGAGAGCCTTGACATCCAAGGCACTTGGAAGCACTCTCCAGCAGCAACGAGTAATGGTTTATGCATCAATGGGATTATCTATTACATAGCACATATAGAAGAAGGAATGCAATATCCGTTATCCAACGAGCTAGTGTGGTTCGACATTAGGTGCGATAGATTTGATCATATCCAGATGCCCATATCTCTGCAGCTGGAGGAATTGACTTTGATGCATTAGTCACTCACAGCAAGAAAAGTGCAGAGATGTGGATCATGGAAGATCGTCACCGTGATAGCGAGAAACAAGAGTGGTCTAAGATTATATTGTCGTGCTTGCCTCATTCTGCACGAGATGGCCATTGCATCGCTGGTGTCACTCCTAATGGTGAGATTGTGACAATGCCCAAGAGATTGGAATCTGCTCAACCTTTCTTCGCTTACTCTTACGATTCGAAGCAAAGCGAGATTGTCTATTTCCAGTTCAACAACGAAAAACAAATAGGAGAAAAAGGAAAGATCTTTTTTTTCCTCTGGCTCTATGTAAAATAAATGATTTTTTTTTTTGTGTATGTGTGTTTGGGAAAGAAGCTTAAAGTTTATAATTAAGCAAATGACATTCTTTGGTCAATATCCCATATTGTATCTTTTATCAACATCCATATGGATATTCTCTCTTTCCTTAATTTTTTCTGTTTTGACTGCTGGTATTCTTCTTTCGTATGACCCGAAAGTGAGAAGAAAAACTTCAATTCAAAATATTTTTTAATTGTTAGAAAATATCCTATTAGAAAAACTTTTTAAAAAATCTAATAATTTGAGGATTATGGTGCCATGTCTTTTTCTAAGTCGATAATTATCAAACTATCAATTAGCACTTCAGCAGGAACGTTTTTCTCTATAAAATTTATAACTTTATTTTATCAACAGCCTTAGCTTTAAAATTTATAATTTATTCATACATATATATAAATATATATTTCCATTTTCTCATAAATATTATTTTTTTGACTTTTCTTAGAATTATTCATGGTGCTGCTTCTTGTAAAATTATTAGGAGTACTATATACTGTTTATCCTTATTCCTTAATCATAACAATAGATGATAGGGGGTAGAAATTAATAATTTGAAATTATTGGTCCACACATTTGTGTTTCGAAACCGTCGAATATTTTTCTAATCTAGCTTTATTTTATTCCATTAAAAACATATATTTATACATTATATTACAAGTATATATGAAGCCAATAATAAGTTCGCTAACAGCTACAAGTTCAACCAATTTCAATTTCACCATTATTGACCAAAAAATCCTTCTCCCAGTTTCCGCCATGGAAGTTGTGCAATCGGACCCAACCCAGGATCCAGAAACCCGGTACGATCCACGTTGCTGCTCGTGTTTCCCCAGCTTCCGATCAAGAAGCTCCACTGCCGTTGGATACTCTGCCTGGGGACGAATTCGAACCGTCGATGATAATCACAGCGGCGACCACGGCGACGAACCACAGTGGTGGAAACGGGCGGCTCTGAAGATCCGAGAGTGGTCTGAAATCGTAGCTGGTCCACGGTGGAAGACTTTCATTCGGCGATTCAATCGCGATCCACGGCGCGGCCGCGACTGGGACGCAAGCGAGAAATTCCAATACGATCCGTTGAGTTACTCTCTAAATTTCGACGACGACGACGAAGACGAATACGTCGGACTGGGTGGATTCCGAAGCTTCTCCACTCGCTACGCCTCTGTTCCGGTCTCCTCGGGTAAACCTCCGGCGATTTCGCCGCCGTCTTCGTCTGCGTTGACCCCGCGTAAAGAGATCATGGAAAGTTAGTGGGCGCGTGTACGAAACGCGTTTGCGTTACTGGCGGCGGCGGCGGAAAGGCTGTCAAATGGTTGACTGTTTACGCTTTTGGGGGTTTGTCGCGTTAATTGCGTTTCCATTTTTAAAAAATACGATCAACTTTGAATTATTTTATTTATCATCGATTTTGTTTTCTGGCATTATTTTGTTTCTTTTTGGAAATACTATTAAATTTGAAATGCTGATATAATGATGTAAACTAGCTGTAAATGTATGTGGATGTAATATTGATGTTAATCATATTGTTTAAACAATTAATTATATAATTAGTTGCTTGGCATGATTTGTGTATTTTTCATATTCTACTTGATTTTTTTAAATTCCACTCAAACCCCATTTTATTCAAATAATAACCAGTGACAGTTGGTTTTGTAATTTGTCGTAGCCTGAGACTTGTCGTAGCCTGAGACTTGTATCTCACTTGGATAGGCTCAGCTGAATTAAAACCCCTTCGAAGAATGGAGAATATACCATTGATTCCATTTCTTTATTCCTACTATTTCAAATTCAAGGATTTTGATTCATAGATACCCGGGTCGGGTCGGGTAGGGTCGTTTCGGATCCAACAGAAATTTGATGTCCGTTTCTAAAAAATCAAACGCGGCCCATATTTAGTTATCAGCCCACTGCTCTAGTAAGGATTCACTACACGCGTTTAAGATAGGTAAATATACGTGAAAATGCAAGAAAAATCCACTTATCCGATCTTTTACAAAAACAATCACTGTTAGCAAACTCAGTTATGCAAAAACAAAAAGAAACTACAATTTAATAAAGTTACACATAAAACTTATATTAACTTATGTGCTGATTGAATAATTGTTTACTAAAGTGAAATAATCTATATATTTCATAGTTTTTTGTCGTTGTATTGTATTATTTAAGCAGATACCTTATCTTATTAATATATATTTTGGAGGTTTTTGGTGGGAAAAACTTGTAAAATAGTAAAATAATAAATACACCTGTAGACTGCCCCGTGGCCAGCCCGTGGTCCTCCTTATGAACACCTCCCTAATTAACATACTTTCTGCATTTTATTTCATATATATGGTGGTTGCGTCGATATTGTCGTGGGTATTACTCCAATAGTTAACTCATATTATAGATTTTATATATAACTTATAATCATAATATCTACGGCTTTTGGTAGATGTCCTCACAAAGTTTGGCTCCAGCATCCACCTATATATTATTATTTAAACACATGTAACACAGTACATTTTTACTATTTAAACCAGAACTGTACAATCTCTATCCATTAACAAACAAAAAGGAATTGTTTGGTAGGAATGTTCGATTTTAATATACAAAAGTTGCTATGATCGTTTGTGAATCTTGGGAATTTTTATTGCTGGTTGTTGCCAACGAAACTCTTGTTGGCCGATTTTATATTATTATTGAGTTAAATTCGATGATAAGTTTTTGTAAATGTAGGTCCACATAAACGGCTATTTTATCCAAGTATATAGTAAATGAATATCCTAAAATAAAACTGGCCTTATATAATTTAGAAACAGTTTTAATTATCTGTATATATTGTTTTAATTTAATTTGTATATTTTGTTTTAATTAAAGAAACATTAATATGTAATTGTTGAAATGTTGGTTTACATATGACAAGTAGGATGAAAAGTATAATTTTATTATGCATAGGAAAAGAATTTACTATATATTTCTTATACAGTCATGCATATATTGTATATATCGAGAGAAAAACAAAAATAGCAAAACATGTATTGGACACTACATGTCAATGTATGATATCAGCCATCTTCACTTGTCACTGTTGCTCAACGTGATTATTATTAACTTGCCGAATAGTTAATACTTTTACATGTGGGTTTCTATATATTAGTTGGTGGTTAATAATATTGTGGCATAGTGATAATTAATTCCCATAATGTTGTGACATAACTCTAATTCAATATTAATACTAACACACAAAAAAACACTGGTTAACAAATTCCAATAAAAATCTGCTCGTTAGACTAATCAATGAAGTAAGAATTTGGGAAAGGGAGAAGCGGGGAAGATGGATCATGTGAGTCACCACCGCTCTCCTTCTATCTTCAAAACCAAAACAAGCCAACAAACACCAATTGACAAATTATATAAATTTTTGTTTTTAATAATACTGGAAATATTGAAAAGAGCAAACAAAAAAATAAGGAAAAAGAAAGTGGAAAAAAGGAACCAAAACAAACAAAAAAAGCCATAAATTTATGCAACAAACCCTACCCTTCAATGTTCTATTGTGGGTTTATTTTTCACTCCTCTTTCTAAGTAATCACTTCATTTATCTCTCTTTTTATCTTCTTCTTCTTTTTTTTTTGTTTGCTTTTCTTGTTCTTCTTGTTTTGATCTGTGCCTGTATTGAAAAACAATGGCTTCAAGTGCTTCAAAGTTCATCAAGTGTGTGACTGTTGGTGATGGTGCCGTTGGTAAAACCTGTATGCTCATCTGCTACACCAGCAACAAATTCCCTACTGTGAGCTCTTAATCTCTCTTATCTCTCGGATTCCCATCTGGTTTCTCAGATTTAGTTAAAATTCTCGATTTTTTTATTCGGGTATCTCCATTTTGCTGATAATCTATCTGGGTCTTTCAAATTTTAGCTTCCTCTTGTCTTTAAGGTTCTTAGAATCTATCTGGGTATCTCAAAGTTCGCTCCTTTTTCTAGAGATTGTGCATGAAATAAGATCCATTTTCGAGAATTTTCTAATCATACCTATGTGTGGCGCATCTGGTTTTTTTGCAGCTTTTGTGTGTTAGTCCAGCTTTATGTTCTCTCTTTCTCCTTAACAACCTCTAAGATTCTTCAGAATTTTCTTCATAATGTTATCCTATATAATATATCTCGTTAATTTGATCTATTCGAACTATGGATTGATTTGACGATTTTGTAACAGGACTACATACCAACAGTTTTTGACAACTTTAGTGCAAATGTTGTAGTTGAAGGCACCACTGTGAATTTAGGGCTGTGGGATACTGCTGGTATGAACACTCATATCCATATGTCAAGTCCTGTGTTATGGTTGATTCGAGATTGTTGCATAGACAAAATCCATTTCATGCTTTGAAGATTTTTCAGGTGGCTTTGTGCCTTTTGAGTTTACCCTTTCTTTGGGTGTTATGTTTGTAGGACAAGAAGACTATAACAGACTAAGGCCTTTGAGTTACAGGGGAGCAGATGTATTCGTCTTGTCTTTCTCATTGGTCAGCCGAGCTAGCTACGAGAATGTTTTTAAAAAGGTTTGATTGCAAAAGATGATTCTCTTATGTTGACAACGATAAGACTCGTACGTAAATGTCGGTATCGAGTCATTTCTAATGTTATACGACTGTTCTTGTTGAGTCAGTGGATCCCTGAACTCCAACACTTTGCTCCAGGAGTCCCTCTGGTCCTTGTCGGTACCAAATTAGGTAAGAAACTGATGAGTGATGAGCATTTTTACCAACAGATTCATATGTTTTAAATTTTTACATGATTGATGTAGATCTCCGTGAAGATAAGCATTATTTGGCTGACCATCCTGGACTATCCCCTGTAACTACTGCACAGGTTTGATTTCAGGAGCCATTTCGACGCTATAGACTAAGACTGTAGATTTCATATGATTCCTTTTCTAAGGCTCTATGTATTATTAATAAACATTTCGATGTGACAGGGAGAGGAATTGCGTAAGCTGATTGGCGCGACATATTACATTGAATGTAGCTCTAAAACTCAACAGGTACATATACCGTTTACAGTGAACCGCCTTCATAGTATCAGACAACACTCTTCCCTTCGGATTGACAAAGCATTCATGGTTTACATTTTGCAGAATGTGAAAGCAGTTTTTGATTCAGCGATCAAGGAAGTAATCAAACCTCTGGCCAAGCAAAAGGAGAAGACGAAGAAAAAGAAGAAGCAAAAGTCGAATCACGGGTGTTTATCGTGAGTATCAATCTTTACAAACTCTGCATATTCTTATGAGGGATACTGATTTTAGCTTTGTGTTTTTGGGCAGAAACGTTCTCTGTGGGAGGATAGTGACTCGGCATTGATGATGACCCCCCAACATTGTCTGATTACTCTTTTAAATCCCACTTTTGAGTTTGTGTGATAAATGAGAGACTTAATATATATAGATGGAATCATGGAAGAGATTAGTAGCCTCTAATCAATCAATAGTTTACCTGGAAGAGAGAGAGAGAGTGATAGCTTCTTATTATTAACTCAAATTATGTTTTATTTGTTTCAAACCTGTTATTGCAATATATTTAGCCATTTTGTTGTACCAGAGAATAAGAAAAAGAGAAAATATGGATCTCTTGTTCAACCACAAGTAGAATCATCTACAAAAGAGTACTGACTATATAATACAAAACATGGCAGATTTTATCCCTCGAACTCACACCAATAATGCTTTAAGACCCCATCACCATTCTTTTTTTACAGCAGAACTCAAAAAACATAAACTAAACTTTCTTTTTCTTCTTGCCTTTTGGTCTGGCTACATAGATGTTAGAGAAGAGAAGGCCAAGTGTAACGCAACAAGTGTGTTGTTTTTTTTAAAGTTCACCTGTCAAAACTCTTATCTCTTTGTATGGGAGACTAGAGCAAATAAACAAAGTGATGATGATGGTCTTGGTTTCACTGAGAGTTTTATAGCCACGCTTGTGAAAATCTGAAACTGTTGGAGGTATCTACACGATGATTGTAAAACGAAGGGGTCAGTTTTTGTCTAAAGAAACTGTCCATTGAAGTCTTGACCAGCCCGATGAACGAACCCTTTGTGGCGTCGCGTCTGCTTTTATCTTCAAAGTAGCTAGCGGAACAAAGAGGAAACACAAAGTCAGAGAGAGAGAGAGAGAGTGAAAGAAACACAAGATAATAAAACGTAAAAGGCGAGAGTAAATTATGCTTGAAGATGCTTACAGTATTGTGGCGGCCTACAAAGAGATTCTGAGGTTTGTTATTGCCATGAGGATTGCTTATATCCATCCCATCCACCGTCTGGTTCCTTCCTCTTGAGAGCACCACCTGACATTTGATACATTCTTGCTTGATCATCTTTCAAAGGCAAAGAACCAGAGGAAGATAATTGTCTTTGTACAAGTGTCGCTTCATCTCTGCCATCAGTTTCATGCCCTCCTGGTCCGGAGTTTAAGTCAAGACCGGATCTAAACCATTTTGCATTGTTGTTGTCCAAAACTCCACCATTGCTACTACCATTTGGAAGGTTAACGACGTAAGGCCTCGGATAATTAGACGGGATGGCAACTCCTTGACCCAATATTTGAGAGTTGACAGGAGGGAAGCAAAGCCTGCCACTTGATGAAGAGTCCATGTACGGTGTTGAAGCACCTGAAAAATTTGCTGAGGAGAGAGGAAAGCTGGTTCCAAAAGGAAACCCAGGATACTGAAATGCTGTGGGCGGGAATGAAACTGCTGGAGAAGACAGCAAAACTGGGCCTCTGTACATATCAGGTGTAAATGAGGAAACTCCAGATGTTGGACCCACCATTCTTTGCGGTCCATTGCTGGTTATAACCGGAAAAGGCTGATCGACTCGTTCGGGCAAGACTTGAGGAATACTCATTGCCGAATAATTGTTAGCAGCAGGAAACCAAGATGAGAAGCCAGCCGCCGTGTTATCAGCATTCATTCTCATTCCAGAGATTATTGGCTGTGACGTCAAGCCACTTCGGGAATGTTGGCTAAAAACAATAGATGACTCAACATTCGCATCATCAACAGCGGGCCCATCGTTTAAATCAAAATCTCTACGACCACCAGAAGACAAGTTTGCCTGCTGAAAAGATGAGTCTACCCGATGACCACTGCTTATTGTGTGATTATTCGTATCAGTTGGATCACCAAGTCTGTTAAGATCAAGATCCAGGCCACCAGAGGAATTTGTGGGATTGGCAGATCGTTGGGAGGCCAGATCTTCAAGAACTCTCTCATCGGGTACATTTAGGTCAAAGTCCAAGAACGTCTTCGTTTGCTTGCCAGCGGTCGTAGAGGCATCAGAGGAAGACACATTATTCACGCTTAGTGGCACCACCTCCTGGACCTTTCTTGGCTCAGCTGGCCGGAAGGCGCTAGTGGCAGCAGATCCTCTCCAGCCAACAGTTGCTTTATTCCTCAACAGATCCTCCCGTGGAACAAATGCACCCTTTGCAGCAGCAGCAACAGTAATGGATGCAGGAAATCGACTGTGTTGTAAAGGAGTAGGTGTCAAAGACAAAGATCCCGAGTTATTTGAATTCACGTTTCGTGTATCATCCCCATTAAGACCTTCATTTAGGTCAAATTCCACTCTGGCTTCAATCTCTGGCCCTCCTGAAGCTGAAACTAATGGAACATCTCTGACAACAGATGTACATTCCTCCACTTCATCTCCATCAGCACCACTCACTCTAGACCCATTAGGTCTCCTACAATCTTCTGCAGGTGATACTACTTGAGGACCTGACGCCGTGGCGCAGCGTTTATCGACCTCAATGCTCTTTAGAGCCGCCTCTACATGCTCAACTTCACCGTTAGTTGCAGATGAGTCCAGACGAGCTGTCACATGCCTGTTCTGCTTTTTATCTGTTTGGCTCATATGATTAATCCCCATGTCATTGATCTTTTCCGTTACCAATCTATCCACATACGCAGCCATGCCCTTGGAGAACCCAGAAGAAACTGGTACATCTTCACCCATTTTTTTAACTAACTCAGAACTCAAGATAATCTGGGTTTTCTGCTCATTCTTGTTCTCACCTACGACGTCAGAGGGTAAACTGGCAACAGCCAGAGAGTCTACTTTAGGACACAAGTCGATAGCTTTACATTCAGCTGGTACAGAGGTTTCCACCCTTTCAGCTGTATCTGGAACCGGATCTGCCAGTGGTGTAACATCAGCCTTTCGATCGTTAACTATTCCACAATCATTACCATCGGGCATGTTTTCAGTCATCGATCTATCAACATTTGCAGTACTCATATCCCTGGCAAACTCTGACAAAGCTGATACCACTTCACCCATTTTATTAACAAGCTCGGAACTCAATACCACATTTGGTTTCTCTTCTTTCTTACCATCACCAACTACGTCCGACCGTGAATGTTCAGCAGCCGAAAAATCTGCATTTTGACTTATGCCTATGGCTTTACATTCACGGAAAACAGAGTTTCCTGTCCTTTTCGTTGCATCTGCCACTCGATCTGTCTCTGATGCAACATCAGTCTTTAAGTCACTAACTACCCCACTATCACTATCATCAGACATGTTTTCCCCAATGCCTGATGTCGGCTGTGCCGTTTGAGCAACATCATCTGAATTTTCATTGCTCTCTAGGCACTGATCCACCAACCTTTGCAATTCTTCGATTTCTGAGTCGGAGTTCTCATCAAGATCTCCCGGCTTGGAATCATTCACAATATCTAAAGCCGCCAACTGCTCACCACTACTACTGACATGTTGCTCACTGGGAACAGCTTCAGCTTGCTCGCTGGGCAAACCACCCAAAGAATTTGTGATTCGTCTTGTGTGGTTCTCTGAAACGGAATTATCATTCATCACGGAATCTGAAACCCGGGATACAGAGGGTGATGCAACAGGGGATTTCGACATTTCATCAGCAGCTACAGTAGCTAGAAGATTCATTCCAACATCATCCGCACCAGCCATACATGCACTTGCCTCAGAGTCCCTGACACAACTTTCAATCAAGGCATTCATTGAGCTGTGCGTACCACCATGCCTTTTTCCAGTTTTGACGTCATCTCCTAACGTAGGAGAAGTGGGTTTGACAATCCCTGCTACTTTACTAGAATCATTAACAGTCTTTCCGTGCTCATCACCAGCATTAACAGAAGGGGAACCAGCTACCTCATCTGAAACTGTCGATAGATTTTTTACGTCATTGTTTTGCGAAGACTCAGTATTAGCATCAGGGCTAAAATTAGCTCGATATGTATCACTCATTTCTTTCACATTTCGGTCAACCTGGTCATGTTTCTCTGAAGGCACTGGTGATGGAGCTCTGCTACTACCCGCTACAGGGTCCTCAAAGGAACCTCCACTGACACTCTGTGCCGGACTGCGACCACGTTTTGGCAGCTTTACGATCAACTTATTACTGCAACCTTCAGCCATAGGTACGTCAAGAGTCTTTTCAGGTGTAAGAGCTGATTGAGATACTTTCTCAGAAGTTGAAGTTCTTTGTGATGGGAAGCTCCTGCTCAGCCCAACTTCTCTATGGAGTGCACCAGTACTTCTTTGCTGCCCATCACTAACAACAGCAACACCAGTTCCAGGTGATGGGGCTGACCTAGTAGAACTTGGAGATGTGGTTGCAGACTTCATGCTCTGTTCTGACGGTATTTTGACAGAAACAGACTTCGAAGGATGTAGATGTGATACTGATGTCTTAGCTGCATCAGTAGATACTCCTGAATGTCTACCGCCATGAGAAACTTCAGACTGACGAGGTCTTCCAGGCCATGATGCACCCTGATTGGATCCAGACTTTGCATCCATTTCTGCCTCAACACGTTTCTTCCATGTATCAACCAAGCTCCTTGCCTTCTTCACGATTTCCGAGTTCTTATGTGATCGTAAATGATTAACAGACTTTCCAATGTTACAAGTCTGGAGAGCATTGAGATTCACAGGTAGCTTGTCAAGAGCACGAAGTAAGATCAATAGAAAATCGTCCACTGGCCTATCGTTGTCTTTGGGACTGCTCGCATCCCCAATTTTCCCTTTATGAATTTCCTGTAGCCACTCATCAAAAACAGGCAATCCCCTGAGCTGGACGAAACGACTGAGGCAGTCAAACTTGTCTGTTGCCGCCACAACGCCTGCAAGAATTGATCGGCCACTCAAGTCTATTTTCTTCTCGTTCCTCTCAGGCAGCATGAGCTGCACCAATCTCTCAACCCCTTCAGAGTCCACTAGCTTGCCTTTTTCCGTAATTTTTGCCACCTCAGATTTCAAACTGCTTTCTGTTCTCACGAAACCAGAACCACTATCATCAATCCGACTTGGACGTTCCCGTTTCACAGACTCGGAACCCTGATCTGCGCGCTCTCTCTTCCTTCCCTTACCCTGGGAAGAAAAGGAGCTGTTGTTCTGCGAGCCGTCTGTTCCGGCCTTCGCTTGCGATGTTGTCGGACTATTCATTGACCTAGGAGACCGACCATCCTGCTGTAATGTCGTATGCATCTCGGAACGAGTCTTACACAATAACTTATCTACTTCTTGTTGCCGTTCCTGCACAAGGAAAAAAAAATAAGTATCAACCACCAAAGTAAGAAACAGATACAAAAACAGCACACACAAGATACATAGTGATGATTATAGTCTCACATCGATATAGTCTTGATCAGTCAGCCACCAAATACACTCGTTCATAACATCATAAACTCGCCAGCACACGAATGAAGAGACTCCAGATGGCAGCGCAACGCCTCTTGGGAGGAAGGTAACTTTACACGGATGCAGTAAGGATGCAGCCGGTATCTCATCCTCGTGAAAGGAATAAAAGATTTCGTTCGGCTGAGCCTCCAAAAGGATGCCTTTGCCGAGTTTCAACTCTGCGGGTCGATACAGCCAATTCACACGCAGCTTTAACTTGCCTTCTTCTTCGGGAATGACCAAGCGAATCAAACCAATGAAAGGCGGGCAATCCTGAGGTGGTTTAAAGAGAGCACAGTCACCAACATTGATCCTGCGTCCATCCTGCAGAGTCACGAGAAGGTATCAAACCACAGAAACGAACACAATTCAGAAGAAAATGCACTCAGTTCTGTGAAGAAAATCGAGAATTGAAATCCTTTAATGTTTCACCAATCAAGCCAGAAACAGGTAGAAGAAAATGCACTCAATTCTATGAATTCTTCAATGTACAAAACCCAAATCAGACGAAAAAAAAAACCTCGATTGAATTGGGCACACCCATCACAAAAGATGAAACGAAAAAAAAAAAAAATGCAGCCTTGAGAAATTGGACCCAATCGATGCGAGTTTACCTTAGAGAAGGAAGTGGATGAAGAAAGAGAAAGAGACGAAGAACCAGAAGCCTCGACGCTCGAAATTACACGCGAAGGAGCTCTAAACATATGCCGACGATGACCTTTCTTCCTCTCCTCACAAACCCTCCTCCCATGCATAGCCTTCTTTCATTTTCTCCTTCGAACAACATTAATACACGACCCTCCTCTCAAAAACCTTTAGAATTTCTTCACCATCAAAATCCTCCCTTTTGAGAGAAAACCCTAATTCCGCGACGAAATACGGTGGAATATCTCCCCCTTTTAAGATTCCTAGGGCTTTCTTTTTTCCTCCAGTACCCGATCCAACCAAACCGCGAAGATCCACGAACGAGAAGAACGAAAAATCCGTAAAGAGCGAGACCAAACACAAATCGAAAACCGCCTTATTTTTCGATCCAGGAAGAGAGAGTTTTTATGAAAAAATAAAAATCGCGTTGCGAAATGAAAGAAACAAAAAAAATTAAAATTAAAAAAAAAAGAGAGAAGAAAAAAAAAAGGAAAGAGAGAGAAACGGGGCAAAAGGGGAAACTTCATTGGAAGGAGTTGGGCAGTTCGGGCAGGACATTCGGGCATCATTTGTTGTTTCAATTTTCTTTTTGGTTTTTTCAGGTGACATTAGAGAGAACACGAGCGATTTTGGGTGGAAGTGACGGGTGTTTTTTTTTTTTTTTTTGGCCTTCCCCTGTTAATAGCTCTTTTGACTTTCCCTTTTTTTTATTTTAGTTCGTTTCTATTTTCTAAATCAAAAACAAAAGTCGTCATTCCAAAAATTTCGATTTTGTTTGATTTGGATTCTTATTCTTATATTGGTAAACAAAAAAAAAATTGAATCTCATGTTGTCTTGGAACAGAACCAGGGCAATGCTTACTGCTTTTAGTTATGTTTTCTTTTTGCTTACATATTTTTTTCTTTTTGGTTAGGCAGTAATCAGTATGTATATTTTAGCAAATAAATATATTTTTATATTTCAAGTTTGTAAAACCGATCAATTAATATTAAAAAAAAGTGGATTGATCCGGTTATTCTTGCCGATTTCGGCTAGAATGCCCTGCCCTACCCCAGACATACATATATTATAATAATAATGTGATCTCTTGTCGTTACATTGTCCAGTGTCAAATCAATGTCATGAAAGTACAAGTGACAAAACATTGTCTCTATTGACATAGACATTAACTTTTTTTTGCATAAGACACTGTTACGGTAGTCAGAAGCCATTTGAGTCGTTTCCAATGACATTGTTTTCTTCACTCACCGGTTGCTCCTAAACATGTCCTACTCTGAGCAATTGAGCATAGCATATGCAGGTATCATCTCAATTAAGGCATGAAATCACTACAAATCTCTTCAGAGCGTCGCTACTTCCCAATTAAGCCAATTGTCTATATGATTTGTTCAATGTTTGAACTATAATGATTAGCTTACCAAAATCATATGATGTGCTACTTGTTTCTGTTTTTTGTTTTGATGAACGAGTTTCTATTTTGGGCTTAACAACTTTTTTTTTTTGTAATGAATTAGCATCCCTTAGTACACAGAAGAATTATGAGAAACTGTGGATTATACACTTTTTAGTATTTTGGATCAGGATCATATTGGCAGTAATAAGCATCAAACGAGAAATAGCATCATCGACGATTAGCAAACAAAAAGCCAGGAAACACTGTTGTTATAGCACGAACAATTTTTACGGTCCGAACCTAAACTAGCCACAGATATAAGAACTGAAACCATCGGATTCAAATGCTCAGAATCGATATAGAGAGAGAGTATCTGTGATACCTGGTACGAGTCGATGAAGCCGAAAAACAGAGAAAGCGAGTCTCGGAACCACTGCGCCCAGTCCCGGAGGCAGAAGTTAACAATGGAGTCAAAAACCAAAACGCTGAGTTTCATAAATTTTCAATGGGCACGAGAGCCGGTCTTACCAAACTTGGGCCTAAACTCGGCCCAGAACTAAATGTATCTTTGTCTGTTTTTCTTTTTATACTTATTCAAAAAGCACATTTTTCTGTTGGGCTGGTAAGATAAAAAGTAAAAAGAAAATAGTTAGCTTTTTCATTTGTAAAACCAGAGGATGAGGTTGAAAGATAAACTAAGCGACACTTAGACATCACGTCATAACAAATTTAGAAAAATTAAATGATTACCTATTTTATTTTTTGAGTTGGTGAGATCAATACAACCTTTTTTATTGGTATGGGTAGCAGAGAAAGACAGCATCAGGCTGGCTCGGTAGATGTAAAACCAACCATGACCCAAACCTTTCTTTTTGCTCTTCAAAATTGACATTTCTTACAATTACCTGAGTATTATAATATAGTTGTACGAAACTAACCCGGTCATATATAAGAAAAAAGCGTTAAAAGTATTAACATTATCAACGCGTGTTGAAGAAAAGTAACACTTTCAGCAATTTTTTTACCATATTAGTATTACTTTGTTATAATAAAATGTTCAATAACGCGACATTGTTGTTTATTCAGCATGTGCTGTTACAAACGTTTATTGGCAATCAAACTTGGATGAGATTGTAAATCTCAAAACTTTTGTGGAATTTTGTGGGGGGAAAGTAGAGAGAAAGGCACATGAGAGAGTTGTGTATTGTGTAATTCCCAAAGGTACGCCAGAAAGCTTCTCTCCCCCCCATCCCATGTGCTGCTCCCTCTCCCTCAGTCCCCACTTTTTTCCTTTTTCTATTTTTTTAAATTATTTCATTTCTATTTCGACCATTTTTTTATTGTCGGCTTTTAATTTCTTACAACACTTTAGTTTTATTTTAAATACTGTATCACACTTTTTAGGCCGATTTTGACTCGGTTCACACTTCAGGACTTACAATAACAAGATAAGTCAATAATACTCCCAATGCGCTGGACTACAATTAGTGGAGATTTATGTTTGTAACTACATTCCGAAACAAATTACAACATAATATCTATATATGCTTAAAAAATTTTTTTGACATCAAACTCTAAATGGTAATTAGGTAATCATAATAGTCTGATAGTAATATAAATTCATCATATTACGTCAATATCAACTTTTGACAGCAACTTGTGAGTCTCCAATCTCAATGATTATGTAGTCATTCTTCATGCTTTTATAAAAAAACTATGAAAACTCACTCTTGCGAATACTTAATTGGCTCAAATACTTTTAAGTATTGGCTCGGATACTTGATTCGCTAATTAGTGATTTATTATTAACTATACTCGTATAATGTTTCAAACCAGATTCTCAATCACGTGCGAAATTCTTTCAAACAATTAAAGTACGGAGCTTAATATCCATGCATGTGTCTGATATTCAAACTTAATTGTGTGTATATATATAATCTATGCATATTTCATTTCAAACATTCAATCTTCTTCAATCTCGTGTTGACCTTAAAGGCTATGCATGGATAACGTGTGTAAGACCCTTCACGAAAATATGCGTGAGATTTTGAATGTTTCTATTTTGGGTAGAAAAAGGTAACCGTGATCTCTATCACGCACACAACAAAAAGGTTATCGATGCTACAACAGTTGAAATCTTCCTTGCATATGTGAAAAGCATAGTTTAAACATTACTGATTTTTCTTCTATAATACTGTTTATACATGTGGTTTTCCATTCATATAGTGAAGAAAGATAAACAAAAATATACATATATATATATACATTGCAAATTGTCGGCAAGAGATGTATAAGGGTGAAATTAGGTCAAAACAGTTGTGCTAGTTATTACCATAAATTAATTTGAAAACGATGCATCACTGGTTTTGACAAAACGTCGACCTAGAACTTGTAGAAGAAACAACAGTAATTGTAATGTGGAAACTCAAAATAAACTCACCTCCTCTGAATAAGTTGTACTCAAGAAGATTGTTGCCTAAATTAAAATTTGAGTCCCATCAGCCACTGGCATATGTATATATACCCCACTAAAATCGATTACAAATATTGTTTTTAAGCTAAAGTATCTTTATAATTGTTTTGTTCGAACTTTTCGTGTAGAGATCACGGGACTGCAAAAAAAAAGGTGGACGTGACATTTATCTTTTCTGTGTTGCTCGTTATCTCTAGTTTTATGCTTATGTATACGATTTGGACAATACTTATACTAAGATTCTCCAATTGAGTTTAGAATATAAAACCAAACGATATGGATAACTTCAAGTGATGCTTATTTACCATGTCGACAGCAATCAGAAGGAATTTAATTTATCTATTGTATGCACTTATTTCTATATTTTAATCAAAAGTTATCTGAGCATATTCAAAACAAACTAAGAAAATGAAGAGAAAAGAAAAATAAATGAGAAAAATAGTATTTTGACGGGTCTTGAATTTTGGCTAACAAATTTTTTACTGCATATGTTTTTTTTTCAACTTCGAGGAAAGGAATATTAGGATTGGAGTTTCGGAAGTCAAATTAGCCATCATAATCCAATAATCCATTACCACTAATCACTATAGTGGAGAAATACGGCTGCATATGTAATTATGTATTTGAGTTTTTTGTTTTTTGTTTTTTTTACTATAACGTAACCATCCCGACATTTAGAAACTTGGTTTTAACAAAGTTCCGCAATAATATGATTGTTTGGCAAATTTCAACAGCGGAATTATGAAAAGTTTGAGCTATTTCACAAAATTGTCAAGCCTCAATAAAAGTTAAAACTTTAACAACTTTACTTAGTAAGAAAAAAGACTACGACTTTTAAATACTTTAAAGAAAAAAAGATTCCTCTCGTCTCTTCCTTTGTTCACATCCCTTTCATCTTTCTCTATCTTTTCTTTAATAATCAATCAATTTATTTTATTATTACTCCCTCTCAATTCTTTCAAAACTATTATACATTTTTATTTATTAGAATCACACACAATCGAGACGGCGCAAATTTTCATCACCGCTCTCTCCATTTGATTCCATTGTTCTTGTTCAAAATCCATGATTACTGTCGTCACCCAAAATAATTTTTTAAAAAATCAAAGACCTCAAAATATTATTATTATTCTCTCTGTTTCAAAACATTAATCTAAGAAACTTTTTTTTTGCCACTAGTAGTATCAATGTTCTATAACTCATTTCCAAATCAAGAATCGATTGTGTTCATTCATTGCGTTAAAGGATACTTTTACAAGATGATTAATTGCTAACAACAATATTTGTCCACATTGCATGATTCATTAAAAACTTGACTCCAAATTTTAATTAATGAGTAATTGTCTTTTTTTTTTTCACCTCGAGTTTTGCAGAAAATAAAGCTGCTTTTTTTCTCCCTCTCTCTCTATGTGTGTCTGTGTATGTGTGGCTTTACCTTTTGTACCTAAACCTCGCACACTCTCTCTCTCTCTCTCTATCGCTTGCTGTTACTCGTTTCCTCTCCTTTTCTTCGTCTTCTTCCCCTTTCCCCCAGAAGCTGCCACTGATGTGAGTTATCAACGCTCTTTCTTTCCGATTTGTCAAAAAAATTCACTGATTTGTGCTTTTGCTTACACATTGCAGCTCTTTTCTGGTAGATTCCCCGATCTGGGGATTTTTTATTTATTTTATTTATTTTCCATCAACATTCACTGTTCGTAGCTGAGTTTATGCTCTTTTGGATGATTTTGTTCTGCAGAGAGAGAGATAAGCAAAATCATGGCGGGGGGTGGAGCTCCAGCACCCAAAGCAGACGAACCTCAACCTCATCCTCCTAAAGATCAGCTTCCCAACATTTCTTACTGCATCACCAGTCCTCCTCCATGGCGTGAGTTTCTTCTTCCTCTTCTTCTAGATTTGATGTTGAAAGCTTTTTTTTTATTGCTACATGGAGCTTGATTTTTTTTTGGCGTTATCTGTCGGTGTGTGTGTGTTTAGAAGTTAGGTTTTCGTTTTTTTGTCTTTGTTCTTCACTTTATTCGGTTTTCTTCTTCTGAGCAATGTGTTGACCTAAGTGTTTACTTGTTACAACTCTTTGATTTTCGTTAGATTTAGTTTCCTTGCTTTGCTCTAAGCAAGGAGGTTTTCAATTTTCTTGACTTATTTTGCCTGATTTGTTGCATCTGTGGCGAAATTTTGTTGTTATCTCTGGGTCGTATTCTTCGTGACATTAACATAAGCTTTGTTTGGTAGCCACAGGAATAGACCCGTTTTCGCAGGTGTTTTGCTTTCGATTTCTTTATTTCAGTGAGTTGTTTTGGAATTGTGAAATTTCCATAAAGACTTATATATCTCTGTCATATGCTTTGTGTATTCAGCTGAAGCTATTCTTCTCGGGTTTCAGCATTACCTTGTGATGCTTGGCACGACTGTCCTCATACCTACTGCTCTTGTTCCCCAGATGGGAGGTGGATATGTAAGGCCTCAGTGAGTTATCTTTATAGTGAAGAGGAAGAATGAATAAAATGGTGTTAGTGACTGAAATGTTTTTGTTTTTCTATGCTCTAATTTCAGGAAGAGAAGGCAAAGGTGATCCAGACTATTCTCTTTGTCGCCGGAATCAACACATTGCTGCAGACACTTTTCGGGACTAGACTGCCTGCTGTAATTGGAGCATCCTACACATTTGTGCCAACAACAATATCCATAATCCTCTCTGGAAGATTCAGCGATACCTCAAACCCTATTGATGTAAGATGACTTCCTGTTTTTTTATTTATCATTTTGATGTGGAATTTGCCTCTTACATGACTCTTTCTTGGTGCTATTATACCGACAAAAAATCATGTTTAAATTGCTTTGCTCAGCGCTTTGAAAGGATAATGAGGGCAACCCAAGGCGCCTTGATTGTTGCTTCTACCCTACAGATGATTCTTGGCTTCAGTGGCCTCTGGCGCAACGTTGTGAGGTTAGTATCAAAGAGGAAATAGTCTTAGAACATTGCTTTCTTTGCAAAATATTTGATCATTCTCAATGTAAATTTCCTTTTTGTGTTTCATTTACAGGTTCTTAAGTCCTATTTCTGCTGTTCCGCTGGTGGGTCTTGTTGGATTTGGGATGTACGAGTTTGGTTTCCCTGGGGTATGTCTACTCTAACTTCACTGAAACACAAAATAACAAAAACCATTCTTTCTTTCAGTTGTTAATTTCCCTGGTACGTTTCAGGTTGCTAAATGCATAGAGATTGGGCTGCCTGAGCTACTTATTCTAGTATTCGTTTCACAGGTAATCTTTTTAACTTACTAGCACAACAAACCTGTCTAACTTCCAAAATCAACTTATAGATTTTCTTATGGTCAACTGATTCCATGTGTCGATGCTTCTTGTTGCAGTACCTGCCTCATGTGATCAAATCAGGGAAAAACGTGTTCGACCGATTTGCTGTGATATTTGCGGTGGTGATTGTGTGGATCTATGCTCATCTTCTTACAGTTGGTGGGGCTTACAATGGTGCTGCACCAACCACACAAACAAGTTGCCGTACTGATCGTGCTGGCATCATAGGTGCTGCGCCATGGTAAGTGGTTACTATTCAGCTGCATCATACGTGGCTGCAGCTCCCAAAATTACATTTCTACTAGAAAGTTCTTGCATTTGCACCTGAAGCAGAACAAAAGAACACGAAGAAACAGAGTATCAAATGATAATGCAATTAAAACAATGACCTAAATGTTTGTTGTTAATTTCTTTCCTTTCAGGATAAGAGTTCCATGGCCTTTTCAGTGGGGTCCCCCTTCGTTTGATGCTGGAGAAGCTTTTGCAATGATGATGGCTTCTTTTGTTGCTCTAGTTGAGGTATGTGGTTATCTTCCTCTCTTCTCAATCGTTTCGAAATAAAATGATTATGCTCTGTTGTTCTGTTTATTAATTTTTTTTCTTTCTTGTTTCTTTCATGTCTGGCTGATCATTGAAGTCAACCGGTGGTTTCATCGCTGTCTCAAGATACGCAAGTGCAACAATGTTGCCACCTTCTATTCTCAGCCGCGGTGTTGGCTGGCAGGTAACACTTGAGATCTGATTATGTTTCTGAGCTGAATATAAATATTGATTGGTTTCTGAGTTGATTATGTTTTGTTTTGTGGATCAGGGAGTCGCGATTCTGGTATCGGGGCTGTTTGGTACTGGTGCTGGTTCCTCTGTCTCTATGTAAGCATCTCTGAGATGATACATGTTCTGATTTGATGAATTTTCTCCGGATATTTTGGTCTGAAAGTTGTTGGTTTTCTTCTTTCTCTTGTGCAGAGAAAATGCTGGTCTATTAGCCTTGACAAGAGTTGGTAGTCGAAGGGTTGTTCAGATAGCTGCAGGCTTCATGATCTTCTTCTCCATTCTAGGTAAGTTTAAGTTCAAATCTGTTACAACTGGTAAAAGAAAAAAGCATCTGTTTGAATTGTTTTTATCTGTACTGATGATTCCATCATGTAAATGCAGGAAAATTTGGAGCTGTGTTTGCGTCAATCCCTGCGCCCATAATTGCTGCTTTATACTGCCTCTTCTTCGCCTACGTAGGAGCTGGAGGCTTGAGTTTTCTTCAGTTCTGCAACTTAAACAGCTTCAGGACTAAGTTCATCTTAGGCTTCTCTGTCTTTCTGGGCTTGTCGATCCCTCAATACTTCAATGAGTACACCGCAATCAAAGGCTATGGCCCGGTCCACACAGGTGGTCGTTGGGTATGTACTAACCAACTTCATTAGCTTTTTTTTTATTTCTTCTCTCTCTTTCCTAAAGACTAAGAACTGATGAAACTCTAAAACTCTTACCTATTTGACAGTTCAACGATATGGTGAATGTTCCGTTCTCCTCAGAACCCTTTGTTGCTGGCGCCGTGGCCTTCTTCTTGGACAACACTCTGCACAAGAAAGACTCTTCGATAAGGAAAGATCGAGGAAAGCATTGGTGGGACAAGTTCAGATCTTTCAAAGGTGACACAAGAAGTGAAGAATTCTACTCTCTTCCTTTCAACCTCAACAAGTATTTCCCTTCGGTCTAAAAGGGAGTGCAGAGAGAGAGAAGAGCAAAGGAGTTTTACCCAGAAACACAAAGAAAATGGTGAAAATTCAGAGTTTCGCCATTGTTGCCTTTGAGTTTTCTTAACCTCTGTGTCTTGGTTCTTTTCTTCTGTTCCTTTCACAACTTTGGAAACTTTAAATATCTCTCACATTCTTCTATAGTCTTATTTACAAGAATGGTCATGAATCTTTAAGAGCATTGTTGTTTACTCTCTCTAATGCTTTTGTCTTTGTAAATCTAAGGGTACACAACTTTGTGATTTTGATTAGTTTCTAAACAAGTCTTTAGTTCGATTTTGCCTTTGCATCTCTTTCTTACTTAAAAGCTTCAGCTGGATAATTGATTGAATGAACTCAACCAATATTAAGGTATAAATTATTGTTTATTAACTCACTTTCTTTATTTTTTGACGAAAAATAATTAAAATCACTTTCGTTTTTTTTGTTGGTGCAAAAAAATTTAATCACTTTCAAAAACACAGACAAAACGACTAACAGTAAATATGACTTACGAACATTTTACTGATATAAGCAAAATATTGATATTGATAAAGTTTATAGCTAATTAATTGATTTTTTTCTAGTCAACAACTTTTTCTTTACTCAATTGGTCGTGATTATACGTTTTTAAAAAAAAAAACAAATTGGTCATATACGAGGGAGTGGCCTTTCACTCTTGCGTGAGGTTTTTGTTCTCTGTTCAATAAACTATATAGAGACATTAAGGAGTACTATTAAATAAGAACAAGCAAAAGTTAAGATCGCTTTGTTTCGTAAGGCTGATCGATTCATTACGTAATTAATTAATTGGCTATTTACAATAATTAACGCTTAATACGACACAGGCTTTCAGGAGATCGAGATAAAGTGTCCAGTAAGCATGTGAATAGGGTTGATTGCACGAGGGCATATTATTATTACTTCATTTTTTGGTTGTCATTTCTTTATTTCATTTTTAGAAAAATACTCATCATTGCTTTAAAAATTAAAAATACTAAGATTTACAAATTTGCTTTACTAGTTGACGAAAACAATTTTCTGTTCCGCAATATTAATCTTCGAATTCAAAGTGTGAATGCATATAGAAATTGAAGAACTAAAAGGTTTTATTAGCTGACACATAATTTTACCCATTAAATTTAAATTATATAATTTTGAGAACTGCATTTCAATAAGCAAAAAAATAATTATAATTTTCAAAATTGTATACATAATAATATTTTTTAGTTATAAACTATGAACATCTGCTAAATTTATAATTTGTTTTTGTAATGTTAGTTGTGATAATCATTTGTAAACAGTATAAAAACAAATTTCAAACACATAATATAAAGAAAAAAAATTAATTCCATATAAAAATTGTGGTCCAGTATGTGGATACTTTAACTTTTAGATGTATGATGTAGAGACTAGAGACTTCCTAGAGGAATGCGATGTTTTTTTGGTTATGTTTTTAGATATACGATATACATAATTGTGTATATTTAGACTATATAGTGATTAATTTCCACGCACATGAATAGTAATCAATTTTCTGAAGTAGGTTGAACTTAAGCTAAAATGTTAGCATATGTTATGTACAAGGGAATTGAAATGGTTAATAGATTCGTGGTATCAAAGGCTTAAAGATTGATTAAAAGCTCACCGGGAATCTACTTTCCATGAAAGATTCCAGCCAAGCAAGCACTTGGCTTTGTACGGACAATCCAAGACATAGAAAAATAAACAATTAAGCAATGACGATGATTATTCCATCTCTTATTTTAGTTTTAACTCTCCATTACTTCACTATTAAAAGTTTGTATCCAATTATATAGCTTAGCCCTATTAGTTATGTTTAAGTTTCTCTAGTATTTGTTTAATGTTAAACATTTGATCGAATATTGGAGATACATAAATAAACATACTTCCTTTTCTTCTAAACATCCAAAAGTTCCATTTTAATGACACTTCAAAATTCAAAAATGCATACAGTAATATGAAGATTTTTTTTTATCATTATTTCACCCGCAAAATTAATAAAAATGTATATTCGAAATCATCATGAACTATACCACTTGACGATTCCACGATTTCAAAAAATATATATATATATATATATATATATTTGTTTTGCTTCCACGATTCTAATAAACTGGAATCAAATAAATATACTGAAATTAGGGTAGTTGACAAAGTGAATAAATAATATGAAAACTTGAGTATTATTCTTCTAAATTTAAAATGGTCCGAGTATATAAAGTAAGAAGCTATTCTACGGTTCTACCAAACATAGACCCCTCACCTACGCTTACTCTCACTCCTCTCTCCTACTTTTCTCCGCCGTGAAATGGGGAACTGTCAGGCGGCGGAGACGGCAACGACGGTGATACAACGACCAGATGGCAAGTCGGAGAGATTTTACTGTACGGTAAGCGCGAGCGAGGTGATTAAGTCTCATCCCGGCCACCATGTCGCCCTCCTCCTCTCCTCCACCGTACCTCACGGCGGGTCTCTCCGCGTCACCCGCATCAAACTACTCCGTCCTTCTGATAATCTCTTGCTCGGCCATGTCTATAGACTCATCTCTTCCGAAGGTATTATCTCCGAAGCAAATTTTAAAATCAAGAAGAAAAAGCCTAAATTTTTAGGGGTTTATTCAATTTGTTTCTTCAGCTTCACGTTTGTTATGTTGATCATAGATGAAGTGTGTAAAACATAAAAAAGAGTCTTTAGGAAAAGAGTTTGATCATGTGTATACACTTTAAATAAGGAAAAGACTAATTTTGAGGGGTTCTCATCAAATGATTTATTCTACTTCACTTTTGACTATGATCATCATCGTAAATGAAGTCTTATTTAGGCAAATCTTTTGTGCTTTATTTTAATTTATGAATAGAGGTGATGAAAGGATTAAGGGCCAAGAAGTCGGAAAAAATGAAGAAAATCCATGGAGAGTTTTCTGTTGCAGAAGAGGAGATTAACCCACTAACCCTAAGATCTGAATCTGCTTTTGACAACGACACTCAGGTATATACATTCCACGATTGCTTTGTATCAGATTTCAGTTTTGGTTTTCTCATTGAAACAATCGATACTTAGATGCTACAAAGAATAACAAGCATAGGAACTGCATGAATTTGAAATTGATTCATGAAAAGATATTTTATTAACAGAGAAAGATACATGAAAAGCAGAGAGGGATGGACACAGGAGCTACCAACAAAGTTAGAGCTTGGCAGCCTTCTCTTCAAAGCATATCAGAATCTACAAGCTAAAAACTTGAATTTGTATCTTCATTTTTTTTTTTTTACTTTTCACTTTTTTTTGATCATTTGATTTCTCTTTGTATTTTGTTTTTCCCAATCAAATTGTAAAGGAAGGAAAAGAAAACCCATTTGATTGTGGCGGAAAAAGCTCTTGTGTATTTCTTTTGTGAAGAAGATCCAAAGGATTTCGTATGGTTACTATTTTTTCCACAACTTTTAATTTTATAATTTTTATTTTATTATGAATACAAAAGTATATAAAACAATAAATTATTATTTTTGTCAAGTTTTTTTAACTGTAAACAAATAATTTTCAAAATTAAATAGTTACATGGTAAATTAGATCTAAATAGAAAAAGAAAAAAATATTAGTAGTTAATTAGTTAAAATCTTTTTGTCATAAAATTTATACAATGTGGTTAGAATGATTTTAATTTTTCTAGTAAAGAAGAAAGAAACAATTTATTATCTTACCGCCTCTTTTAAAAAAATGCTTTTTTGGCTGTACAAAAATGAAAGTTTAAAGAGTAAAAAAAAAAAGAAATTAGGAAAAAAATAAAGTAAAATTTGATTGGTTAAAAACAGTTGTAAGTATTATAATAGCTGTTTTTTACGGCATCTACAGTTTTATTGCCCATCGGGCCTTAGCCGCTTCTACACGACATCGTTTACCTCACACGTGCGCACTCACCGACTTACAGAAGAGTCTACACGTACGAGTGGAGAAGTTACGGGTAATTTGGTCATTTGTGCATAGACGAAATTTCTGAGCGGAGAAGAGGAGTTTCCGTTATCCATTATATTATCTCTCTTTTCCTCTCTTTCCTTGATTTAATTAATTAACAAAACAAATAAAAGTAAAAATCTCACGTTTCTTCTCTCTCTCTCGAGTCTCAAGCGACAAATCTGATTAGGGTTTTTGAGAATCTTCATCTTAATTTCAGTTCTTCAATTTTTTTTCCACTGTGTTTTGCTCGTCAACATCATCAGCGAACCATGATTACAGATTCGATCACCAACGCTTCTGCTACTGCAGCTCCTAGCGCGAGGGATTTCGGAAAGAAGAAGAGGGTAAGTTTTTCTTCAAATCTCTTCCATTGCTCCTTAAATCTCATTCCTTTCTCTGAAATTGATCAACTTTTCGTTCCTCTTGGGTTTCCCTCCCTGATTCATAATTTGAGTTTTTTTTTTTTTTTGCATTGCGTTCCGCAGAACAATAAGTCGGCAAAGATGAAGCAGAACAAGCTCGGTCTCCGCCGTGAGCAATGGCTTTCTCAAGGTATCATCTTTCACGTTTTCTCTGTGTGTTTCAATTGCCTGTGCCTACTTAGGTTTTTGCCTTTTTCCTTATGGTGTTGTTTCTATATTGATTCTGGATTTCGATTCACTTCTAGCCGCGGTGACCAATAAGGGGTGTAAAGAGGAGAGGAGTGGTAATCGCAGTGCGAAACCTGATCAGAGAGATAATCCAGTGGAGAATTCAGATGGGGTGCGTAGAGAAGAGAATAATAACGGTGGGAATCCTCACCATGGGAGCTTTATGGAGTCACCTTCAAATAGCTCCATGGGAGGCACAGATATAAGCACTAACTTCAGTGGGAGAAGCAGCAGGAGTAGCAGTAGCAGCAGTGGCTTTTGCTCTGGTAACATAACAGAGGAGGAAAATGCAGATGATGATGATGATGATGACGATTGTGTGGATGATTGGGAGGCTGTTGCTGATGCTTTAGCGGCAGAGGAAGAGTCTCAGAAAGAGAGTCTCCTCCGTGAGCCTCCCAAAGAGCAAGAGAGTGTTGGACAATCAGCTTCTAATGTAGGTGGCTCGAGCAGTGATGCATCAGATGTAAAAGATGCAAATCAGGATTGCTTGAGAGTGCCATCAAGAAAGCAGAAGAGCAATCGAGCTTGGAGGCCCGACGATGACCTTCGCCCTCAAGGGTTACCTAATCTGGCGAAGCAGCTAAGTTTCCCGGAGTTGGACAAGCGTTTTAGCTCTGTGGCGATTCCGTCTTCATGTCCAATCTGCTATGAAGACTTGGACTTGACGGATTCGAACTTCCTTCCATGTCCCTGCGGATTCAGGCTCTGTCTTTTCTGCCACAAGACGATATGCGATGGAGATGGGCGTTGTCCCGGCTGCAGGAAACCATATGATCGGAATGCGATCAAGGCTGAGACTAGTGTTCAAGGTGGTGGTGGTATATCAGTTCGTCTGGCTCGTTCGTCTAGCATGTTCTGCAGGTTTTAAAAAGATGGGTGTGCTTTTCGCAAACCGTGTTTTTTTTCTCTGTTTTTCTATCTTCCCTTGCTTTTTGCATCAGTCTTTTAAGACTCTCTGGTTCGTTATAGCTTTAGATAATGTGGGTATAGTGTTGTCTTTTGGCACTCGAGAACTTTGAGCTTTGTTTTCTATGTCATCGACGCTTATAAGTCTGAAGCATTGTGGTGATGGTTATGTAGAGTGTGGTGTGTGAATACATAAGGTGGTACAGAAAATTCAAATACATAAAAAAAACAATAGTTTCAATAATAATACTATCTTGTATTTTCAAATGTCAGATCTATGATGTATCAATTATTTCCTTGTGAAAGGGCCATTGAAGGTTAAAGAGTTATTTCTGTTACAAGTTACACATTAATCATTACCAAAGCTTTGCTTTATACCATCATGGAGATCAGTTCTAGCCAACAAATCGTTTTATTCATTGAGGCTTCTTAAAAACTTCCATAAAACCAGCTTACAATCTCTTGCAAGGTAAAACAAACAAACTATGATCTCTCTAATGAAGAATATTAGCTTTATACTTTTATCTCTACCATTTACATTACTACCATAGTACCATGTGAATAAACCCTCCTTCTATGTCCCCACAGAGACAGAGTTTTACTCTGCAAAACAAAACCGTAAGGGATGGAAAATTGTTTAGGTGATTAAGCTGAAGAGCATCATCAGACATCAGGGTTAAGCTTCTTTATATTAGAGTTGCATCGGCGAGCTCAGATCTTTGCGCGTTTGAGCTGCGAGTGAACAGATGAATCCAAAGAGTAGACATTCTCTGTTTCTAGCTCTCTCTTCTTAACACTCTTTGTGAAAGATAAATCTTCAACCTTCATTAGAGAATCTCTTAATCTTCTTACATCCGATAGCTTCACCGGCTTCAGTAAGAAATCTTCAGCCCCTTCTTCAAGGCATCTGAATAAATAAAAGAAAATTTCAAATTTAGCCTCTGTGCAGATCTGTTTTGTTGTTGTTGTGTATATGTAGGAAACAAACATAAGATGGCCAGGTCATAAATTGAGTTGGCCATTTTATATTTTTGGAGTTTATAGTTGAAGTTGAGGTGAAGACAAAAACATATTCTGTATAATTTAATTGGCGGTCCAGATGTTTCCTAATAAGCAAAGTGAAAAAAGCATGTGGAGGTGGCTTTCACAATACCCTACCCACCAAAAGATTAGGCAAGCAAAGATCATATTATTTTATTTGTAATATCACAATCACCAGAAACAGAATCAAATCCCAATAGTAAAGATTTTGCTGGTTAGAAACATCTTTATTCACAAAATCATCTTGGGACCCAGTAAAGATCACCAAATCTCAACTTTGATTAATTTTGCAATCACCACCAAGTTTACCACTGATGGCTTAAAAAGAAATCAAATAATAATTTAGTACTGTTGATCCAAACCTGATGATAGCTTACACAATGAATCAATCCAATAGAATGTGGTTGAACTAAATGTACTATAAACATCATTCAAGACTTCTAACACTAATATATTCACCAAATTTATTTATATTTTTTTTCAACTAAAGAGTAAAGATAGTAAAAATATATACCTATCAATACGAGGCAAAATGTTCTCGGAGGACATTACAACCACCGGTATATCTCTGAAAGCTGATGATTCCTGTTGAAAATTAAAGAAAAAACAGATTAGATTAAGCATAATATGCGGATTTAACTCACAATTTGATGAACTAATTAAAATCATATTGATAGGTCATTTTATTCTTGCTTGCTTACTTTGATCTTCTTCAAGAGCTCATATCCAGTCATACCGGGCATGGAGTAATCCGTCATAATTAAATTAACTTTCAAATCCTGAAAATCGACAAAGCAAAATCATCATTAACAACTGGTTTAAGAGCTAAATCTCATAATTTTCTCAGGAAACCAATCAAAGATCTCTATAGGGAAATTGAATCCTTACCTCAAAACCGACGGATTTGTCTTTTACATCCAATCCAAGATATTGCAGAGCTCTTGTCGCACTATCAACAACAGTAACTGAAAAACACAAAAACATACAAGGTTTTGTAAAAAATGAGGTTTTTTTCTCAGATAACAGAATTCGAAACGACATTTTCAAAAGATCAGTTCATTAAATTTACCTTTGCAGGAAGAGACTCTGAGCAAACGCTCTATAAATTTCCGGTCGACGTGACTGTCGTCGACGGCGAGAACATGAAGAAGATGCGGCGATCCAAACTTTGAAGGGTCCTTGGCGATCTCCATCTTCCTCGGCAGCAAAACCTCCGCCATATAGTATTTGAATCTCGAAGAAGAATAATGAGATTGAAAAGGAGAGAGATGTTCTAATCAAAGTCGGATGATTTGGAACAAAAATGAAAGCAAGAAATGATGAATGTGTAACAATGGAGGTTGGGAGATATTATTTATACAACAAGTAGAAAGAAAAATAAAATAAGAGGGAACATATGAAATCGAGAGATTTTGCATATCTTAAAGATTTTGTCAACTTGCTTTCAAAATCTTTTTTTATTTTATTTTATATAAGAAAAGCAATAGATCGGTGGATAACCCGACGATAAAATCAAACAGATCGATTCCAGATTTGTTAAACCGGATAGCAAACCAGAAAAACTAAACGGTTCTGTCATCCGTGCAAGATTCAACCAACTCAACCGATATTGTTCCATCCGGTTCGGTAATGTTTAGCCGGGTGAATTGGGTTTTTACTAAATAAGAAAATCCTACGTATCTACATTGTCAGGGTACAGTATTATCCTAATCGGTTAATATAAATCAATCAGGAAGTAAATTTCGATTCCATCGTTGACCATATATTATAATACACGCATCACATATGACTTTGTAGCAACCCAAAAAAATTTCATGGAAAACACTATACAAAATTATTATAAAGATCATAACATGAAAACCCAAAAAAAAAAAAAAAAAAAACCCACAACATTAACCTATGATAATAAAGAAGAAGCCTTTACGAAGTAGATTATCCCATTGATGCATACACCACTACTCCTAACTTGTCGATATAGATTGCTAACGTTTCTCCATCCTTGTTTCATTCCATCTCCCAATGTGAGAACTTGAGAAGAATACTCGTACGAGTACAACCCTGGCCCTTCGATAACAGACAACACTTTGTATTGATCCTCAACTGGATCATACCCAAAGATGATCCATGAATGGATTGGGTCGCTTTATCGTGTTTGATAACAGGTAGTAAAATGCATTCGCCCGTCGTAGGGTTGTATATCGCTTAACTGATCAGAGTTCCGTGAATAACAACAGATCAGTCCACGGACATATCCATACACGGACCAGTTGCCATCAACCCGACAAGCACAGTCTCTGTCTGCGGCTATGAATCTTCTGTTGGTGTTAAGAGGATACGTTTGCGAGAAAGCGAACAACCCATGGTGGCGGATGACGAGTAGGCGTGGATGAGTCAAAGACCGATTCTTGATCGAGTCGGTGATAATAGATGACCACAGCTTCGAAACACATCCGAACCTCACAAGTGACTTTACCGGGAGCTTCGAGAGTATATCGACCGTTAGATCAAAAGGGATAGAGATTGCTTCTGATGATAGCTTTTCTCCGCCGTCGATATCTTTTCGTGAATGCTTCTCCTTGCTCATGGTATCTATTTTCTCCTTTGTGAATTTCAAAGAATACAGTACTACTAAATCATATACATAGACGACACGCATTCGATACATACACCTATAAGAGTAAATATTATCTTTAATATTTGTATATATCTAAGTATTAGTTTAGCCTTATTTCAACAATAGATTTGTAAACTCAGATATATCAATTAATCAATCGATCGTTGATCAAACTAATTACAAGAAGACCCAACTGGTCACCACGAAAGGACACAAACCAAGAAAGAAGTACGAAATAAAAATAAACATGCTTATGAGATCGTGCTGGATGATCGATCGATGGATCGATCTCACAAGCAACGCTCTTGGAAAGCTTTCGATGGGTTTTCACCGTCGATCTGCGAATGGTGAGGGAAATCAAACGGCATTTCTTCAGGAGAGAGCCAAGCTTCTTTAAACACTCTCGAAACTTGTTGAAAAACGACTCCATTGCCTTCAGGAGTGAGATGCAGTCCATCACTGCTTACAGCCCAACAACAACGAGCAAGAAACATTTATGAACAATAACAATGATTCAGGGCATGAATAATAATGATACGCACCTTAGGTACTTTTTCTGCCAATCACTGGTTTCCTGCATTATGGACCAAAGGTTGACACATCGCAGACCGAGTTCCTCGGCTAATGCAACACAATGTTGTGCGTAGATTCCTGTGGTTTCGTTTGTTCTTTCAGGCTCTTTCATAGCTTTTTCACCATAGATTGATCTGATGTTAGCACAAGCATCGGCTCAGTTTCCAAGATGTGTTGGACAAAGACAAGGATGAAGAAGAGAAAACCTACTCTGCGTAACTTTGCCGTCCAGCTTCGTCAATCGGTGGTGGAGTTACAAGCACAATTAGCATCGTAGGTGAACATTTCTGCAAACAGAGTCATTAGTAACAGCGTGAAAATGAACTCTTAATATTCTACGAGTTAAGCAAGAAAAAGTGCAGCTTGCTCAACAATAACAAACGTTACTAAATCGAAGGACAGTTCTAGATAAACCAATGTGCAGGAGGACATAGTAAATGAACAAACCTTTAAATGCAGAACCATTTTTCTGATGTTATCTTTGTACTCTTCCACTGGCACATGCTGCCTATCACTCGTCCTTCCTTTGAGAGCTGCATCGTTTGCTCCAAAAAATATCGTCGTAGCAACAGGAGAAGCTAAAGAGCCCTAATCAAAGCAAGTGTAAAAACACTGAGAGACTTGGGCACCAAAACAGCACCTACCTTGACAAAAACAATTCCATTTCTACTGACAAGAGTTGTCAGATCTCTTGTCAAGATCATTCTTTTCAGGTACCATCTCAAATCTTAAAATCTTTCAAACTTGAATCAAATCTTTTATTTCAGACTCTTGTCAAAGGAAAAAGAAACTCTTGTGAAATGAAATTCTGTGCTAAGACGGTCACATTCAACAATTACAAGTAACCCATCTATAAGATCCAGAGGTTTGCACTAGAGACAGAAACAAGATCCACACACTCATGCTCTAAACTCTGCCAGCATTTGGTATAGATATGAAAGATACAATGAAGTTCGTAATCACTAGCAAACGTGTGTCGATCATAATTTCAAATCAACATTACAGGCTGCTAAAGCTAGCTCTAGCATTGTTGATTCAAGAGAGAGATCTTACGAGAGGGAAAATGTGATGAAGCAGGAAGAGAGCCCATCTGGTGTTGTAGCCGCCATAGCCACGCACCACAACATCAGCCTTGCGAGAGTAAGCGTCGGCAAGAGCTGATCCCCACCCGCCGGATCGGAACGATTGCGCCGTTATTGAATCGCCGAACAGAACTATCTGCGGCCTCATCTCACCGTCTCGGCGTGAGTGAGCTTCTCCGTTTCTGTATCTCCCCCACCCGGTTTAGTTGACACACTACGCATGTAGTGGGTTTCCGGGTCGGGTCGGGCCGGTTTTGATCTAATCCAACAAAGAAAAACAAATTGGTTTGATACAGGTTTTTTAAACAGAACCGAATTTTCTGTAAGATTTCGGTTTAGATTATTTTGATTTAAGACTTTAAGCTGAATAAACGACAGTAGAGCATTAAACTGTTCTTACAGAAATTTGATGTGATTGGCTTCGTGACTGTCAACACTATCAAACATTATACAGTTATTAATTTTTTTTTACTAATTAAGAAATGAAAATTTACAACTGATTAATGACTATACTTTTTGATATTTTATTCTTAGCAACAACTTTTTATATTGATTATATGTTATTGTAAATACTCTGAATATTTATCTAATATTTTTTTATCTACATTAAATATTTGTTTACATCATCTAGATGAAATTTTGTATGGTTTATATTCTAATAAATTGTGAGAGTTATGTTGTTATGTTCCCACCTATATATAAATTTGATATAATTTAATATTTTTAGTAAATAATGTTGATACATTTTCACTTTGAATTTATGTATCAACACTATTTTTCTATTTCGTTATCTATATTAAATATGTTTTTAGATGAATTACTCTTGTTTTCTCTTCTTCTCAGTTGAATGTTTGAACTAAAATTGAATTTTTATTTTATCTCATAATAGCAAAAGGATAAATGTATTATTGTATTTATTAAGTTAAATTTTGATTAGCAAGATGATTAGTTGTAGAAAAATGACAATATGTTATAAATTGATCAGTGAAATAATTATGATTAGTTGTAGAAAATGACGAATTCGTTACAAATTGATCAGCGAGATGATTAGTTGTAGATTCCAACATTAAAGTTTCTATATTTCAAACATTTCAATCGATTATTAGTTGTAGAAAAATGATGATTTATTTATAGATATTGAACATTTGATGCTGATTATATTTATTTGCATAGGTCTTCGATTATTGATCAGCGATGATTAGTTGTAGAAAAATAATGATTTACTTATAGAGATTGAAACATTTGATATTAATTATATTTATTTGCGTAGGTCTTTAACTATGAGAAGGAGTCACGCAAGCGTGACAACGCTATCTTCGTGACCAATTTCTTCTATGAAGTCATCGCTGGCCCTCATTTATAATACTTATGCGGAAATGACAAATCGATTATAAGAGAAACCCGGATGAATACCAGCGATACAACTTTTGGTACCTTGGGGTGGTGATCATTGTTGACATCTCCATAACTGTCGGCTTTGCTCAGTGGTTCGACTGTTTGTCTCGTGAGAGCGTGAAAGCGACAAGCGTGCGTGACTGTCTAATTATTATGTCTATCCATTAAACTTTTAAAGTTTTGTTCACTTGTCGTTAATGACAGAAGAACTAGGCTTTTTCAAGATGCTTTCGGTTATTATCTTTGATTGTAACCAGCTATCTATCTTTATTTGGAGCATTTCTTGACGTTTGTGTCGTTAATAATGCTACGAAGAAGGCTAAAACGTTCAGTTCAAGACGGATTTTTGGGTTACTCTCGTTTTTCTTGGAATCTATAATTTCAACCTTATCTCGAATAAGGCAGTGAGGATACCAGTTTCAAGATTGGACTAAATTTGGCCTTATCTCGAATAAGGTAGCGAGGATACCAGTTTCAAGATTAGACTCATAAATTGGTGGGGGGGGGGGAGTGATGATTGCTGACATCACAATATCTGTCAGATTTGTGAAGCCATTTGAGTGGTTAAAGCGTGAGCGTATAGGAGTAACTGATTATTATTTCTGTAAACACTATTCTTATGTTCTATTATTATTTTTCTTTCAACCAACTACTGTCTAAATTTTGAATCGAGTGTGAGAAAATAAACGGGAGGATAATTTTTTTGTTTTGTTTGCGTTGTTCTCTCTTTTCAGGTTGATCTGTCCTCTTAAAATTTCGAACTAGTGCATCAGACTTACCAGCTTAAACCGATCCATATAAGCATTCATAAATTGCTATCGAACACATTCTACAAGATTTTTGGAATCAGATGTGATCTTATTCTGAAGTTTCTGGGATCAAATTTAAAGTAATATAGAACTAAATTAACCAAAGTAGAATGGCATCAGTACTTATATATCAAGAAACATTACACCTCAAACAAACGAACACACAGAAAACGAAATCTCTTTCTGAATACCCTAATCAAGATTACTAGTAATTAATATCACTCTCGTAATTAATTTGCAGTCAATTACGAAAGTAAAGCTGACTAATCAAACAAACACATATATAATTTGATTGCTTCTCTAGTACTACTACTACTACTTGTCGATGAAGATAAGAAAAAAGTTCTGATTAATTTATTAAACCAAGGAGTTTGTTTTAGTAGACGATCCATAGCCATTCATCAAACCATTCCACGACGAACCTAAGCCGTTGATATAACTGCCACCACCATAGCCACCACCGTCAGGTTTTCCTCCGCCTCCGTTGCCGCTACCATCGGAGTAACCCTGGTCTTGTTGCCAATCAAGCGATAACAGCTTTGGATTTGGCTTCACGTCCATTATTGTTGTTACCCTTTGGTTATCTTGATGATGATGATTATAATGATGATGATCATAATTAGATTGCATAAGTCTCTGGCATGCCGAGATATCCATGAGACCATTTCCGTTGCTTCCCGGAGAAATCCCGTGAAATCCACCATTGTTGTTGTTGTTGTTAAGACCTAGCCCGTGATTTAGACCCATGTGATGATTATTATGATGATGATGATCTCCATTACTTCCATGTTCAACCATGACCAGATTGTCACTGTTCACTCCCATGAGATCAAACTTACTGTCCAAGAAATCGATAGGTCTAGGGCTCTGTAAAAGCAAACCGCCATACTTGCTCTCCAAGAAACCAACGTTACTATGATCAGGAGCTGTGTAAGACCCCATGATCCCATTACCACCAAAATTCGAAAACCCGAGAGAGGCATTTTGGTAATTCTGATGAGAATGTGCTAAAGCCACAAGGTCAGTGGTATTCGTGGTAAGAATGTTGGATGGCTTTTTCCCGGAAGAAGTGGAGGACGACGAATTAGAGGAAGAGGGTTTCTTGTTTTTGCGGCAGCCACCACCGACCGGAATGTTCCTCAGAGTGCCGCCTTTGGTCCAGTAACGACGACAAGTCTTGCAGAAGTAACGAGGCTGAGAGAGGCTATAGTTATTGTAGTAACAGAACTTAGTGTGTGTTGACTCGCAACGAGGACACTTTTGAGGATGGTCGTGAGGTGGACGCAGCCTCCTTCCACCGTCCATCAGAGCCGCCGCGGCTACAGCCACGGCCGAGGCTTGTGGTCTAGTGCTGCAAGCAGCTAGTATGTCGGCTGCTGATGGAGAAGTCGTTGAAGAGTCTAACATGCTTCCTCCTGATGACTCAGCTTCCTAACATTATGATTTATAAAGCCATATCAAAATGCGTAACAGTGTAAGATATTTAGAATCGTTTCTTATTTTTTTCGTTAAGTTTCAATCAAATACCTAAATTCATCACAATAGAAACGAACTTGTATGCTATAATTCATCACTTGTACGTCAAAAACGATGGTTCGAGATGAGCAAGGTTTAAATTGTTTCAACCCAAATCTCTCTTTTTTTTGGCATTTGCAATTGTTAAGTGAGGAAAAAAAACTTAAAATAGAAAATATCTTCAGTTTTGTGTAAGCAAAAATATCAAACGTAAACAGATCCCCCATTTGCATTTGACGTTTTATCTTTACAATTAACAAAATAATTTGGCTAAAAATGTAAATGCAAACACAAATGCAAATAATTCGGGTACAACAGGAAATACCTGGAGCCAATCAGAATCCATGCAAACTTGAAGAGAAGTGAGACCCATTTTGTGTTTTGTTTCTTTGTTTAGTTTTGGGAGATAGTGAGAAATTTAAGACAAGTTCATGAACAAAATCTAGAGAGAGAGATAGAGAAAGAAGAAAGAGAGTGGAGATGAGGCAAGGAAGAGTTTGGGGTTGGGATGTGAATAAGAAGGAAGCAATAAGAGGACCCTCCTTCTCCTCGGGATTGCTGTCTCCACTCAAAACCAACTTCTACTACTTAGTTAAGTTCGTTCACACTTACAATTTGTTAGTTTTACTTTTTATTTCAAGTTTAATACTGTTTTATCATTGAAAATACCATTTCAATTTAATTAATAATTACGTAAACCTTGATCATTTTATCTATGTGAAATTTACAATACATTCTGGTCGTCGATAACTCATGTGATCTTTATCTAAACCCTCGTACTAATTAATCTAAAACTATACAATTCCATACATTTTATTTAGATTCTTCTGATCGTTTTCTTTTTTTATTCGGATATAATTATTTGTAAATTTTACTTTTATATGGACACCAAAACGTGAACTACGGAGCTTTCTTTGAAATTATTATTTCTGGAAATAATATAAGGTATGGTGAGTAATTCCTATGACTCTCATCTGCATGTACTTCCTAGTTTCTTAAATTTCAAAAGTTGTGAAGACATTACTTAATCAATATGTTCTGTTTTCAGGTTAAAATTCTTACAAAATTTTGATTATTGAAAAGTTAATACGTAGTGCTTTGGTGATCATGATCAAAGTGAACACTTTTAATTTCGAGCTATTTGTATTATAAATCTACAAGTGTATAGATGGACCGTATATACGGATGTGGCGGAGGAAAAAGGAAAGCGTCGGTGGTTCCTAAATCCTCGGACCCACATTCTTTGGTGGGTCCACGTCAACTTGACCAATCATCTTTATCGATCCAACGGCAACGATTAACCCATGGGACCCATATGGACAAGCTAAGCCGTCAGATGAGTTCAGAAATAGCGGCGTGATCGTCACACAACAGAGACAAAAGCGAGAAGAGAATAATATCTTTTTCGAAGTTTGTCTGTGTTTTTGTGTTTTTGAGACTTACGATAAAGAGGAAGAAGGGATGTGTTTGAGAACTCAGGTGGGCTCACTATTGGGCTCCACTCGCTCGCTCCTCTCAAGCAAAGTATCTATTCTCTTGCCACCTGTCACTTTTCTACTACATGTGGCAGTCTGTTTCAAGTTTTTTATTTTTTTGACTTCCCGAATCATTAGTAAATTATTCAAATACTTCAATTACTTTGGATACTTTCTAGTTATTAATTTTTGTATTAAAGATTTTGATCGAATGAAAAGAAGCACAAGAGACAAAAGTTGAGGGCTGTAACAGTTTTCTTTTATATATGAATGCATTGTTTAGATTTTCGTGTATTCTTATCCCAAATCATACTTTTAAAAAGTAATTTCCCATTCAAATTTACTGAGAAAAATAAAACATTATACTATACATTATCTTAAAACCGTTTTAGCTGTAATCATATACAGTATACTCTATGTTGTTATCTTTGGTGAAGGGAATTTATTTACGTACAAAGAGATTTATGAATATCATATCTTAAAATACAGCAGTCGTTGTATTCTAGTTTGATTTCATTATTTTGTTCAATTTTCATTAAGTACACATTACACTTTAGAATTAAAAAGATTTTCACCAGAGGGTAAGATAAAATTTGCCTATTATTATAATTTACAATGTTATAAGTAAATATCTAGTCTATATTTAGAAATATTTTCTTCAAAGTTTGGTAAATAAAATAGAGAGTATACTGTTTAGCAAAATGTTAAAGTATAGTTGACAAAGAAGTATTCTTGTTACGAAAGCATTTCCCTTAACCGATCATTGAAGAAAAAGAGGTTATTTAAGCTTCGTTGTTTTCTTCTCTTTTCTAATTCTCTTTTTGTAAGTAAAAGTTTCCTTCTAAATAATCGGGCTTTGATGTATAATAACCTTGTGTACATTTGTGGTGAGTTACGTACTATATATACCCTTACTATCCATTAAACTTCAATAATAATAACGAATACTCAGACAGAGACAAAATATAGCAGACCTAGCTAACTCAGGAGTTTAGGCGTTCATAATTTTAGAGTTTTGGTCATCAATTTTTTTCATGATGCTAGAGTTTCAACGATATACAAATATACACATTTTCAAGTATCATATATTTTAGATATGCTATATTTTGGATCCACATGTGAAGCGTTTAAAATCTAACCATATGATAAAGTTATATGTTACCATAGCGATATATCTACACACATTATATATAATATATACTAGGATTGGTTGTCAAAAAAGAAAAGTGCTAGGACTAAGATATTTGGTGAGTTGGTGATGGTGGGATTTCAAATGGAAATTCCGCCGGAGGCACCTGCCATTTCATTTCGACACATGTTATAGACTATAGTTAAATATTGAAAAGTGGAGGACGATTATATGGAAGACCACGCAAAATTATGGTTTCTTACTTTTGAATCTGACTATTGATTTCAATGTTTATAGATAATTCAACAAATCTCTGTTAATCACATTTATAAAACAGTAAGTAAAACTGTTACATTTGGTCTCTTTTTATATATGACGACAAATTTTGCCATCCTAGAAGTACTGTGACGTTCTAAATTAACTGGAGTTAAACATAACCTCATAAACCCTACATACATATACATGCATTGTCATACACTACGTTTAAAATGCACTATAAGTTGTAATAACCTTTAATTATATTTATGAATTAATGAGCCGAAAATTCAAATAACTTTAAAGGGAAAGCTTCGTAACTCTATGAGACAAGTAGGAAGCTGAAGATTGTAAGGATCTAGGGGGAATACTTCATACTTGGTTCACATGAATTATGTTTTTGAAAAAAGAACAAAACTAAAAACTAAAAGAAAGAAAGGAAAGAAGAATAAAAGGGCATCGAAAATGGTGTGAGAATAAATCACACAAGATAAGCTAAGCGTGACGAAGACAATGTCTTTGGCACATATATGTATCGATTTAGTGAGACCCACTTTTTAAAGTTCACAAAGTGTATCTGTCCCGCGTATCTTTGTCCCATTGCATTGCATCACTCATTAATTTGGCGTTACACTTACACATCATCATATCATCCGTATAACATCATGAGATTATCAGTCTTACGACAAAATATTTCGAAATAAAAATGTCCATGGTAGATCAAAATGTTACTTAGTCTGGAGGTACGAGTTCATTTTCACAAATAGGTTAGCTGTAAACCTACATGTACAATGTTGAGTATATATATCACTCAATCATTCATTGGTAACTTTAATTTATTTTAAAAATGTTTCCCAATATCTTTATATTTCCAAGATACTAGGTGTTCGAAAACATCCACAAGAACACAAAACACTTCAGCCCCTGAGTCCCTACGTCTCTCGGCCAAATCAATATAACAATTAACTAATACCGATCTCACAAGCCCAATATCGAGAGTTTGAGGAAGCGTATGCTAATGGCTCTATCTTCCTAACGATTTGGTTTAAGTCAAACCAAACCAGCTGATGGAACACAATAATTTTCCTTTACCAAGAAATCCTCTGAACCAGCACATTAATGAAACATAGTTAAACCATTTTATATCATTTTGTATGTATTTCGTATTGATTTTCGTTCAACATACAACATGATTCGAATACGTATATGATATACGAGAATGGCAAGAATATACTTCAAATCAACCATCTATATACGGATTTTATACCTATATTTATCCGTGAAAAACTGAATGGATTACATGTGCCTTTCATAAAAGTTGAGATACCTATTTTCAATAATGTCAAGTTGTCAAACCCTATGCTTATCCAGCGAAATTTGAAATGATATTCGAGAAGAAAAGTATTTTATATGGGTTATCTTACCTTTTTAGAATAATTGTAGAACATATTCCTCTGTGCTTTTCAACACATGAAATAATGAACCTAATTTTTTGAAGATAGAGATTTATACTATAAGGTTAATAAAAATTAATAAAAAAACTGTTTGTATCTGATTTCTCCATCACCATCCACAAGTCCCTTGATCTCTTTAATACATAATTTTTGTATCTATTTTTAAATTTTTTTATGTGATTATTATCGAGCTAAAAGACTACCAAGTGTTTATGACAAATGGATCAACTTTCTTCATCAGATTTGGGATCAAATGTATCTTGTGTTATGTATCTTGTATACAAAATAAAGACAAAACTCATATATCCTCTATCTATTAATTGAGAATGTAGTTTAATAAAAAATGTTGATTTGTTTTAATTTGATTGGTTAAAATCATTTGTCTATCCTAATTAAATATGACATGAAAATAATGATGTGTAATGATGATGTAATTGTGACATGACAATTTTTTTTGTGATATTTCCATAAATAAAAAAAATTAATTAGATGACAAAATTTAATGTACTAATAACTAAATCTGGAATGATTCGCCGGATGCACTACGAATGACCTGATATTATAATTCATCTATATGGGTAATATTAGATGAATTTTGGGCTGAATGTGATGATTTTAATACACATATATATTATAATATTATAGATAATACTATATTATACATCTATAAAATTTACTATAGCTATGTCGTGGATCACTGTGACTTTCCATATGTACACATATATACATATATATTATAATACTATATTCATATAGTATACATGCACATATGTTTTTATATACTTCACAATAGGCAAAATTATAATAACAAAATCACATTAAACAAATCATTTACCTAATAATTCATATTTTCTGTAAAGGCAGTGCTCCATTTACATGCACATATGTTTTCACATAGTTCAGTTAGCAAAATTATAATAACAAAATAAGATATTATTGTGATCTTCTGTAGAACATTCAAAATTTAAAATTAGTTTAGTTTAAAAATAATAACAAATATAAATATAAGATTTCGATTTAATAATCCTCTACGTTATTTTTCTTAACAAACGTTAGATAAAAAAATCAACGTGCATCTAATAAAAAACCAAAATTTTAATCCTCTACATTATTTAAAAAGTTTAATGTCCATTTAATAAAAACAAAAATTCATATAAAGTCACGTTCATCCCAAATAATTAGGTAATAAAAAAGTTAAATACTCGGGTCCTTATATAAGAAAACATCACAATATACATGAGTATCAAACAAATCAAACTCTAACTCAAAGTGCGGGCATGACAATTCTACCAATCCATTTACCTAAATTGAATATATCTAAAATGAAACTTGAATGTTGGATAGACTCCTATCATGAGTGTAATGAAACAAGGTTTCATCGCTACACTGAATTTCCAAACAAATGGATTTGGTATCAAAAAATTAAGAAGTGGCTCCCTCGTCTGCGTAACAAAAAAAAAATGTTTCCTAAGATATCAGCCTTCCAGAAGTTTTAGAAGAATATAGTGAGCTTTTCTACCTTAAAATGTTGCTAAATGTTCATAGAGGACCAGTATGCTTCAAAGATTTCAGGATAGTAAACGAAGTTTTATACCTAACATTCGCTGAAACATGCCTTGCAATAGGGTTAGTTGAAGCACTTGATGCCTAAGTGGAGATGGTCTTGCAATTATTTGTAGAGTCTACTTGATAGAATTATAAGTAAAAAAATCGCACATATGAGTATATCAAGACCAACAATGACGGAATCCTTGAAGAAATAATGTTTTAAATTGAAGACGATTATAGGAAGACAAAGAAAATGAAAAAATGTTTGTTCAAAGAAAAAAAGACAGAGAAGATAAAATTTGCAGCATGTTCAGCAAATCCGAAGAAGGTAACCAACTATCCACGAGTTTGACCCATTTGACCCTCTAACATAGCGGGTCAAGTTTTACAAAACCTGTTCCTGTTAATAGAAAATTAATTTTTGTGTTTTCCAAATTTAATTATCATTTTTCAAATCTGTCTCAAAATATAAATGAACTTTTTATTATAACAAAATGTTTAGTTAAAATTAGATCATATTTTACTATTAAATTTAAAGTCTTATAATTCAAAACACTAATCTTGAATTTCATAAACTACAAAAAATTGAAATATCTAAAACGGATTTATGTATTGTATTTAAATAATTACATTTTTAAAATTGATCATAGTTTTTCAAAAAATGAGAGACAAAAAGGGATATAAACTACTTGTAATAAGACCATAGAAATATATATATATATATTTGTGATGTATTTATTAAATAAATATTAGATTATTACATTGAAAACTAGAAGTCGAATGTAGAAACAATAATCAATTGCAAACAAAAATTATAATGTACAACAAAATAAAATAATTACAGTTACAAAATCAGAATGATGGTAAGTTTCTTTTTTTTTGAGTGATGTACTTGTTGACAAAGCTATAACCTGAAACAATTAAAAAAAAATCAGATTCTATATTTAAATTAGATTCAAATTTTATTTAATGTTGCTATTATTATGATTATGATTATGATTATGATTATTATGATTATGATTATGATTATGATTATTATGATTATTATGATTATTATTATTATTATTATTATTATTATTATTTTTATTATTATTATTATTATTATTATTATTATTATTATTATTATTATTATTATTATTATTATTATTATCTTTCCTAATAAAAAAAAACATTAGTTGTGAATACAAGTTGAACATAGATGTATCTAACGACCAAATGAATTCAAATGGTTGGATACCATATCCGATTAGTTTCACAACTAATGTAAATCTAATCGATTATAAACTAATTAAAATTTTAATAGAATACAAAAAATAGAGAAAATAAAACATATCTTTTACTTGAATTTCTTTATCTCGGTATTTTCATTTTGTGAAGAAACTTTTAACCTGAAATAATACAAAAGAAAAATACCATATTCATATTTTTATTAGATTCAAGTTTTATTTTATATTGCTATTATTATTATTATCATATTTTTTCCTAATAAACAACCGATTGATTAACATTAGTTGTAAAAACAAATTGAACATAGACAATTTCTAACGACCAAATGAATTTAAAGGGTTGGATGTCATATCCAGTTAGTTTTACAACTAATATAAATCTAATCAATTTTAAATTAATTTAGGTTTTAATGCGATAAATAAAAATAAATAAAAAGAATAGAATACTTATCTTTCTTTATGAGATTGAGTCTCTTGCATTAGACAAACGACTTCTTCATCTCCCATGGACATTTTTATTCTCCTTATTCTCACTTTCAAAGAGAAAAAGATAAAGAACTTCAGAAAAATATTTTTAAAGGACACCGAAGTAAGGATGTAAGCAAGGAAGCCTGGGTTAAAAACACAAATCAGCTGAGAACTTAGGGAGAAAAGGAAAGGGAGAAAAGGAAAGGGAGAAACAAAGAAAAAAAGTATAATTACTTCCAAATCCATTGTCGTGAGACTGGCCAGCTGTTTGTCGATCCGTTTGAAAACGGGATAGTAATGATCCCAAGCCTAATGAAGATAAAACAATTGAAAATAGAACATGTCAATTCTTGTCCTTCACTAAGATGATGAGCAAGAACACAACTAAAATTTTGGTTTTATATTTTCAGTTACCTGTGTAAGTTCTGCATCTTTTTCAGTTCTCTTGTAGTTGATACATCATTCATATGCCTCTACTAGTTCGTGACGGTATGCCTGCATCAACAATACACTAACGTCAGTTGCTGATATTAAAAAAATACATCATTACCTTTACTGAAAAATATAGGAACAAGCACTGTACACAGTAATACTTCACTTGCTGCAATGCTGTACAGTTCTATGCTAGACAAAGATGAAATCACAAATTACGCAAAGACACAGTGAAAATGGCCCGACCTCTATAAATGCTCTCTCTTGTATGGTCGTATTGTCCTTTCTTGCACCTTCTTCAAGCATTTCATGCAACGGTTCAACTACTTTCAGCATTCCTTCAATGTTACGTTCACTACAAGCGACTGCCTTCTTCTAATCACAAGTTGCGCCTGTTTGTTTTTGGTTATTGTGGGAGGGTAAAGGAAGGGGTCACCAATTAGCTAAGTTAAAAGAATATATTTTCTTAAATAAATCGACAAAGCTAAAAACCAGAAGATAAATATGAACCTGATCCACAAGTGCACCGGCTGTGTTGACGAACTTTATCAACCACCTCTTGAGCTGCAGCTCACCGCAGATTGCTTACATGCAACGAGAAGGGGATACATAAGTGCCTGCAAACATTTGAAAAAAATAGTCAAGGAGAAATTATGCATTCCATAGAATTAATGGTAAAGAGATCGAAATGTCTGTAGTACCAACCAACCAACAGGAAGCAAGCAAATTTGCACGTGCAAAAATTATTTCTATATCTTAATTCACATCATAAGTTGGTAATACCAATGAAGATTTTTAGATTTTGTATTAATCGAGAACTGCAAACCTGTGGGTGATTCTCTCCTATACGGATGAGAAGAGACTGTATCAGTTCCCTGACAGCACGATTATTTGAATGAATCCTCCCTTCAATGCTGCTTGGACATCAGCCGCTACATGGCTGAATCAGAAGACGCAATATGTCCTAAGGAAATGAGACAGAAAGGGAAAAATAATTCAAGAAACTCAATGCAAACAAAGTAAAGAAATAATAACTAACAGATGCTACATTCACTCTTTTTTTTTTTTTTTAATTTCCACAGATTAATATAGGCAAGCTTAAGTGATCTGTGGTTTCAATTAGAACAAACTTTCAACTTTGCTTGACAAATTTATACAAAGCTCATTTGTTTATTAGCCCACTACAATCACGCTATCCAAGAAAAAGATGCCCTGTACTCAAATTCAAAACTACAGGGGAGATAGTTTACCTGATAGGAGAAGCCTCGTGAGGCTAAAACCGGATTGAATTTCCCAGATGAAGAAGTAAGACGATTCTGCAAATTAGACATGGTGAAACTCTGGGAGGAGTACGTTTTGCTAACTGGAAGAGATCCAAGTCTGTAAGTGAAGCGACAACTTACGCAACACACTGCTTCTGTCTTCAGGAGTGGCTTTGATGATGTAATTCTTTGTAGCTTCTCGTAACTTGACAAATCTTGACAAGACACTAGCCTGTATTAATGAAAGTTCCTTAGATATTCCAAGATGAAGTATTAATACATACAATCAAACGGTAACAATGTTGAGGCGGCTCATACGCTAGCTGGGTTGAAGAGAGTGCGACCTAAACCTTAGTATAAACCAAGAACACCACATGCCTGCGTATTATAGAAAAACCTCTCTTCAATCACCATTCCAACACAAAAGATATCATGAAAACAAAGTAAGTGTTGTTTCCCTCGCTTTACCTTGCGTTCAGGATCCGCGTACAGACATTCCATGTGGGAAAGGTAACTAAAGCAATGAAAACACAGAGTGTTAAAGACTCGTTTGTTAAACCAGATAAAGCTATGTTTGCCCTCAAAACTCTCACATTAAACAAGATTAGGAAAGCTTACACGAGTTGCAAGTAAACGAGTCTTATCGGGGGTTTCAACACCAACATTCACCGATTTAACACGAGCCGCATCAAATCTTGGTTTCGCTTCTTTCAAAGCAGTAACAAGATCCCAGCTTTCAAATAAAATAAATCAAATTCATCATCAGTGATTTGAAATAAAGGAAAGCAACGATTCTTGTCGATTTTAGAAATATTTTGTTTCAATTTATTTACCAGCAAACGCATCTGAAATGCCTCAAAAGCACAATAGTGCAGCAATTCCCTGTGTAAACAAAAAAAAAAAGATCACAATTTCAAATTCGTTATAAAGATCATACACGATTCGTTATAAAGATCATGAAAATTCATTATATACACCCTCAAATTCGTTTTGTTGGATAGGTAATTAACACAGAACATACATCGTCCTTGATCCCATCGCTGAATCGTACGCGCTGGCCGGAAGCAGTGAAGATGGAGACATCGCCGATATCTTCTCTGTAATCAGTGACGGAATCGGTGGGTTCCGGTGGCAGCTCTCTCGCGAAAACCACACGAGGTCTAAAGATCGGGGAAACTGAATTTTGATCGGTGGGTTCAGAAACCTAACTCAGGCGGAAAAGGAACCAAAAATCCACTTAACGGCTATATCGATTGTTATATTTTGTTTCTCTTTTTATTTATTTATTGAAAAGTCAACGTCCGTTATATTTACAAACTAAAGGGGGTGGTATTGGTTGATTCAATTTGATAGAATGTACAAGAATTTAAAAATAATTAATTTATAAGTAATTTAAAGTATTTTGTAGGAATTTAAATTAATTCTATCAAAATTCTAATAAAAATAATAGGAATTGGTTCTTAACAATTTTTAGGTGGAATTCTATTAAATTTCTTCCAAATGATAATACAATCAAAGCTATTACAAAATTGAATAACACAGATATTTAATAAAATTGAAAAATTAGTATATTGAATTATTAATCCAATAACACAAGTATTTAAAGGAATTGATAAAATATATCATTGAATAACACTGATATTTAATGGAAACTTCAATTCCTTTCAATTCAATCTAAATTCTAAATCCAATACCCCCATCTAATTAAAAAAAAAATTATTTAATTTATCTGATTTAAGTTGATATCCCTTTGCCTTTACAAACGGCTATATATATATACATAGATCAATGACTATACATTCACAAACGGCTATATATATATTGATTTGATTTTGTTTTGTTACTGTTTTTGTTTGTTAACCCTATTATATTATTTAAGTATTAACTATTCTGAGAAATTAATGTGAACTCAAACACTTAATGACAAAGTACCAACCAACATTACACAATAAGGTTCCCACGTTGCTCAAGAGCACAACAGACGCATGTGAGTGATTCATATTGTGAAAAAAGCCATATGTGTGTTAGATAAATATATGTTGCCTTGTTGTGTAACGCTGGTTTGCTACATTATCATTGCCACAGAGACACATATATGGTTTTTTTTTTTTTTTTTTGTTCACAACAGACACATGTGATTCATATTTACATACTACGCCGATATATGGAAACGGAAATTAGTGATTCAGCTAAAACTAGAAGAAAGCATACTAATCGTAAATGAGTGGGGAAAAAAAAGAATGCGTCTTGTAACTTCATATAATTTATATTTTCTAACCATTAACTAGGGTTTTTACAAACAAAAAAAGAAAATATTATGTTCTTAACTAGTATGCTTTCTTCTAGTTTCTTCAACTCAAAACTGCAGTTGCATATTACGATTGTTCACCATTCTCTGTTTCCTCTTCGTCTTTATCTTTATGAGTTTCCAGTGTAGGAAGAGGCGGTAGCAAGTCCTGCACGAGCTCCAGTATCCCATCTGAGTCGATTTCTCGATCATCAGGCTTCTCTATGATCTACAAAAAGTCGCAATCAACAAAGGTTAATACACATCATGAAGACCTGTAAGAGAAGCTAAATGTAAGGATAGATCACATGTTCATGAGATTTTGGTATAGAGGGTAGAACAGCAGGAAGAAACCACGAACCGGCATCAATTCGACGATAGAAGACGGCCTGAGATTGATGATATTGAGTATCTCAGCTTTCGCGACTTTGAAACCTTTGCATTTCTCGGTGAACTTGGTAACGCTCTCTCGTGTTTGAGTGCAAGCAGCAGTCTCCACCAAATAATCATAGACCTGGAAAAAATCATTTGAAGTAACAAAAAGTAGTAGTTAACTTCAATATATATCCCCTTAAAAGGCTAAAGTCACCAGTAGAAAAAGAGAGACTTCAGGGGAAAACCTTGTATTCTGATCTAGCAATTGGAGCTATAACTCTTGTAGTATCCTTTGATGCACCTCTTGAGTTTAGAAAGTCAAGTACCTCGAAATTTGTAAGCGCGCCTGCGTTTGCCTTTACTCTGCAGTACCCGTGTCGGATTTTGATTACATAACAGAGAAAGAATCGAGCCAAGAAAAAACAGAATGGGAAGATGGATCATGAAAAATATGTAAAAGGACATACATTTTCATCTCTTAAGGTTGAGCAGAGGCGTTAACCAGCAGAACGATACCGTTTATCAAAATGGGAAGAGAAGAGGGGTTTGCTCCTGAAAATTCAATGAGAACATCAACATCACCACACGAGAGGATCATTATTGTTCCCAAATCATTTGTCTCGCTAAATTATCAAAGACCCACTTTACAACTAACCAGTTCTAATCTTCTCACGATTATAATTAAAACGAAATCACACAGCTACTGTCATCACTTAGAACTTTCAGTGACGGCTATGAATCAAAGCATAATTGAAACCCTTTTCGAAACCCAATTAACAAAGAGACAGAGCAAGAGCTTTTTGAGTAAATACATCGAACAAGTGAGCTGCAGTTTCTGATCACCGACATCTTAATTCCACTGCCGGAAAATCTCAAAAGATATCGGATTTTTCTCCGACAGCGGAGACGGCGGTGGTACGGCCGAAGAAGAGCAGAGAATAGCTGAAAATAAAGTGAAATTACCTACAAATTGATTAGATGTAATCAAGAGCGGAATCGCGACCCACTTTCTGGTCTTCCGGAGATAGAAGAAGAGGCTCGTCGAAATCTCGTTCTGGTCGTGTCTGTTCGCCGGAGAAGGAACCAGTACCTAACACGACGTCGTTATTATCAAAAGTAAGAACCCTAGGCTAAAACGACGTCACTTGTAGTAAACGACAAAAACTTATGTTGGGCCCATTTAGGCTGTAACAACATCTCTGTGCCATTCCTTCGAGAGCCCAGCTATTAGATTGAAGCCCAAAAACTATATAAAGTTTTAGTGCATTTACACATTGAAAAAATATTCGTAAAAGAAATTAATATTTATAATTTTTGAAAATGTGAAAAACAAAATTTTAGAAAGTTTATATGTAACGTAAACACGATCTGATTTACAAAAAAAATATTGTACATATGCGGCATCTCGATGAAAGACATATATATACAATTATAGAGAGAAACTCTTCATTTCTTAGAATATTGTTAAGAAAATGAACGGAATTAGGACACATGATTCTTGCTTTGGAGAACAAAAGCACTCGAAACATGTAAGCTAAGCTAACTAACTGCCTTTTTGTAAACCCCAATTTGGCAAGGCTCCTCTCATTTGCTTTAAAGCTCCTCATGCTTTCCACCCTTTCTTAATTCTCACTTACATATATATGTTTATTTGATTTTTTTTTTTTTTTTAACACATTTCATTATATATGTTCGTTATATAAACCTCATCTTTTTGGTTTGTTCCAACATTTTTTTCTTTTGGGCGATTCTTTCTTTTCTTCTATCTTCGGTGAATCCATGAAAGGTACCAAATCTCATTCCCTTTTTCTTTCTGTGTATATAAGTTTTTTTTTTTTAAATCAATCTTCAAATTGTTATTTTTCAATACATCTTCGAAATAGTTAATGCGATAAAAATACCAAAGTTGCTACCCATCTCTTTTCCAAAATGTTAATAGAAACAAAAGATTAAAAAAAAAAAAGTGAGTACGGTGTGTGTTGTCGATTTGAAAATGGAATGTAGTAGTAACGTGAAGATAACAGCAGTTTTACTTGCAAACGCGTTTACTTAGCGGCCAAGACGCGTCGTTGTCTTCTCTCGCACGCTCTTTTGGTTCTGTTTGTGACAGCTGTCTCTCGGTCACACATGAATCCTCTATTCTCCTTCAATCTACGTGATAGGGGTGGGTAAAATATCTATTGTATCTGCTTCGAACCGATATTTGCTTCGATCCGATTAGAAAAATTTGGATATCCATAAAGTTTTGGAGCAAAGCAAATAACAAAACATAGTATCCGTACAAAACGGAGCAAATCACAAATATGTTTTTAGATAAAGCCGGATATCCGATCCGATCCGTATTTTTATAAATTTATTATATATTATCATGTATATATTAATTATATTATAAATTTTTATTAATATATTCTCAATTTTCTTCCTAAATTTTCAATTGTTCTTTTGATTATATAAAATAAATGACTAAATAACTAATTATAAAAAATAAATAATATGTTTAAACTTAAAATATGTTAATAAATAACATTTTATTTTATATTAGTAAATAAATATCAACAAAAGTTTTTTAGTAAAGTTTAATATTAAAGTTTCAAATAGTTAATATTATTTTTAAATATAAAATATCATTTTTTCTCATCTTAATTTTGTAGGTTTATTTTTTATATATTTTTTTTTATAAAATAAAATATTTTCTTTTAATTATTTTTACTTAATAGTTTAGATGAATTTTTTTTTTATAATAAAAATTGATGCACTTTCAGTTTTGTGTATATTAAACGGATCAAACTAAATATTCATAAATATTCGTAAATATCCGTAAATATCCGTAAATACTTGTAAATTTTCTGGATATCCGTATATTTCTGGAGCAAATCAAATCATAAAATTAAATATCCGTTAAAAATAGAGCAAACCACAAATACTAAAAAATTCCTAAATATCTGATCCGCGCCCATCCCTATTACGTGACACACCTATAACATCACGGCCCTCACCCTCACCTATCATTAAATATAACATTATACAACAAAATAAAACTATATATACTATTTATATATTTATCAGATTCATTAATACAGCAACTAGATATATATATACTGGCTTCGTTATTAACCAAGCGAAAACATCCCAGACTATAATATTCCGAGACTCATTTTGCAGCCCAGAGAAAAGTGTTAGTTACAAGTTAAAAATCATAGGATTATTTTTTAAATTTTTAGTTAATTATAAATTTGCAAGTATTAAATCAGGAATTGACAGCGATTTATTTCTTCTATGACAAAATGTAACAAAAATCCAACAAATTAAGAAGAATAAAAAGATTGTCGACAGAAATTGTTCCCTCGCAACTCAACTCACAAGCCTTACAAAAAAAAATGTTTTTTTTTTTGTCTTTCGCTAATCGTGACGAATCAATTTGATTTAATTGGGAAAAGTTTGCTTTCAACAAAGCCATGAAAGCCGCTATTTGTTAGATTCTTAAAACAGGTGCAAAAAGATTTAATGAATTTATTTAACCGACTCGATCGATGTTTGGTTCATGATACATAGAGTATTTGTTGAATGTATTCGTCATTCATTACATACCAATACTAAGTTTTTCAAAAGAAATTAGAGAAATTATATGCTAAAACCAGAAAAAAAAAATTATCTGCGTAAACTGCATTGGCTGTTGTAGGACAAGAGACAAAAGTCTTACAACATTAGGCATCAAGATCTTTTGGAATTACCAATAAGCATTTCCCTAGGTTGGTCCACTATTTTGGTTTATTTATTTATTTCAAAGATGTGTTTTTCTTATTTTTTTGGAATTACCAATAAGCATTTGTTATGATGGCCCATTAACAATTAAATAACTTTTTCTTAATCTAATCGTACTTGTTTCTTATGAATATTTGTTTTATCGTATTCAACAAGCCATGCATTACCATCAACAAGAAAATCTAACCAAGTAAACCCCACCAGAAATAGTTACCGACTTATTTCCAAGAAATAAAATATCTCAAACAAAATAGACATCTTTCACTTTTCATTTATGATTGAATGTAATGATTTAGAAAGCCGCGATATTAACAGATTAGACACTATTCTATCTATACAAGCACACTAATTAACCAAAACAATTTAGGCTGTAAATATATGGAGCATTCCACTAAACACTAAACGCAGTAACGATCTCAGTATTTGATGGTCAATTTCAGTTTCAGAAACATTTTGTTCTATTTTGATAACACTTTTCAAGTACATGTTGATTATGCTGTTCATTTCGCCTAAACTAATACTAATCACGCTAAGTACAGCCACACCATACGTCAGTTTCTCCCCATCACGTGATTCTTCTGTTCACTAACTTACCATTCAAGTTTCAAACTCAAAACATTTGTTCTCAAACATATAGAAGTTTTAGAATGTACAAATTTCTTGGGAGCATTTATTATCGGAATTTAGAAGAATGAGAAAGGGCCCCACACTGTGGTCTTTGCATGTATCTCTGAAACCTCATTAAAGTCTTCGGTTCGGGTTTTGTGGGTCCCACTTTCCACGCAGTCTCTGCCTTTGACCAAAAGTAACCTATCATTACATTTTCTTAATTAAAAAAATAGCCACAACAAAAGCTGTTTCCTTCGTTAATTTCTCATTGTCATTGATACATCAAAATCGTCAAGATCCAACGGTTCATAATTCTTCAGAAAGCTCCCAAATATATCCTTTATTTTCCTTTTTTACTAAAACTAAATTTTATTCCCTTTTTAAAGTGGTGGATGTGGAACCATATAACCTAACAAAACACATACCAATTCTGATTTCTGTGACTCATTTTAGCCACATGGAATCTCCCGATTTATACGTGTATGTAACTATGTATACGTATCTATGTAATGTATGTGTCTATATGTTTAGGTAACATATACATATATGTGTATATTATATAACGAAAGAGAGAGGGCACAAGCAATGCATACGTCCCAATGTCTGTTTGAGAGTTTTTAGCTTTTTATACTATTTTTTTGGGTATTTGCAAAAAGATTGAGACTCCACATAGAGATGCCTTGTATTTTATTTACATCTTTATAGATTCTCTATCCTTTGATCGTCTAAAGAAATATACATTCAACCATTTATCCACGTATCAATGTGCATCAATTTGAGTATATGCCAAAAAGAAAATTAAAATATATATCAATCTTTCAAGACATAAATCCTCACCCGATTGCCTCCAATCCATTACCTTTTTCTATACGTGGAAATATCAATTTTCTCATAAAACATTTTAATTAATACCAAGAAAATATGCTACATTATTTAATTTTTTTTTATGTGTGTATATTTAACATTTTAAGTATTTAAACTCAAGACGTATGCATTGTTTATGTGTACGTATATTTAACATTTTAGTAAGTTTTTAACTCCCTCTTTTGCACAAGAAACCTATTTAACTCCCTCTCTCTCTAAAAATACTTGTCTTTCCTAAAGCAAAGAAGCAAAGAATCGTGTCCTCTTACACATTCACAGGCTTTTTGCATTTTTTTGCAAGTATCGTTTCTTTTCTTGGCTTCGAATTCAGCTCCCTCTTCTTCTTCTTTATTTACTTTCTTTCCCCCTTTTCTTTATTTAAATATTTTTATTTCTTTTCAATCTGATCAGATAGATGGTTTTCTTCTTCTTTTATGCGCAACTGTGCAAGAACACATGGTTTTAAAGCTTCGAATCTCTCCCTTTGCTTCATCAAATATCTTTAATCACCTCACGACTCAAGATTTCAAATTCCCTAAATCTTGTTTTTAAATTTCTCTCTATTTATTCTAGACACACCTAATCGAATCCTAATTAATCCCCACTGTCTTTACTCTGCTTTTTTTTTTCTTTAACCTTGAAACATAGACTTATCTCATCTATCTGAAAGATTGAAACTTTATCAAAATGGCTTCATCATCATCATCATCATCATTATTATCACCTTCTTCATACACAGAGCTAAAAGATGCTTGGCATCCATCAACAACAACAGCGAACACAACAGATTCAAGCTACTGGTTTAACTGGAGGGTTATGATATGCTGCATATGGATGGCTATAGCGATGGTGATCACTGCTTTTCTTATATTCAAGTACGAAGGCTTTCGCCGGAAACGAAGCGGAGACGGTGGCGACGGAGGAGAGAAAGAGTGGTCGGGAAATGTATATGAAGATGAGACTTGGAGGCCTTGTCTCCGTAATATTCACCCAGCTTGGCTTCTTGCTTTTCGAGTTGTTGCCTTCTTCGTTCTTCTCATCATGTTGATCGTTATTGGCCTTGTTGATGGACCTACCATCTTCTACTACTACACACAGTAAGCTCTCTCTCTCTCTCTCTCTCTCTCTCTCTTGATAAGAGTTTTAGAATGTGACTTTCCTGATTTCGATTTCGATTTCTTGTGGGTTTTGAAAAATCGGTTCTTTTCTTGAATTGTTTTTTGGGGGTGGATAAAGATTTTGCAGATTGACAAACATATATCTGAGGTTTTTTATTATGATTTCTCTTGGGTTTTAGGATAAAGAACTCCCTTTTCTAATCGTTTTGTGGGAAGGCAGAGATTTTCGCACGTTTACACAAGCATTGAAGCAATAACGTGACATTTTTTAATTGAGATTTCTGGTGGGGTTTCGGGGAAAAAAATTGAAACTTTTATTGAATTGTTTTGTGGTAAATTAAAGATACTTCAGCTTCACAAGCATAATACAGACAAAAAAGTCTGCAGCTTCACAGGCATAGAGGCAATGTGACATTCTTGAATTTAAGTTTTCTGGTGGGTTTTAGAAAAAAAAACTGGAAAGCTCTTTAGAATCATTTAGTGGGAAGTTAAAAGATTCCGCAGCTTCACAAGCATATCGAGGCTAGAATGTGACATCCTTGATTAAAATTTTTTTTGTCTGTTTTAGAAAAAAACATTTATGAGGGCAAGAACTGGTTTTTGAATCCAATCTAACAATATATACAGAACCATAATCTCTGATTCTTTTTTGTTGGTCTCTAATGGGTGGTCTCATTTGTTTTGATTTGCAGGTGGACGTTTGCTCTGATCACTCTCTATTTCGGAGTAATGTTCTGTTTCAAAACCTGATTCCTTAATTTGCTTATAACTTGTTAGCAACATTACTCAAGTTTCTTACATGTCTTGATATCTGTTTACAGCTAGGCTCGCTTCTTTCGCTGCACGGATGCTACCAATACAACAAAAGAGCGGCTGGAGATAGAGTAGATAGCATTGAAGCCATAGCCATTGAGTCGGAGAGGGCAAGATCCAAAGGCTCTGATCATACTCTTCAACAGAGTCAATACTCTAGTAATCCAGCTGGTTTTTGGGGTTATGTTTTCCAGATAATCTTTCAGGTAATTCAGGAAAAATCTATAAACGCTCGACATGGTCATATCAACTTCTTATGAGTTCTTGATACGATATCGCCTTAAACAGATGAATGCAGGTGCAGTTTTGCTCACCGACTGTGTCTTCTGGTTCATCATTGTTCCTTTCCTTGAGATCCATGATTATAGCCTCAATGTTGTAAGTAACTTAATAAACCATATTAATTTTTGATTCATTTTTTTTTGGGGATCCATGATTAAATTTTGGATGATCAATATTGCAGCTGGTGATCAACATGCATTCTCTTAACGCAATTTTTTTGCTTGGTGATGCTGCCTTGAATTCTCTGGTAAGACTCAGATTGTTTCCTGAAAATTTCTCAGAAAATTGAATACGTTTCCCTAACTCATAAATTGATTGTCATTCAATATTTTGATTTTTCATTGCAGAGCTTTCCATGCTTCAGAATTGCTTACTTCTTCTTCTGGACAATAGCTTATGTCATATTCCAATGGACCCTCCACTCTTTAATCCATATATGGTAAAATTCTACCCAAAGTCTATTTGATTACTTTTGTTTTCACTGTAACCATTCTTAAACTTGACAGTAATCACTCCTTACTGTTTATTAATAGGTGGCCTTACCCGTTCCTGGACTTATCATCACACTATGCTCCACTATGGTAACTTCAAAGCTTCATAATGTTTCTCCATTGTTTTGTTTTACATTTAGGGCTGATGATGTTCTAATGATGCGACATTTTTTTATACAGGTATTTCTCAGTTGCAGTGATGCATTTGCCATGCTATGGAGCCTTTGCCTTGTTGGTGAAGCTAAAACATCGGCTTCTTCAGAGATGGTTTCCTGAGTCTTACCAGAGTCCTCGGTAGTAGCCTGCAACGCAAGCAACCACGTTTGATTGGAAGTTTTTTTTTTAAGTAGAAAGAATGATTTTTGAAAGATACAGAAAGAACAAAATTTGTGGAGCAACCAAACTCATGCTTATAAATATAATTAATTCTTTGCTCATATCATATAAAGAGTACCTCGTTTTATATATCTACGTAGGTGCAAAGTTGCATTACTGTATAAAGCTTGCTTTTAAAAATATGACAATTTAGAGTTTAGACAAGGAGAATAAAATGAGTAAAAGGAAAATGTTAATGGAATGGAAATTGCCACGACAATACCTGCATGTTTCGGGTTCAGTAATATTAAGCTTCAATTCTATTTTGATTGGCGTTGTTCTATTAATTACACAAATTTGATTTGGGCTTTAAATGGCCCAAGCCCAAACATTAGAAATGTTGGCAGAAGCTTAGGCATGAGCGGATGAGCTTTGACACAGTAGTGAGTGGGGTCATCGTTTTCGTCACTGTTTGTTCTTCTTCATCGCTCTGCGCCGCTTTTTCTGCTCTCGCAATCTCGTAAGTTCCTTTCCTTCAATGGTTATCTTAATTGTTCTTCTTCGTCGCTAACCTAGATTAGTTCAGGGTCTATTTTGTTGCTTAGAAAATTGAGCGCTTTGAACTAGAAAATCCTGATTGCTCGGGCCCTGAAGACGAAATTGGACGATCTTTCAGTTTTTCAGCTTGCAGTATATTGCAGTAAATCTTAACATGTAGTAGATCTTATAGATTTGGTTCAAAGCCTCTACGCGTGTTTGTATGTTGTTTTACTATATATAATGTGCTGAGAGCGTTTTCTTGAAACAGAAGCATATGGAGAAAGACATGGCGATGATGGGGGACAAACTGATACTGCGAGGGCTGAAATTTTACGGTTTCCATGGAGCGATTCCTGAAGAGAAGACGCTAGGCCAGACGTTTATGCTTGACATTGATGCTTGGATGTGTCTCAAAAAGGCCGGTTTATCAGACAACTTGGCAGATTCGGTCAGCTATGTCGACATTTTCAAGTTAGTTTTGTACCAACGTCAACAGAATTTTGCCAGAACAATCATTACTCATCGCTTTTTTTTAACCGCCCTATCCGAAAAATGTCTAGCTTTGGCACCTAATGATGCACTGATGATGATATTGGAGGGTTTGTGATAGGTGGTTATATAGCAGTGTTCACTAAACTTTGCAGTATCTTCGAAGCTATGTTTAAACTGTAGAAGATGATTATGTGATTCATTTGTGTAATGGAATGATGTTTTTTTTCAGCTTGACAAAGGAAATTGTAGAAGGTCCATCAAGAAACCTTCTGGAGTCAGTAGCTGAACTTGTAGCGTCCAAAACTCTGGAATCATTCCCTCGGGTTACAGCTGTTCGGGTGAAGCTGTGGAAGCCAAATGTTGCGCTTATCCAAAGCACTATCGATTACTTAGGGGTCGAGATCTTTAGAAATCGCCCTACTGTATAACACTTAAGAGAATCGTTTGTAATCTCAATTCTGTTGTCTCAGTTGTATCCATTTGGATCTTCATATTGATCATTCAGAAAGCTTGAAACATGTCAAAAGACTTTGAAGAGTCTCTCTGTTGGGGGAATGAGATTGTGGCACTTAATCGGAATCATTGTTGAGTAAAAAGTAAACATAAGGACCTCTTTTGCAAAAGGATGAAAAATTGTTCAGATGCTATAAACTTCGAATATTGTTTCAGATTCTCTTGCAAGAGACAGAAACAGAGAGAGAGAAGAGGTGTAATAAGAAATTCGAAGTTGCATAGTCATACGTACAGATACAGTTCGGCTTTTGCTTTGAGCAACGACATATTAAACTGTTCCCTCCTTTTACTTTTGTCTTTGCAAGGTTCAATCTTTACTGTTTTCTGCAATTACCAAAGGTAAAAATTATTACCCACCAATCTCTCCTCTCTCCCTATGTGTCTGCTTGCCATTGAGTCCTTTCTTCTGTTTATAGTTGCGCACCACGTGTTTGTATAAATGCCTAAGAGAGCTGGTTGCTTCTGAGTTTCTTATTTTTTTTTGAGATATCCGGTATTAAGACTTTGATCCTTTCTTTGATTGTGTTTAGGAACAAGGAAAATGAAATTCTGAGAGATTTTGGCGGATGATGGCGCTTACTCAACTTGTTCCTTCCTCTCCCGAAAAGCTCTTCTTTTTCTCCACCTTCCTCCACCCATCGATTCCTCTGGAGTTTCGCAGGTGTAACCTTAGTACTAAAACCAGTTCCAAGAAACTCGGAAGCATGTCTTTGAACATCTCATGTTTAGCTCACAAGATTGTCCGGAGTCCATCTTTGGACAAGAATGTGGTGAAGCAGAACAGAGTTCGGTTTGTGCAGAAGCTCAAAACCTTACTTCTCTCCAAACCAAAACATTACATACCAATTCAAATCCTCTACAAATGCAGATCATACCTCTCCATCGAAAATCCTCGCACAATTCTCCCCATGATCCGTCGGTATCCCACAATTTTCGAACTTTTTACAACACCTACACCCCATCTGCCCATCAATGCCACCAAGCCGTTGTCTCAGCTCTGCGTCCGTATGACATCGGCTGCATCTTCCCTTGCGATGCAAGAATTGAATCTCAAGTCTGAAATTTCTGAGAAGTTGGCTACTAAGCTCCAGAAGCTGCTGATGTTGTCATCTCACCGCAGGTTGCTTTTGTCTAAACTGGTTCACATCGGCCCGGATATAGGCTTCCCTCCTAATTTCAGGTCCCGCCTCTGCAATGACTATCCAGAAAAGTTCAAGACTGTGGATACTTCCTATGGAAGAGCGCTCGAGCTTGTCTCGTGGGATCCCGAATTGGCGAATCAGATGCCATCTCCTGACGTTAATAGAGATTTGATTGTTGATCGTCCTTTGAAGTTCAAGCGTCTGAGTCTTCGGAAAGGTTTAAACTTGAAGAGGAGACACCAAGATTACTTGATCAAGTTCAGAGAATCACCTGATGTGTGTCCTTACAATACGTCATCTGAATGTCTGGCGAGCGAGTCGATAGAGGCGGAGAAGCGAGCGTGTGCAGTTGTAAGAGAAGTATTGGGGTTAACGGTCGAGAAAAGGACTTTGATTGACCATTTGACACATTTCAGGAAGGAGTTTGCTTTACCGAACAAGTTAAGAGCATTGATAGTGAGACATCCAGAGCTATTCTATGTGAGTCTAAAAGGCACGAGGGACTCTGTGTTTCTCGTCGAAGGATACAATGACAATGGTGATCTTCTAGAGCAAGATGAGACATCGGTCATCAGAGAGCGTTTAATAGATCTTGTTGAAGAAGGAAAGAGAATCAGACGTGAACGGAGAAGAAAAGGCGCCATGCTTGGCGATAAAAGCATGGAGGAGTATAGACATGATTATGACAGTGACGGTGACATCAGTGATCTAGATGGTGAATATGAAGATGGGTTTGAGAATTTGTTTGATTCAGAAGATTCAGGTGTGGAATATCATTTCGATGAAGAAGATGAAGACGAGGCGCAGGTTAGTGGTGAAAGTGTAGAGTATTGGAGTAGAAAGTTTTCTTCTTCTTCTTCTGGTATTAGCAGTGATGAGGCAAAGAGTGTTGTTGAACCATGGTGATGGAAAATGTTAAAATGAGTAGAAAGCCCATCAACGGTTTGATATTGTATACATGGAAAATCGTACGCAATTACACAAGAACATAATGTTGATATTCGTAATTTTATTCCCATTGGCTTTAGACAAGATCTAAAAGTGATACAAAACTGTCTGTGTGCCTTCTCTTATTTTCTCAACTGTTGTTCGAGTCTCTCAATAGCTGCACCAACACCGCTCGTGACCTCGCCATGGTGGCTCGTGTCTTCTTTGTTGCCTTCGTTTGCTTTCTCCATGAGCTTCAGTTGTAACCAACCTGTCGAAATAATACGGCTTGCGCTTAGTTTAATGCCAATTTCAAATACTCCTCTCTCTCCCCTCTCGTATGGTAGCAACTTGTGAGAAACGTTAATGCAAGATGCAAAGTAATTACCAAGAGGGAAGCAGACAGTAGCTCCAAGAACTGAACCGAGCAACACATTACGCGCACGCCAAGCAAGAGACCCCGGCACTGCCACATTTTAATTAGAGACGATGCTATGTTAGGGACAGAAAAACTAAACATTTTGAACCTAATAAGCCATATAAGTCCAAATGAGGATGCAGAGAGAGTGTGGTAAGTATCAGTACTGATTAGGCCGAACATTGCAGCAGTTGCTGAACCAGCGCCCACGACATTGAAAACATCATGAACTCCTCGCGTCTCAGCTAAAAAGTTCTGTAGACTAAAGAAGGAGGCGGTGAACATTCCAAGGCGCATCCCTCCAATGAGGGAGCCACGAGTTACTCGGGTGAATCTTTTCTCCATTGCATCTCGCATCAGCCTGTGTTGTTCTCGCTTATCCTGTGTACTACCCATCTTCAACATCACTTCTGCATCCTTGCTCTGTTTCAAAACCACCGACACTAGTTTTAGCACTGGAGATAGATTCAGCAAAAAGTCATAAACTTTGATATCTTCAATACCAGAAGTCAACAAGTTACTAGGAAATTTGTATGTTTAGGCTTTAGAAGGAACTATATCATGAAGAGGTTCCATCGCAAATCAGCTAAAGGAACCTCCTTTTGTGATTAAACGGACATACCACAGAAGCAGAAGCCTCTTTGCTCCCTCCATAGAGCATTCCAGCAAATATCCCAACAACAGTTGCTGTTCCCCAGTTGGGATTTCCAGCTAATCTTGAAGAATTCTGTTTCATATTACAACAGCGATCAAACCTCAAGTAAACTGTAAACCACTTCAGAATTCTAATCTAGAATCTTAGAATGACAATCATAGAGAACACACACTCAAAAGCAACAAATCGTCTAAGCCTTACCTCTAATAAGCGACGAAAATCGAAAAAGAAATGAGATTTCAATTAAGTGATTCCGACTCGAGTAATGTATTCTACGCATTTGAACAATGAAACCTTAACCGAAACTGTAGCTATTGAAATTGTATAGAGAGAGAAAAAAATCTCACGCCTGGGATAGTTTCTTCGGGTTTTTCTACAGCTTCCATTGATCAATCAGTATCGAGTCTCGACGGTAAACGAGAAAGATGACTTTCCGATCTCCCTCTCCGCCGCAATCGCTTTCTCCTTCAGTCCTTCTAAAGGTAGAAGACGACCAGAACAGTTTCATTAATCGTCGGCGATAAATCTGAACCGGTCGAAGTTTCCTTAACCGATAGAGTTTGGTTTAACCGCTCGGATAGACCAATTTGTTTTTGGCTCTGAATACGACGTCGTAATAGTCTTCCACAACCACATCGCCTTATTCTTCTCCCTCCTTTAGCCGCCGGGAAAATCGGTTTGGATCAGCAGAGACTCAGAGAGAGTAGCCATGGACGCAGCACATTGCTATCTCGAAGGAAACGCCGACGCCGTAGAATTCTGTCCTCACGAGCCGTATGCGAACTTGCTTGCAGCTTCTACGTACACACTCCAAGAAGGAGATCTTCCCTCTCGATCGGGCTATGTGTATCTATTCGACGTCGGAGATGTGGAAGATGTTGGTTTGAACCTTCTCCAGAAAATTGACACCACAGGGGTATTCGATATCCGGTGGAGCCGCGGCGGCGATGGAGGCGGAAACGTGGCGCTTGCTCAGACTGATGCTGATGGATGCTTGAGAGTTTACAAGATAGATGAGGTTGAAGAAAAAGGTACTTGCTTTTGATCTTTGCTTAGAGCTCTCCTGAATCAAATCACGAAGTTATTAACTGAAACAAAATTGGAACTTTAAGCAGTGCTGGTCTGTTCTTAAGATGCATCAAAGTTTTGTTTTGTCCTTGAAACAGGTTACTCTCTGAGAGAAGTCGCCGGTGAGAAAATCAGCTCATCAATGTGTCTCTGTTTGGATTGGAATCCATCATCAACATCAATCGTCGTGGGTCTATCAGATGGCTCTGCTTCAGTTGTTTCATTCACTGATTCTAATCTAGAAACAGTCCAAGAATGGAAAGGACACGATTTTGAGCTTTGGACAGCCTCGTTCGATCTCAACAATCCTAGTTTGGTCTACACTGGATCAGATGATTGCAAGTTCAGCTGCTGGGATATCAGAGATAGTCCTGCAGACAATCGAGTTTTCCAGAATTCCAAAGTTCATACAATGGGTGTTTGCTGTATTTCGCCGAGTCCAAGTGACCCTTACTCTATATTCACTGGCAGTTATGATGAAACCTTGAGAGTTTGGGACACGAGATCTGTTTCGAGACCTGTCAACGAAACATCGTTGTCTCTAGGTGGAGGAGTGTGGAGGATCAAACACCATCCGTCTCTGGGCGGTGTTGTTTTGGCGGCTTGTATGCATAACGGTTTTGCTGTAGCGAAGGTTAGTGATGGGAAAGGTGAAGTGATGGAGACTTATAACAAGCATGAATCTCTTGCTTATGGAGCAGATTGGTACAGAGGGATACATCAGAAGCGAAGCATTGTAGCAACTTGCTCCTTCTATGATCGGCTGCTTCGGTTATGGATGCCGGAAACTGCGTTTGAGCTCTGAAGTTCCTGGATCCTTTTTTTATTTGTTGCCTAAGTTTTTGAATCTCAAATTGCTATTTTTTCAATAAGAGAAGAGCTTCATGATTGGGTTTGGTTAAATCAACTTCAGAAGCAAAAGTATCGTTGAAACATCACCTGCAACCTTCAGTGATTCAGCATTTTACTCAAATCTTCTATTTTCCATTAACCAAAACCAAAGCAAACCAGGGATGTTTTGAGTAAACAGAGTTTACAAAGAGAATGGATGTTTTACTATTTATTTTTGTTTTAAGGGACAATACATATCAATATAAAGTCCCAAGCCATCAGTTTCATAGTTCATCAAAGCTTGGAAGAGATTTTGGCGAGAGCACCAGCTTCAGTAAGTAAAGGCACAAGCTTACCTTTCTGGTTAGACTCCATCACTCCTGCAAAATAGAACCAATTCCAAATGAACAGTTTGTTTTTTTGTGTGTATACATTTGACCTCAATCTCAATTACAGTGCAAGAGAGCTTCTCTAAAATTTTGTCTTACTATCGCATCCGCCGATATGTTTCCCTTTGATGAAGACGCTTGGAACAGTACGTTGTCCAGTCCAATCTGACAAAGCTGATTGGATCTCACCTCCATCACCTGTTACAGTAGAGATCTTGTTGGAATTTTTTCCGAGAGAGAACAAGCTCAACTTCACATCAGGAATAATGTCATTCAACAGGTATTAACAAGATTTGGGTTCTTACTCATCACGTCGAGCTCAAGTACTTCAAAACTTGCTCCTAGCTGTTTTAGCAACTGCTTCACCTTCTGGCAATATCCACAGTAAGTCTTGCTGCGAAAGAGAAACATTTGTTCAAAGCTAAGACTTTACGCTTCAAGAATCAAGAGCGACTCAAAAGAGTGATCCTAAGCAAACGACACTGCAGATCCTAAGCAACAACTTGGCAAAGCTCATTTCAAGACCATTAGATAATATTTAGTCAACTCTTTGATGATTGGCAAAAAACCTTGCTTACCAGAGATTGGCTCCCCCGAATTGAGAACTGGATGCAATATTGCATCTTCTACATCTATATTCGTCTGTTAAAACCCGTAAATTATATCTCTGGCTTGATGATATAATTGCCAAATAAGTTTCTCTACAGTTTAAAGATTCTGCTCCTATATAACTTAATTCTACTGAACAAGCCTACGACGACCCAACGCCAACTAGAAACAGAACCTCCAGAAACAGGACAAGTAAAGACTCGAGCTTTCGGTAAATCAAAACCTCAGAAGACAAGAAATGTATAATCACGAAAAAAAAAGACAGATGAAAACCTGAAGACAACGACAGGGTAAGAGGATACGATCTCTTTGGCCTTGTTCAGTGCCGTCTCCATCTCTTCCTTGCTCATCCGTTTTTCTCTTAGCGAATGATAAAAGCTTTTTAGGATATAGCCGATATCGGACAGAGCAAGCTCGAAACTTAACTGAATCGAAGCAAGTTCGAACGTTTACTCTCTTAAAAAAGGCCTCGTTGACATTCGTTATCCTTAATTTAGTTACATTTTAGTTACATTTTATTACAGAGTTAACAACCTCCCTCCTCTTCCGTGGTACAAAGCTAAATTCAGAGGCAAAACTCTTGCTATAAGAAACACAACCAGTGGTTCAATAGAAAGAAACTCCAGCAGATTTTACTTAAAATCAGTTTTTTCCATTAACCAAACCCCAACATGAACAGCACATTTTGATGTTTTGTGTAAAAACAAAGTTAACAGCGACAAGGTTCTTTCTTTATTTGGTTACTTGACAATATAAACATAACACTCTCCTCTGTCTTCTAGGACACCGGCTTCAGAGTTTCATCAAAGCTGGGATGAGTTATTGGCTATGGCACCAGCTTCAGTAAGGAGAGACACAAGCTTGCCTTGCTTGTTAGCCTCCATCACTCCTGCAAGTATTAAAGCAAAACCAAAATTAACAGTTAGTTTTTACAGCGACCTGAAAGTGAAATCTCCAATAAAGTGCAGAGAGTTTGTATAGTCTTTTGTCTTACTATCGCATCCACCGATATGTTTTCCTTTGATGAAAACATTTGGAACAGTGCTCTGTCCAGTCCACTCAGTGAGGGCTGATTGGATCTCACCTCCATCACCTGTTACAATAGAGATTCATTGTAAATTAAAATTCAAGTTCAATGAGAAATAACATTACAAAGGTATTGACAGAGAGATCTGGATTCTTACTCATCTCATCGAGCTCAAGTACTTTGAAGCTTGCTCCTAGCTGTGTCAAGAGCTGTTTCACCCTCTGGCAATAACCACAGTAAGTCTTGCTGCAAAAGAGATCAAAGCTAAGACTCAAAAAGCCAAAGACCCTAAGCAATCGACAGATCAATCTTTCCTTACAATCAAGGCCTAATTACAATACTGAAGAAATAATATGATCCAAAAGGTTCCTCTGCGTCAAACATAAGCAGAATCTCGCAGCAAACACAGACGGAAAAGACTCAAAAGCTTTCGATCAACCAAAAACATTGGAGATAGAGACATGGTTAGGTTGGGGACAATAACAGCCTCAGGAATACGCAATTTATTAACGGAACATAAGAGCGGAGATTTTCAAAGAGTAAAACCTGAAGACAACGACCGGGTAAGCAGAGACGATCTCTTTGGCCTTGTTCACCACCACCTCCATCTCTTCCTTGTTCAATCGGTTTCCACTGAACATAGAACCCATTTCTTATCTGACCCAAACAGTATATATCTTTTGAAGGAAACGGACAGAGCAACCCCTACAGATGTCTTCCGCTCGAGTTCCGTGCCAATCTTGCTGGCAGAAGACCAGGATTTGGATTAAGTGCCAAGAACTCGTCGTTCACTTTCGGTTTGGAGATGAGAGTGTCGTTTACTTTGTGCTTTTTGTTAAGAAAAGTATTTATATATTTAAGGGTCCCATCTCTTTAGTAATTGCAGTATCATTGGTCCGGTTTGGTTCGGGTTACAAAAAGGCTGGGTTGGTAATCAAACCGGGTGGGTCCTTGTTTTAAAGACGAAGATGAAGAAGTTGATTTGATCGGTGAAACAGAGGAGATGAGCGAAACCTAGACAGGTCCGTGTAAGATGGAGATTCGTTCAAATAATACAATTACCAACAACCCCTAAGCAGCCATTGCTCTCACCGCTTAACCCAAAATAGCCTTTCTCCTCAATTTCTTCGGAAAGTCTTCAAATTTTTTCTCCATTCCTTTTTCCTAAACATCAGTTTCTGGGGGAGAAAAAAGATTCCTCTTTTGCGATATCTGAGGAATTCTTGTGTATATCAGTGTCATGGCTTTTCACCCGTTTATGCTTTGAATCGATAAACCCAGTGTCCCTCAGCTAGAGTTTTAAGTGGCAAGCACCAGCATCCAACTGTGTGTGTTTGCTTCCTTCACCGGCCATGGCTGCTAAACTTGTGTCTTCCTCGGCTTCTTATTTGGTTCCATCGTTTCTCTCACCTTTTCATCCTCGGAGTTCCTCTCAGGTGAAATTATTATCCAATCCGCTTAAACTTCTGCTCAGCCTTTAGATTTTCTTGTATGCCGCATTTTGCTTCCAATGTGGTTTGAGGCGTTGAACCATTTGTCTTATACGATTCATTTGATATAGCTAGGAACCCTAGTTGAGAAAACTAATACCAATGAGTCTGAATAGGAGTCAATAGACAGTGTTTGCAATTCTCAGTTTTGTTAATTGGCACAATGCAGTCTCTCTTCTATACATCTTGCTGAGAGAAAAACCGAAACTTTGTCTGATCGATATCACTATTAGATTCTCCTGTATTGAAATCAAGTGTCTGTTTCATTTGTTGTTGTTGTTGTTGTTGATGTGGTTATTATCTGCTGCTTCTCGGTCTTGTGATATTTGCTGACACTCACCTTTTCAAAACTCTAGCTTCGTCCATCCATGCTTCATCGTGCTCATCTCCATTGTTACCATTCTCTGCACCTAAAAACTGAAAAAAGTAAGTTCCTTTCTTTAGAGTTAGTTGTTTCACATTCGAGTACGATTATATATGACTTGTGAGTAAGATTTTCTGATTATTTTTTTTCCATTTTCGTTACATGAACAGTTGATTCTCTTCACATTTCCTTCAGAGACCATAAACGAAGAGAAGTCTCCCGAAAGAGAGCTCATTTGCCTCTTGCTACTCCAGAAGAACAGATTCAATACACTGACCAAACACCCGACGATCCAGAAACAGTAAGCCACCAAACTGGCCACGAAGATACACCTCGAGATGATAGTTCCTCTATCCAACACAATGGAAATGGCGGAAAACCAGGCTTCATTTCGTTTTACAATCCTCGGAACGAAACAGAGGATATCATTGTCCCTCTTGAAGCACAAAGTACATGGGGACGCCTGCTCTGGCTCCTAGGTCCTGCTGTCTTAGTTTCCTCTTTCATTTTACCTCCGATTTACTTACGAAGAATAGTCTCAGCAGTGTTTGAAGACTCTTTGCTCACAGGTTCTTCCTTATTGCTTATCCCTTTCGATTCACACTTCTCACTTTCCATTCCATAATAACATGAGACAAAAGTCATTGAACTCTTCTTTCTCTGTTTGCAGACTTCCTCATCTTGTTCTTCACTGAGGCTCTCTTCTACTGTGGAGTCGCCGCTTTCCTTCTGATAATACACCGTTCAAGAAAGTCATCAGGAAAAGTTCCCGAGAACCGAACCAATCCTTCTCAGCTAGGACAAAGAATCTCATCTGTGGCAACATTAGTGCTTAGTCTTATGATTCCAATGGTGACAATGGGATTAGTCTGGCCATGGACTGGACCTGCAGCGTCAGCTACTCTTGCACCTTACCTTGTAGGTATCGTTGTTCAGTTTGCATTCGAACAGTTCGCTAGATTCCGGAATTCTCCATCATCTCCTGTAATCCCCATCATCTTTCAGGTATGAAATCACTCTTTGCCAATCAACACTTGTCTACAAAAAAAATTCACTTTTCACATTTTTGATGAAATCTTTTTGGTTTTGTAGGTGTACAGACTTCATCAGCTGAACAGGGCGGCGCAACTAGTAACAGCATTGTCATTTACGGTTAAAGGAGCGGAGGCAACAGTTAATAATCTGGCAATCAAGAAATCGCTGGGTACGCTTTTGAATGTGATACAGGTTTTAGGTGTGATTTCAATTTGGTCTATATCAAGCTTCCTCATGTGGTTATCGTCACCTCCGCAAAACTAGTATTGTAGTATGAACCTTTCTTGCTAAATTACAGTCAACTTAAATTACAGAGAAGAGAATAACAATTCTGTTTCAATTTCTAAACTGTAATAAACGGCAACCAAATATAAACTCTTAACAGTGTACATCTCATGCATTTTATTGAGATATTATTTTTTGGATCAAAACTCTGATTCAAAATTTCCAACTCTAATCGAAGAGGTTTATCCGATCGGATCTTCTCCCAGTTTCAGTGAGACAGATCAAACTTCAAATTATCAGTTCGGAAAATGCAATTCCGAAGAGGGATCCTAAATAAAACGCCAACACTTTTCCGCAATCATGAATACCAAAACACTCAAAGTTTTTCCAGTTATGGTAATTCATTTTTTTCTTCCTAGAAATAGAGGCATGTCTTATGGTTTTCGGGAAACGTCTCCTTGTCCGAAAGAACAGACTAAAGTTTTGTTCAAATTGCTTTAATCATAGGATTCAGTTCCATACAATCCGCAGTATTCACACACGATGAAACCCGTTCCATACAACCTTCTCAAACTCAAACGCTTGGTACTCAAGTAAACAAGTTGAATTGAAATTTAGGTTTCAAAAGGAAAATCAATTACAATTATACTAAACTTAGTTACCAATTATTTACCACTTTTTAAATATATATTCATAAACCAAAGAACCAAAACCGAACTCCAATCAAACATCCCTCGAACAAACAAAAAACATATTTGAAAACCGAGAGAACAGTAATGTATGCCATAAGGTAAAAAAATCGATTTCAATATTACTGAAGAGATATCGAAATAACGATCTTTTACACACCGAAGGGTCAATTTCGAAAAAGGCACTTAAAAGTTGATATGTGCAAAAGATGGCCGCTCTGCCTACGAAAACGACATGGCATGCGGATGGAAGATTTTTGCACATTATAATAATTAATAAATAACCAAAACATTTTTAAGAAAACTCTTCACGTCGCCGGATTCATATATATAATACATAGCCTACATATTACATATAACTCATCAAAAACTATTAACATACTAATAGAATGGAACCTTATGAAGAAGTATGGATTGCCCAACCTAATAAAACCTCAATTACTGAATAAAATGTTAAAATCATCATAAACATTGTGACTTTTATTAGACCAAGATCTAGATCTGTTCTCTAACAAGGCCAACTATTTGATGAAAACACCAACTGATAACGATACATATAGACAAACAAGAAATATGTATACCGAGATCAAGAATATCTTTAAACTAGACCGAAAGAGTAAGAACAAGAACGAAAAGAAAAGGGATGGGAAAAAGGAGGAGACAGAAAGGAGGCTTCTAAAGTTATATGAATATTTGCAAAGGAGGTTTGGTTTATATAGAAGGCTTCAAAATTAGGTCAATGGAGGAAGATATCACTAGTCGGTGGAAATAAAACATAAATAGTAGGAAATCATAAAAAATTCTGAAAAAAGAAAGAAATCTTTCCGGTCAGCGGGCAGGTTAAATATTCAAGGAAAGTGGGAGGTTTTGGGCAGCTCTGCTCGTTGAATGCAGCAACTTGTCTGAAACCAAACAAGCCAGCCTCGAGACTCCCACTTGATGTTCCCGGTTTAACTTGGTTATCTAATCTAATTGTCTTTTAGGGTTTCTTGTTGGACTCATTTGACAAAATTTACAGGGTACTGAATTTACAAACTTGAACAAGGCCCATTTCATCTTTGAGTCGGGCCTGACTGAATATATAAGAATCATTTTCCAGGCTCGATTTTTGTTGTTGTTGTTGTTGTTTTGAGATTAGATAAAAAAATCAAGCGTAAATTAAGTATTTATTAGAAAATAAACATATACGACGTCGGTTAAGCGGGTGTTGGTATAAAAAAAACATTTCATTAAACCGCTTGCCTGCAATCTTCTCTCCTATCTCTTCCAATCCCTCTCTATCTATCCGCTTCCCCCTTTCTCCTTCCCTGTTAAAATTTTTCAATCTCTCTCATTGCTTTTAGATTCGAGCTTCGAGTTTTCACTAGAGGTTTTTGCCCTTTTTTCCTTCGACGAATTCTGCTTCTCTTATTCGTATTTTCAAAGAAACGAACGAAACCAGAAGACAACGAGCTCATGATTGAGGTCGGTTCTCCTGCTCTTTCCCACTCAATTTCTACGCTATTGTGTTCTTATTTGAAATCTCCCATTTTGAGGCCTTCGCGTACTTTTTCTTGAGGGATATATATTCGATTTGTCGAGGAAGAAAAAAACCCAATGGGATTTTCCCGGTTTCTTTAGATGAATTGTTTAGCTTAAGTTGTGGAATTGGTTGCTGGAGAAGACTTCTGGTAGCTACGAGGGGGAAAAAAATGTTTTTTTTTTCTTTTTCATCTTTATTAATGAATTTGAGTTCGTGAAACGAGATTGTCTTGGTTCGGATTCTGCTGAGCTTCGTTCCTGTCAAGTGATTTTTCTGTGATTGCTATTGGAATTGCATTTTCATGTTCTATGATCGCTCCTTGTGATTTCATCATTTGGAGGTTACATTCAATCTATCTCAATCCTTTCTAGGGCCTTGAAGTTTCATTTCACTTTCTGGATAATATCTTGGAATTTGGCTTGATGTTGCTGCGAAATGTTTGCCTTTGAATCTTGGTTTTCAACATATCGTTGCTACAAACGCGTTAGAGTTTTTAGCTTTCTTCAAGTTGGAAAACTGAGGGTTAGGCATTTGGAATCTAATAATACCGATTTGAGTAGGTCTTATGAGCTCTAAAAGTGGTTTGTGTGTAAATGATGGACAGATTGTGACCTCTGTGTAAATGATTCACTGCTCAGCTGGAGACAATGGTGTTGGTAACCCATAAATTGCAGGTATCTCCAACTATGAAATCTTATTCTCTTGCATATATGTTATGGTCATGCCTACAAATGATTGCCTTGCCTTAGTATTAATCTGTATACACATTAACACCTCTTTTCATATTTCTAATGTAAAGCCTTCTTTCATGTTATCTCACATAGGGTTCACATGTCTTGTTTCCTTGGAGTTCGCCAACATGGACCAAAGGCTTGATTATTAAGAGACCTGTTACGACAGTGCACTTTGTTGGGAGGAAAGAGAAGCAGTTACGATTGAAGCAAAATTGCTGTTTTAGGTCAGAATCCCATTTTCTTAAATGCCTGCTAATTTATTTCGTTTGGACATTTTACAGAAGATGGTACTGCTTAGTTTGAGCTCACGACTCTCTCCATTTCTCTAGAAAGTTATATTGTAATTTGAAAGTGCAGTCTTCGCCATTGATTGTTGGAATCATGAAATTCTGTGGAATGATTTTGCAGTTTAGGGTCCCCTTGCACTGGTGGATTGAAAGCAAAATCTTTCAGGGTTACATCTTTCAAAGGCGGCATCCAAAATAGTGAATCAGGAGGAAGTGAGGCTGGGAAGAAAGTTACTAATAACTCAGTCAAGCTTTCTTACCGTTCAGATGATGACGAAAATAATGTGAACGGCTCTCCAAAAGCACAAAACACATCGCTTTCATATACCTCGGATACAGAGGATTCAATCACTGGACAGCCCGCTATTCAGAAGCTATTCAAGAAATGGTTAACACTGTTGCGCACACAACCACCTATTCAAGTGATTGACGAGGCTTTGGGAGGAGAACAGGTTCCACAAACAACAAAGCCAGAAACTGAAACGGAGATCCGGAAAGCAGAAAGCCTCCAGGGTACCAAAATTACAGTTTGGTCCTGGTTTTGGAGTCTAGACGCAGCTATCAAGATTCCATTGCTGTTATTGTAAGTATAAGCTTCAAAGCATCTTTTTCCTTTGTTTGATGAGGTGATTTAGAGTTAATTATCCTTAAATGCACACCAATTTAATCGAAAACTGTTTTAAGATAGATTCAAGAGTGGCGCAACGTTTTTCTTTTCCAAGTTCCTTATGTGTATTGCTTATACTTTTTACCTTGACCATTTTTGCAGTGTTCCAGCTTTCTTAGCTGTTAACGCAGTCTATGGAGCTGAAGTGTCAAAGGAGTTATCCCCTTTGTGGATGGCTGGTCCCTTGATCGTCGCCCTTTATATCAAACTGTTCCAAGGACTATGTGCTCTTTACGCCTTCTGCTTCAACCAAACCATCAAAATCATAAGAAATGTACCATCTTATTACCTTGTAGCATACCATTACATTTCCCATGGAAAGCTCAGAGACGACGTGAGAGCTCTAGTGAATCGACCAGTGGCGGCCATCAAGAACACTGACTACAAGGAGCTCAGACGCACCAAACTGAAACAGTTCCAAGAATGGATCATTGAGAAGTACTTGGATTTTGTTGAATCTGTATGGCCTTATTACTGCAGAACTATCAGATTCCTCAAGAGGGCTAACCTGATTTAAAGCTCTTCAACATGGAACCCTCATATTCTGACTTCTCTGGGCTTCTCTATGATCTGTATTTTTTTTTTCTTTCTCTGTGCTTTCTTGTTGCCTTTGAATTTACCTTTTTTGATTCATAATTTTAGAAAGGCTTTTCATGTTTACGCTGTTGTCTCTATGTATACTGTACCTTTTTTGAGGTTTCACAATGAGTTCTTTTACTAATAAGGTCTCACTTTAACCCATAGTATACATATCTATATACATTTATGTAGTCATGCCAAGAGATAAGACAACAGTGAAGACACTAGTGTTTTAAAAATCTCCTGTAACCTCTTTTAGCTTATGAAATCTGGTGGTAATGTTTCCTCAGTGAAGTACTCCTTTCTCACCGTCTCTGTCGAACAAAACTTGACCTTCACATCAAACCAACAACCAAAATTTAGTTGTTATATAAACATATGGTCAGGATTTGAGCTTAACCGAGAATAATCACAAAGCTAGTAATCCCGCAACACGGTGAGTTTGAGGATAGTAATAAGCAAATGATGCATCAAAACTAAGTAATTTGGTACGTGGAAGTTACCAGAGAGGCATATGACTTCACCACCGGTTTAGTGAATTGCCAAATCGGCTGGAAAATGAATGGAGCATCTACGAAAAGGACTTCATCCAATCGGCTTGGATAGTAATAGTAAAACACGTCAAACTGCAACAATAAAAACGATTGAAACACACAACAATAAGATCAAAGACTTGTCTTCTTTTTTTCAGTCACTAGACGATACCAAATCACTTAAACCTGTAACAAGAGATACAATACCAGAAAAGTCAAGAACTTGAGATCTGCGTTCTTAGATCCGAATCCACGAAGATCAAATATCCCAAGTATCTTGTGTTGTCCTGCAGGTAGCTTACTTAAAGCCTTTTCAAGCAAGAAGACACAAAGCTTTTCATCTTCTATTGGATCAAGCAGCTGCAAAACGCCATAAATTTCACAAATCCTCAGTTATTGTCGAAACTGCATTGCGGAAACTCAAATAATAATAATGATAACAATGGTGCGTAACTTGCCCCGGGGATGTGCTTTGCGGGAGCTACAATAACTACTGGTCGACCTTTGACATCAAGAAAACCATGGACATAGGCTTTCCCTGTCTCAGCAGCGGCTTTGACAGAATCTTCAGATAGTTCGTTTACTTTGAACTCATGACGCCATTTCTAAAGCTTTTAAGTAAAAGACCACGTAGGATAATCAACAAGATCATGGTACCAACAAAACACAAACAAACCATGATTTGATTTCTATCAACCGGTATGAGAAACATAATATAACCTCGTTGCCAACCTTTCAAGATTATAGAGTGACTGAATAAAATAGTACAAGGAAGAGAGGATACGATAGCTTTAGTTAGCTTTCCAATAGCTTCATCAACTGAGAATCTCCGGTCTTTCAAGAACCAGAGGATCATTTCCTCATCATCTCTTCCGTTTTTGCCAATCGGGAGACTCGTACAATCTTTTGCAAGCCGCTCTTTTACTTCCAGAACTAGCTGCACCACAAGTTGAACAACCCACATTTTCATTGCATAAAAACAATCTAATGTTTTTAAGTGATATCTTGCATACCATCACATTTTCAAGAAAATGCAAACTTCAAAAGAAGTTGTATGCAGCAAACAGTGAGCAAGAAAGAGACGAAAGAGAAGTAGTTGCCTCGTTTTCCAAACTTCAATCCTAAATGGATATTAGAACTCAAGAAACCAAATTCTAAGAAAAATAAATGTTTTTTTTTCCTCTCAGTCAAACCAAATTCTCGGACAGAAAACAGAGGATGTATTGCTTCGGATATAATCAGACAACGCACAAAAGCAGAAAGGCATATTACAAGAAACCTATTGCGTAACAAAAATTAAAACAGGTAACGTCTTCGTAAAAATTCATCCAATTTCCATGCTCTCTCCCTCTTTGCTTAAAAGAGAAAAATACCTTGTGAGATTCAGACACGCAACTCCGGACGGAGAATCTGCAGTTCCGGGATCGATTAATGTACAGATTCTTCGAGTTTCTGAAATTGACTGAAGCAGCTACGAGGGTTGAGCCCAAACGGATCGACATTGAGGGGAAAAGAAAACCCGTAAACCCAGGAACAAAGAGAAAAGGACGAAACTTTTAGTCTTGAGGAAAATTTGATCAATGAGAGATTACAATGAACAATTCAGAAGTTTTCAGAAGGTGGGCTTTGTTCACCACAGAAGACGAGTTTGGGTGGTGAATTGTCACTTTGGAATTTGGAATCTTCCGGATTTTATAGATACAGAAGCAGAAGAGAGCCTTATGGTTTTGCATCTCCCTTTTATAGACAGACGCGCACACACTTGCTTCTTATGATACCGAAATTTATCTGGATTTGGATCCGGTTCAGAGTCTCGGATCCGGTTCAATGTCTGGACTCTGGTCGGATTGACTTTTTACTCGTATAACTTTTACTCACTCCAGTAATTACTATGTCAAATATTTAATGGCTTGTCATCAATAGAGCTCATGGTGGAGATTTTGGTTTTTGTGGTAATGACTGCCATTGGAGGGGAAGCACGTATCAAACATGAACTCAAATGTGCACTGAAATGCTACAATCCGAAGAACCAAAAAGTATGATTGATTTTGCTCTTTTATATTTGTTTGATTCGATCAATTTAATACATAGTAATTTTGAAATAATAAATTGTATTGGCCAAATTAAAATCCATCTAATCAAAAATATTTTAAGATGTTGTTGTTGTTGTAATTTAGAAAGAAATCTTGTAACTTTTACGTTTTTATGGCCTTTAAATACTTTGACTAAAAGAGTATGATTCAGTTTGCTCATATATATGTGTGTTTTGATTTGATAGATTTAAACAAAACAAAAATTAAATAGCAGACTGTGTTGACCATATTTAAAACCAACTAAATATATAATGATTTCAAGATAAATTATAAGATCTGGCTAGTTTATAAATAAAATTTGGGAACTTAAATATTTTCATTATTTGTTTCACTTCATAAGTATGATTGATTTTGGTTATTTCTAGTTTATAATATTTGATAAGTAATTTAATAAAATGTAATATATTAGAAGTGAGCTATATATATGTGTGATTGATAGCTTCCATTGAATATAAACATATATAAGTTTTAGGGAAACAAATTTGATTAAGTAGAGAAAATGGAGAACAAATATTGGAGTATCGTGATGATGGTGTTCGTTTTGATGGTGATGCTTGCCATTGGTAAAAAAGAAAGTCTTTTATGTGTATTTAAATGTGAAATACACTGCAAATTACAAGTCGCTTCACATTGCTTCACACGGTGTGTCAACGAGCGATGCAGGCACCTGCAGCCACCTACAAGGACCTTTCACTCAATTTCACGCTCGCAGTAAATCTCTCTTTCCCACTCTGTGTATAAGCAGTTTACGTGTGTGTGTGTGTGTAGGGAACTTGACATGGTTTTTATGGTGATAAATCATGCAGGATGAAGACAAGAGGGATGGAAGAAATGAGAGGCTAGAGATCATTTCTGAAGTTGTCATCAATCATGCTGGAATTTAATTTCCTTTTATTTTCTTTCAATATTACGTAAACAAACAAAAAAAAAACCATAATACTTGCTTACCAAAAAACAAAAAACAAAAAACCATAATAAAATGAATAATAAGAAGAAGAATATTTAATTATATTCATGTGAAAAATGGGATGAACAAATATTATAAGTCTAATTTCAACAAGGTATTTGGGAGAACATATATGTATCTATTGATATGTATAATTATCTATTTGTTTCACTTATTGTCGTTAACTTAATTTTACGGTTATCAAAGTTATAATTAGACGAAAAGTTATCTTTTAAAAAACTAGTCAACTTACTTTTATTACAATTTATGTCACTTTCTTATGCATTTTTTTAGAATTCTGAAGTCAATGTTCAACATTTATATATTAATGACCTGGTGTATATAGAGCTATTTAACTGAAACAAGACAAAGAGGTCATCATTACATCTTTATATATAGAGAGAAAGCTTTCATTGAGTATATATACAGTATATACATATATATGAGTTGTTCAAATTAAGAAGAGAAATGGATAACAAATCGAAAATGGTGATGATGATATTTGTTTTGGTGGTGATGACTGTCATTGAAGGAGAAGCAAACAATGACGAGATATGTTCACTTCAATGTTCAATGAACTGTCTCGATCCGGAGTTAAAAACACCTTGTTATATACGTTGTATGAAGGCATGCAACCTTTCATTCAACTTCTCCCTCGCAGTAAATCTCTTTTTCTTTTCTCTTTCTGTATATGTATATATATATATATATGTATATAGTTATATGTGTATGCTATAGTGAAACTGATATGATTTTTATGGTGATAAATTAATGCAGGATGATGAAAAATTAGAGAGAATGCAAGTGTTTCATGTGTATTTAAATGTGAAATGCACTGCAAAATACTAATCGCTTCACATTGCTTCAAACGGTGTGTCGACGAGCGACGCAAGCACCTGCAGTCACCTACAAGGACCTTTCACTCAGTTTCATACTCGCAGTGAATCTCTCTTTCCCACTGTAGATATGCAATTTACGTGTGTGTATAGTGAACTTCACGTGGTTTATATGGTGATAAATATTATGCAGTATGGAGATTAGAGGGATGGAAGAAATGAGAGGCTAGAGATCATTTCTGAAGTTGTCGTCACGAATTATGATGGAATATTCTTTTATTTTCTTCATTCGTTCATCATTAATAGATAAGAGATCTCTTCATTCGTTCTCAATTTGACTTTGAGTTAAAAATCCATGCATAAAACCTCACGTTCAAAGCAAAGATAATCAAAGTTTACCTATTGCTAATTCAAATTAAACTAAAAATGTTATACTGTTTTTCCTAAACATGTTTAGTTCGGGTTTAATTAAAAAATCAATTATGGAATACATAAATTCTATTTGTTTCAAGGATATATATAATCCATCAATATCACAATTTTTTTTGGATTATCTCCAAAAATTTCTTATATCATTAAATCATAATAATTATTTACTGCAGAATCAAATTTTTTTTTTTACTGTACAAACCTGTCTTTACCCTTTATGGGTTTTAATACTGCAGGATCAATTACATACCAATTTTGTGAACATACACGTGTTTGACTTTTAGTAAAACACTTTTTTATTACTGCAATTAGTAGTTTATATTTTTATCTCTAATTTGTGTATATATATTAGTTTAACTTCGCAATCTTACTACAAAAACAAAATTGTATATTTCTATCATTAATTTTTTTTTAAATCGAACAAATTAAAGTGGGAGACATATATACATATATAGGCTAAAAAGAAGAACACGTCATTTTATACACAATAATATCTAATATATATTTAGTTGGGTAAATTATATGTAGTACTCATCATGTAATCCACATGGTCGTTAACTTAATTTTACTGTTATCATGGTTATAATTAGACGGAGATTTTATTTTGAAAAACTAGTCAACGTTCTTTTAATATATGCATGTCACTTTCTTAAGCGTATTTTAAAGTTCTCAAGTCAATGTTCAACGCTTACATATTATTGGCCTGCCATATATGGAGGTATTTAACAGAAACAAGACAAACAGTTCGTCATTTCATCTTTATATAAAGAGAGAGAGCTTCCTTTGAGTATATATATTAGTATTACAAATAAATTGTTCAAATTAAGAAGAGAAATGGATAACAAATCGAGAGTGGCAGTGATGATGTTTGTTTTGGTGGTCATGGCTGCCACTGGAGGAGAAGCAATAAATCATTTTTGTTCATTTCAATGTTCAATGACGTGCCACGATATTGAGTTCACAACACCTTGCTACAAACAGTGTATGATCGCATGCGACCATCGTCCACTTGCAACTTTTCACTCAACGTCTCACTCGCAGTAAATCTCTCTCTCTATATATATACATGTGCATGTATGAACTTATGTGTGTATGCTAGAGTGAAAAATTGACATAATTTCTATTATGATAAATAATGCAGGATGATGAAGACTAGAGAGACAAACAAAATGAGATGATAAAGATAGCTTCAGAATTTATCATAATGATTTTATCCCTTTTATTTTCTTTTTACATATAAATGAAAATCTACTATTAATAATAATATATTAAAAAAAGTTTCTTATGTTCATGTGAAAAAGTTTCAAACAAAGATTATAAGAATGTGATCAACAAAGTATATGGGAGAGCATATATGTGTGTCTAATTGTCTATTGTTATGCAAAAACAATGATTTGTGGTCAAATTTTGACAATGGTTACAGTTAAAATATATAAATTAAAATAAATTAGCTTAGAAAATTAGAAAATGTATTATTTTATCATAAAAATTACAAAAAGGAGAAAAATATATTATAATTACAAAAGGAAAATAAAAAAAAAATTAAATTTTAGTTTAGAAAATTATACAATTCATTATTTATCCTAAAAATGATACTTCAATTATAGAAGAAAATAAAAATAAAAGTAAATAAATCTTTTTTCAGGAAAATATACAATTATATACTAATCATAAAAATGAATAGAATTTGAGTTTAGGAAAATATACAATTAAATATTAATCCTACAATAAAATGAGAAATAATCTTAACATCTATATAAACAGCTAAGTTCAAATATGATACAAATAGATATAATTAAATAAATCTTCAGTTTAAGAATACAATCAAATATTAATCATAAAATGTTTTTTTATAACTTTTCTATAAACAGCCAAAGTCAAATATGATACAAATAAATATAACTAATTAAATCTTCAATTGAAGAAAATATATAATCAAATACTAATCATAAAAAACAAATCTTCAATTTAAGAGAATATACAGACATATACTAATCATGAAACATTAATATAATTTATGTCACTTCCTTGTGCATTTTTTTAGAATATATTTAAAAGTGATTCAAACACAGATTATAAGAATATGATCAACAAGTTATAAGAGAAATGTATATGTATATCTATTGACATTCAGAAACAAATGACCTATAGTCCATATTTTCTTAAAACTAGTGCATAGTCCTGATCTTACTCCTTTTGAATTACAATATTGCACCCTTCTAAATTTTGTGGTTACACATGAAATTATCAAATCTTTATTTTTCCTTTTATTTATAGTCACTTTTCATCAAATCTTTGTTTTTACTACACCCATTTCAATTTGGTAGATACATTATTTTGTTTATTAAAAGTTGAAATTTTAGATAGATTTTGGAATCCATGTTTGAACAATTGCATAAGAAATGGCTTCGCTTAGATTGGGATCAGCGTAACTAGATGACATAAATAGAAAAAAAGATCTGATCATTATACCTCGATATTATGTATGTAACTTTTAAACAAAGTAATATTATCATTTACATATAAAAGAAAGGACTAGGCTCTATTTCAATGCAAAATAAAATAGAACTGAATATGGAGTCATTCCACTATTGCTCGGTGAAATTCATACCAATTCTGTATAATTTTGGAATCAAATTGAGGCTTATTATAATTTAAAGTATTAAGGAACATTTAAAAGAAGACAAGACAGAAATACAAAGCACAAATGAAATGGTCACAAAGAAATAAAAACACCAATAAAGTGAGAGAGATTTCTTTATTAAAATTTCAAAAAGGAAACAGAGCTTTTTATTCATCACCTGAGTGGAATAAACCTGGTGGAACGGCGGTAACAACCGCAGCCACATATACGCGGCCTATAGTGATTAACTTTCTTACAAGTCATCGAAAACTCGGCAAGATAATGACCGATCATCTCAGGTTTAATCACGACTTCGTTAAATTTCTTCCCGTTATGAACTCCGACAACACTTCCGATCATCTCAGGGACAATGATCATGTTCCTTAGATGTGTTTTCACTGCTTCAGGCTTCATGTTCTCGCCACTTGCTTCTTTCTTCGCCTTTCGTAGCTTCTTGATCAAGATCAGAGCTTTCTTCTTTAATCCTCTGTAGAACCTCCTGCGAACACGTGCGTTGAAGAGCTTCGCGAGATCAAAGTTGGACATTTTCAGGAGAGCATCTACGTTGAATCCTCTGAATGAGAATTTCTTGAATGTTCTCTTCTTCGTCGCCAATGCCACAGCCGTGGCAAACTCTGGTTCGTAACGTTCGTTGATCGGCATTGCTGTTAGAATTTGGATTTTTCTGCAGAAGGATAGAATATGCCATTAGGGAATGGTGAAGTGACAAATCTTTGCCTTTCTTCTCTACTATTTATACAAAAATGTTGGAGATATCGAAAATCTCGGAGATCGACTGAAATATCGGAAACTGACCAAAATATCAGAAATTATTGACCGAGTATATAAAAGATATCAACTAATTTAAATCATTCCTAATCTAGTAATCTAATTTTATGGCTAAGTATGTCAAGGTCATTAATTAGTGTAAGATTTTTATTGTATTTTAGTTATGGTTTTCAAAATGTATTTATTATTTATAACTTCATTTTGATTTATATATATTACCTTCTCAAAAAATATCTTTGAATATCATCAATTAATTAAAATTCCTAAACTATTGATCTAAATTAGAAAAAAAAAAGTGTAAAAATATTGAATTGGTCTAACCCGGTTTTTACTCAATTTTTGGTAAAATGAAGGTGAAAGCAAATGGTCAACATTACATCCATCAAATTTGGGCTAAAAATGCTTGGGCCCGATAATCCAATTATGGACGGATAAAAGCTTAGGCTCAATAGTCTGGCGAATCCAAATTCCAAAATGTGCTGCAACTTTTGCAAATATCCAATAGATGTTGTAAGGGTGATTACTATAATTACCCTTAAATTGAATTCATATAATTTTACGGAAGTTACAATTTAGAAATTACCGTAATATTTAGTGAGTTATTAATTGCAATGAAAAAAAAATCAATAAAACATTAAAACATCAATTGACCTAATTAAAGGGGGAATGCGAATTTGATTGTGTGCATGTGAAATTACCACAACACAACCGTCAAAATTAGTTAGCTAGTTCATTCAATAAACATATCACTCAAAATTAAATTTCAATTTACGCCTTAACCATTATTCCAAAAAACATACGAGTTATATCGAGTCCAATATGAGAAATGCAAACAAATGGCTTTCCATAAATCTTCCTCATGCGTAGTATATTATCAGTAGAAACAAAGAAAGATTTGCTCATTTCATTTCTATCTCTCTCTCTCTCTCTCTCCTTCCCTCTAAAGACCAAAGAAACGAGAGATATGAGGAACAAGTGGAATTTGATGATGATGACGACGATCTTGGTGGTGATGGTGATGGTAATAGCCATGGAGGAAGAAGCAGAAGGATCATGTGAATCAGGCTGTGTAATCCATTGCAGCGGCCGTGTATGGCCCTTAAGCGAGATCTGCCGAGATTCGTGTCTGGTCGAGCAATGCAACTATCCACCTGAAATCAAGAAGGAGAAAGCATCATTCTCTATGCTAGTGTACGCAAATATACTCGTGATTTTGTCTCTGTGTATATCTAGGTGTATAGCTCTATGTATAGCTAAATGGGCAAGGTACATCGGCTTATATCGGGACTTGGAGAGAAGGCTTGTGTAAAATCTTTTCAAGAAAATCTAATAAAATCTATCAAAAGGCTATAGCCAAATGTTTTCAGTGTGATCTATATCATACTTCTTTTGTTTCTTTTAGAAAAAATTTAGTTAAAAGCGCGAAATTTTGAAATTACTTACTATTTTATTTAATTTAAAAATGCGGGAATTTTAAAATGATATGAATTATCATTTTTTGTATATCTAAATCAATTATTTAATTTTAAACTAAAAACAACTAAGCCAGTAAAGAAAAAAAACTGTATAAAACAAATGATCATAAAAATATAGCATTAATATAAATTTTTAGATTGATATTTTACAAAAATAAAATAAAATAAAACAAATAAAACTTCGAAAACATCTTACAAAAAAAGAACAAATCTGCCCCTTTTGATCTTAAAAAAACTTGTATCATGATATTCTTGCTCTATGTGAATTATTGTGTGGAATAAATCGTCTGTCTGTATTGAATCTTGGTCTACATGAGTATTTGTTTATCTAACGATTCAAAAGCCTTCAACATTTTTTAAAAAAAGGAAAAATTATTCTTATCTTTAACACAAATGTCAAACGCATACGTTAATAGGAGATTTCGTTAACGTCATGTTGCTGCACTATGCAAAACGGTTACGAAAAATTGTATATATTTCTAAAATTATGATAAAAAAATTCCTTTGTGAAAAATGTAACGTACATGCAAAAATTACGTTTGGAATGTTTCTTCCTTCCATATATCTGCACAATACTAAGAAAATGTGGAAATTCATAGAAAGTAACTAATATGAAATCAACAGAAGCAAATGAAGACTCGTCATTTCATTTCTATATATAGAAAGAGAATTTCCACGGAATGTTTACGACATTAAAAAAAAATCGATTTATATGTAAAATAGAAAAATCCAATAAGATCAATAAAATAGCACATATATGTTCATGCTAAGAGATGGGATGAACAAGTAATATAATGGTCTATCATTTCAACAAGATCTTTTGGAGAACATATTTGCCTCTTTTGATCTGCAAAGCCTGTCATCTTTGGTAATAACTCTTTCGAAAAGAGAACCTGATTTTCTTCTTCCTTGTGAATCATTGCATATGTTCTTCCCATGTCTCTGCACAGTCTGAGAAACTGTAGATCATCTTCCAGTGTTTCTCTCAAGTCCAGGTACACATCCGTTGCAGTTACGCCGCCTGCAGATATCATCATCATCATGGTTTTCTGGATAGTCGAGAGATTCAATACCAGATTCTGTGCCACTGCTGATGAACATGGACTCAGGGTTTCTTGTTTGCCAGAGTAATACTGCAGTAAAACCATGTTGCCCAAAGAGAACCGTGACATGAAGATGAAGAAGTCATTCAAATTCATTCCTGTAGAGGAGAGAAGAGAAAAGGTCAAAATTGGGATGCTCATGTTCATTGATCTCAAAGTTATCTTTCGAATATACGTTTATCAAAACAATTACAGTTTACTTAAAGATTCAGCTGTTCACTATTGCACACTGAGTTTCCCTAAACATACTACACAGATAGCTACACCTTCAACATTAGACTTTTTTCACTCGAATGTTCCCAGATGAATAACCACAAGGAGCTACCCTCAAATTATGAAAGGAGCTGAACAGGGGAAAATAAAGACACGGGTCTGTGAAAATGAAATGTGTTAAGCATGCACCTGTGTTGGCAGCAAGATTACGCTGGCAGAGAGCTTCAAAATCATCAGAGATGTCTCTTATGTCTTCTATGGACTCTTCAGTGTCCTTGTAGTCCCTCCACAGTAGATCCCACTGAAATTCGAACAAACATCAGTACTTCATCTTTTTAGTTCAGTTGCATTTTTTTCCTTATAAACAAGTAAAAATGCCCTTACCACCCAAGATAGGTTGTATGCGTTGAGCCAATTGTGGTTTATAGATATTGTGTCTTCCTGTAAAAATATTTCAGATAATTCACCAACACGTTGTTGTCATCGTATACATATAAACAGAGGGAGAGAGAGAGAGAGAGAGAGAGAGAGTATATACCAAGTTATATACTTGATGGTGCCATCCACTGGGAACAAAGATAATTTCACCAGGTTCTTGAATGCACTCAAGCCAAGTAGTCTGAATGCAAACCAAAAAACGCGCATGAAACACATTGTGAAGTAATATCTTACAGATTGATATCAGGACCAGCTGATTTACCTCCTTAAAACCTGGGAATTTAGTTTCATTCACCCCTTCAAAGATGTTGTAGACGCAATTATTCAGGTACCTGAAAATATCATCTAACTATAATGATAACTCGACAATACACAGACAGGTTACTTGACCAATAGGAGAGAAACGCTTGCCTGTCATAAACAAGATGACTTTGAGAAGGAGGGAGAAAAAGCCATCTCTTTTTACCACATACGTTAGCTGACCAACTATAAGATCTAAACACATCAGCGTGTAGAGGTGTCCAAGATCCTGCAAGGCAAAGAGTTGAGAGATTATCAGAGCTTTGTCTCAAGTAAAAAAAACACTCAAACAACACCATTTTTTTCACTCAGACCTTTTCCACCCATATAAACAAAGCGATAATCAGAGCAGCTTATTTGATCGTACTTCTGAGAACTATCTCTATTCTCGTGGATATGGTAATTGTCAAGATACATGTTCAGCCAGTCATCACAAAACAGCCGTGGCGTTTGGTAAGCCGTATAGTCTGGATACTCCTGGATTTTAACAAGAATCAGCACAACAACTCTCAGATTGAATCAGTTCTCTGTTTGCTTCATAACAAGAATCAGCACAACAAGCTTGTGAGATAACCTCAGATATGCACCTTGACAAAGTGCCAGTCTTTCAGATACAAAACAGACTTTCCATCGTCACAATCTTTTCTTTTGTCCTCAATAGAATCATTCGTCCACTGTTGGACAAATTCCATAACAGACATTTCTAGTCTTTTCTGATCTGAATATTCTCTCGTATCACAATCTGCAACCTGCAAGTGACCAACACACACAAAAGAAAAATTCAAAGAAGACAAACTACTACGATACTATGCTCGTTACACAAAACTTAGCCAGAAAATCAAGCGAAGTTTGATCCTTTCCTTCAAAATTTGGATATGGAAGCTTAAGCAAAGTTGAATAGAGACACTTGGACGGAATCAAAGCCGTAGAGTACCTGAACTCTGGAATTTCCGAAGTGGGTGGCAAAGAAGTGGAGATTAGGGAGTCCATTCTCGGTGACCCAATCTTCCCGAGCTCGCCAATCGTCAGTGAGATCGGAGATTACCACCGGCTGGTTCTCGGCCAAGTATCTCTCTGCAAAATCCCCGTAACTCAGCTCTTTACCATCAATTTTCTCGATTTCGCCTACAATTTTTATTCCCATTTCCCCTCCACTCTCAGAAGTTTTAGAGAATCTTCTTCGCTCCCAAAGGCCTGCCTCGTTTGAAATTGAGAATCTCCGGTCAAGTCGCCGGAGAAGTGGTTGATGCTACAGTTTCAAAAACCGCTGCGTTTAGTCAAAAATCTCAAAATACTTAAAACGCTGCGTTTAGGGAGGCTTAATTGGTACGGCCCATTTAGAGGTCCAATATTGGTCTCATTATTATGATAACCGGTGACGTTTTTAACATCTGAACATGAGGAGATGTAAATACTTTAGATGGCGGGCAAAACGGTGACGTTGTTGTTCAAAACAAAGAAAGGTTTCTGATTAAAGTTTCCTCAAAATGTGTCGGTTGGATTCGTTAATGCATATCTCAACTGGAGTATATTATAGTCAAATATTAGTCAAAAGACGCATAATAAACCTTTAGCTAATCATTATCATCCCCTCTTTCTGCTTATAAGACATGAAACTATAAATGCTAATTAACTACAAATATTCTTTAAAAAAATATTCTACAAAACTCACTTCAAATATTCTACAAAACTCACTTCAAATATTCTTTAAAAAACCTAACTAGAACTCTTTCATGAAATCATGAATCAGTCAATCATTTTTTGGGCTTCGTTCAATGCATGCGGCTCTCTAATAGTCATGGTTGTTACTATATATTCATTTCAGATATGATATTTAAATGACACGATATGGCTTGAATAGTTTGGAAATTTCAGATCTTATGAATCCTGAATAGTGCTTATGATTGACAAAAGAGTTGCCAATAATTGCTGCCATGATTCTCTTTCAAAGGCATGCATATAAATAGCAGCAACAACAACAACACATTAATGGACTAAGTGTATACCAATAATGAATGAGAAAAATAGTTACTACTTGCTAATGCTGATGTTTAAATAATCGATTAAGAACAATAGAAGGGATGGGGGAAAAAATAATCTCCTACCTTTTTTTTGGTTAAATTTTGATTGTTACATGTGGAAAAATAATTACTCTCAATAAGTACTTATCATTTCCCATTTTTAGTTTTTTACTGTTGAATCCTACTTTATTTTCCCGCAAATCTAGAAATGACCCAGCAGCATTGCGAGAAAACAAATATTAGATGGAATTCAAAAAGAAAACATAATCCAATTCCAAATCTAAAGCCACTATTATTAGAATCTATAGAGACAATGGTCGGCGGTTATAACACTAATAAATTATTCAATCATTATTGAATCCTAATATTCTTGGAATCAATGATTGAAAGGCTAAAGATCATATATTATCAAACGCACCAACTATATATTACAAATTATTAAAAAAAAAAAAATGGAGTCATAACCTTTTGAGCTAGTCCAACCGTAATCAAATAATGTTGAAACATGAATAAAAAATCAACTACATAAGCTTTTAAACTAACATCGGTCCAGAGCCAATGCATGGGTTACTAATCTGCAAGCCATAAGGTATGAAATAAATAGGCTTTAATCCTTGAACTTTGAATTTTGACAATAAACGAAGCTACAATTCTCGTTGCTTTTATAATTAGTTTATTTTTTTTTTTTCTTAGGTTTGCTGATATATATATTCTACAGTTGAGTGTAAAAAAGTCGCAAAAGGACCCGCAATGTACAATGTAAAAGAAACTGTCTTGTTGAGTTTTGTAATTTAGTTGAAAGGCAGAAACTCAGAGTTTGCTTCCTTTTCACGTCTTTAAAGACATCGATTGATTGATGGGTTTGATGGATTCTCGATCTCTTTCTATTATTTTCTCCACGACAATATATCCAAAAGTTAATTTTCATATATTTATATTATATGTTTAAAACTATTTCAAGACGTTGTTAGACCTCAAATGCGCATATCATCTCTAATTAGTTGTTAATTATTTTCATTGGATACTAATATAAGGACGTACAAAAAGGCAGACATTTGTTCTTTTTCGGCTTCGGTGAATTTATGGTTGGGCCTCTAGATAGATGAAAACGGCGAGAGTCAAATTATGGGCTTAATATGAAAAACAAATATAGAATTATATACTAAACCACGCATGTTTAGTTAACTAGATTTGGCAAAACAAAGTTAATATTAATTCACAAGCTTTGATGAAGCCGTCTTTCGATTCGATTCATATAAAGTTTGGCTAATAATTAGGCATTATGAAAAAGAAAAAAAAATGTATCCACACCATCCCTTTACTGTAATGTAAGATTTATTCAACAGCAGCTGCATGGTACTGGCATTTTGTAGATGTGGTTTGGTTACTCGTATTTTTCTCTTAAACCTAATTGCTCTTTTAATTTAAGAAATATATATACTTTATCAATATATTGCTTCTTTTAAAAAAAACATTAAAAACGAATTATAGCGTATCTGAGTGTTTAGATTAATCTTTAGTTATATAACATCGTCGTTTTCTTGAATTGTCAAGAAAAAATATTATGAAATCAAATACAGTCTTTTAATTAGTTTAAAACGACTATACGGCAACTATTATTTTGTCTCTGTACGGACTTTTAATCCCGAAATCGTCATTTTCTTGTATTGTTACATCAATTTCACTACTCATGACTTGGACTATTTTTGGTATATCATGAATTTCACATGATAACTCCATTATCGGATACCCCCAAAAAAGAAGACTTCAAATATTATTTTCATCTATACTCGAATGCATTAACGATCACATTTTATATGATTTGTTATCTGAAAAGGCTGCACACACCATTATATATTGATTACCAATAAAATTTATTTTTTTTAAAAAGGAAAAGGAAACTTCGTAGTCCACATGCCTAGCCGTCGCTCTACAGATTAATTTTCACTCCAAAAAATGCAAAACTAATAATTTGATAGCACCAAAGAATCAGTAGAATATAAACTTATATATACATCTAAATATCTATTTATTAGGTAAGCAAACTTACGAAGAACACCACCACTTCTGAATATAAAACACCACCACAATTTAAAAACTGAGGATGACCTGATGTTTTATTATTAGTCGAATAAGGTAAACTAATAATAAGATAGCATCCATTATTCGTACCCTTAACTTCTCTCAAAACACCACACATAACTATGATCCAACCAAGCAGGGATATTATAACATTCAGCACCATATTATATATCCCATCATAAACGCTAAGAATAAAATCATATAATTCACAATGGTGCTAATCGCCTAATCCCAGTAACGAAGTTATCGTGTTTCTTATTAGCCTAAACAACCAGTTGTAGCTAAGATATCGCTACACACCAAACGGATCATAATAATCAAAAGTCACAAGATATATATATATATATATATATATATATATATATATATCAAATCATAAATAAATAAAAAGAGTCCATGCATTTATAATTCGCCAGAAAAAAATTCCAGCTTATTATATAGTATTCGTACGTACCACACACACATACACACAAATGAAGAAAGAGAGAGAGATGGAGCACACATAATTTATATATAAACCCTCACATGTTACCTCCTTGCTGATCATGGCCATTGCTCCAAGGAAGAAAAGTCCCATACGACCCTCCGGTACCACGTGGCAGCTGGGTCATCACCGGACTTGCCCCCGGAAGCCTATAAACCGGATTCAACGGCTGCGGCTGCTGCGGTGGAAGCGGCTGAGGTTGAAACACCAAGTCAACGACGTTGTCAGGTGTTGACGTGGACAGACCATAATGTGCCAAGTCAGCATTAGCCGCGTCGAGCTCCTTCTGAAGCCTGTGGACTTGTCTCTGGAGATAAGAGATGGCTCCGACGCAGCCATAGACGGGATCACGGACACGTGCCTCGGCCTCATAGGCTAAGGAGTTGACTGCGTCTTCACGCTGGTGAGGGAGGAGCTCGTTGAGGAGCTTCGTGACGTTGCTTGCTCCGAATATTTTGTGAACGTTGGCGAATTTGTGTGGCTCCTCCGGTGGGAAATATGGCGCGAATATGCATCCCGGCATGCATTTCCGGCGAAGAAACTTGCACGCCGCGCATGGTGAGTTGTATGTGTTTGATGACGACGACGCCATTTCTTTTTTGGTTTCTTATACCTAATATTAAGTTTGAAAGTCATTTTATCATTAAAACAAACCAAAAATAGTTATAAATAAAAACACACACACATATATATGTGAACTAGCCCTCGTTCGAAAATATATGAACCTTTTTTCTACATAATTACATATATATATATATATATAATTTGAATTTGCTAGAAAAAGACGAAACTCTTAGTCCTAGGTTTAATTTAGAAGTTGTGTTTCTTCTATATTACTACATTTCGAAAACAAAGTAATTTCGATTATTTAGCTCCTCTTTTTTTTTTTTAATTTCTAGCATGTACTTAGTTTTTCAAAAAAAAAAAAAAAAAAATTCCTAACTACTTAGTTTTACCTGACACAAACGTATACATGCTGGAGAAGCGTAGAAAGGAACATAACATGTCTAACATCAATCTAAGGAAAAATTCAGTTAGAAAAAAAAACAAAAAATCTAAGGAAAACAAAAACGATACATATTTACAAAACCTAAATGTCTTCTTTTTGTGTGTGCAAAGAACCTAAAGGTCTTCAGGTTGAAGATTTAGTAAATAAGTTAGGAACACAGATTCACCACGACATTCTGGTAAATTGATATATAAGTTTAGTTTCACTGGGCGTTTTGTGTTTTTTCCATCATTTTTTTAATAAATTGAATTCAGACTCTTATTTTTGTTAATAAACCTCATTAACGTAATCTGTAAAGCTTACGTTTAAAGTATATACATTATTATGCTTATTTTTAAGTACTACATAAATGTGATTTACGAAATTTGGTCTAATTTATATATAGATAAACATCATCACTTAATTAGCCACAAATCAAATTGCTTATTACATACAGATCATAGCTTCTACCTATAGAGGCATTAGGAATCCCTTGATTTAAAGTAAAATTTAGTAAATTTCTGTTATCAGAATTTTCTTAACAGAGTTTATATATATATCTCCACACAGACTTTGCTTTCTACGTGTTGATCAGCTAAGACAGATCAGTTCAAACTATTATGAGAGTGGAACTGTTCGAACAAACTCTTTTGGATAAAAAAAAGTTAGTGGTTTTTTTTTGTAACGTCAGATCGATGAGTTTGTGTATCTCTCGCGGTGTATATATACACATAAATACTAGATTTTTAATGCATATATATACGTAGTACACGTTTTACAAAGATTAAAATTTCTTTTCTTTGTGATTCAATTGTGCCCTTATCATCTCCATCTTGCCCTCTCCCTCAACCCTAGCTTTGTTAAAAAAAAAGTAACTATCTTAAAAGGGAAATTTAGTGAGAATTCTTTAAATCCTATTTGTAATTAAGCCTTAAAATTAATCTTGGACGTCATAGAAAATTGAAATTTCAAAATTTGTCTTTTATAAATCAGTTGGTTAAACTCTGTCTCTCTCCCCTCTCTTTCTCTATATTTCTCCTTCATGAAGCAATTCCACTAACTTCTAATCAATCCTAATCGGGAAATGTATATAAACTTTAGATCTAATCTTAATTAGGTCAACTCAAAGTGATCACATATTTCGATGAAGGTTTAATTTACACATGTATATGCTAATATCCTTTTCTCGTATGCTAAAATTAGATAACCTTTAAAGCCTATCTCGGGGTAGAAATTCAAAGGAAAGTGACAGAAATATAAAGTGGAAAACACATATAGGCAATTGCGCATAGAACAAAGAACATGGAACATACAAAGAACAAAAAAATAGGATAGAAAAGGATTATCTTTGATGATCGGACGCTATGCATACATCTAGGGATTTATTTAGATACATATATACATACACACATCAAAGCAATATAGAGTTATATAGATACCTGCCTTTAGATCTTTAGGTTCTTTGAGGATCTAAGTGTATCTTTCTTCCTCTTTCAAGGGCTTTTTTTGTTTCTTACCTTTGAAAATTGCTTAGAAAGTAGATATAGTAGGCTTGACTCTTTAGTCAATGAGAGGGATATATTAGGGTTTTAGTCCGCTCAAAGAAAAGAGTATCAGAACCCTAATTTCAAGAAGGAATTGAGAAAGATTGTATAGAAACTGAGAATTTAAAGGAATCAAACAAACAAATAAAACGGGGAAATAATGTAAGAGAATTTTTTTAGTGGAGAAGAAGGAGAAAGAGCAAAAGACAAAGTGTAATAATAACAAATGAACAATTAATAAACAGGAAGAGGAGGAGAAGGTATGTCCCTTAAAGAATGACTATGACATTTCATCTCAAGAATAATAGTAATGTCATTCACTGTGCTCACTTTTGTCTCCCAATAAATTAATTTGTTTAACTTTAGCTTTTGTAATTTTTCTTCATGCATTTAATGATAACAATATTCCCTAATAGTCTCAAGATCAACCCTAAGCTACCCAGTCACTAATCATTGTGTATATATACCCTATGATCTCTCTATACATGTCCCGCTGATGGCCAACTTAAGACTTGAAGCCTTAGGAAACCATAAATGTCTCCATCAAATATCGACTTTAATTGAATTTGATCACAAGAAACCCTGATTTGCAATGATGATTTTTAAAGAACATATTGTTTAGAATTAATATTTAATGGTTTTGGCAGAACAAACGATATTGTAGGTACACATCTTGTGAATATATGATAAATGGTCACTGTGTTCGTACCGTTACAAAAAGATCTTCACATCCTAAAATTAATTAACTGAAATTTTTTTTTTCTAGTTGTGGCAAAATAACTAATTAGTTCAATCGGAAAAGAATATATATGAACAAGAATAAACTCTTGAGATCTCAAAGTAGATAGGTAGAGACAGGAAATCAGTAAATGTCAAGAGATTTCATGTGAGCGCAAGTCAAGTTTCAATAGGTTTTGTAAAATCAAACTTTTGTAATGAAAACAAAAAACTATGAGGGGGGTCCAAAGAGTTTTAAAGATATAGCTAGGGTTAGTATCAACAGTTACTTGTGTTAGAGTATATATTATTGGACGTGACAACCGAAAGTGACATTTGTAAAAGTGACTTCTTCTTATTTAGCTCTTGCACCATTTTTAATCACCGATCGAAGGATTTTAGCCGAAAGTCCGATTAATTATCAAAGTTGTCCGGTGACATTATTTGACAAGAGTTTCCCACAAACTCACCTTGAATAAAACATTCGGGCCGAAACTTACGACTTCAAATGGGATTCGATTCAAATATAAATGAAGCCGAGTAATATAGAGTTGTTGTTTTCTAATTTAAGCTAGTAGTTTGAGCCGACGCTCTTGGAACGCTGTTATTGTAAATTAAGCTTCGGAATGCTTTCAAGATACAGTTAGAAATTTTTTTGCTTTTTAAGATCCATTAGATTATTATTTTTTGTCAAGTTATGATGGTGGTTAGTGGTGGGAATTTAGTAATTTCCTAAAGTGAAGCATCTAGGCTTTTTCACCAGACTAATGTCATCATTTTTTTAAAAAAAAACTTAATTTTGTGACTAATATACAGAATTAGGGTTCGAAAATAGAGGTCCTATTATTTGCTAAAAGAGGAAACTAGTCTCGTACTCCTTGCTAAAAGAGAAAGCATTTATCTTAGTATTTACTAGGATACAGAAATTTGGTTTATATCTAATTCAAAATTTATCCATATGGCTAAACATCAGTTATATGTTTAAAATTTGTTGAAGGTCTATGATTAGGTTGGTTGGTTTATTAATTCCAACATAAATCTTGAAAAAAAATTCGTGGATACCGTTGTCAAGATATTAGTGTGGACTTTTATTCAAAATCAATTGACATTGAATAAATTAATTTATATCAATATATTATTTTAGATTGTATTTAATTTTCGATGTGAGAATTAAAATACTATATCAACATCTATACTATCAAAATATTAGAGTGGGTATTGATCTATATATAGCCATTCAATATATATAGGTTGAATGTAGAGGTATAAAATTGATACAATCGAGAGGTGGGGGTATGAAGTGTTATTAAGGGTTTGCGCAGAGAGAGAGAGAGAGAGAGAGAATATGGGTCCTCCTCACACATATGATCTACTAAAACTAGACTAGTACTACTTTGTCCCTCGCATTCATTTTTCTTCTTGTAATTTAATTCAGTCCTTGTGACTCTAAGAATCTCTAGAAACCACATTTTATATATGGCCTCATTTGAAACAACACACACATAAGAGATAATATTTAGTTAAGTGAATCTGCATGTGCTGATCATGGAAGGTAAAGGTGCAGGTATGAGGGCTCAGTGATGCAACTTGGAGAATAGTAAAATAAAAAGAGAGAGAGGTGGAGAATAGTTTTGTGAATATGCCTTTTTGTTTGTTTGTTTTTATTATATATGCAGAATACAATAAACACTAGCTTATACCATCATGAATATGAAGCGCCACAACTAATTTTAGCAAGGAAAAATTAGAAGAAGAGATAGAAATTAGAGTATATACACTAAACAACCATGTGTTAGTTATTTATTTTCAAAGCAAGGATGAAAAATTCGTAATTAAATTGGATCATTGACTGTGCTTCTTTAAAATCATGAAACTCACCCTTTAAAATAATGGACATATTCATTTATTTGAAAACGTATTAATACAATTTTTTTTTCAATAACGCATTAATATATATATATATGAAGTCAATCATATAGTATGCATTTATATATTTTTCTTTTTATTGACTAACGTAATTTCTATTCATTACAAATTTATCTAATTTAAATTTAGTTGGTGACACAATGATGTACTAGTACAAACTACTAAATTATAATATTAATTGTTTAGTTTACATATTGAAAAGTAAAATGATTCTAATATATATTTTTTTAAATCCAAGTATTAGAATTACAACGTAAATATTTTCTCGAATATGGAATTCTGGAATTTTATGTTTTGTGGAAACTAAAAATGAAGAAGCTGAAAACTAAGGGGTATAGAGATTTTGTTCTCCCTCGGGATTGGTTATTTCTCTGCAGTAACACGTGTTCCATCAAATAAAGTCAACGTCAATTCAGTAATTATAAATTTCTTTTACTAATTATATGATCAGGAAAATGTTGAATTTTCTAACCAAGACAGAAAAATGTTGTATTTATGCTATAATTTTCATGGCCTATACTCGTTTGACAATTTGATGTTTTTCTTTTCTATGTGCATTAACCAAAATGCATATGAAAGAGTTTCCCAAGTGTTATCAGAGTTATAGATCAAATGGGATTTGAAATGTTGAGATTTCTTTTTTTTTTCATGACTTGATCTATAGAGACTAACTTTTGTATAACTTGAAACAGTCAAAAGACTATTCAGAAAATAAACCTAGTGTTTATAAACTCCAATGATACTTTGCAACTACTAGTTGGAATTTGTAGCCTATGGGCGAAAGCCTACGGTAAGCAATAAGCATGCGTTTGATTTAATAATGTAGTTATATAAATTTTGTTAGAAGTGTTTAATGGTGATGTAGGGACTATGGTCTAAATCTTTTTTTTTGTTGTTGTTGATAAAAGACTATATATAGTAGTCTATATCACAGATGTAAAGTATTGGCTATCAAGTATTTTTTTGAATGTTTTAAACTTGATAATCAACAAAATTTGTTACAATCTTTGTTTTTTGTTGTGCAATTTAGTTGTTACAACCTAAACAGCTAAACAACCAGTTTTAGCTCCAACCGAGCCTTCAAAGTACGTACAGACCAAGAACTTGCACTTAAGATGTATCTCTTTACATATTCTATAGTTTGAGATGATAAATGTTCGACCAGAATAAAAAGAAGATGATAAATGAACTTAACATCTTGATTGTTTGTTTCTGTGTTCACTAAGTATATAATTATGCATCAAATCAACAATCTTAATCTAGCCTTAACCAAAATTTATCTGCTAATTGTAAACACTTGCGCTTCTTTTTTTTTCTGCTTGTGCCATTTGCGTTTAAATATTGCTAAAAAATATTTGTGTAAAATTACCAAAAAATATATTCAAAAATACACCTTAGTTGACAAAAAGGAATACTGTGCACCCCTTTGCTTTTCTTACTTGTAAATGCAATCGTGAAAAATTGCGCATGAAACGCTTAAGAGCTAAATGATGATGTCGAAGAAAGAAAGAATATGCAAATGTTATGCTTTTGCCTTGTGACAAAGCCTCAGTGGCTTTTAGCCGATCCACTATCTAGATCTTTCTCCTTTGAGTATAAACTGGGAAAACTTATAAAAAAAAAGATGAGAAGATCCCAACTTTCAATTTGGATCATACACAACGGTAACGACTAATCTCTAGACTGAAACCATGGGAAAAAAAAGTAGATAGCCTTAAGATTCAACAATGAAGACAGAATGATTGAGGCAGAACAGGTTTTGTGTGGCTATTGGTATAACTTTTGGTATGATCTAAAACGAGAGAGCAAAGACATTGCAGCATCCACACATAAGCTAAACTGATTAATTAACCAAATCATGAGGCTAACATCTCAAATTCTGTAAAAGGTCTCCACATATCGACATAGCTACTCAATTGGCGGCGAAGCGGGAGTCTCTTCTTCCACGCATCAAGTTCCGGTAACTCACCGGTGAGAGCCAGCGAGCTATCATTCCCATTCCCAAGCGTTAGAACAAAGAGCTTATCACCAAAGACCTGGCTCATCGCTTTCAACGTTTCCTCCATAACCAAATCTCCATCCCTCTCTGAATCCTCAGCTTCCACACATCTTCCTCCAACATTCACCATGATCCTCCCTTTCTTCCTCAACCTACTTTTCAAATTCTCCCAGACACATGGATCTTGGAGCTCTTTGATCACACTCCCTTTGCTAAACAAATCCACTAAAATACCCGAAAACCCGTTTTTGACGCTGGCGTTCAAGGCGTCTCCAATGTTGATAAAAATCCGATCTTTATGATCCCTCTCGAGCTTAGAGAGGCCAAAGAACTCTCTACCGACGTCGATTACATAAGGGTCGATTTCCCATCCATGGACTGTGAACTCGGGTGGGTAAAGCTCGAGAATCAACCGGGCAGTTGAACCGGCTCCGAAACCGAGAATGCCGATTGGTCCGGGAGGGATAATCGGAGGCAGGGTAGCGAAAACGTCGAAGTAACTATCGGTTAGGGTTTTGAGGAGGAAAGAGATGCTGTGGATGTTACCGGGATTGTCGAGGAGGAGGAGGCGTGAGCCGGCGAGTGGGTGATCTGTTTTCCGAGAGACTTCAATGACTCTGATGTAATTGTGGCGGGATTTGAATTTGGCCATGGTTTTCACTTCATTGGCTGGGATCCCTTCGTCGTCGTTGGAAGTTTTGTTGCGGCGAGAGTGGGTGGTTGACCGGCGGATAAAGATTGGGTTTTGCGGTGGTTTAGGGCAGAGATTTAGAGTTGAAGGAGGAGAAAGGGTAAGGAAGTGGCGAGGAATGTGAATTTGTGGTGGGAGAAGTTGCAGAGAAACAAGCTCCTTGGCCATGGCTGCTCTTAATTATGGGCAAATTTTAATGAATCTGGGTGGTGAAAGTCTCAATTTTAAGCTGCTTCCGTTCGGTTTCATGTGAAATGGCTTTGTACGATAAGATTAAGAAAAACATTTTTACTGCTTTTGTTTGAATGGTAATAGAAATGCATTCCTATGAAAGTTCGAAGCCAAAAGAAAAAGGTTTTTTTTGCAAGCTTTCACATCTTTTCAGACTTCCAAAAGCCAAGACCTAGTCACTGTTCTATCAAATCAATGCAGTGTTTTTTCACAGAACACAAAAGGGTGCCTCCCCAACTTGCGTCTTGGATCTGCCAACATTACCATATGCTAATGACACCAATAATCTGGTTTTAAGACGATGGGGGATTCACCTCCGGCTCTGGGTTTTCGTCTTCCATTTCATCTTCACCTGTAGAGTCCCTGAAGATTTAAGAGATTACAGTTAAATTCTCAATCACTTTGTTAAGAAGTTTATACAATGAGGAATCAACGGTTTGGTAGATTAAAAGTAGGAGAAAGCCTTCTTTGTTTTACCTGTCCGTAGTTCGGCCACCAATACCTGAGAAACCATGAATAGGTTTCTCATCATCGTCACTGTCCGATTCATACGTTGCAGTTCCAGTCCAAATGCGAGGCTTTGGTCTCTTCTCCAAGTCTTCTTCCGGCTAAAGATTTGAGATAAAAACATATCTTATGAGTCGGTCCCAGTAGGACACAGGACGAAACCAAAACACGAGAGAGAGATTTACATCAATGGATGATTGAAAACTTACCTCATCCAAAACTCGATTGACTGGAGGTGTGTGCTGAAACGGCACGCTAGGTGCGTGTATTAGTCCCGAAAGTTGTTCTAGCAATGTGTTCCTGAAATTTCAACAAGTAAACTTCTTTATGTTCAATATCCCTTTGACAAGGCCAAGGAGGTTCATAAGCTAAAAGCTATGAACAAAGCTTTCATCAACTATTGAAACCGGCACAAATCCTACATTACATTGAGATTATGTAGCAGTTCACTTGCATATCTTTTGGAGAAATTACCTTATCCTCTCCATATCTTTTGGTGTGTTTAAATTCTCCATTGCGCTAGGCTCGACATGAAGTGTATAATCTGGGCCGAAATACTCAAAATACTCATTGTAAGGGAGTTTGTTGTCCGGCTCTACTCCAACCGCGACTGCAGTCTGCGACGAGGCAACAGAAAAAAAACCTTTCAAGAACAAAAACTTGCATACTTTCCAAAAGAAAACAGTAGAAGAAGTGCAGAAGAGATGAAAAGACCTCATAACACCAGCAACGGGCAACATTTCGAATAGTATACCCTCCACCACCCAAGACCATCAGAGGAACATTGTAAGATCTTAAGAACCGGAGGCAATCAGCATGACCCTTGACTGATAAGTTGAAGCAACCCAACCGATCACCACTTAAGGAGTCAGCCCCACACTGAAGAACAACTGCTTCTGGTTGATACACCTCCATAACCTTCTTGATAAGGGGCCTGAACAAGCTGCGGAAACTTTCGTCGTCCATACCATCGTTCAATGGAACATTTAAAGCATAGTATTTTCCTTTTTCTGCGCCAACGTCTCTTATGTGACCAGTCCCAGGGAAAAAGTCCCCAAATTTGTGAAAAGAAACAGTCATGACTCTATCTGTGGTGTAAAACGCTTCTTCTACTCCATCTCCATGATGCACATCGATATCTATGTAGAGAACCCGCTGCAAACGAAATTTGGTGCAATCATTATCATGCAGGCAATTATAACTTCATCACTTAACATTTCGAACGGTGCTATCAGAAGGATACAACAAAAAACAACGGAATCAGAAATTATTGAAAAAATAAGCAAGAGAGCTTCAAAATCAGATTATGGGAACACGAGTCACAAACAAAGAGGCAATATGAAAACTTTCTAAAGTCTATCCAATTCCCAGAACAAACCGATATCACTTGGCCATGGAACCACTGAAAGGAGTGAACTTATAAGGACTTGGTCAGAATTTCGAATAAACAGCACAGAGTATAACTTTTGCAGCTGCTTTTTTCAGAAATATCTGATGCACATGACCTAAAGGATAATGCAAGATTCTAAAGGTGATATGCAATTCAAAAACATGAAAGAATCAAAGCATCATTCGATAAACCCAAAAGGCTTTCAGATTTCAGGTAAATTTTACGAAAACCACTCAATAGGATAACCTTAAACACTAAAATTGTTTCACTTCACTATGAACAGATACGAGTTGTGAGATAAGCAGGAATCGAGCATTTACCCTAAACATCTTGAGCAACTCCAGGATCCCTAGCACGATGTCATTAACGTAGCAAAAGCCAGAGGCTTCGCTTTTCTTGGCATGATGAAGCCCACCGCCCCAATTGATGGCGATATCCGCGTCCTGGCGGTTCAATTTGACGGCGGCGCCAATGGAACCTCCAGCGGACGCACGGCAAAAGTCGAAAAGCCCCTCGAAGACTGGACAATCCTCTCCGACGTTGAATCGCCTTAGGTTTCGTGCGGATGAAGGATCGCCTAAGGATTCGGGTGAAACGGAAGCGAGAAAATCAACGTACTCCGGCGAATGAAACCGACCGATATCGGCGGCGTCGGCGAGGTTAGGGCGGCTGATTTCCAGGCGACGGTGGAGCTGATAATGGACGATTAGACTATGAGCCATACGGATCCGGTGAGGTTTCATCGGGTGTCCTTGGCCGTAGTAGTAGTCTCCGATCGTTGGCTCGTAGAAGTAACTGACTCGCCGCTTCCGACCGTCGGGCCCCGACGGCAAAGAGATGCCGCTTTCGTCAGTCTCCATGTTCCCCTCTCTCTCACACAGAATCTCTCTTCTCTCTCTTTACCCCCCAAGTTTTTTTTACTTCGGAATCTGACAAAATTGTATCTACGCCTGAGGTGAGGTTATATATATACAACAATTATACACTTATACATAACTCTATCCATTCTTTTAAAATATTTGATGAATGCCTAAATTTGACTGCTCATATACGCAGTGTTACTGTTGACTAGAGAGTAAAAGTCTATATGTCGAGAGAACTGTGAGGAAAAAGAGTAAATATCACGAAGAAGAGGAGGAAATCAACTAATGAAATAAAACATTTGTTCTCTACAACAGAGAGGTTCAACACGAAAACAAACGCTGGTCAAGAAGTATCATCATAATTGTGGTTTTTGCTACTACAAAACCAGAGAATCAAAATGATAAGAGACTTTGATCCTCTACCACGTCCTTTTTCCACCATGAGGTACAAAGTTTGACGTCGATCTTGACCGTTTATCTCCAAACCCACCACGACCTCCTCCTCTTGACCGGAAATTTCGGCCACCACCAGAACCTGAACACGTCAAACAAAAATGGAATCAGAATCATCAAACTAAATGGCAAAGATTATGGTTAATGGTGATGAACTCAAAATGAGGGAAGAGAGTTGAGAGATTTCATTTCACCTCCAAAACCAGAACCAGAAGATCTGACTAGTGCAGAGAGAGTGGGAGGAACAACTTGACCAGCTTCTTGAAGGATCTTGATTAGCTCTCTCGCAAACTTTGCATTGTCATGTGTAAAGAAAGTAAAAGCCATTCCTTTAGCTCCTGCACGCCCGGTTCGACCAATCCTATGGATGTAATCCTCCAAGGAAGTTGGGAAATCATAGTTAACCACGCACTTTATGTCCTTCACATCTGCAAACAAACAAAAAAATTGAGAAACAAGAAAGCACAGTTGACAAGTTAAGCAAAGGAAGACTGATATGATAACAAATGCAGGAAGAAGAAGAGAAAAACGTTGTGTGTATGCTTTTGGTGTTTTTAGAGACTAAAGGAGAGGAGAGAGAGAGAGAGAGAACAAAACCCCCTTATCCCTACAACTGCAGATCTAAAAAGATCAAGAAACTAAGAGAAACACATTTTCCCTAAGTAAATGTGCCCACCTTAACTTGCAGGGATAAGGAGTGTGTGTGACGTCGTTAAAACACTACTAATGCAAGCGGGTGAGTCGCCCAGGCTGCTCATAAACCAATCAGCTCCATGCCCGGGGGAGATAGATGAGGAAGCAAATTCTGCAAAGCTTCCTTTCATGTGGCTTTTTTGAAAAACCAGAGGAAACCGTGGAAAGCAGCAGCCAGGCGACTTTTGTCTATAACTTTAAACCCCGAGAAAACGAAATGGTCTAATCTAATCCTCTCCTAATGTGTGTAACATGTAACCCTACCAAGTCCCCTTGCTGCGACATCAGTGGCAGTCATAATCGGGCTTCTTCCACTCTTGAATTCTGACAAGACTCGGTCTCTTTCCGCTTGATTCTTGTCACCATGTATGGCAAGAGCTGGCCATCCATCCATTCTCAATTGTCTAGTCACTTGATCACAACCTCGCTTTGTCTCCACAAATATTAGGATTTTACTCCCATCCATTAACTGTTTTAGCAGTGCAAGGAGCCTAGCAAAAGAACAAAAGTATAAGCATCATATCAGAAAGACAAAAAAAAAAACCAAAGAAAGATATATATGAAAAGTAAGAACCTGTCGTATTTCTCTGGCGTCGGTACAATCTCGATCACTTGGTTAATAGACTGGTTAGCTTTTAGATCTGCTGATCCAATAATGGCCTACGAAAAACAATTATTTTCAGTGCACAACATAAACATTCGATTACTTAATCAATGACAGTAGACTTAATCTGAATAAGTTAGAGAAGATATCAAGTAGACCTTATATGGATCTCGTAGAAACTGCCTGGCAAGAGATTCAACCTCTCGTGGCCACGTTGCACTCCAAAGCAGTGTCTGTCTATCAGGTCGGATCTGTGAAAGGAAAAAGGACAATCTAGATTAAAGTCGTCATGTTTGAGTAGCAGAATACAAATGTTCAGGTATATAAAGATCTTTTGATTGAATCATTTCCTTAATGGGACTATACATGATAGCTTTGGAGGAAGTAAAAAAAAAAATCATACCTGAGAAACAATCTTTCTTATTTGGGGTTCGAAACCCATGTCTAACATTCTGTCAGCCTCATCCAACACAAGGTAAGTCACTCTCTTCAAATTAGTGTGTTGGCACTCCAACATATCGATCAAACGACCAGGTGTAGCAATTACAATCTCAACACCTGACAAGCCAATCGTGATTCGTAAAGTTTTATGTTCCATCCAAGAACCAGCTAGATACGTAAAGCTAGAATATTGCAATGAGAAAGACGAACCTCTTCTGAGATCGCGAATCTGGGGTCCTTTAGGAGCACCACCATAGATACAAGTACTCCTAACACCAGACCGAAGCCCGAATTTCCTTGATTCCTCTTGAATCTGAACAGCTAATTCTCTGGTGGGGGCTAATATTAACACGATGGGTCCATCATCTTGACCTACAAAAAACCCCAAACGATACACATAAGTAGACATGTTCTCAGAAAAAAGGATGCAACTAAACATCTACAATCATCAATACATATAGTTGTAAAATACTCACCCAATCGAGGTTGCGCAGTTACGTGGACCAACGCTGGTAACAAGTAAGCCAATGTCTTACCAGAGCCAGTCTCAGCAATACCAATCAAATCCCTACCCTTCAACGCCATTGGCCATCCCTGAGCTTGTATTGGTGTGGGCTCAGTAAATCCCAGTTTAGCAATAGCTTCGAGAATATTACCTAACAAACACATAACAAAAGAAATAAGTCTGCGAAATCATCCCACAGAACCAAGAAACCAAATTTAGCACAATAAGCAAAAGTCCCTTCCGGAAATGAACAAAGCGTACTTGCTCTCAAACTTCAGAACATTGAAATCGTAACTAGATCATATATAATAGCAAAAACACTTGACAAATCGAATCAATACCTGGAAAGTTAGCATCTTCGAACATCTTAATCGGCTTAGGAACATCACGCCCTTCAACGGATATATCCCTCCCGGTTCTGTACATGGCAACATCCTGCTCTGTCATCGCCTGCACAGCAGGGCTCTCCACGTAGAAATTCTTCTCGAAATGAACAAGATTCCCAAAATTCTGCTTCGGGAGAGAAACGCTATCTAGCTCTCTCTTACTCGATCCACCACTTCCTCCCCAATTCCCGCCGGCTCCTCCGCCGTATCCACCCCTTCTATCCCCGTATTGACCGTATGCGCCTCTTCCACCGCCGCCGCGACCAACGGAGAACCCACTAGTAGGTGGCTGGAATGATGGGTACCGACCATAGCCGGAACCTTCACCCGCCATCACAGGGGACGGTCCATATCCACCACCACCACCACCGTACCGTGGATTGTACGGTGCGGCAGAAGGATCCATCGGCTGAGACGAACCAACTGGGGCGCTAAAGTTAACGCAGAAGAAACAAAAGGGTTACAGATCGAAGGAAACAAATTGAAGAAAATGGTTGATTGCTTTTCACTTACCCAGAGCGTTGGCGATACGAATTCGGATCAGCAAATCTACGATCATAGGAGCTCATCGTTACTTTAGATGGTTACACTTTAGGTTTTTTTGTTTGTTCTTCTCTCTCTTTTGAGTATACTGCGTAACTTTGAATCGGATTTGATGCTTGAGAGGAGAGATAGTGCAGGAAGACGTAAGGACGCGAAGCTGCAAAGCAGGATACTTTACGATTCGTTTTCTGGACAGTAAAATTCCCAAATTAGAAACCCTAATTTTCACCGTGGTTTATTTTAATTTTTGTTTCTGTTGTTTTAAAGAGTGAATTTAATTTTCTTTTGTTGGTAATTAGAGATGGGCCAAGAGTGACCACTTCATGGGCTACAATGTTCGGACCGCGAACCAATCGTTCCTCTTATGGATGAAATAGACATTTCGAGGTATGGGGGCTAAATTCTAGTGAAAGAGAGTGAGGAGGAGTCCGTAATCAATTATTTTCGAATGAAAAAAAATTATTTAACTTCGAATGAGGTTTTTAAAATATCACCATCTACGTCGATCAATCCAAATTACCATACATTTTTTTTTGGAATATTCCATATATGGTTTTTTCGAACAATTGAAAAGTATCTTTGACTTGACCCATATTTTCTTCTAAATAAAAATCAGCTCGTTGATATTTCATGTGATAAATGTACATGGCCTACAAGGTCGGCCTTCGCACACTTTCAATTTTGAGCATAATAAAGCCCTAATAGCAGTAGAAAAACAAAATAAGGTCCTATGACTCCTATTAAAAGCAGAAAATCAATCAATATTCATGTGATATGAAACATAAGTATATAATATGGCTAAGATGGTACGAATAAGCATGCATTATTATTTTTATTTAATTGATTAAATTTTATTATTATTTCTTTTATATGATCAAGGTCTATTATGATGAGCCACTTTTAATTACTTTGAGGCAAACAAATACAGCTAACGGAGATTTCTTTTTAATGATGGAATTAATTATAGAAGGAATATTCCGTTGTGGAATAACAGAATTGACCAATATGCCCATAGAAGGTCCAACGAATTCCCCATTCCCCCATACGCGTAAGGCCCCACCGTGACGTCACTCCCTGCCTATAAAAGCCATCCATCTGCAACCTTTCTTCTCGGTTTAAGACACCGAAAACCATAAACAAACACTCAATAAATAAATTCCCTCTTCTCTACCAAATCCTGCAAAAAATTCAAAAACCAAAGAGCTTCTGGAAAAAGCAAAAAAAGAAACTAAAAATGGTGGCGGTTGATGTTAACGAGAAGAACAGTGGAAGCAGTCTCAAGTTTCTATGCAGTTATGGCGGCAAAATCTTCCCTCGTTCTACCGACGGGAGGCTCCGTTACGTCGGAGGTCATACCAGAGTGCTCTCCGTCGATCGTTCTATCTCTTTCGAAGGTTCGTCTCCAGTTTCGTTTAGGTCACTTCATTTTGCGTTGAATTCAATCATCCTTCTGGAAGTAATTGTGATTGATTTTGATTTTGTTTACTCTTCTCTTCTCTTCTCCAGAGCTTGTGAAGAAACTGTGTGAATTCTGCGGATACTCCGTTGATCTGAGGTGTCAATTACCCAACGGCGATCTCGAGACTCTAATCTCCGTCAAGTCAGAGGAGGATCTGGCGAACATCGTAGAGGAGTACGATCGTGTCTCCGGAGCCAAGATCCGGGCCGTTTTATCGCCTCCCAGGTCGCATAGGCACGAATCGCCGTCCTCTTCAAGCGGCGATAGATCTCCGAAATCGCCGTTCTCCGTCACGCCTTCCCCGCCGAACTCTCCGTCAAGGGGGTATGGAAGATATCTACAGTCTCGGTATTATCTACCTCCCTCGGATCTTCCTAGAAGAGTCAATCATAGATCTGAGGAATCGCATTGCTGGGCTTGTCGTGCACACAAAGACTCTAGGCTCGTCTGGAATTGACGGAGATTGGAAACTCGAATATACGCCTTAGATACGACGATGATGACGACGAAAAACAAAATATTACGAAAGAAAATGCAAAATTAAAAAAAAAAAATTGGGATTTTAAATTTAGGTCCTTTGAATTTCTACGAGTGTGTTGATTTGTGAAGAGGTAAATTAAATTTTCTTTCATAATTACGGTCAGAGACGTGACCGGCGGAGTAAATATTTTAGACGGGGAACAAGATGGGATATTTGATCTCGGACGTTAGTGGCCGTTACTAACCGTTAAGAGTTGCCGTTACTACGTGTTTGCACTTACGGCGTTTTGTATATATTATACGTGATACGTGGCGAATATTGAGAGCCAGTGTCGTGTCGACGTTAGAGATGTAACGCGTGTGAAGGCTAGTGGATTCCTTACGTCAACACGTGTCAGCCATCCGCATCCTTGAGTTTTCTTCCTTGACGAGGTTTTTCTTTATTTGGCTTCTTTGATAACGACAAATAATTATATAAGTATATTGTTCTCTATTTTGTTATGACATTCGCTTCTTCATTTTTGTCTTGTCTCATCAGGACTAGAGAAGGGCGTATGAAATATGCTCACACGGACTTGAGGGGGAAAAAGAGTTAAAAAATACCATCAAATATTCAAATCTATTAATTAATCAGAAAATACTGAAAATACAAAAAGAAAAAGTGTTTGTGTACGTGAAGGAACGGTGTATTTTAGTCGACTTCCCAAATTATCGCAAGTTGTGAATGGGACAGAGTAAGGATGGAGAATTTGGTGAGCAACTTGGAGGTTGTTCAATGATTATAATAAGTCTTGGAGTGGCAGTACCACACATCATCTCTTCTTTTCTGCTAAAAATTTGACAAAATAGTGTTTTTGTTGAAGATTCAACCAGCAGACACAGCACACGAAACTGAGTCCGTTTTCAGCATTTTAAAGTCACAAAAGAACCTGAATCTTTTATACCTACCCCCTTTTAAACATTTAAAATTTGAAGCCACAGAAGATTCTCAATTTTTTTAGTCATACATAGGGACAAATTGTTTTTTCTACCCTTTGTTAGCATCTACACCGGTCAAATTTAGGAAAATGTCATCATCAAGTCACTATAACCTGTAAACCATGTAACTTCATTTCATTACACAAACACAGAACCAGTCCACATCTTTTAACCCTTTTTTCAACCCAAAAAAAAGCAGCACGAAACTCTGACGAAATTATTAATACATGATTACAATTCTGAGGCCAAAAGTGAAAAGGTTTCAACTTGATCCTCATAACAAATGAAAAGCTAGCTTAAAAAGTCAGAATCGCGGTCGTTTTGGCAGAATAAGATTTAGATTTAGATTAGTCAATAAAAAGCTTTTTTGTTCTGTTGATTCTCTCTACCCGGTTTCTTGCTCGAACTCTTCGCCATCCGATTCCTCTGCATTGTCTGCATCATCGTCCTCTGCTTCATTATCGTCTTCTTCTTGATGGTTGTTAACGACTGGTTTTCCAATTACCGGTACGCTAGGACTCATCTTTCTGATCTCGTTGCACTGCACCAATCCAAGACAACAACATTGTACTCAAACTTATCTTACCATTCATAACAACAACATCGTAATAAACATTTAGTCTTATTTGATCCTTCCCTCTTTTTTCATCTTCCACGTCTATAATCAGACAATCTAATATATATTACTATATATTACATACAATCAAAGGAAACACCAAAATCTCACATGATGACAAGGAGACAGAGTTTTATCTTCTAGTTAATAATGTTTGCAAACATACTTCTTATCCAAAGTTCACTCTTCAGATTCCACATCTGCAATTCAAATATCAAATTTTTCCAATTTGCTTCTTTCCTTTCTCTTTTTTCGTGATTCATGAAGCTTTGAAAGACCGAAAAATGTTTTCTATGTAAATGTAACCAGAACTCAAATTCTTTCCACTAAATCTACAACCAAGAACCTTCACCTTAAACTTGAAGATCATAACCTGAGCTTCTAGTCTTATATACATTTTTGCGGGTTTAAAGCGATAAAAGATAGTCAAATGATTTTAAGTATATCCATGGAGTCTAGTCTAGATTAAAAATACCACTATTCAACAATCAGAAGTTAACATTGGGATCCACTAAATTCAAAACTTTTTGCTAACTTATGCTCAAACATAGCACCGAAAAAAGTATTCTCCAGAGAAGAAAGATTGAAACAATCAGATAAAATTATCAATCTAGCCAATGTGAAGTATAGAGAAAAATGATTTGCCTAAAGACAAATTGTAGACAACTCGCTTAGTTACCAACAAACCCTTCTTCATCGATATTGAAATCAAAGACAAAGATTAATCATATATTCTCCGGTTATCATCAAATTAAGTAGAGACCACTTATAATTTATAAACCCATCAGCTAAATCTCACTCAAAAATTCATCACAGGAAACGAAACCTATTTCGGTCCAGATCCTTCAGGGCTTAAATGGACCTCGATTTCAATACCCGTAAGTTATCAATCAGGATTCTCACTCACATTTCAGCTCCGATTTTTACGAGATTGAAGAGTTTATATTGGCTAGTTAAGTTTCAGCAACAACGAAAACTGAAAAAAAAAAAATCATACCATGAGATTTCGAAAGAGAAAAATTACCTTTTCTTCGAATTCAGCTTCTTCCATGGCGAGAAGAATCTCTTCATTCTGCGGCTGAGGCCACTGTAATGGAAGCAAAGGCGACGCCGGGATTGTGTTCGTCGATGACGGAAACTGGCGCATCAGCGTCGGCAACTGTAACATTATTCTCCCTCTAGGAAAAACTGTAAAATGTTCGGAGAAAAAAACAAAGAAACAGAGAAAAGTCCAGGTTACCAAAACGCTGCGTCGTAATAAACACGCAAGGACACAGCCGTATTTAATTATTGGGCTATAGCCCATTTATAACGAATTACCCATCTTTTTCACACACACATATTGTTCGTGTATAACAAAATAGGAACTTATTTGGGCCCATCAGTAAATGTAATTTTTAGTCTTCGGAAAGAATCGGGTATAGTGAAAGTACGCTTGTAATATGCATTTAATCACCGTCTAAAACATATCGAAAGTGAAATTTCATTTCAATCAACCAAATCAAACAGAAACATATTAAAAATTATTAAGGAGGTGTTATTGGTTCTTGTATTTTAATGGATTTGAGAATCCAAACCAAATTCAGTGTTATTGGTTCTTGTATTTTAAAATTTATATTGAAATACAGTGTTATTGGTTCTATAATTTTAAAATCCATAATAAAATACAGTGTTATTGGTTCTATTATTTTAGAATCTAAATATTATAATGATTTGAGTTTTAATTGAATTTGAATGGATTTGGAAGGATTTTTATGATTAAAATACAAAGACCCAAATACAAGGTCTAACCTTGGTATTTGAGTGGATTTGATTTTTTTCCATTTTGTTGATTTTAAAATAAATAAATTTATCAAATCCAAAGAAGATTTATAAATCCACCAAAATACAAGAACTAATAATCCCTACTAAATCTCGTGGGGGACTCTTTTTATACTTTGGAAAAATTGTTTTCTACGCTTGGGCCCATTGGGCCACTCCCTACCTTCCGCGCGTGTCGTAATTTACCACCATATATTCTAAAAATACAAACAATGCATTTTATTATCGTGTTAAATAAATTGACTAGTTAACAAAAAAAAAAAAGATATAAAAGTAATTCTAACAAATTTAATTCATCCAGTAAAATAGTATTCTTAAACTCACAGATCGAATATCTTAATAAACACATTTTATGTTCCTGTTTTATTCCACTATTTAACTTGCATTTTTGTCACTACAAAGGAACCTAAATATAGATAAAATATTGACTATCAATCTTGCAAAAATATGAGAGATGAGTGAACGAATAGTTGTGAAGACTGTACATTGCGTCAAAAACTTAGGGTAAAATGAAAAACAGCACATTATTATTTAAAAAAGACCAAACACAGCTTTAAAAAGGTTAACTCTTTATACCTTTTTCCACACCCATTTCCTGCGAGAAAGAAATTTCGCATGCGGGAATATAAACAATACGGCTTTTGCTTCTCAAAACAACGACACAAAACCTCTCTTTATCTCACACACACATATATATATATATACAAGTATATGTGTATATATCTATATTACAATATATATACCTTGATCGATATTGATATGATACTAATATACTAATATATGAACTATGCTCCTTGCTTCAAATAATTCCCAGAAGCTTGTGTTCGTGATCTTGGTTTATCTCGGTGAGGCTGACGATGATGGAAGGCTTTGAAGCTATTGTTCTGCGGCCTAAGCCACGTAAAGGTCCTCAACTCCATTGATGAAGCATTGTAGCTACACGGGGAATAAGCATTCCTGGTCCGATCGATTTCATTTTTAATCTCTTCATATATGCATCTTATATAATAGCTCAATGTTGTTCCAGTTGGTGATAAGCATCCCTGGTCCTACTGATTTCATTAATCTTATTATATATGCATGTATTTTATAATAACTCAATGTTGTTAAAGTTGGTATTCGATGTTTCTTTTAATCACTACTTACATATGATGATTTCTCATTGAATGTACGTACGGTAGCATTAACTATATATCCTAAAGTACATTTTGGAATAAAAGACCTTTTTCATTTGTGGATCAAACACAAATATATGATCAAAATTAATAGTATGATTAATTAGAGGTTACATTTTTTTCCCACGTTAGGTTTGCTGAAATACGACAGAAAGAAACTAGATGTATATAGTGGTGCAAAATATACAACCATCATAAAGATACGCTATAATTCGTTCGACATTGGTTTATTAAACTCACATCAACCTCTTTAATTTACGTCAGTCTGTGATATCAAAGATTGATCTCCAAAAGATTCCACTGCGGTAACAGTCCGACATGAACCTCATCAAAAAGGCGAAATGATAAGTGATTTTTCACTTTATATGTTTTTGCCAAGAATAACCCAATGCTTGTATGGGAATTTTTACCTTTATCTTGTGTGCAATGAGTAGATTGCTACATAAATATGGTTGGTAAGTACTGTACTTGTGTGTTAAATTGTAAAGGGACCCTAAGTCATTGACTCAATATTGTATTTTGTATATAACGAGTCAATGACGCCCAAATAATTAACTAGATGATGATGACGTACAAAAAAATCTAAGAAAATAAACAAAATTTAAAAAGTCTTCCTTTTTTTCATGGTCTCCTTTCCTTTGGTTTCTTCCTATACATTTGCTTACATTTCTACACTAAGAGATTACAATCAAAGCCAGTTTACCGTCTTTCTTGGTCCCAATCGAAGAAGAAGTAGCTTGTTCAACTTTTTTCTTTTATCCACGTCTCTGCTACGCCTCTGTTTAGCTCCAATTCCGACATCCACACATCGTCGGAACTGAGGTTCGGTGTGGACGGCGAGTTCAAGATATGTAAGTGGCAGATATTTAGGACTGCAAAAATTCAGATTGAAAATCATGAATATAAAATGATTGATTCAGATTGAAAATCATGAATAGAAAACGATTGAAATCTATATAAATAAAAATATAGTATAAAACGACTGAGTAAAAACAATTAAGAAAAGAGAAATCTATATTATACTCTCAAGACTTACCTAAGACTGTAGAAATGAGAGGGATTTGCTGGATATTTGTATTTTCGAAAGCTATGTGTTTCGTTGATGAAGAAGAATGAATGAGAGAGGCGAGTATATATAGCGGATGGAAGGATTGGGGCGCAATGGTTTGTCTTGGCCGTCACTCTAAGATAAACGGAAATATTCCGAAAATCTTCTATTCTTTGATCGCAAAAAATAAGAGAAACGGAAATATTCCAGAAATATTTTATTCTTTCGGATAATGATCTAGACGAGACAGAAATATTACAAAAATATTCTGTTATTAATTTTTGACTCAATCATTAAGATTTATCGAGTTATGCAAATTATCCTTTAAGGAATATTAACATATTTTTGAAAATAAGTTAATAAATATTTATTCCAAAAAGAACGTTTTATTTCCACAAGACTCAAGTCCAAGCTCAAGCCCGGCTCGGCACGGCGCATGCGCATGTGTGGTTTTGCATATAGAGTATATTACTATATATACTAGTGGAAAATTCTTCAAACTTTTCATGTGAGACAAAATGCACATCTTGACATTTGTTGACTTTTTGTCTTGATTACATACCCACTTTGACCAAAGATTTTTTATCCAAATCAACTTCGTTTTTGATAACTAATTACAAAAAATCCAAAAAATTCATAATCCGATCTTTTGGTAACCGTGCTCACCGAAAATATAGCCAAAAAATTAGTCTGAACCATCTGTCAAAAATTAGTTCAAAAATAAATTCCAACAATCATTGAAGGACCTAAGTTATTGACTCGTGATTGTATATTGTATATAACTTGGATTTAGCCCGCTCTACGCGCAGAGTTATATATTTTAAAATATTTTTTGGGGTTATATTATTAACTTATGTATAAATTTATATATTTTTAATTTTTTTAAATTTAAGTTTAGTCGAAAGTTTACTTTTTATATATATATTACTATATTGGTGGAGTATGTTTGTTGGATTGAAATGAAAATTTTAAAATTTCTTTTTTAAAAGCCTATAAAATCTGTCGTGCACGGTGTACAATTATTTTTATGCTCGATTCGTAAAAATTGTGGAGATGTAATGATAATTTATTTTATTGTTGATAGTTCTATTTTTATTTCTAAAATTCTTTTTTTGAAAGTCTATACAACCTCTAATGCAGTATATTAAAATATTTTGTTGTATTGATAGTTTTATTTTGATGCTGATGATGGTATTATTGCTGAATTTTTTGACAATTTGTCTTTTTTTTGTTTACCGAGATTAAAAATGAAGAAGAAAATATATTATCATACTATCAATCCACTATTTATGAAAAATTAGAAAGAAAATATTTTTTAAGACTTTCACGATATTTAAAATATATATCATATATGAAATTATTATTTATTTATATATCGTTTATATTTTTATATGATTGATTTATTATTTATGTATGATTTATGATTATGTTGGTATTAGAAGTTTGCTATATATTTTAATTGTAAATTTTTTTATATATTACTATATTGGTTGAGGATGTTTGTTGGATCAAAATAAAAATTTTAAAATTTCTTTCTTAAAATTCTATACAACCCGTCATGTACGGTATTAAAATATTTTAATTTTTGATTCATAAAATTGTAAAAATGTACTGATAGTTTTATTTTGTTGTTGATCTTTCTACTTTAAAAGCCTATAAAATCTGTCATGTACGGTATTAAATTATTTTTATGTTCGATTCGTAAAATTGTGGAGATATACTGATAATTTATTATATTGCCGATAGTTTTATTTTTATTTTTAAAATTCTTTTTTTTAAAGTCTTGAAACCTGTAATGCAATATATTAAAATATTTTATTGTATTTATAGTTTTATTTTGATGTTGATAATGGTATTATCGCTGAAATTTTTGACAATTTGTCTTTTTTTTGTTTAATGGGATGAAAAATAAAAAAGAAAATATATTATCATATTATAAATCCACTATTTATGAAAAATGAGAAAGAAAATATTTTTTAACATTTTCACAATATTTAAAATATATACCATATATAGATTTATTATTTATTTGTATATCGTTTATATTTTTTATATGATTGATTTATTATTTATGTATGGTTTATGATTATGTTAGTATTAGTAGTTTGCTATATTTTTTAATTGTAAAAAATCTAATTTTTCTTATATATATTGCTATATTAGTTGAGGATGTTTGTTAGATCAAAATAAAAATTCTAAAATTTATTTCTTAAAATCCTGTACAACCCGTCAGCTACGGTATCAAAAATAAATTCCAACAATCGTTGAAGGACCAAAGTTATTGACTCGTGATTGTATTTTGTATATAATGAGTCAATGACGTCCAAATAATTAACTAGATGATGATGTCATACAAAAAAATCTAAGAAAATAAACAAAATTTGAAAAGTCTTCATTTTTTTTCATGGTCTCCTTCCCTTTTCCTTTGGCTTCTTCCTATATATTTGCTTAAATTTCTACACTCGGAGATTACAATCAAAGCCAGTTTACCGTCTTTCTTGGTTCGATAACAATGGTGGGCGATCGAAGAAGAAGTAGCTTGTTCGACTTCTTTCTTTTCTCCGCGTCTCTGCTATGCCTCTGTTTAGCTCCGATCACGGCATCGGCACATCGTCGGAAACTGAGGTTCGGTGTGGACGGCGAGTTCAAGATCCTGCAAGTGGCGGATATGCACTTCGCAAACGGCGCGACTACACGGTGTCTCAATGTGCTTCCTAGCCAGGAGGCTCACTGCTCCGACGTCAACACCACCGTCTTTATGTCCCGAGTCATCGCCGCCGAGAAGCCTGACCTCATCGTCTTCACCGGTAAACCCCCCAAAATTGAAACAACCCTAATTGTCCTCTCGATTTCTCATCTGCCTCTAGTGTTTGCAATCCGATTACCACTCCTTAAAATGGAAAATTAAATTTTGAAAACGCTGAATTTTGGCGGGGGTTTACATAAACCCCAGTTTGAGATTTTTGTTGATGGTGTTTGATGAATGATAGCAACTGATTAACTTTGGGGTTTTGTATGGTTCAGGTGATAATATTATGGGGGCTGGTGTTAAGGACGCTGTGAAATCCTTGAACGCTGCTTTTGCTCCAGCGATTGCGTCTAAAATCCCCTGGGTTGCTATTTTGGGAAACCACGACCAAGAATCTACACTGACACGACAAGAACTCATGAACCACATTGTGAAGCTTCCCAACACGTTATCTCAAGTGAATCCTCCCGAGGCTGCTCATTACATTGATGGGTTTGGTAATTACAATCTCCAAATCCATGGAGCTGCTGATTCCAGTCTACAGAACAAATCCGTTCTCAATCTCTATTTGCTCGACAGTGGAGATTACTCTAGTGTTCCTGACATGGGACTTTATGATTGGGTCAAAACGTCTCAGCAATTCTGGTTCGACCGCACTTCAAAACGTCTCCAGGTATCATTAACATTGGACAATCTCTCTCGTTGATCTCTACGTTGTCGTTTTTGAGTCTTGGTTTTGATGATGATCGCAGAGGGAGTACAACGCAAAGCCTAATCCTCAACAAGGTATGGCTCCAGGACTAGCTTACTTCCACATTCCTTTGCCGGAGTTTTGGAGTTTCGACTCAAAGAACGCCACAAAAGGAGTGAGACAAGAAGGTACATCCTCGGCTTCTACAAACTCGGGTTTCTTCACGACAATGGTGGCTAGAGGAGACGTGAAATCTGTGTTTGTGGGTCACGACCATGTCAACGACTTTTGCGGTAAACTCAAAGGTTTAAACTTATGCTACGGTGGTGGATTTGGGTACCACGCGTATGGTAAAGTTGGGTGGGAGAGGAGAGCGAGAGTTGTGGTTGCTGATTTGAATAAGGAGAGAAGTGGGAAATGGGGAGATGTGAAATCGATTAGGACATGGAAGAGGCTTGATGATCAGCATCTCTCTGTTGTCGATGCTCAGCTTCTTTGGAGCAATTCTGCAAACGTATCAGTTGTTTTTTGACTTCATGTGGTTATGTTTGTTCTCGTTATAATAATTTTGGGTTCTGTGAAAACGGAGACCAAATAGTCCTTTTACAAAGTGTTTTGGTTGCAGTTTGGTTTAGGCCTTGTTCGCATCCACATTGAATGTACGTACGGTATCATTAACTATATATATCCTAAAGTTAAACGACTTTTTTATTCTGGAATAAAAGACGTTTTCATTTGTGAATCAAACACATATGATCAAAATTAATAGTATATAATTAAGAGTTTACATTTTTCCCCCACGTTATACTACAATCATAAAGATACGCTATAATCGTTCGACATTGATTTATTAAACTCAAATCAACCTCTTTGATTTACGTCAGTCTCTGATATCTAGATTGATCTCCAAAACATTTCACTACGAATCTACGATAACATTTCGACATGAACCTCATTATAAAGGCTTTATGGAGAGGGAAAAAAACAATCGGGAGATATACAACAGGCGAAAATGATAAGTGATTTTACACTTTATATGTTTTTACCACGAATAACCAAATGTTGGTATGGGAATATTCACCTTTATTAAATTGGACGTGTCCAAGTAATTAATCTTGTGTGCAATGAGTAGATTTGGTTGGTAAGTACTGTACTTGTGTGTTGAATGTTGAAGAGATCTAAAATCAATTCCAATGGTAACACCATTAATATAATTATTAAGGGTTTTAATGATTAATTATTAATATTTGATAGATTTTGTTTTTTTTTTCTATTTTCTTTGTTAATCTTTTTTTTTCCATTTATATATTGCCAGCTGTTTATTTTTAAAACAAAATAAAAATTCTATTTTAAACTCTTGTCTAATATAATACTAGACACTCTACATAATTTTTTAATGCAATTATATTTTGAAGAACTTGTCATTAGATTTCTACAGATCTTGCATTGGAGTTGGTCTATATCATTAAGTCACGAATGTATTTTGTATATATAATGACACCGAAATAATTAACTAGATGATGATGATGATGATAATGACACATAAAAAAAATATAAGAAAATAAACAAAATTTGAAAATTCTTCAATTTTTTTCATGGTCTCCTTTCCTTTGGCTTCTTCCTATACGCTTGCTTACATTTCTACACCGAGAGATTACAATCAAATAGTTTACCGTCTTTCTTGGTCCGAAATCAATGGTGGGCGATCGAAGAAGAAGTAGCTTGTTCGACTTCTTACTTTTCTCCGCGTCTCTGCTTTGCCTCTGTTTAGCTCCGATTCCGGCATCGGCCCATCGTCGGAAACTGAGGTTCGGTGTGGACGGCGAGTTCAAGATCCTGCAAGTGGCGGATATGCACTTCGCAAACGGCGCGACTACACGGTGTCTCGATGTGCTTCCTAGCCAGAAGGCTCACTGCTCCGACGTCAACACCACCGTCTTTATGTCCCGAGTCATCGCCGCCGAGAAGCCTGACCTCATCGTCTTCACCGGTAAAACCCCCAAAATTGAAAAAAACCCTAGTTGCTCCACTCGATTTCTCACCCTGTCTCTAGTGTTTGCAATCCGATTACTAGTTTTTAGACTGGAAAATGTATATTTCAAAACGCTGAATTTTGCCGGGGGTTTACATAAACCCTGATTTGGTTTCTGTTGATTAACATTGGGGTTTTTGTATGGTTCAGGTGATAATATATTTGGGTTTGATGTTAAGGACGCTGTGAAATCCTTGAACGCTGCTTTTGCTCCAGCGATTGCGTCCAAAATCCCCTGGGTTGCTATTTTGGGAAACCACGATCAAGAATCCACACTAACACGACAAGAACTCATGAACCACATTGTGAAGCTTCCCAACACATTATCTCAAGTGAATCCTCCCGAGGCTGCTCATTACATTGATGGGTTTGGTAATTACAATCTCCAAATCCATGGAGCTGCTGACTCCAGTCTACAGAACAAATCCGTTCTCAATCTCTATCTGCTCGACAGTGGAGATTACTCCAGTGTTCCTTACATGGAAGGTTATGATTGGGTCAAAACTTCTCAACAATTCTGGTTCGATCGCACTTCAAAACGTCTCCAGGTATCATTAGCATTGAACCATCTCTCTCGTTGATCTCAACATTTTCTTCTCTCGTTGATCTCATTAAGTCTTGGTTTTGATGATGATCGCAGAGAGAGTACAATGCAAAGCCTAATCCTCAACAAGGTATGGCTCCAGGACTAGCTTACTTCCACATTCCTTTGCCGGAGTTTTGGAGTTTCGACTCAAAGAACGCCACAAAAGGAGTGAGACAAGAAGGTACATCCTCGGCTTCTACAAACTCGGGTTTCTTCACGACAATGGTGGCTAGAGGAGACGTGAAATCTGTGTTTGTGGGTCACGACCATGTCAACGACTTTTGCGGTAAACTCAAAGGTTTAAACTTATGCTACGGTGGTGGATTTGGGTACCACGCGTATGGTAAAGCTGGGTGGGAGAGGAGAGCGAGAGTTGTGGTTGCTGATTTGAATAAGAAGAGAAGTGGGAAATGGGGAGATGTGAAATCCATTAGGACATGGAAGAGGCTCGATGATCAGCATCTCTCTGTTATTGATGCTCAGCTTCTTTGGAGCAATTCTGCAAACGTATCCGTTGTTTTATGAGTTCATGTGGTTATGTTTGTTTACATTATGATAATTTGGGGTTCTATGGAAACGGAGACCAACTAGTCCTTTTACAAAGTGTTTTGGTTGCAGTTTGCTTTAGGCCTGTTCGCATCCACATGGTTCATATTGAAGAAAATGACATTAATGTTTATTTAATGATAAAAATGAACAAGAGCTAAGATCTACGTTTTGTTTCAGTATCTCTCACTCACTTTATCACATGATGTAAGCAAGCAAAGTGTATTAGAGATCACTACTAAATTCAATTTTCTTTGAAATAGTTTGTTTTACTTTTATTGATTGGATTGATACTTGTTACTTTACTGAACCTCATGATAATTTGTTGTGGATGATTTATGAAATAAAAGTTATTTATAAATTGGATATTTTGTATAAAAAAGTTCTTACAAATGTGGAATAATATGTAGATAAAAAGCTAAATATTATTGCATTAAATAAATCTCACATAGCAAATTAAAAAAAACTACAACATATACCATTTGATGAACTGAAATCCATGACATATGCTAAATATCATGAGTTCAACACTACATTGCTAGATGGGTGTATGCTTTTGACATTCCTTATAATGCTATATAAAGCGGTCAGTTTGAACAAATGATTAAAACTATAGAGAGCTTTGGTTCAGGAATTACAATGATTTTGATTGGTTACTTTTCAGATCACATTTCCAAACTGTTTTTGATTTAAATGCATAAGCCACAAATCTCCATGAATATAAATTTAGAGATTTATGATTTAAATATTATTATATTTTCAAATACCTTATCAACTTATACCATTATAAATCTCATTATGTTTTTTTTGTTGAACTAAATTTTCACAACATTTTATGTTTGCTACAACCAACCATTAATGAATTTCTTTTTTTTAATATTGTTTGGATCGTTAGATCAAATTTATTATTAACAATTAAAAATTTTGAATCATCAATCGACGTATGTTAAATTTTATTTGTTTTTAGCCGCAAGAGATACTAAAACTGCTGAAAATGTTGCAGCCGAATAAGCTGTTGAAACTACAAAATCTACTATGGATGTTGAGCCCAATGAAGATAATCTTGCTTTCACTGCTAACTGAGTCTTTGTATATGGAAGTTGATCTTTTTAAGTTTGCTCCTTCTGAAATTTATCATTATATTTTATTATAATCGTTTAATTTATAGCTTTTTTCTTCTATGTTGTTCACGGTTGGTTTGATATTAATGGGTCCAGCTCTCTTTATTTAAAAGATTTGATCCTCGATCATTTTTTTCCCCCAAAATCAATGCTTTCATTAACCATTGATGAATTTCTTTTTTTCACATATTTAGCATTAACTACGAACAAAACATCAAAAATGATGGAGTTGGTCGTTGATGATTTTTATTGTTTTACAGATTTAATAGTTGAAAGAAAAAAAATAGAATCATGACCCCAAAAAAAAAATTGGATCATAGAAGATAAAGATTTCCTGAAAACAATATTATATTTATAAGTTTTATAATATTTACAAGATGCCCGTATAGCTCAGTGGTAGAGCGTCAGTCTTGTAAACTGAAGGTCCGTAGTTCGATCCTGCGTGTGGGCACTTTTTTATTTTCTTTTTATCATACCGAAACGATGACGTTTTAATGTATTAAAACTATGTCGTTTGACATGAAACGCCAAGAAGGCCTAAAACTGCAAAACCCCCCTGACCGGAATAGCCGTCGTCGTCTTCTTCACCCCGTCACTCTGACGAGTTTTTAGGTTTTTAATCTGCAATGGCTAATCTAATCAATAGACTCTTCAGGAGCAAATCTTGCTTCATTCCGATCCAGAGGCTTACTCCTCCTCTCATCACTTACCAGAAGAAGCCCTTCATCGAACCTGTTTTCGAGAAATCTGGTCCAGCTTCTCTTGCTAATCCCGTGATTTCGATCTCCGGGAATGAATCCGATCAATCTATGCGGTTTTATCCTAGTTTCTCCGTGGGCTACTTTATGAACTCGAGCATGGTTCAGTGTCCGGATCTAGCTGAAACAGCGTCGCTGGAGGAGGAGAAAGATGCGAATGAGGTCGTGATTTACGCTGATAGTGTGAAGAAGAAGAGGAAGAAGAAGATGAACAAGCACAAGTACAGGAAACTCAAGAAGAGTACCAGGAAAAAAACCAAGTGAAAATTGCTTGCTGCTCGATCCCCTTTTGCTATTTCGGTGAGAATTCTATTGTTTTGTGATTTTTTTTTGCTTTCCCCGTCTTCTAAATGATAAGGGCTTCGAATGATGAACATCATTTCATTGATGTAGAACAAAAAAAATTCCAAATTTCTTCGAATAGCTTTGAGAATCTATAACATTGCATTGTCATTCGTTTCATCGTTTGTTTGTTCCAAATATTTCATCTGATTCTAATTAAACAGTTTGCACAAAAGTTCATCATCCTGTTCCACTATTCTGAATTCTTTAGGACTTTGCAGTTTGCCTTTTTAGTGAGTGCCAAGTTTAATGCTTTTCTCTCTTTATAGCGTTGTGACATGAGTACTTGTCATGCTTCACTAATCATTCCTGCTACGATCAGTTAGTTTCTCTGATATGTTGAACCAGTCTGATTCTGGTGCTAAGTGTTTACAATGAGATTCACTCCTTTTGTACTCTGAATCACATGGCATTTCTCTTGAGATCTTTGATAATTTCTTAGGCTAAAGTCTCATCATCATCATCATCCATGTAGTAACACTCGCAGTCGGTTTTATAGCAACTTATCTTAATTCCGAGTTTATTTCTAGAATTAGGAGATTTAGTCCCTCCTTTCACTGCTTCAATAGGGTTGTTGTTGTTCAAACTCCGAACTTAGTTGCATTGGTTCTTGACATTCTAGTTCCTTATGAATCGCTAATCCTTCCACTGTAGTAACCTTGGAGAATTTTTAGTTATGATCTTGAATCTATTAGGGTTTGTTCATTGCTTTTGGATCATATCCGTTCGTTCTCGATGAAACAGAGCAAATTCCTCTGATTTTCCGTTACAAGACGATCGAGTTTATGTAGCTTCAAGTATTTTTAATGATTTGCTTGACGTTGATGACTAATGTATATGAATAGAAGATGCTTTGGATTTGATCTCCTCCTAATGTCAAAACCTTATGCTCTTGATCACCATGATCCCACTAAGAAACCGTCAAGATTCATGCACAATGCTTTGTATTGATCGGATGCGATTGGATTGTATCCCAAATATTTAGTTATCTCCGCTTTTCGGCGAGGTTATATATATATATATATATATATCTGTAGTATTATATCTTTGATTCACGTGATTTAATCTTTTTATTCACTTCTATTTTCATGATAAGAATCATTATTGTAGTCAAATATGAAAACATTGGTGGCTGCATAGTGCATGCATCTCCACTATTCGAATACTTGACGAAATTGTCAACTAATATCTTCATCTTGGTATACATTCCTCGGAACTATCAAATATCATTAAAATGAAAGAAAAAGTTAGTGGAGATGCATGCAGCCACAAATGTTTTCATATTTGACTACAATAATGATTATTATCATGAAAATAGAAGTGAAAAGAGACTAAACCACGTGAATCAAGTATCATTAAAATGAAAGATTTTTAACTCGCTCGATATTTCTTATCAAAATAATTTTGATATAAGCAAAGATATTTTCAAATACTTTTTATTTTATTTTGCTATATATAAAATAATTGCATTCATATGGTAGTTAACGAGTCTGAATTGAAATGTGAGACATCAGACACGAAACCACATTGCGTGGTTAGTCTGTTTCCCACGCGTCTTACCCTTTTTCCACTCCAAGAATGAATACATAAATATCTGTTGTAACAAAATATCGCATGTTTTTGTTCTATTAATTTGCTTTTCAATCCTCAATTATGAATGATCAACTTCCACTATACTAGTGACTATGACCGGTTGGTCAATTTTGATCTCCTATACTGAATTTCTATTTTTTTTTCCTTCCTTTTTATCATAGTTTACAACTTACAACTTAGTTTGATTGATTGGACCGATCCTACTTGAATTTTAAATAAATAAACTACCGCAAAAGTCAAAAATTATTTAGATCTTTTAGGATTCTTAGGCAATCAGGAGGTCTTGTCATATCATTTTGCAGACCAACCAGCGACAGAAAATATTCTTTGTAATACATGCAAGTATATTGACAAATTGGAATTGTATAGTCCAAACCGGACCGACCTGTAAATTATATGCTAATAATCTTATATTGGAAACACATGGAATTTAATATTGTAGAAGTGGACAAACACGAGTCTGGGACAAGACTTTTCCAGAATGAGATCATCATCATAATACATAAACGAGAACTTGAGAATAAAACTTTTTCGCTCAATTTTATTTACTTTTAATTTCGTGACGAAAAGAAAAAGAGCATGAGACGGGATGAGAGAAGGAGAGTTCTTATAAAGATGTGTTCTGATTCTAGTTTTAAAAGATGATTATGAAAACTTTACTTATGAACGAACGTAAAATACATTTATATAGGACCAAGCAAAGGGCAGATTAAAAGGGTTACTCATCGACAAATTTAACCCAATCAACCGATCTGAGAGACAAATTAACAAACAAATAAAACTTCTGACTCTAATAATGCCTTCTAACAATCGCTCATTAAAATATAATGGATCTACAAATAAACCCCCCAAAAAAAAAAATCAAATTTTAATCATCACATTAACTTCTTCCGGATTCTGATGAAATCTTCTGCTTCTTCTTTTAACAACACATCACTTTTCTTCTTCTTTGATTGGGACAACGAAGACATGGCTTTCGCAGACGCAACTCTTCTCACCAGAACCTTCCACTTTGTATCCTCAGCCATTTTCTTGTCCTTTTCTCCTCTGTTCTTGAATTGCCTACTCCAATCACCAAAAATCAAAAAAGTGACAACGAAATTAGATTCTAATTTCTAAAATATCTTATAGAAAATCAATATATTTTCAGCCGTATGATCATGACTCATCATCTAATAAGTAGGTCACCACCACAAACACATAATTATCATTGCCGCCGAAAGTGAAAATCAAACGACATTTTACCATCGAAAAGTGAAAACTTTTATCATTAGAAACACTAATAAAAAACGTGGTTCTGCTGATTCTCAAAATGTCGGTTTTTTGTTACCTGCAAAGTGGGACACGGCAAGATTCAGATTGGTCGCAGATGGAAGAATGGAGTCTAAGGAGTTGAATCATTCTCTTGCAACGAAGACAGCCTTTGCCATCGACTCGTTTCTTGCAGACAGCAAAGTGACGGATCAGAAGTTGGAGTCCGTAACAAGTCGAGAACGCACCGCACGGACCGGGCTTTCCTCCGGATGTTGACTTTTCGTTGTCTAAGTTAGACGATGGTCCGACCAATGTACAACCTTCGGTGCATATGTGCTCGATACATTCCATGGCTTCACTCAATTGCATATACAGATTCTGTTCTCGTCTGTGTCTCCTTCTTCTTTTCTTTCTCTGCAAGAAATCACCCAAACACATACAACTATGATCAGAGAGGCCTGATTTGCTCTTTTTTTGGTTCATCTGACTTATTTTAAGCAATAAAAACAGAGCTTTTACAGAACAATGTGGTACAAAATTAATTACCGATTCAGCCTCGTCGATGAATTGGAGAATGTCGAGTTCAAGAAAGGGATCGTGTTCTTGAAGAAACTTCCATCCTTCTGTCTGCTCAACGGTCTTGAACTTGGAGTGAATCAAACGCATACACTTGAGACAGAGGTCAGGTGCGTCGCAGAGCCGAGCCAGTTGGAGAACATCGACGACGTTCTCGGCTGTTACTCTCTCGCCGACGCCTTTGGTGCACCGTTGCTTTAACTGAGTCACCATGTACACATGTGATAGAGCCAGTAGATGGATTCCGTATTTCTCCATCTCCTTCTCCGTCAGACTAAAACACAAAAGACACGTAAGGCTATTTTAGTCATTTCGGAAATACTTCTTGAAGGAGAAAAAAAAAAAAAAATTTGAAGTTGGTGAATTCAAATTTAATGCTTGATGGTTAGTTAACACTTTTGTGATTCACATGTTTTGAGTATGAATCAAAGCCTATATCAATCGTAATCTGGTTAAATGCGGGAAAAGGTAAATTTTGATTTTAACTAAACAGGAAAGATTTTTGAATTAATGGCGCACCTGGGTGAGTGGAGGAATCTGACGAAGATTGAAACGGCGTCGCATGGAACGCCAAGAATTCTGATTACTCTCTTCGATGATCCGCCGTGGATTTTCCTCGGCTTCTCGATGATGTTCGTAAGCACCGGTGAAGCAGAAGCCTGCATTTCTCAATTTCAAACAAAACCAATAATTAACACCCAAAATTACAAAAAAAAAAAAAGTGTTCGATCGTGAAAGAAGAATTAGATGCAAAACAAAAACCGTACCAGGATGTTGGAGTGCGCCGGAATCCGACGGCGACCGGAAGTGATGATCTCAACATCAGTTTCCACCAGATCGTATGAAGTTTTATCGGCGTTTAGCGAAACGCCGTCGTTTAAAGTAGCGGTTATGGCCATCGTGGACTATTACAGCTTTTCGTTTGGGAGAGAGAGAGATGGTAATAAGCTCTTAGGGATGGTTTCAATTGATGGAGAAGCTTGAAGGGGTGATCTCTTCATTTTATAGACAGCTCAACAAAACAAAGCCTGCTCTTCTTCTTGATTTGTTCGTACACGTGGCATTTTTATCTAATAAATATCTTTTTTTTTTTTTTTCTGACTTGTCCCCACATCCACGCGATTTGTTCTCTGTATTTTGTAGACTAATAAACCAGAATTAATTGGGAAATAAATTAGTGAACTGTAATTGAGGTGTTTAAGGGGTATGTATCAATTTTAATACAAGTCATGAGTGAGTCATGATAAATAATTAGGGGTCCTCTGTAACACCATCTCACCAGATTTTTTCGAATAATAGAATGTGGTTTGATGGTTATGTTGTTGCATTTCTAAAATATTATATATCATCATAAACTAAAATGAAACTAGAAAGAAAAAGAAAAACTGAAGATATAGATTTAGTGTAGTAATAAACAAACCCAACAACAAAAAGCCCACGTGGACTCTTGTCCATTAGGCTTATTAATTAAATATAATAAATGCTCTCAAAAATAAATTTTTTTTTTTGACGACGCTCTCAAAAATAATTGAATTTAACAAATAAAACCAAAAAATATTTTAAAACAAGTACGAATTAAAAAAAACCATTTAGGTATATACACTTGTTTTTCCTATTTTCACAAAAGTTTTAGCCTGCATTTGTTTTCAGACCAGAATCGTGACATATTACATTCATCTAATATAATTGAAACAAAAACAATTACATTCATCTAGCACATCTTATTATAAAACATGACTAACATCAGTATGCCTCAAACATTTTCAAATAGCCGCATTGCCTCCTAACACAACCACAAGAACACATCATATATAAATACATTGTTTTTTTTATATATATAAAAAGGGCTTTCGCATAAATACATTGTTTAACAAGAAATATTTCCTTATTCCCAAAAAGCCATACCAACAGGATCTAACCAAGAGATCATTAGCAATATACTATGTGTTGAATTTGACCTTCGTTACACTAGTGTCGTCTCTATTATAATCCCAACATCACACCCAAACACCTATATATTATTTTATTGTTTACATTCAAAAAGTTACTATAGAAAATTTGCTTTTCTATAAACAATATTACTTTTTGGTACCATGTAGGATGTTTGTCCCATATGGGGTCACGAATGTTATATGTTTTTTATGATCTTACGTGGAAAAAGTGTTAAAAGCGGTCTAAATATTCGTCTTGCAATGAAGAAAAGAGTAAAAATATTCATTATTTTAATTTTTAAACTTGAGAAAGGCCGGTTATTGAAGTAAACCGACCCTTGCCTCTTCTCAAAAGCCACATCCTCATCTACGTGGCTTTTAATCCTCATCCACTTTCGAGCCCTCTTGTCTAGCCACTTGTAATTCTCTTATTCATTCATTTTTGCCACTGAAGTTTGTTAATTTTTATTATATAAAATTATCAAAAATGATTGAGCATTTAGAATTGTTAATTTAATATCGGAGAAGGCGTATATGTTGTTGTACTACCACCTAGTGGCAAATCTTGGTACGTAGAACAATCCAGCTGAAGATGAGATCGTTGCAGATTCTCAGGCCGTTGAAGGTCAGACTCCTCTTTCTCCGTCCTCAGCTGAAAATGAGATCGATGATCATGGTGCATTGGTGCTATGTCTTCGGTTGTGTTGACATATATAACTACTAGTGTAGACTTCTTAAGAAACCCATTATTTGCATAATTATTAATGTTTCATGGTAAGTATAGTTGTATAGTTTATGTGCACTTTTTAGTTTGATAGTATTTAATTACATATTTGATAATGTTGGCAGGGGGTGTTATTCTTTCATTAACTCTACATGTACGTATGTTGTATAAATTAATCAAGATGCTGTTAACTTAAAGTATTCACAAATGGCGCCTTTTAAGAAAACGAAACAGCAAAATCCAAAACTTGTGGATAATGTTACACGTAAGAAAAGGTGAAAAGTGTAACATAAACTAATGGATTTGATGATTTCATGTCAGATTCTTCCCAATAAATATTACTATTCGTGTTTAGGGAATTAAAATACAATTTCACATTTTCCTATTCTAAACTGTTTATATTCCACTTGAAATTTTGAAGCACTGTAGAGTGATGTGCATGCTACACTCCGATCTTATCCTTCGAGTTTTGATTGTGTGTAAATATATATATTTGCAAATTGTCATAAATCAGCGACCTACTTGTAATAAACGGTTGAAACCCACGAAATGTGGGTGCTTTGACAAAAGTCTATAAGAAAACTGTCACCAGGTTTTCGTGCACTTTTGATAGTATATATGTGTATTTTCATATAATCCATATATGTTTCTTGTTGGTTTTTTGGGTAAAATATGATATTTTATACCATTTTAGTTTTAAACAAAAGGTTACAAAGATAATGAGAAATTAGAAACACCTGAATTTTATACCATATAAATTTTTCTGTTGTTGTTTGAAGTTTGAACTAAATGTATAACACGAAATAGAAAAACATGCGTAACACATCACATTTTAAATATTAGTTATTGCTGAATTCAAAATAAAAACTTATCCAAAATGGTTGACCAACTCAAAAACTGGGATTAGTTACCGTTGACCTGACCATCCACGGCCTTCGTCTTCGGAGCCAAACACGCCGAGTCCTTAAATATTGTGATACTTATCCTCTTCTTCTTTTTTTGTTGATTAAGACAACTTATCTTCTTTCTTTATGACAACCTTTTAATCGACGAACTCAACAAAATAAATAAATAAATTGGAAAAAAAAACTTTTTGCTGCTCACAAACTTTGTCTTACGGGTAGTTTGGTGCTAACCTTGTAAATTAGTCTTTGAAACCAAATATATATGTGGGCTTCAAGACTAGATAACATTACTTTGGTCTGATAAAACGAAGAAGATAACTAGTATATTTCATATAGAAGGTGTATCCATTTCTAAGAGAACTCTTATTTTTGTGTGTTTGTGTAAACAACCTTCCATAAATCCCCAAAAATCGAAGAGAGAAGAACGACTTGGAAATAGTCAACGACTGTTTTTGTATACATAGATTTAGCAGCTGAAGCCCATCAATTACAGAAGGCCCAAAATAATATCATAACTTGTGCCAAGAATTAAGAAAGAAATGACCCAAGAGAGGCCTATGAGATCCGGCAACGATTCCAGAGACTAACGCTCTATTTCGCCTCCTTTCTCTATCTCTCTTCTTCTCGGTTTCTCCATAAGCAGCGAGAGTTGTTAAAAGGATCTGGTCAGGCTTTGTTATTTGTTTGTGGTGGCGATATTATTAAAGGAAAAAACAATTATATAGAGATAATAAAACAACAAGTAAATGGCATTCAAGTTTCCAAGTGGATGATGCTTTCACTCTTATCCATAATACTGAAATAAGTTGTGAAACACTTGTCAAGCTTACCAAACCAGTGGTCTGGTATTCCTCCTCTGACGCTAACCTTTCTCAGATCATTCTTCTTTTGCAGATCATAATAGAAAATATAATAATGAGAGAATAGTTCAAACGGTGCCAAAATAACCTGGCCGTTTTGAGTTGTACCATGTACAATAAATGAAATGTCGTTATCGACTAAACGCTTCTGACAAGGTTGCAAAACCAGAGATTTCGTCGACCATCTCCCACCATCTTCCAAGACCCATATGTCCACCAAACCCGTTGCTCCAAGATGGGTATAATCAAAAATAGCTGGTTTTCCACCATACTCTATAAAGCCTATAGACTTATTTATTCCAGACACCGGAGGAGGTACTTGGATTATAATGATCTCTTCAGATCTAACATCAAAACTGACCACGATACTGCGAGAGGTACAAGTGACAGCCAAATAATACATGACCCCATTGATGCACAGTCCTACTCTTATAGGTGCATGAGGTTGATCAAACTCAATTCTTTTCCAGGAACCTCCGGCTTCGAGTACAAATACCCAATGCTCCGAGCTTATCCTCTCACAAAATTCCGAGCATATCACATCAGCGCAGACAACTTTGTACTGATGGATCGTGTCCGAAAAAGAAGCAGGCATACTTGCGGAATGCTTCTTGCGAATAAATGTTGGATTTGACGGCGGGCAAGGTTAAGCTTTGCCGGGTGGCGGGATTATAGATACACGCCCTTCTGCAAAACCTGTATAGAATCAAGCCGCGAAGAACCACCATGTTGCTTCCTCCCATCCATGGCAGGGTCAAATCTGGGACCAAAGACGATGATGACGATGGTAAAGATAGCAGTACTGACTCGCGGGGGTTGTGGCAGACCTCCATCGAGCTAGTAGGCTCGCGGTGGTCCACCACACTCATGTATAGGCGAGGTCGTCGAGGTGGGGACGCGACCGAATGATAAAGGTTGCTAAAGTACCGGGAACGGATAAGACAAGACCAGAGCTTTGACACGCACTTGAACCTCATCAGCGATTTAGCAGGCAATCTACTCAGTATCTCGATCAGGAGATCCAAAGGAATCTCCAAGCTGACTCCTCCTCGTCTTCTTTTAAGTCTTCTTCCTCTGATCATCACCTTTGGATAACTCTTCTTCCATTGAAGAGACGACAAAACCAGAGCAAGAGCCAGACCCATAGCTACCAATTCACAATAGCCCTAATTCACAAGCGCCCACAAACACTTATATATCCAAAATCCTACTCGGTAGGAAACTTTGATAAATTTTGCTTTTTTTTTAAAGGAAAGAACCAAAAAAATGGACTCTTTTTTAGATCTGAGTAAGAGAGACAGAGGAAGACGATCTAGGGTTGACCCAAAAAAAAAAAAAAATCTATCTTGTCAAGTTGGCTTTTTTCTTTTTTTCTTATTACTCCATTAAACGGCGTCGTTTGTCTGATAGCCATATCTCTGGGCTACAAACAGTTGGGCCTCCATCACGACATTCACCTATGATTGTGCGGCCGGATATCATATCTGCTTGGGAAACGGGGAACATGGACAATTTTTGATCCGAAATCCCTAAAACACAAGGATTGAGACACTATTCGAGTCCTTAAATAGTTGGATACTTATCGTCTTCTTTTCTTTAATGGCAATTGAACTCAACAAAATAAGTAAATTAATTGGATAAATATAAAAACAAATTATGTGGGCTTCAAGACTAGATAACTTTTTTTTTTCTTTCTGACAAAAAAGTAGATAGCTAGTACTAGTAGCATTTCATCAAAGCTGTGTGACTGTCAGTCCATTTATAAGAGAACTCTCGTTTTTGTTGTTGTGTGTAAACCTTCTACAAATCGAAGAAAGAAATGAACAAGGACGACTTGGAAATAATTAACGATTGTGTTATTCAAACCTTCCATATCACTCGAAGCCCATCAATTACAAAATGACCCAAGAGAGGCCCATGAGATAAACCACCGCTGCAGCATGGCGGTGACGAATTCCGGCTGACGAGCGCCAATCACCTTTTCTCTAATCTCTCTTCTTCTCGGTTTCTCCATAAGCGGCGGGAGTTGTGAAAATAAGTTCAGGCTCTGTTTTCTGCTTGTGGTGGCGATGTTCGTCCTGAGAGTTCATTCGGTTGACTCGGAGCGGCCAATCTCCGTCGAAGAAGAAGAATCCGGTTTCACCTACGCATCATCGAGGAGAGCTCAGCCTCCAGATAAACTCACACCAACCCTCAAACTCACGGAACGCAAGGGCCTGATCCATCTCTACCGCAACTCTTCACACAGCTCCCTCCCCAACCCTAGCTCTCGATCCACCACTCTCTTCGTCGTCGCCGTTCCCAATTACCTTTCCTCCCTCGATTTCATCCGCTTCTGTGATCCCCAAATCGCCCATGACTCCCAGATCCTCTTCATCAGGTGAGCCCGTTATCGTCTTTTAGGTGATCATTTGCAAGAATCGCCATTGGTGTCGATGATACATTGACTGATCGTCGCTGAAAACTATTAGGAACGATGGAATGGAAGATCGATATAGTGTTTTGATCACACTTTCTGATCAATCCGCAGCAGATAAATTCCACAGGAACCTGAATGGGAAAAAATATGCACCATCTGAGGTATTATCAAATGGAAATGAGATTCCTTTTTCTTTGTTCACTTCATTGCATGATACTAACCTTGTTTTCTTGGGGTTTAGGCTGAGGTTTGCCATATTCTCTATGTACTTTCGGTGGAACACACAGAGTTTGATGAGCTTGCTGCTTCTCCACCTGCTGGGTTTACCGAGTTGCCTACTTGCCCAATATGCCTTGGTGAGTTTTGCTAAAAGAGACGATTCTCATTGTTGAAATATATAACTTCTTTTTCTTTCTAAATGTCAATTTTTTGGAATTTGAATCATGCAGAGAGATTAGATCCTGACACCAGTGGTATACCAAGCACGCTTTGTGATCACTCGTTTCAGTGTTCTTGCACTTCAAAGTGGACTTATCTGTCCTGTCAGGTGAGTGACTCTCCTTCATGCCTTTCATTGCATTTTTCACTTTACACGGCGTGTTGGTGTTCGTTCATCGGCAGTGTTCCCTTAGCTAGTACATGGTTATTTCGTTTGTAGGTTTGTCGATTGTGTCAACAACAAGATGAGATATTAAGCTGTTCTATTTGTGGGAAAACAGAGAACGTATGGGCATGCCTTGTCTGTGGCTTCTTAGGTTGTGGAAGGTAATACATTGTTTGCGTTTCCACTGTAACAAGATCTTACCTCAGAGGTGGAAGCTTCATTCACAATGGGTTATGTTTTCCAATTGCAGATACAAGGAAGGGCACTCTATTAGGCACTGGAAAGAAACTCATCACTGCTATTCTCTTGATTTGCGAACACAACAAATCTGGGATTACGTTGGTGACAGCTATGTTCATCGGTTAAACCAATCAAAAATAGATGGAAAGTCAGTAGAGATGAACACCCGCTGTCTTTCACACGAAGGGGACTGTGGTCTATGTGAGTGTAGTGAGGATACAGGAATGGGCGGTGCCATCTACAACAGCAAAGTTGATTCAGTATGATTTTAACCACCTTTTTATCAAATTTTCATGCATAAAGTGAATCGTTGATCATCAGTGGTTTCATGACTTTATTATTTGACTTTTTGTGGAACAGATTGTAACCGAGTATAATGACCTTCTTGCAAGTCAGCTGAGGGGACAGCGACAGGCAAGTGGTTCTTCTGATACTTTTTTCTGTCTCTTCTTATTTATATATGAACAAGCTTGATATAGGATGAAGATGTAGCCACCTAGAGATCTCAATTACTTATCACAATCGTGATGTCTTTCATCAGTACTATGAATCTCTCATTGTCGAGATGAGAAGCAAGCAGGATAGTAGTATTGCCGAAGCAGTTGAGCAGATTGTTGTTAACAAAATGCAGGAGCTTCAGAACGAGATTGAAAAATGTGAAGAGGAAAAAACTGGTATCACTGAGGTGAGAGCCTTCTCTGCCCCTTTTGATCAATGTTCCATTCTTAAGAAGGTTTCCTTATACAATGATTACGCTGAGAGCTATTAATATTGGGTTTCAGGTTAATAGAAAGCTTATAAAAGAGCAGGATACTTGGCGGAAGAAGGCCAAGGAAATACAAGAGAGGTGCAACATGTTTGCTCTTTGTTAAGTTGTTTACATAAACAATCATAGTCCATATAGTAAAGGATTGATTGATTTTTGGTGTCTATTCAGGGAAGCCGCATTGCTAGGATCAAAAGACGAGATTATAGTTGATCTTGAAGAACAGGTGAGATTCTTCTATTCTCATTGATCAGGGTTTGCTTCTTTTTAGCTGTTAGCATTTAACGAGTGATAGTAATGGATTTGTACAGATAAGAGATATAAAGGTTTTCGTCGAAGCCCAGAAAACACTGAAGACGTTGTCATCAGATTCAGATGGTATACGTGAAGGAACCGTCTTACCAATGCCTATCAACGACGAGCCAGTTCGAAAGCAGAAGAAATCAAACCGAAGAAAGTGAAGAGCGGATTCGTGATGCTTTTAGGGATTTTACTGTGGGTTTTTGTTTATTCATGATTGATCTATGTCGGTGGTGTATGATTGTAGATAAACACATTTTTCATTTCTAAATGATCCTCATTCTAAAGCAGTCTAATTACTTTCGGTCATAAGAAAACATTTTTTAAAAAATTGGAAGAAAATATTTAAGGGCTTGGAATGCTGCGACTCGGAAACAAAGATTGAATTGAATATGTTGAGGTCTTTTACTGTAGAAATGTTTAGGTATATATATTCATAGATCGATGAGACAAGCTAACATTTCAACATTTACAAGAAGAACAAATCTTTTATATGCACATGATAATTGTTGCAAATCAAGCGAAGCTTTGTTGGATCTGTTGGATAATGGGAGGGATAATAGTCTGATAAGCTTTCTGGGTTGGGTGTCCAATGTCCCAAAACACATGTCGAGATGCATCCAAGCACGGTATCGGAGCCGCCGGAGAACAACAGCAAGGCCTTGTCGGCGAAGTAAATCCTAAAAAGAAACCGAAAGTACATGATCGTGACAAACTTGTTTCACAAGATTCTTGTATTTGTAGGTCCGTCGTCGTACTCCATACAACGTAACCATAATTCATAGTCTTGATGAAAATTCAAACTTAAGAAGAAAGAAGAAACACTTACCGTATCTTAGAGGGTTCTTGACGAGTTCAAGAAGAGGACTATACATGTCGATGTAGATGGAACGAGAGCCTGGGAGCATTGAGTTGAGATTGTTGACTTCGGTCGCAAGCTTTCGGTTAAAGAGTCTAGCGACTGCGTTTGCGGGTTCTAGACAAACCCCTCCAAGAACGTTGCTTGCTCCTGGTAGGCATCCCAATGGTAACGTTCCCATTACCGCAAATTTTCTCGCTCCCATATTATATAGCTCCTATATATGTGAACCAGTATTGTTCTTTTTTTTAATTAATAAAAATCAAATTTAGTTAAGTTGAATTATGTGAATTAGTCTGAATATGAATATACCTTCATGAATGATTCAGTCCATGAAACCATCATGTTGGTGTAGGAGAAGACAGTGTATCGAGTGTTTCTTACTGGATTTGAGAAATACGTAATGGCAATATCGTTATTTCCAGCGGAAATGACATACACTGCGTTAGAGATGATTGATCTCGTTCTCTCTTCATCTCCCGTTATGCTGTTTAGCTGTGCTATGTAAGCTTGGAAGTCCTTTAACTGATCTGGTACCCAAATAACTCCCTGTAGTTTTTTTTTTTGTTTTTAATGAATTTATTAGCCAAAAACAATTGCTAGATTGAAAAAAAAAAAATCAAACCACAATAATTATCTTTAGATTATAATCACCTGAATTCTTGCGGTCATTGGATCTAAACCAGAACCACCAGAAGCAAAACTAACACCGGTTAAGATATCGTTGGGTTGAAGGAATGGACTACGATAAGCTGGTACGATATTCTTTATTCCCAAACCTTCCGCTGCATGCATAATATTTCATCAAAATGCTGAATTCACTTTTAATAATAAAAAAAAAATTGGTTAAATGATATATCTATCGTCGTAAAAAAGTACCAATCATATCTGTAGGAATTCTTCCATTGCCAAATCTTCCCGTGGCTCTTCGAGTTACAAAGTCTCTTCCATACGGATAGAAGTTAACTTTGGTTAAAGTCCTAAGATTATTGTTGTTGCCTGTATCGAGTATCGAGTCTCCGAATGCAAAAACGGCTGGTATATTTCCGGCCTGAGCGACAGTCAGCGATATCATAGAGATTGATACTATTAACGTTTGAATAACTAGAGAATTCATTTTTTTAAAAATCTCGTTGATTTACTTTCTTATCCTCTCAATTCGATTTGTATGTTTAATATTTGATTTTGATGATGGAATCGGATTAAAAGTGCTTATTTATAGATCCGATAATAACCTACTAACGGAACATAGCTATTTTTCCTTTTTTTGAACGTAAGCATCTGTTGTTGTCGATATTTTTGTTACTATAGAGCTATTTTTAACAGGTTCCATCTAGTCGAAATTATCATCTAGAATTATGTTATATCGTTGAATGTTAGTTGCAGTAGGCTGTTAAAATATGTACATCACTAAGTCGGGTCAGACTGAATGCTAAAAATGATAGTTTTTTTCTTTAATGGACCTTTGATTCAAAATAATATTGAGAAATATCAAATAAGTAACAGGTATATATATGTTAAACAAGATTACGTATTACACTACTACACATAATACAACTTGTTTCTAAAAATTATTTTATTAGCAAATCTGTTGAAGTATCAACTAAACATAAAATAATATAATCGTTCTACTTAGTAAGTGTGTTGAGTGTAGTAATAAGTTTTGCCGACTGTAATCATAACTCTAGCCGACACAACGACCAAATAAAATGTAATCAACACTTCTTCACTTTTCCAACAGAGATTATTAGTACATAAATAAAGCTAACAAGTGATGGTTTCATCATATTATATATATACACACACAGCATACATACATACACGCCGGTGGGGCTATGATCAGCAACGGGAACCCTTTTTGCAGCTGAGTGCACCGGAGGCTATAGTTATATCACCAACATGAGAGGACGGTCTAGCGGCTAGGCTCGATGCTTTCGAGTAGCTTGACGATTTAGTTGGTCCAGCGCCAGAAAATGTAAAGAAGGCACCGTTAAGCATTAGATCTCCTTCGGATCTCCAATTCCAGTTACTCCATTCGCTTTCCGGTGCATCCTCGTGCTTTGTTACCTAGTTTTTTTACCCCAAAAACGTAATGTTACAATCTTAGAACTTCGAATGAAATAAAATGGCAGTAATTAGAAACTAGTCAGAAAAATAAATAAGTGGGTGTGTACCTCTTTGCTAGAAGAGTCATCAGGAGCAAGAAAACGGTTGCCTTGAGAGTTGATGGTAGGATTAGCACTTCCTCCGATTGCATACATTTCCCAATGTGTATAGTCATTGTTCACCACATGGAAATATCCATGTCTACATCTAACAGATATATAAGTTTTTCATTAATTAGTTTGTTCAAATTAATTTTCAAGTTCTAGCTACTTATATAATTTTAACTCTCGGAATTGATCTACGTCTGAGATTCAAAATATCAGGAAAATGCTATTTAACTGAACCCTACTATTTTTTAGTTGATTAGACATATATCATCATTATTTCGGTTGATCCATATTAGATGTAGAAAAAGAAAAACGAATTAAAATTTAATGCAGTTGTTGTATTTTGGCTTCTTTCAATAGTATATCCAACCGACAATATACTTGACTTATATAGTTTGTACCACATATATCCACAAATATAGTTATACTAAAAATAATATATTTTTGTTTGTTTGTTGGATAAATAAATGAAGTAAATCATTTGAATACCTTGGCATTCTTTGGACGAGGCCTTCACCAAAATGGTTAAAAGCGATAGTGACTTGCATATTCTTGTCTTGTACATACGTGTCACTATGTCCCAATAACATAACCTTGTTGTGATGCGTCAGGTAATTATTAGAGATCGTTATAGCCGTTGATCCACGTATCGCATCAATCAACCCGTCGTTACAATTCGAGAGCGAGCAATGATCAACCCACACGTGGCTCCCGCCGAAGATCGACACACCGTCACCGTCCGATATCGTTCTCCACCCGTAGTGCTCTGGAGAATCTCGCACGTCAGTATTCCCACCTTGCTTACAGTCATGTATGTGTAAACCATGGATGATGATGTTGGTCACGTACTGTATGGTTATACATGGCCCACCCGCGATGTGTACGGAGGCTCCTCGTCCGTCTAGGGTTTTGAAAGAGTTCATTATGAGTTCTTCTTTTAGTTGGATCGTCATGTCTCGTTGAAATATGATCCAAAGCGGTTCATCTTTAATTACTGCGTATCTCAGCGTTCCCGGTTTAGGGTTGACCGGGTCGTCGTTTCCTGGATCGGTGACTACGTAGATTTCACCATCACGACCGCCAATTGCGTTTTTTCCAAAACCGATTCCGCAATCAGCTAACCGTTTCCGGTTTTTCTCCCAATCCTTATCGCATCGCCAACAATCATCGATTGGATTGCCGGTCCCACAAGAGAAGAACCCTAGGTTCCTTCTTGATATGGACTCGTTTATTCTCCTAAAAAATATATCAACCAATAGCCAATAGAGATATGTTAGAAACATAAATAGAAACAAACATCCACTCTATGTTAGTAGTATCATTCTTGACGCCGTTAAGTGTACAGTACTCATAACTACTATGCAGCCAAATGAACAAGCCGGTATATGATAAGATCAGAAATGACAAATTCACCCTTTGCGCATGGAAAGAAAGAAAATTTCTAAGTGGTATTTACATTTGTGTGTAATACCTGTGTACTTCCTGGACAACGAGCTCGGGGTCAGAAACGGGCAAAGAGGAAGCGAGTGTGGAGAAGAAAATGCAGTAGAGGAAAATAAGCGTGAAGGATGCATGTGAGGAATTTAGCATTGTGTTATTTGGATTCTTACTGTTTAAGTTTTAAGGTTTAGGACGAAACACATACGAGTGAAGGGAGAAAAACAAGGCAACGTATAGACTATATAGCATATGAACACTTAATGCGCATGCAACTTGATGTTCATTGGACCCACTATGTCTTAGCTTTTACCCTTTTTTCTACGAAATAGTTTTGGTTGTTTTCGAATAGAAATTATACTATATAAAAGAAGAATAGTGCGTATTACGATTTCTTAACTGCTCTGAATTTTTTAGAAAGGTTAGCAAAAAAACGAAAGTGTTTGATTTATAGAAATCATCATCAAACTATAATGGAATGATTTCTAATTAATTTCCATATATATATATCAGCAAAACATTAACAAATTGAGCCAAAAAACAAAAAAACAAATTAGACACTTCCGTTCAAATGAATCCTTGAATCCGGACGCATTATTTTGAAATGAATGATATTTCAAAAATTCAATCCCCAAAGTCAAACCTACTGTCATATGCATAGAACATTATAGTTTCCACTCCGATGAATCAGTCATCATTGTCAATATAATCATCTCAACCATTTCTAGCAATAAAAAATTAATCGCTTGAACCAGTTACATTCAATATTCAACATTCAGGTAATGCTTGAGCAATGACTCACGTGGCTTAAAGGGAAACAAACAGAACTCGTAATTAAAATCTCAACGAACTTACAAGATGAATGTTGGTGAACACTTAAGTAGAGTGCACAAAAGTCAACAGAGTGTTAGTGTACTTTAGTAATAAGGTTTAATTTTGTACATTTATGATCTACTTTAACGGGTGGATTTATTATTAATAATAGCCTTATACAGCTTACATTTTCAATAATATTCTCTCTTTTGGATCTTGTTTTTTAAAAGCTTTGTACGAATACATACGTAATTTTAATACAGTTTGAGTCATTTGATAATTTTATTTTTGGAGTGTTGGTTTCTTTTGGTGTCCCCGAAAATATATAGTTTGCAGAAAGAAAAATAGATGAAGTAAGAATAAGAGAAGAGTCCCACCAAAAAACGATAGAATAGGAGAACTGAGCCGACACTGGCCCCATAGAGGTTTGATTTTGGGACCAATGAACCATGTGCTCGAGTCCAATCTTTCAATAAATTACGCTTATAAAATTCTCAAATTTTATTTCACCTTTTTTCAAATAGTATATTCATAGATTACAATTAAACCTGTGTTGAAAATTTGGTTGGTATAAAATGTGTTGACAATTAAATGCACATGGAAAGTATCTGCATCACTATATATATATCCTCCACACTTAAATAATACTCCATTTATCAACTTATACAATTATAGGTCTCACCGACATTTTATCTGGCTATAACCACTTATGTTGATGAATTTCTCTTTTTCACATCTTTAGCATTAACTACGACCAAAACATCAATCAGGAACTTTAGTCTAGCGATTTTGATTAATGTTTATTACCAATAACTCGTTATATGGATTCACGCATGAATGATTTGTGTATTTTAGTATGTAAATTTCAGAAAACAAATAATGGCAAAAGGAACCTTTGGACATTCATTCGAGATCTTTAGCATTATGAATATATGATATGTAAATCATTCTGTTCCATCGTGATGAAACTCGAGAACTGACAAAGTTCGTTTTCACAATATTCTATTCAGTGCTAAAAAAGCTAAAATATGTATGTCTATATATCCATTTTTGAAAATAGATTATTGTATTAGTTTCGATAATTAAACTTAAATCTACATGCGAATAATCTTTTGATGTTTTAAAATCTCGGTGGATTACGAGTTTTTCTTCTCCATATGAAATCATTTCAACTTCTTTTTTTGCGAAAATTGAAATGTCTTGTAAAAATACAAGATATAATTGACCTTTCTAAAAACAACAAGAGTCGTTGGATTTTAAGGTGGTAGATATAAAAGGAATCGTATGATCAGAAAAGAGAGACTTAATTCAGACAAAAGGCATGTGACCGGTTTTGTTTGAAAACTACTTGGCATCTTCAACTCATTAATTAAAAATAATTCCATACACAACATAACAAATACAAATAATGTTGAGATAACAAATCATACTCGTCAAATCAGATTAGGTTAACAAATTATAAAATACAATATCCATATAGTTATTTTTAGCATTATAATTATATTAAGAAGATGGGACTGATAAACAAAATCGAAGATGAAGAAGTGCTTTACAAAAGAAAAACACAAATTATACAGACTTAACGAATTAGCCCACTAGTGTGAGAATTATATGAAATGAAAAAAAAAAAAACAAAAGAGAATTAAGAGATCAAAAACTTCGTTTTTCTAAGAAAACAGACACATGAAAAATTTAAAACCATAATCATGATTTACTCATTTCCATGCAACCTTATAGCTTCTGTTTAATTATTTGATAAATTTAGCCCAAAGACATCTAAGTAAATGGGCCGAACATGCGGATGTGGCTCGTCGTTCTGCATCATATTTAAAACAACAAATAAAATTGGAGACAACAACAAAAAGCTAAAGCCATCCACGTCTTTATTTGATGACGTGTAACATCGTATATAATCCACCAAACTTTATTTTATTGTTTTTTTGGCGATCCTCATCCATTTCCTCTCTCGTCGTTGTCTGGGAATCGGTGACTTTTGAATCTTCGTGATTCTTAGTGCTGTGATCGTTATCTACATCGTCGTTACTTGACGTTGATACTTCTCCGTCGTTTTTCCGGTGCTGGATCTTCGATCCATTTTATTTCCTGCCTTGGCTCGAGATCCGAGCCAAGCAGAGAAGACAACTTCGTTTCACGATTTGGAATTGGATTCGTGCGATCACAGGTATGTATTTTGTTTCTCTTTCTTTTTTCCTATAGCTGCATACGTTCTTGGGATGTTTGTTTAGTTAATTGATTTTGTGGGTCTTAAGGTCTCTCGTTTAGATTCATGAAAAAACTTAACTTTTTGTGTGTCCCCTTGTGATTCACAGTGTATGCTACTTAGTAGTGGAGGTGTCTGGGTTTCTTGTTCTAATGGGCGTTTATCAGTTTTTTTGAGTCTGATGCTTCGAAAGGAATGAAATTTCGTTGGGATGCAAACTTAGCATGTTCTTGCTGATCTTTTCTTAGGGTATTAGTGATTATGAAAATCTTTCGATCTTTGATATAGAACTTATTGTTTTAGATGGCTTCGGGTGAGGGAATTTTGACTGACGGACAGTGGAAAAAGCTGGAATTAGCAACTCAGAATGCTGAAAGTTTGTCATCATCGCCGAAATCTCATCCTCTGTTTGCTGATTTGAACATAAAGTCTCCCACTGGTGGGAAAGGACCAGTAGCTGGGATTCCAGTTAGGCATGTGCGACGGACTCATTCAGGGAAGCATATCCGTGTTAAGAAGGGTAAATAACTTTTAACTTGTTCTACCTTTTGTGCTTGATCCATGGCAAACACATCCTCTGTAGATCCCTGTTATGGATACGTAAACCCATATTTTAGTATTGAGTGAAAGCAGTTTACAGATTTTAGTTTTCAGTAAAAGAGTTCAGGTATGTAGGTGATAATATGGTTTAACTTATGTGGCAATGGTATCTACAGAGGGTGCTGGTGGAAAAGGAACTTGGGGAAAGCTTCTTGACACAGATGTTGATTGCTGCATTGATAAAAACGATCCCAATTACGACAGTGGAGAGGTATTTTGCTACTTTTCGTGATGTTGTTTAGGTATTGCATCTAGCATCAGCTGATTCTATTCTTTACTAGAATATGATCAACTTGTTTATTCACGCACTTGTGATTCGTATACTCGTTTTTAACAGGAAGCATATGATCAACTTGTTGATTCACCTGTATCAGACCCGTTGGATGATTACAAAAAGGATGTAGTTTCCATAATTGAGGAATACTTTAGCACTGGGGATGTGAAAGTGGCGGCGTCTGACCTCAGGGAACTTGGTTCGAGTGAATATCATCCTTACTTCACCAAGCGGCTTGTCTCTATGGCCATGGACAGGCACGATAAGGAGAAGGAGATGGCTTCAGTGCTGCTCTCTGCATTGTATGCTGATGTCATTTTACCTGATCAGATTAGGGATGGATTTATAAGACTTCTCAGATCTGTTGATGATCTAGCAGTGGACATACTTGATGCTGTTAACGTTCTTGCACTGTTTATTGCCCGGGCTATCGTTGATGAAATTCTTCCTCCGGTTTTTCTGACTAGAGCTAAGAAGAATCTTCCGGAATCTTCGAAAGGTTTCCAGGTTATAGTAACTGCAGAAAAGAGCTATCTCTCGGCTCCTCACCACGCAGAACTAGTGGAGAGAAAATGGGGAGGTAGTACTCACACTACAGTAGAAGAAACAAAGAAAAAGATATCTGAAATCTTGAAGGAATACGTAGAAAACGGAGACACTTACGAAGCCTGTAGGTGCATAAGAGAACTTGGTGTCTCGTTTTTCCATCACGAGGTCGTGAAGAGGGCTTTGGTTCTGGCTATGGAATCTCAAACAGCTGAGCCAGTCATACTAAAGCTGTTGAATGAAGCTGCGGAAGAAGGTCTGATCAGTTCGAGTCAAATGGGGAAGGGTTTCTACCGAGTAGCAGAGTCTCTCGATGACCTTGCACTAGATATCCCATCTGCCAAAAAGCTGTTTGATTCGATAGTTCCCAAGGCTATCTCTGGAGGCTGGCTCGATGAGTCATTTAAAGTAGCCTCTGATCAAGATGGAGGGAGATCGAGTCAAGACGAAAAGCTTAGACAGTACAAGAAGGATACAGTGAACATAATTCAGGAATACTTCTTGTCAGATGACATTCCTGAGCTAATCCGCAGTCTTGAGGATTTGGCGACACCTGAGTATAACCCGGTGTTTCTGAAGAAGCTTATAACTCTTGCTCTAGACAGGAAAAACAGAGAAAAAGAAATGGCTTCGGTTCTCCTTTCTGCTCTGCACATGGAGTTATTCTCAACCGAAGATTTCATAAACGGTTTCATCATGCTCCTCGAATCCGCAGAAGACACAGCTTTAGACATCATGGACGCATCAAACGAACTTGCTCTGTTTCTTGCTAGAGCTGTGATTGATGACGTCTTGGCTCCGCTAAACCTCGAAGAGATCTCAATCAAGCTACCTCCAAAATCAACCGGAACTGAGACAGTCCGTTCAGCCCGGTCTCTTATCTCTGCCCGACACGCAGGAGAGAGGCTCCTGAGAAGCTGGGGCGGCGGGACCGGGTGGATAGTGGAAGATGCAAAGGACAAAATCTTGAAACTACTAGAAGAATACGAAACAGGAGGAGTGACATCAGAAGCTTGTCAATGTATCCGCGATCTAGGGATGCCGTTTTTCAACCACGAGGTAGTGAAGAAAGCTTTGGTGATGGCGATGGAGAAGAAGAATGACCGGTTGCTGAATCTGCTTGAGGAATGTTTCGGTGAAGGATTGATTACAACTAACCAAATGACAAAAGGGTTTGGTCGTGTTAAAGACAGCCTCGATGACTTGTCGCTAGATATACCGAACGCGAAAGAGAAGTTTGAGCTGTATGTTGGTCATGCCATGGACAATGGCTGGATCCTTCCTGGGTTTGGGTTTTCTGCAACTCAGTGATGAGTGTGAGTGATGATGACTGATTCTCTCTATCAGTTTCTTATGTTTGTGCAACAAGCTTACTGTACTTTCCTCGCTCTCTTTATATATATTGTGGTAACTATATATATATATATGTTTTATGTATGAATTTGGTTGGTAGATAAACATGAGATGTTTATAGTTTTGATTTGTTTGTTTCTTGTGCTGTGTTGTCTTTGTACTAATATCTTTTAGTGTGTTCTAATTTCTGATGGATTTCAATAATTTTTTGATTGCATCGTTAAGCTTCTTGATTTCAATAAGAAATTGATGAGACCGGCGAATAAAAAAGATAATCGAGTACTAAACTTTGATGAATAAAATAAAGAGATTGAATAATTCAAAAAAATAAAGACTTAAAATGGTGGAGAAAGAAGCTTATTAATATTTATATTTGACAGTGATTTATTATCCGAATCGAAGAACAGCCCAATCATCGTTGCCAAACAGCCTCGTCTAAGTATTTTTGCTTCTTCTTTTTCTCCCCGCACTTTACTTCCCGGCGGTAACTCAGAACACCGATGGACGGGCCGGAGACAATCGCCGTCAAATACGAACCTATGACCGTTGACTCTATCGCATCTTCTTCCGACGTCGCCATAGACAGGCCTGCTCGACCTCCAAAGCTTGTAGTCTTAGCTGACCTCAATTTCAACCCTCCTGAGACTGAGACTGACGATCTTGACTCATCGGTTCAAATCCCTACTCCTCCCATCCCTAGGTATCCATTTCTGTTTCCCATACTAGTTCCTTTTTTCGGATGACAACATTTTTTCACTGGAAATTTCGTTAAAAATGGGTTTGATTCTTATATGGCGAAAAAGGGTTTAACACGAATGAATAAATTTTTCTTTTTTAGTTTCGCTAACGAGGAAAGTCATCAAGAAGGAGGTTCATTAACATGCAAGGAGGTGGAACCAGGTGAACTAGAATTCAAAAAGACCAGCAAGGTTGGGAAATGCCGCTCGAGAAGTAAGATGGAGGCTTCCTCTGATTGTGGAGTTGATGCAGATGGTGATCAGGCTACTCAAGGCGTCCCTGCTTCCCGTGAAGAGAAAATCAGTAACCTCAAAATGGTGAGTTTATTTTGAGGAAGAACGGATGACTTTTGGCCTAATGAATCAGGATGATGATGCTCTTAACTATTCTGATTACACTCTTCTGCTTATAGGGTTTGATTCACGTTGCAAGGAAGATGCCCAAAAATGCACATGCCCATTTTATTCTTGGTCTAATGTTCCAACGATTGGGTCAATCTCAAAAGGTACTCTTGAGCTGTGAGGTTACACTGATATGTCTTACGAAGAACTATCATCTTGTTGAGTTTAACTGCTGGAATTTTCTTAGGCGATACCAGAATATGAGAAGGCTGAAGAGATCTTACTGGGCTGTGAGCCAGAGATTGCTCGGCCAGAACTTCTCTTGTTAGTTCAAATGCACCATGGACAGGTGATGATGATCTTTTTGGTCTGAATCAAATTTTGACGGTGAATTCTTGTATTTGAGAGCTCCTTAATTGATTGAAAATTCACACAAACGTTCTAACGTTGCACACTTAACAAAAACATATTGTAGTGTCTTCTTTTGGATGGTTTTGCGGATAACGACTCTGTTAAAGAGATTGAGGGAGAAGAGCTTGAAGAAATTCTTTCAAAATTAAAGGATTCTATGAAGTTAGATGTTAGACAGGCAGCAGTGTGGAACACCCTTGGCGTAATGCTTCTCAAAGCTGGTTGTTTGATGGTAAAATTCTTACACATGTCCATGTTAGTGTGTCCGATTACCAATGTGTTTCCTTTTGTAATATAGTTCTGTTTGCTATGATTTACAGAGTGCCATATCGGTTTTGTCATCTTTGTTGGCTCTTGTTCCTGACAATTATGATTGCCTTACAAACCTTGGAGTTGCTTATCTTCAAAGGTAAGGAGTTTTCTTTCTTCAATTGGCTAACTATTATTGTGCTACCTCTCTCTAATTTACAAGTCTTCCAGCGGAGATTTGGAGCTTTCAGCAAAATGTTTCCAAGATTTGGTACTGAAAGACCACAATCATCCTGCCGCTTTGATTAATTATGCTGCCGAGCTTCTCTGCAAATACAGTTCAACTGTCGCTGGTTTGTTTCTAATCACACAACCTCTAAATTCTTTCCTCCTCTGAGCCAAAGTACACACGCAAAAACAGAGGGAAAAGTATAGATATAAACTGCATTTTCACTTGTAACCTGTGAAGGTGTTTTCAATTGTTGTCAGGTGCCGGAGCTAATGGTGGTCCTGGTGCTTCTGAAGACCAGAAGGCATCTATGAATGTCGCGAAGGAATGTCTCTTGGCTGCAGTAGGAGCAGATCCAAAGTCCACCCATGCATGGGTCAATCTTGCTAATTCATATTATATGATGGGTGATCACAGAAGTTCTAGCAAATGTTTGGAGAAGGTGCTCTTGGCTTACTTCTTTGTTTTGAGGTTGTTCATTGTTTTCCTTAGATAGAAGGGTTTCTTTTTACTTGATTTCTTACTTTTCTCATTTTCTCGAGGCATATTTGGTACTCGGAGAAAGTTCTGCAAAAGAAGTACTAGGAGTCCTACATACGCTACCTATTCTTCATATGTTTACTTGGGAGGTTTAGGGTGGATCTCGTTACCCTGAATGGATTTGAATATTCTCGTGTTCAGCAAACATTGTGCTTGTGGTTGTGTGTCCATGTTTGGTCTCTAGTACAATACGCCTAGATCCCATTGAGGAAGAGACTTGTGTAGCTTAGCCGTACCCAGTCTAAATGATCCATTTTACCTTTGCACTGGCTGTTCAACACGTAACTCTGGTTGTGTGATAAGAAGAATATGGCTGTAAACTCTCTAGCTTAACTGCAGTCTTGGTCACGGCTGACTGAATTACTCTGTTTTATTTTCAGGCAGCTAAACTTGATCCCAACTGTATGGCTACAAGATTTGCTGTTGCTGTCCAACGAATCAAAGATGCTGAAAGGTCTCAGGATGCAAGCGACCAGCTTTCATGGGCTGGCAACGAGATGGCTTCAGTGATTAGAGAAGGAGAATCTGTTCCAATTGACCCTCCCATTGCTTGGGCAGGGCTTGCCATGGCTCACAAGGCACATCATGAAATTGCATCTGCATTTGTCACTGACCGTAATGAATTGACAGAGATGGAAGAGCGGGCAGTGTACAGCTTAAAGCAGGTACTCTCCATTTCATTTGACCAAACCACGTACCTAACGGATCCTTCGATTAATGCAACATCTGAAACTTCACTTATACACACATAGATAATGAAGTAATATTGTCGCGGCAGAACAAACTTTTGATTTCATTATTCTCTTTCTGTTCACGTAGGCAGTAACAGAGGACCCTGAAGATGCTGTACGGTGGCATCAGCTTGGTCTTCATAGTCTCTGTTCTCAACAATATAAACTCTCCCAAAAATATCTCAAGGCAGCAGTTGGTCGTTCTAGAGAAAGTAGCTATGCGTGGTCAAATCTCGGTAACTCCCTCTCCAAATCAATAACACTAAGCGGATGAAGAAAATTGATGGTTTCACAGTCTTAAGTTCGTTGCATAGCTCTTATGGGAAGTTCATGTGTTGGCCTTTTAGGTATCTCGCTGCAGTTATCAGATGAACAAACAGAAGCCGAGGAAGTATACAAGCGAGCCTTGGCCGTGTCAACCGAGGATCAAGCTCACGCAACGTTCTCTAACCTCGGGAACCTCTATAGACAGAAAAAGCAGTACGAACTCTCCAAAGCAATGTTCTCGAAGGCGCTGGATCTGAAACCGGGTTATGCACCTGCATACAACAACCTTGGACTCGTGTTTGTGGCTGAACGTAGGTGGGAAGAAGCTAAATTCTGTTTCGAGAAAGCCCTTGAAGCTGACTCATTGCTTGACGCAGCACAGTCTAACTTGGTCAAAGCCACAACCATGTCAAGACTCTGTACTTGCTTCTCTTCTTCAACTGTTGTCCGAGATTCTTGATGGTTCTGTCATTTTCATTTTGTGAATTCACAAACTCTGACGTTATGTGTCTTTAATAAATAGTACAAGTACAAAAGACTCTTATACGACGACAGGCTTAGAATCTACAGTAAAAACATTTTCACTCTCTAATTTACTAGTCTTCCCCAACACACAGTGTCTTGACAATCTTATCAGCCATAAGATAAAGAAAGAAATGGCCCGACCCAGTCACTTCATAGTACCGAACCCACGGAAGTTTTGAGACGATAAACCGTTGAAGCGACACTGGCACAAACAGATCCTCGTCACCATGCCAAAGGTGGACCGAGCCGTTGCTGTTCTTAAATAGATCTTGAAGGTCTAATGGATCAAACTCCCAATGACCATATGTAATCATCAAGTCTCGGTGTAGGCTCTCGTATTCTCCTTGTTGCCTAGCGAATGCCTGCCCCAAAAGAAAAGAAAAAAAGCAACTTCATGGTAAACCAAAAGGACTTGCTTGATTATGTTTGTAAAACGTGAGGAAATGAGTATGAGAATGTTCTTGAAACCTGATTCAGATCATCGGATCGGAGCTTAGAGAAGATCTCCTTGTCCTGACGAGAGAGGATGTTGGGGTCACAGGTAATGTAGCTAGCGATTGGGAACCATTTCTGGGTGTTCCAAAAGAAAGTAAGCCAAGGTGCATAATGTGCCACTCGAAACATCCACTGTTCTGGAGGAAGCATAAGAGATAAAGCTTCCTTAGACATTTTTGCAGGCAAGTTTCTCCACCAGTAGTTAAACGCAGGAGCTACAAGCGCCGCTCCTGCTAACCTGTGAAAATTACATAGCCTCACCATTTCATAACATACCAAGTAGTAAATGTAAACTCTCAATTCTTCGATAACATGCGAGTCTCAAACCAAAGTGTAATGAATCTTGACACAAACCAGAAGGCCATACCGGCTTCGAAAGTTTAGACCAAAAGAAAAAGAAGCAAACCGGATTGTACCTGTGAGGGATGTAGTGAAGACAAGACCAGGTGATTTGGCCTCCTATGGAGAAGCCAAGCACATAGAACTTGGATCCTAGTTCTAATTTATCAGCAAGTTCTTCTACATCCAGTGCTATGCTTCTTGGTGTCCGGTTTGGGTCAGGATCACTCTCTCCATAACCGGGTCGGTCAAATGATACGATACATATCTTAAGTTCCTTTAAAAGTGGCGGTGATAAGGAGTGGAAGAAAAAGACTTCGTCTTTAGAAGAATCGAAGCCGTGAATATAAACGATCTTGAAATTGGCTTCGTCTCTGGGAACTCCTAATTCTTTGTATGCCAAATGCCTTCCGTCTCTCAATTTGATCCTCGGTGCTGTCACGGCGGCGATCTTCTTCGCCGGCGGAGGTTGAATCGACTGGTAAACCCATGCCAAGATTCCGACCAACAAAACCAGTTTCACAACACCTGCCCCAGACCAAAGCAAACGTGCAGTAATTAGATATATATACCGGAACTATATGTATTTGTTTTCATCTGCAGATATCTTAAAATCACATAAGGAAAGATTTGAAAAAAAAAAGTATGGATATTATCATCAGCTTATGAACATAATCAAGAGAAGAAACTGTAGGCTGTGGAATAAAAAGAAATATAAGAGATCTTTTACCAAACGAAAACATGGTATGAGTTCCTCTTCCTCCTCCGGGCACACGCTCTCTCTCTGTCTCCATATCTCTGCTGTCTCTTTATGGTTTTCGTAAAAAAAAAAAATTATAGATGTAGAGTAGATATAATTGTATTTAATTCAGTTGTAACTAGCTGTCTCTTCAAGGTTTCCTTTGAGCATGCAAAAACACATGATCATATTTAATAAATGAATGAGTTAAATTGCTTCAGCCACCCGCACAAAGATATTTCTATAGTAAGAAACCTCTGTTTTATACTCTGTTTCTTCTACAACAACACTGATTCGTAAGCTTTTTCACAGGAGTTGTGAAAACGATTCTACTGGTTTCTTTAGCCGTAGTACTCACGGCATGGATTTACCAATCAATCCAACATCCACCGGTTAAGACTTTCGCCATTACTTCACCTAGAATCAAACTGAGAGATGGGAGGCATTTGGCTTACAAGGAACATGGAGTTTCAAGAGACAAAGCGAAGTTTCTCTCATCAAAAAAATCTTAGTTGGTGATTGAGTGTAACCTTCTGACCGAATGGGAGAGTTCATCGCGAAGGCGTCTGCTTATGTTTTTGACTTATGTCAAAGGAAAAAAGTAAAGTAGACGATTGTGCAAGACAGTACATGATGTAAAATGAAGTTTTTCCTTTTCATTTATGCTGAAAATATAGTTGAAGACAAAGAAATGTATATAATGTTACAAGAACAAAAATCTTACCCACTTGAGGAAAAGAGAAACAAATTATAATAACCTGGAGAATTCTCCAGAGCTATCCATTATTAGATTATATCCAAATACAAATCAAAATGGGTGGGGGAACAACGAGTTTTCTTCCCTCTTCTATCTCTTTCCTCAGCCCATCATCTACACGGAACAGAGAGAGTTTTCATTGTTTTAACTTCAAGATATGATGAGACAAATGCAGATCATATATATATACTTTCATTAACCTTGAAGATGTCTCCAAACATTCCCTGCAAAGGATTCTTACGCTGCACCCCGTAAAACCTCTCTGCAATCTCGTCCAGCAACTTCACAATATAACAATAATATCCCTGTTTTAATCGGTACCAACATATTGAATAAACAAGGATCAAAACACGCAGAGACCAAGCTTGTATACCTCGCTAAGCAGAGGTTCTCTATCTATGCAGGACTTAAATTTTACTCTCAGCATATTGAAAAGAGGCAATGCATCCCTCTGCAACCTGTATCGGATATCATAGTTCTTTAGGTAACAACTAAAGACTAAAAAAAGAAGAAGAAGAAGATAGAAGAGTGCAACTAACGTTTCCAGAAGATATGAGATAAATTGGATAAGATCTGATTCTGAAAGCTCGGGATTTTTTGTCTCTGCTTGTCTCTTAATCTCATCCATCATAAAATTTGCATCTTTCATGTTGCCCATAGATAAGTACCTAAAAATACAAAACAAAAACAATAAACACAGACAAATCAATACATTCCCTTCCGTTCCCCTCACAATAAGGTATCTTTTGATCCAGTGATAAAGCGTGAACTTACATGAGAACTGCTCGTGCAATCGCAAGGTCATCTTCACCAGGATAACACTGCAAAGTAGCATGCAAGTAAAACCATGTATAAGAAAGTCATGTTACATAACAAGTCTTGAATTTCTTCCAAGTGCAAAATTTTTTCTCAATGCTAAACGTCAAACAAATAGAGAACTCAGGAGATGTTGAAACTTGAAACGAAGAGACTGACCCTTCCCATAAAGTTGATCAGCATAGATGCAAACTTCTCGGGGTCCTCAGCTCTAACAAAATGCCGTGATATTCTGACCATGTCCTGCCAGTTAGTTATACATATATACAAAAAAAAGTCAGATACTGAAACAGAAAAATGAAATGTAAAACGTTATAACCAAACGGCCACAAGAGGATTACAAGCTCAGGACACTCGGTGTAGAGATAATCGCCCAGCATAGCATGCAACTCAGGATATCCAGTACTTGGCCCTCCAAACTCTGCAGACCATCTATAACAAAGACAAAAACAGCATCTTTAAAATTACTACATCTATTATGTTTGATACATTGTCACACCAAACAACACAAAAAAAATGGACAATACTAGCTCAATAGGAGAACTAATACACGTGCTTTGTCTTACTTTATAGCAGCTCTCAAGAATGAAGTCAGGTTTTCTACCCGCGATCTCGCTTCCCCAAGAGATTCTTGGAGATTTTGGACATCTTCATCGTCACTCACATCTACCAAATGAGGTGGTACAGGAACCCGAGGAAACAATTTGAAGATACACCTGATACGATCTGACAGAAATATTTCAGTATAACAAAAAAAGAGGTTGACATGATGGGTTGTAGCAATTATACATGGTCTGGACTAACCAAGAGTATCGTCATTGCACGGTGACTTGGCTTTAACTAGGGTGTCGACAAACAAAAGAGCAAGGTCCGCCCCACAATTCACCTGAGGAGTTATTTGTATTAATAAGAAACCAACACTACAAAACTGAAAGTTGAGAAAATAAAGATTTTGCATTGTTAAACTTTGTGATTTCATGTCATTCCAGGTTCCAAGTAAGTACTACAGCCTATATCTCTATAGATTAGATAATATGTAATAACAAGAGAAGGAAAGCTGAACAAACCAGGCCGTGCTCTAGTTCTATGCATGCCCCTGAATAGAGGATATCAAGAGCTTCAGAGAACCTCTGAGCCGTAACGTATCTGCGAACAAGAAGAACACAATAAGCTACCAGTTCATAATAGCTCTACCATCAAAAATCCAACTTTCAACCAAATACGAGAATCCAAAAAAGGTAAAAAAAAAATGCAGAATCGAGTACAGAACAATTGGGTTATTGAGGAATCGAGCTAAAGAGAAGCTACGAACCTTGCACTGATTGATTTGTACATCTGCAACGCTCCATAGTAATTGCCTTCCTCTACCACTTTCCTCAATTTATCAATATGCTATAAGAATTTGAGGAAAAAAAAACCCATCAATTTTAAAAAAGGATCTATCTTTATCTCCTTCATCAGATGTTGATGATAAGAATCGCCAGGTACACGGACAATTCGAGTGAAATTAGCCAAATTTGGAGAAGAACAAAAATCGCAATTGAAATCGAAAACTGGGAAAGAATGAAAACAGATCGGAGCAAAGGTACCTCTTGAACGGGAGGTAATTCTCGCTTGACCCTTTCTCTCGACATGGATCGTAGTTTGTTCGCTTGAATGTGGATTCAGAGATCTTCCAACGGTTCTTCTTCAATTTCTCTGTTGAATTAATGTTGCAGATGGAAGATGGATATATCCAAGTACGGAAACTAAACAAGAATTGAGAGATGCGTCATCATGGCCGCTGCATTTACCCTAATTAAATAAAAAGACTCAAAATTCGGTTTATAAAAGGAAAACCCCAAAATTCCAATATTTTGTAACATAACTTTTTTTTTTAGAAAGTTTATATTTTTATGTCCTTCAAATTCATATGGCTTATTCAAAAACATAGTATTTACTTGAATTTTGTATTAAAAAAATTCTTTTTTGAAAGAAAAAAAAAATACCCCTGACATCAAAAAGTTTTCCACGAAATGAACAATTTGTTGATGAGTTATTATATTGTTCAATTTATAGGAAAGCAGTTTATGTGTTGTTCTAAATTAATTATTCTCTTGTTCAAAAGTTACTCCACTAGTTATAAATGACAGTTTATACAGCCAGTTTTACAAGCCAATAGATAACCAAAACAATTATATCTCACCAACAACAAAAAAACATTAAAATATAGAAAAATTTGTAACGAAAATTTATTTGAAATCCATCTATAACGATTGAAGATGGTTAGAGATAATGACTTACAACCACTCAAACTTCTGGTATCAGAGATCAAAACCATATGTAAAAACTTGTACCGATATATGTTGATTGTCATGTTTGACATTTTCCCACCATCATCTTAAGTCTTTAACCACATAACGAAAATAAATAAAAATAAAGACATCATCACAACAATGAAAATTGTAAAGAACTCAATATCTTGGAACAATTTTTTTTTTTTTTGACCAAGCAAAATATTACAAACACAATTATAGTGGAACAAAAAAATTATGTTCCTTTTTTAGTTAAGTGTAGTAGACACATGAACCTTGACTCGGGTCGACAAAAACAAAACAACCGGTACGGTTGAACCTACAAGAATCCTCAACGCGACCATGACTCTGGTAATAAGCGTTCATAACATACGAGGCGTGATCTAGAAGAGTGTTTGGTTCAAGGCATACTCCACCTGGGCTGATCTGACTACAATCGACGCCGTTGCTGCAACAGAAGTCAATGTTGGCTTGTAACTGTTCAGATGATGCAGTATTCATAGCCATGCACCATTGTCTGCAAGTCACGACGGGAAGGTGGTGGATCGTGGCAATGGATAGAAGGAGAAGGACCGTCAAAAGTTGCGACGACATGATTAGAAGCGATCTCAAAACAAGAATCAACAAATTTTGTGTGTGCGTGTGTATGTGTATTTTCTTGTGCACGTACATACTATATATATATATATATATACAGTATATGCAAAAGGATTTTTGCATTCAAGACTGAATCTCATAATTCTCTATGTTTGTTTTTGTTTCTGAAAGAGATGCGAGGGATTTACACATTAACGCATCAATCTTAAGAAATTATTGTATTCAAAAGGTAATGATTTACTTCTTAATTATTTTAATGATTTTGTAATATCTTTTGATATACCGTATTATTCCATTAAAATTTACTTCTTTAGCTTGCAATTAACTCTCTATCACAAAAAGTTCAAAAAAAAGTCACTCCTTATCGAATATCCCATTAAAATGTTGTCTTGAACCAAATAATAAATATTATTAAAGACATCAGTCAGTTTTAATCCATAAACTTGTTGGTCCAACCTTATGACTAACTAGTTCACAAGATGTTATCATATCAATAATATATTGCTTTTAATTGTTTTTTATGAAAAGATCTTATTTGATTAAGTTTAGTAGACACATGAGCCAGCACTTGGGTCGCTATAAATCACATAACCGGAACCTTGGAAGCCACAAGCATCATCGGTGCGACCACGACTCTGGTAATAAGCGTTCATGACATACGATGCATGGTCTAGTAAAGTAATAGGGTAAAAGCAACTTCCATCGGGTTGGATCGGTCCGCAATTGATTTGGGTGCAACCGAAGTTAATGTTGGCTTGTAACTGCTCTGCTGAGGAACTAGGCAACGCCACGCACCATTGTTTACAAGTCACGACAGGGAGGTTGTGGATCGCGACAACAGATAGGATGAGAAGGATCGTCAAAATCTGCGACGACATGATAAATGAACTCTGGATAGAACTCAAAAAAAAAAAAATTTGTGTATTTTTTTTCTTGTGCAAGTATATATATGCAAAAAGACTTTTCCAAACAAGATTGAGGAGATTGATTGTTTATACTCTGTAATTGTTTGGGAAAGAGATCTGAGGAGAGGGAGTTAATAGATGTAATAATTTAATAAAACATTTAGATATTATCACTCTCCATAACTTTTTGCATTAAAAAAATTATGATATGTTTCTTATTTTCTTTAACAGGAAAATTTTTATTAATTCAATTTAGTTTTTTTTTGTAATATCTTATTTTGCTATTTTTCTATAGCCTACTAAATGCTATCACATCCACCTTGAAGAACCATTGGCAGATGTCAAGATGGTTAATTAATTAATTTTGCGGATAATTATGTCCTTAAAATTCATTTGGTTATTCAAAAATATACTATTTACTTGAATTTTTTGTTAAGGTAAGTTAAATAACCGAATTCATTTTTTTTTTAAAATACCCCTGACATCAAAAAGTTTTCCACGAAATAATCAAATTTGTGGATGAGTAGTTACTTTTCAATTCATAGGAAAGCAGTTTACGTGTTGTTCTAAATGAATTATTTTCTTGTTAAAATGTTACTATTGCATTAGTTAAATGACAGTTTATACAGCCAGCTTTTCAAGCCAATAGATAACCAAAACAAGTTATATCCCACAAACGCATAACAAGTTTCACATTAAAATATAGAAAAATTTGCAACAAAAAATTATTTGAAATCCATCTATAACGATTGAAGATGGTTATTAGGATACTGATTTACAGCCACTCAGACTGATGGAACAAAATATCACAAATACAATTATATTGGAACAAAACATTTATGTTCCTTTTTAGCTAAGTGTAGTAGATACATGGACCATTACTCGGGTCGACAAAAACAAAACTACCGGTTCTGTTGAACCTACAAGATTCCTCAACGCGACCATGACTGTGGTAATAAGCGTTCATAACATACGAGGCGTGGTCTAGAAGAGTGTTTGGTTCAAAGCATACTCCACCGGGGCTGATCTGACTACAATCGACGCCATTGCTGCAACAGTAGTCAATGTTGGCTTGTAACTGTTCATCTGATGCAGTAGGCAGGGGCATGCACCATTGTCTGCAAGTCACGACGGGTAGGTGGTGGATCGTGACAATGGGTAGAAGGAGAAGGACCGTCAAAAGTTGCGACGACATGATTAGAAGCGGAATCAAAAAATTTCGGTGTGTGTGTATTTTCTTGTTCAAGTACAATATATATATATATATATATAAGCAAAACTGAATCTCATGATTCTCTATGCTTTTGTTTTTGTTTTGTGAAAGAGATGAGGGACTACATATTTACGCACAATGTTAATAAAATTGTTACATTCAAAAAGCTTTGATTTATTTCTTCTTTTTTAATTAATTTTGTAAGATCTTTCGATATATATATATATTAAGTTGAAAATCACTCTCTATCAATTATTCCATTAAGAGATTATGATATATTTCCTGCTGACAAAAAAATAATTATGATATATTTCCTGATTTTTGGTTGTAAAATCTTTTGCTAATTTCATATTTGACTTAGATAGTTTGACTCACTTCTGCGTGGATATAGTATAAAAATAAATTAATATATATATATATAATATAGAAGAAAATTGATTTACATTAAATAGTTAAACTGATTTAGAAAAATAAAACAATTATACATACAATATTTAGAAGCTAGTTTAATGTAACTGAGTCGTACAGTTAGCCGGATTTAAGAAAAATGCCCTGCTTAATTTTTTTTTTTTTACATTTTACATCTGTCAGTTTGAATCCAGAAACTTGTCGGTCCAACCTAATGACTAGTTGCAACACCAGTCTATATTCGCTTGTAGCTCCGCATCCGTCGCTTTCCGACTCGCCACGCAGTATGGTCCTTTGTTTTTAGCCGCCGGCGAGAGGTTTAGGTCACGAAGACAAGGAAGAAGAAGAGCGTCAATGATAAAGACATTACTGTTGTGACCATTATTGCTTGTAAATTTGTAATTGATGGGTGATTCAATTGATATTTGTTCAAAGACTAAATATCTTGGATATGTGTTTATGTCTATACATAAACTAAATCAAATGGTTATATATATGAAACTGAAGACAGAAGGTGTTGTAATTAACTTGTCCAAAAAATATATATTATTCTCGTTTTTTTTCTTCCCTCATCTTTTGTCCTGTATTATAAGTAAAATCCAAAAGGTGTAGAAGAAAATCTAATAGTTAAGCCCTTCTTTTTAAAAAAAAAAAAATCTAATAGTTGAATTACTCATTAAAGCAATCTGACTTTTTTTTTTAAAAAGTTTTTAAAACTGTTGTATATTTTCAAAGTGTCTTTGTCAGACCAAATTAATTTACTTTTTATTTTTATTGAATTTGAGCCCTTATCATCTAGTTAATTAATAACATGATAACGAGAGGCATATTTGTATAACCAAAATAAATTTAAATTTGTGTGAGATGTGTTAGGCCGACACTTTTTTTTTGTGAAAGATGTGTACCCATACTTTTTTTGTGAAGTACAGAGGGAGTAGTTAAAAACTCATTTCCATTGTTTGACATATATATATTGTCATCTTACAACCACCAAGGCCAATATATAACACACAACTGCATGGAGAAGAAATTAAACCATGTGCAATAGAAGGTATTTTAAAAAAAAAATATTAATTTTTAAATTATAAAAAAATTAAACCAATCATAAAATACTATACATTAAATAAGTTTCTTAAAAGTTTAGATTTGTTTTTTGAATAAAAAATTTAAGAGCTGATCCTTCTTTCTCTCTCTTACCTTTTATAAATTTATTAATTTATTTTGTTAAAATACTAATAAATTAATAAAAAGTACATGCTTTTAGATTTTCAATTTGTATAAACATTAGAAAAAATTGATATATATATTATTTGGAGTTTCGGCTTAACAAGTTTTCAGACATATATTATGTTTTTTTTTATTAATAACCTTATTTATCGTTGTTGAAATTTTAATTTATTAATTAATATGAAGATATAAAAATGAGTCGGCATCAATTTTTGTATAAAACATCATTTATTTTAGAGCATCAGACATATATCATGTTAGCATAATATTAGAATGTTAATAAGACACGTAAACACACGCGCCATGGCTTGGGTTGACATGGACTTGAGAGCCAGTACCGCTGAAATCGCATTGTTCCTTGGTGTGACCAAAGTTCTGGTAATACTCATTCATCACATAAGAGGCATGGTCTCTTAAAGTGTTTGGTTCATAGCAGACTCCACCAGGTTGGATCGGTGCACAATCGCGGAATCCTCCTTCGTCGCTGCAACACCAGTCTATAATCGCTTGTAGTTGCGCATCCGTCGCTTTATTATTCGCCACGCACCATTCTCCTCTGTTTTCAACCGCCGACGAGAGGCTTCTTAGTGTTGAGGTCCCTTTGACGGTAGATACGAGGAGGAAGAAGCAGAGCGTCAGTGATAAAGACATTGTTGTTCTGACCATTTTCTTTGTAAATGATGGTTGATTGAATTAATATTTGTTCAAAGTGGGGAGTCAATATTTAAGTGCCTTTATATACAGTATGTCAAATGGCAAGTTAAGTAATAAGGTAGAATGAATTTTGGATCCCTAATCCAAAAATACATATCTAAACTATTAAAAGAGAATCATTATTAATAAATATTTAAAAACTATTATAGTATTTACAATATATGCAATTACATTTACTAGATAATTTCATTAATTCATTAAAGGTAATTTAGTCATATCATTAAACTATTAAAAATACATTAAATTAAATTATATTATATTAGTTTGTTAACAGATAATAGTAATAAATTATATCTGCTATTTGATAAAATTCAAATTATTTTAATTTCGAAATTATTGCAAAACATTTCATAATATCTTAACATAATTACCACAAATATATATAGCATGAATAATTAATATAATTATATATATTATATTATAATCAATTTCTTCACTATACAATTGAAAAAGTGCACTACTTTAAAATATTTAAAAGCTAATATGATATTTATTAAATGTGACAATTTATAGTCAATGATAAATATGTAATCATTATTTTTAAAAAATATTGTGTAAATAATTTTTTCATAGTTTGTTAATGATTTTTTTGCCAGAAATCATGGGTTTGCAGATTTGACAAACACAAATTTGTAGATTTTACGGGTTTTACAAGTTTTAGCGGGTTTTATAAGTTTTAGCGGAAAATATACTTTTACGAAAAAATGCCGGTTTAATAAAAAATATGTTTATGAAGATTTACCAGAAACACATGATTTTAGAAATTTGGTTTTGCAGATTTTATAGGGTTTACAGGAAAACACAGGTTTACGGAATGCGAATAACACAATTTTGCGGATTTTTTAGCTGAAAAATATAGTCATACGGAAAAATGCGGGTTTGTGGGTTTGGAAACTCGATTTTGCGGGTTTTGCAGAAACACATGAGTTTAGAAATTTGATCGTAAAACATGATTTTAGGATTTTACCAATTTAAGGAAAATATAGGTTTGTGAATTTGGCCAGAAACGTAATTTTGCGGATTTTACGAGGTTTACATGTTTTGGCGGGGTTTATAGGTTTTGATGGAAAATGTGGTTTTATGAATTTTATTGAAAATGCAGGTTTGCGGGTTTGATGAGAAACATAATTTTGCAGGTTTGACAAAAACACGTAATTTTAGAAGTTTGGCCATCGAATACGGTTTTATGGTGTTGGGGGAAAACATAAATTTTGGTTTTATTTTAAAATGTGGGTTTATAATTTTGGAAAAAAAATACGGTTTGATGAAAAATGCTATTTTTATGGTTTCTATGGAAATTCCTGATTTTGTTACAACAACATGTTTTTACTAATTTTTGACTTTGTTAAAAAATGTGGGTTTATAGTTTTGGCAGAAAATATTGTTTGAGGAAAATGCTATTTTTACAGTTTCTATAGGAATTCCCGATTTTGGTACAACAACGTGATTTTAGTATTTTGAGGGAAAATGCGACTTTTTATTTCGATCAAAAAGTCTAATTTTATGGTTTTGACAACGAAAAAACTTGACTATATGGTTTAAATTAAAAATGTATTTTGGTCTTTTAATTTTTGAGATTCAAATGCTGCATTCCAAACTCTATTTTTTAGTATTTTAAATATTCAAATTTTGAGATATTATAGATTTCGTATTCAGATATTTAAAAAAATATATATTTGAACATTACATCAAAATAAGTATTTGAATGCAAAAACAAACAAAACCTAAATAAATATTGAAATCTTAATTACAAACAAATAAAAAATCTCTTGCTTTATAAAATATAATACTTTGAAAATATTTGTTACAAAATTTAACCGGAAATCCGCTAATCAAATATTTTTTTTTTTAGAAAATCAAGCCTAAATAATTTTAAGAACATAAAATCATAACGTAAAAATAGTTTATATAAACTAATAAAAATTTTCTGTTTGGACAATAATTTTAGATTTAATGATATAAGCTGATTTTTTAAATAAAAAATTTAATATAAACCGATTTTTGATATGACCTAAAAACATTTTATAAAAAAAAACCCGCGTAAGTGCGCGGATCCAAAATCAAGTTATCATTTATTATCTGTCCATGTAATGATATATTATTTTTGACCCAAAAAAGTCATACATTATTAATATTTAACTAAGTGCCTTTATATACAGTATATCATCAAAGGGTAAGTAAATAATAAGGCAGAATGAATTTTGGGATATTTAATCCAAAAATACATATTGTCATTTATTATCTTTCCTCATAATGTCATACATTATTTTTGACAAAAGGAAAGTCATACATTATTAATGTTGTTTTTTTTTTAAATCCACAAAATTAGTTATAATAAATCAAGTAGAGTTTAATTTCTCATAATGTCATACATTTTTAATATTTTTATTTATAAATAAAATTCACAAAAGTAGATAATAAATTCAAGTAGAGTTTAACAAATTAGACAAGTGTTTGTGTATGTGGCAAAATGATAATATAGTAAGCATCAAGCATGCAACAAAATAACTTCTTGCATGCAATTGATCACAATTCTAAGTAAATAATTCGCATATTCGAAAATTTGGCAACAAGACATAATAAAAAAACTAGAACTTGAAGTGTCCAATCTCAAATTCTGAAATTTTTGCCTCGAGGGTTGTAACTGCAATTGTTAAAAAATAACTGATACCACAGCGCATGGTCATAATCATTATAATAATTATTATGCTTTTGGTACACAGTTTCTATCCTATTCTCAACTTGTGTCGCTTGAAGAAAGGACAAAACTACCCATAATGGAATAAACGCGATAAAAACTTTGATTTTTTCTTCTTCTTCCTCTTCCTTTTTCTTTACCTTCTTCGATCTTCTTCTCGGTGGAAAAACTAGGGATTTATGTAGAATTGTAATGTCGTTTTGAGTAAAATCATGAGCAAGCCCGAAGAATTTCCCGACCCGAGTCCGGCCGGACCCGATCCAGAACCTCCGTCTCGATCTTCCTCCGACAATGATCCCGTCGCCGATCGGGCTCCGTCTGATCTCAATCGCGTTTCTGAGGAGCTAAGTGATCATCTCAGGAATGTGGGTTTGGATGAAGCTGCGAAAGAGCCGATTAGTGTCTCTGATGGCAATGGAGAAACGGATTCGAGAGACCAGAAGGAAGAGGAAGACGAAGAAGTAGAAGGAAGAGAGCGTGAGAGTACGATCGAGAAGAGAATGATCGCGTATCCAGTGAGACCTGATGCAGAGGATTGCTCGTTCTACATGAGAACAGGGAGCTGCAAATACGGATCGAGTTGCAAGTTCAATCACCCTGTTCGAAGGAAACTCCAAGTATTTCTTCTTCTACCGATGATGTTTGATTTGTTTTATTATAACCACTTGTGATAGGAAATTTTAGATTTTTTTTTTTTTTTTGCTCTCCTGACATGATATTGATTCTTAATTTGGGTTGATCTTAGGATAGATATTTGGGAAAAATGATTAATCTTTATTTTTTCTATCTGTGTGAGTAAAATATAAATTTATGGTGCATGTGTTGTATCAGTTTATGTTTAATTGTCTATCTATTTCGCTGTTGGACTGAAAGGAGAAAGCTTTAATTTCTGTTCTGCCTACTCGAGTGGAACCCAATTTATGCTTCAGTTTTGAGATCTGAAGTCTTTAGGGAGTATAAGAACGAAAAAGAGATTATGCCTATGCTAATTTAAATGAAAATTTAACCTTTTTTATAAATCTGTTTTTGCTATTCTGATGTTTCGTTAACTGGAAGGTTGGTAGGGAGAAAGTAAGGGAAAGGGAAGAGGATGTGGAGAATCCGAAGCTGATGGAGTGCAAGGTTTTAATAATGTCTTTCTTGGCATATCAAGATGAAATTTGTTTTCTTTTCGTGTTACTTGATATCATATCCCTACCTATGCGCTTCAATTGCAGTACTACTTCAGGACTGGAGGGTGCAAATATGGAGAGTCTTGTAGATTCAGCCACACTAAAGAACAGACTTCTATGGCGTCACGAACAGAGCTTAACTTCGTTGGCCTTCCTATCAGACCGGTATCCCATTAACTGGTTTAGACATTTCTAGCAATTCTGTTTTACAACATCCTTTTTATGGAGAAAAAAGCTATAATAGTTGTAAGCTATTTGACAGGGAGAGAAAGAATGCCCTTTCTACATGCGAAATGGCTCTTGCAAGTTTGGAGGTGACTGCAAATTTAATCATCCTGATCCTACGGCCATTGGAGGAGTTGATTCTCCCTTGTTCCGTGCTAATAACGGTGGGTCATTTTCCCCAAAGGACGCGCCTCAAGCGAGTTCGACTTCTTGGTCTTCACCGAGACATTTGAATGGTACTGGTACTGGCACTGGTACTGCTCCCTTTATTCCAGTCATGTACTCACCGAATCGTGGAGTTTCACCTCAGACTTCAGAGTGGAATGGGTATCAGGTAGTTATTATATATTGAGCTCTGCCTTATCATTACGTATTTCGAAGCATTTTTCTCTATAGTAGTTTGCTTTTGAAGTTTCTCATTCTTATTCGTGTAGGCGCCTTCTGTCTATTCATCAGAAATTCCTGCTTCCACATACCATGGGAACAATTCAGTGGCTGAAACCAGTTCATTCTCGCAATACCAACAGCAGATACCTGCCGAGGAATTCCCGGAGCGTCCGGATCAACCAGAGTGCAGCTACTATGTTAAAACTGGGGACTGCAAGTTCAAATATAAATGCAAATACCATCATCCGAAAAATAGATTGCCGAAGCAAGCTCCATCCTCTTTCAATGACAAGGGCTTGCCCCTAAGACCTGTGAGTTTGTTTTTCTTTCCATGCTGTTCCTGTTTGCTATCAGAAACTTTTATCGTAAAATTGTATCCTTCGCTCCTTTCTAATGCTAAAGAAGATGACCGTTCTGATTCATAATTAAAACCCCTTTTCTACTCTTTGATAATCTCAGGATCAGAACATGTGCACACACTACAGCCGCTATGGCATCTGCAAATTTGGTCCAGCTTGTAGATTCGATCATTCTATACCGCCTACGTTCTCGTCCAACAGCTCCCAAACCGTAGAAGCTCCTCAAGCCACCGGAAACGGAAATGAAAATGACGGCTGGAACTGACATGAAGGGACTGCGCGTAAGGGATACTTTTTTTTCTTTACTATGAAAGGCCTTTGAGTTCTTAGGATCAAACTCTGCTTCTGTTTTGGAGTTTGTGAAAAAAACATTTAGGTAAATTATATAGTCTCCAAACTATATCTATCTGGCAAGTCGTCAATGCTTGTGTTTACAGGATTTTCACCAAATAATTTTTGTTATCCGTTTAACTTAACTAATTACTCCTTCACGCTCGAGGTTCAGTCTAATGGAAGCCTGCACTCTTTTATGCTTTGTTTCTTTTTCCGTTGGTTGTTCTCCTATGAAAACTACATCCATGGTTTTGTTCAGATCTGAATTGGAAAAGAATTGCTAGAATCCAGAACCAGACAATGTCATTATATATTATATACTGTGTCCATCGATGGTTTTACCTATTTCTATGTCAGGACACATGTTCCTGCTATGATTGTCTGGTGCATTATCCCCCACAGGCTCTGTTTTCAGGTGTCCGGTTGAAGTTGAATGTTGATTTTTTTAGGGTTTAGAGAGGTTGAAGCTATTGGAAGGCTGTGCAGCAGCCATATTATAGTCTTCTTGTTTCATCGATATGATTATTAGCATTAGGTCTGACAAGGACTGTCTTATCAAATCTTATTTCCATAAAAATAAAAAAAGGTTCTTATGAAGAAGAAACAAAAAGTATATCCATTGTGGGCAAAATGTTGACAATCAAAAAGAAGAAACAAAAAGTATAATATCAGCAGAAGACAGAAGAAGAAGATTAAAGCCGAGATGTATGACAGAGTAACTCTTAAGCCATTTTGTTTGAGATCTCTCTGCTAACTTCTTCAGCTTCCTTATCCGCAGGAGTTAACGGAAGCAAAACCATTTATTCTGGTCAGAGAACATAAATCAGGTAAGCATAATCTGTGGATAAGTTGAATGTGATAGAGGAAAAAGTGAAAGTACCTTAGCTTTTGGGTTTGTAGAATCATGGTGATTGCTTTGATCGGATTTTTGGTTTCTCTGAGGTGAAACCAGACTATTGGATGCTTTCTTAGTCTTCTTCTCGTCGCTAGCTTTGCTGAAGATGACTGTGAATCCTTCGGCCGATGCGGGATTGTTCACATCCCATTCACCAAACTTTGGCAATGGCTTCCCTTTGTTTTCCTGCATCAATCATTCACTAGAGATGAGGAAAGCTAGAAACTTTGTGTGGGATAATGATCAGCATGAAGAAGTGTGTTCTTACCGTCGCCATTGTTGAGATCAAAAGCAAAAGAGGAGCTATGAAGATCTAGAGAGAGAGAAAGAGAGGTTGGGAGGAGAGAGAAGGGGAAAGGAAGTTGTAATATAGATAGAGAGAGAGAGAGGGAGAGGAGGGAGAAACATAAGAGGGAAACACGTCGTCGTTGACAACCGCATTAACCAAATCAACTCACCTCGTCTCCTTTCCCGCGTATTTCCGCAACCGAAGTACCTAAAACAATTAGTATTTTATAACGATGAACAAAATTAAAAAAATGAAAAATGATTTGACCTTTCTAGTCCCAAGGTAGTAGATTATCTGACACCGTGTCTATACAAATTTCGAATCCTCTTTCATGCTCCTTTCTATGTATGAATGCCTCTTGTTGTGAATCCAGCTCGACTCCACAGTAAGAGAAGCGTTTGATGTTGCTTATGAGAACATATATGCATTTCACTTGGCACAAAAGTCATCTGAGCAGAGCGTTGAGAACATAAAAGTAAGTCAGACTCAGTCACACCAGTCTTCACACATGCTATGTAGTATATACTAATCTTCACTTGTTAAATTTTGTTAGGGCGTTAGATATACTAATCTTAACTTGTATGCTTCTTTCTTTGTTGGTTTCTCCGCATGGCTGAGCATGGTCCAGATAGTCAAGTTGTTCTTGTTGTTGTAAGTGACGGTGTAGATCTCAAAGCCATTGAAGAAGAAATTGCCATAGCCTTCCTAGAGGAGAGTTTGCTTCAAAGGCACTGAGTTTGCTTCATCTCTTCAATAAGTTTCAGATCTTCATCAGACAGGGTTTCCATGGACACAAGATCAGTCTTGTTGCAGATAACTAACAACGGTTTGTTCGTGAACCAACAAGTCTTTAAGCTGTGGAAAAATAGCAGCCTGCTGAGCAAAGCTGTAACCACAAGAGCCCGAAATATCCAAACAGCAGCAGATCAAAGATGAGACAGCGCAGTGATACTACACATCTCAATGATATTACAAGTCTTTAATCGGCCTATCCAAGATCACCGGTGTATCAGTAACTAAGAGAGATGATGATTGATGATAATTTAAAACCTTTTAGAAACCCTATCAATTCTATAATCCACGAACAGTTAATGAAACAGAAGCATTTTGGCTCGAGGAGGCGGCGAGGGAGGTAGCTTGAGAGTTTCGCTTAATCATCATTTCATATCAGACTGAGGTTTTAGGGGAGTCGTGAAGACGAAGAAACTATCCTTAGACCTAATTATCAAATACTTTACGTGGCCCTAACGAATACTAATACAAATGCCCAAACGGGCAGAATTTTGAAGTCCAAGCCCAGTAGGCCTAGGAATTGATAAAAAATGGGCTGACAAAAAAATCAAAACAACAAGTCTATTAGCGCATTTTGAACACAAGTATAAGAAAAAACATAAGTATAAGACAAATATTTATGAATTAAAACATATCATAGTTGTGACATGTGAGAGCCCACCCAAGATGGTGGTCTGTATGAATAATAAGTAAAGCGAGTTGGGCCTAAAATTGAATATTGTTTGTTTGGTTACAGTGATATCTCCATTCACAAACAGCCTTAATCGAGTCTAGCAATTTTGGCAGTCAAATTCAATCGAGAAAAAAATCCCAACAGCTTTCGTCGTCTCTTGTGTTCGTTCGATGGGAAGAAGAAGAAGACTAAGGGAGTCAATTCCCGTGATTCTCCTACTATTTTCTCTTCTTCTTCATCAATCACTCTCTCAGGTACTGAAATATCACGTCTTCTCCCTTCAATCTATATTCTTATGGATTTTTCTTCTTTCTGATCTATAATCAATCAAGTTTTATCTCTGTTCTCTCGGCAGGTGTTGGAAGAATATGAATCTACTAGGTGAATCTCCAGAAATTTCAATTTGCTGATTAAAAAAGACAAAAACTTTTCGACTGAAGATAGTGATTAGCTTGTGTAGATTACTTCCACCATATTAGCTCTAAAGCCTCTGATTTTTATTGATTGCTCATTTAGATCAGTTGCGGAAATACATTGTTCCCGAGAAAGAAGTAGAGCAGCTTGGCAGATTATACAAGATGTAAGCAGAGGAATTAGTAATGTTTTTGGGTACTATATAGCTTAGATGAAGTTTTGCTGATGGCTTTGTAAAATTTGGGTTTCTTGCAGTATTTGACGCCGTTTGTGGAACGGGAAGGATATCAGATTCAAAAGAAGTGTAGGCTTCACCCTGACAATGATTTATATAGAGATCAGGAACAGCATAAGATTCACGTTGATATATTCGAATGGAAATGTGGTTACTGCAAGAAAAGCTTCAATGAAGAGAAGTTTCTCGACCAGCACTTCGTCGGTAGGCATTATGATCTTTTGAATACGGTATGTGGACTCTTCTTCTTCCAATCTTGTTTCTAATTCACTAAGTGTGGCTTCTTGCTGCCTTCTTCATTTCGAAAAAAAATTACTTTTAATGCTTCAGAGTGATACAAAGTGTTTGGCCGACCTGTGTGGTGCATTGCATTGCGATTTTGTGTTGAGCTCCAAGAAAGCGAAGAGCAAATGCAACCCTGCAGCCGTTGCCAAAAACCGTCATCTCTGCGAGGTTTGCTTTCTTGGCTTCTCTTTCGATTTCTTTTGACTTTAACTCTCTCTCTCTCTCTCTGGATCCATGACTTCCTTCGATACACTTGTTTTTTTTAGAGCATTGCCAATAGCTGTTTCCCAGTGAGTCAGGGTCCCTCAGCTAGCCGTCTTCATGGTATGATTCCCCACCGAGAAGCTTTCCCAGTGATGAATCTTTGCTTATTGAATACTATATAACTATATGTGTCTCAAATTAGTACCTTGAAGTGTGCCTAAAAATCCTCTATTGTCATGATTGAAGAACACTTTTTACGACAATTCTGTGATGCTCATACCTGCACTGGAAGAAATAAACCGTTTCCTAAAGGAGGCAAGGTAACATTCTGTTAAGCCGTCGCGGTTACTTATGTGTGCCAAGTGATGCTGTTAATTTTTTCTTAAAACAAATATGGTATGCTAATTTCTTAAAATATCGGTTTTGCTTTAACGTATGCTAATTCGTGCAGAAGAAATCGGGTGTATTTTATCTCGCCATATCAATACTGACCTTGATGCTACTCCCGCTCTTCTATCTGCTGGTCTTCTTACACCAAAGGTATACAGTATGATGATGCTCTCTCTGTTTTTCTTTTTCTCTCACTGCTTTGTTCTTCAGGGTCATTAAGTTTGTATTGTCCTTACAGAGAAAAGAGAAGCGGGATACAAGATTTGCGTCGGATTACAAAAGTTGGCAAAAAAACAAAACCGTCGTAAGATGGTAATCCTCTCAAACATTGGCTTATTGTCTATGTACAAATCTCACTCTCTAGACTGGCTGCGTATATCTACCCACTTCCAGTTCCTAAAAGTCTACTCTTTTGTTACATTTTATACAGCTGAGCTTCAAACTGCTCATGGGAGAGTAAAGGTGTGTTCAAATCCGATATTGCTTCCCTGAATCGCAAATCTTACACATTACTTCTCCTTCTCAGAGCTTTCCTCATTTGGTGTTTATTCTTTATGGATTCCCAAGAGAGTGTTACTTTGGGGTTTTGAAGAAAGTTTCTATGAATATCTGTAAGCTTGTAGAAACAGATAATCCTTTGACAGAAATAGGAATAGTGATCTCTCTGTAATTTTATCGAATCTTCATACATATTAAAGATAAACATCCCAGTTCGAAACACAATCTAAAACAGTAAGGATGTACAAAACAACCTTTCATTGTTAAGGTGATACGACACCAAATGCTAAAGATATCAACTCGTTAGAGAGGAGGAAACCATCTGGATCTCTCAGCCTAAGGTACCTCACATGATCCTCAATCTTCACTTCATCGTTTGCTACTAAGCTTTTAAATTCATCACTCATCACTTCTCTTCTCATATCATCTAAACAAACAATATGCCCACTCTCTACGTAAGGCTCATAAACCTTACAGATCGAGTTCACTACCTCTCTGCCAAAAGCTTCTCCAAACTCCTCAAGTTGAAGACCTTTAGATGTTCTGAAAGATAGCATTAGGATGTCTGTCGCCACATCCTTGAGATCAACATCACCGTTCCCACACCAGTTTGCTGCGCCCTTCTCCAAGTCCGTGACGTAGTTTGTGTATTCCTTAAGCTTCCTTGGCCTTGAAAACCTCAAACCTCCAACATAACTCGCTGAACCTAAACCGAAAGCATAGAAGGGCTTGTTCTTCCAGTATATCAAGTTGTGTTTGCACTTGAACCCGTCTTTCGAGTAACTGCTGACTTCATAATGCTCGTAACCTGCACCACGTAGCATCGATGATGCTGTTTTGTAAAACTCTGCAGATTGTGTTTCTGAAGGAAGAGGAGATTGTCCTGGAGTGTACCTACACAAGTTCATGATCATATCAAATTTGGTTAATGTGTTCAGATTACAATCAAAAATCAAACGCAAGCTTCGATTATACTGTATATACTTCTTACACGTTTCCAAACTTGGTGCCTTGTTCCACTTGCAGGTCATATACAGAAACATGATTGGGCTGTGATTCGATAGCTAATCTCAAACTCTCTTCCCACATCTCCAGTGTTTGGTGAGGCAGAGAAGATATAAGATCCATGCTCCAATTCTCAACTCCACATTCTTTAAGAAACTCTATTGCTTCATATACTTGAGAGACACCATGAGCTCTTCCACAAGCTTTCAAGAGCTCATCTTGAAATGCTTGAACTCCTAAAGACACTCTGTTCACTCCCAACTCCATCAGTTCCTTCAGTTTCTGAGCACCAAACGTGCCTGGATCCATCTCCATTGATATCTCAGCATCTGGACTCAACCCGAAATTCAAACTCAATGTTTCCAGAACCAAAGAAACAAGCTTCGGAGGAACAAGTGAAGGCGTGCCTCCCCCGAAAAACACCGTCTCGAGATTCGGTTTCGTATCAAAACCCGTTCTTGTCGCGTTTATCTCTCTAACGAGCAAATTCACATAGTTCGTGATTCGAGGGTCATCTTCTTTTCTTTCCTCGTAGAGATTAGACGAGGAGGAGCCTAGAGCCAAGATCGGGAAGTCGCAATAATGGCAGCGTTTGCGGCAGAAGGGAAGATGAACATAGGCCGAAGTTGGAGGGCCTTGGTGTAACGTGGTCAGATTGGTTGACGCATTTCGTCGAGCACCTGGTGGAGCATCCTCAAGTACGGCCTTACAAGCTTGAAAAATCAACCTCGAAGTCTTGGGTTTACCTCTAAACGATGAGAAAACTGGAGAAATCGTTGTTTTCAGCATCATCACCAGAAAGCGAGAGCGAGAGATAGAGACGACGCTCAGAGAAGTCCAGAGATCAAAGTTTAATGGTGTCGACTATATGCTAAGAAACGTCATCGTTTAGTCAGATACCAAATTATAATTTCCTTATTAGTGTGAAATCACAATTGAAAAATATTATAATTTTCTTACAACGAAAATGAATTCACTTGTTCGAGCGGAAAAAAAAATGGCGCTAGAAACGATGGCTTCCCTCTCCAATCTCCTCTCCGGTCTTCTCTCCTCTTCTACTCCGCCGTCTCTGTCTCCGTCGCCGCCGAGCCTGAAACCTATCACTAGATCTTCTCCATCTTCCATATCCGCGACCGCGACGACGAGGAAGTTAGCGAATCACGATGACGTCATCAACCGCGTGGCGTATCCTTCGCTGGCGAACGCGAACCTTGTCTTCTTCAAGTCCGGTTACTACAACGTGGAGGTGGTGCCTAAAGACGGCGAATCGGAGGATCAGCTGCTGAACGACTTCAGGAGATCCGTTTTCAGAGCCGGTGTGTTGCACGAGTCTCGGAGACGACGATTCTTCGAGAGCTTGCAGGAGAAGAGGAAGCGTAAAACCAAAGAAGCTGCTAGGAAGAACCGGAAAAGGTCAGAAGGTTTCTTCACTCTTTACTTCCCTCTTCTTTTGAATACGCGAATCTGTAAAATCGTAAAAGCTAAATCGAATTTGGTTACAGGAGACCATACGTTAAACCAAAACCACACTCGACTCCAGAAAGCTCCAAGAACAGCAATGTATCCAGAGAAGCTGAAGAAGACGATAACTGGGAGCTTCCTCCTGAGGAGATTGAGATTCCATATACCAACCGGTCCTAGAGATTAACCGGAAACCTTAATCATGCATCTGAATTATGTAAAGCCACGCTTTTGTAAGGTCTCTCTGTCTACCTAATCGCTCCCTTAACTTCCCCAACAAAGTTAGATAATTTTCATTGCTCAGTGTAGAGAGAAGATGATTTTCCAACGTGTTTGTGAAAACGTATAACCAAATGTAGACGAATCTAAGACTCGTTTCATTACATAAGAAGTGATCAAAAGATATGAGAAGAATCAATATTTATATTGCCGCCAAAATCTGGAACGAATGACAAAAGCTCATATTCTCAGCAACAAGATAGAAGCAAAAAGATTTCTCTTTTAAACCATTACAAATGAATCTTGGCATCTCAATGATCACTCCCTTAGCCATGAAGCTAGAGCCGAGTCCCACTCGCATAGCTCGCCTTCTTTGAACCACAAAGCTGTGAGCCAAAATTGAAACAAACTAAGTAATCATAATCATTGGTCAAACTAAGTCAATGAAGAAGTAGATGGAAACCGCTTTCATAATTTAACATGTCCATAGAGATAAATCTACCACCTTGATTTGCATTTATAAATCAAATTTCAGTAATGCTACTAAATGGACATGGTCAATGTCACAATGATTAAACATGGGTGCATGATTCAAGGGAACAAGAAACCTCACCAATCTCACGCTTTCCGTTTTCAGGGCTGTCACTACCATGCACAATGTTCCTGCAATGTGAAAATCAAACATATATATCACCTTACATGCTTAAGTAACTTGCAACATTTCTAAATGGTGGTAAGGTAAAGATTCGAACCTTCCGGTTTGTACAGCAAGATCTCCTCTTATAGTACCAGGTTCAGCTTGAAGAGGATCTGTTTTCCCTATTAGCTTCCTGGCTGAAGCAACAACACCAACACCTTCCCAAGCCTTTGCAAGATTTAAAACACCACAAGCAATTAACTAATCTGACTACAAGTTGAAAATCCGGGAGTATATAGTAATAAGCCGTACCATACACACAACTGGGCCTGAGGTGATGTACTCAATCAGGCTAGAGAAGAATGATTTAGCACTTAGATCCTTATAATGTTCCTAGCAAATTGATAAAGACACAAGATTATTATGTCAATCAAATATAAGAGGCAGTGTCTATTGCACCAATGTAGTGAACAAGTGAAACAGGTTCATGATTAAAAACTTGTCTGATGTTATGAGTGAGTGTCAAACCTCAGCCAATTCTCTTGGGCATTGGAACATCTTCAGTCCAATCAGTTTAAATCCCTTCTTCTCGAAACGAGAGATGATTTCTCCAACCTAAGTTCCAAGGTACAACATTTACCTCAAAAACCGGATAATTAATAGATCAAAAGGGGCAAAATCACGACAAGCAAATAGCTTACAAGGCCTCGTTGTATGCCGTCTGGTTTCACCATAATATATGTCTCCTCAACTTGCTCCTGAAAGAAAAATTCAAAGACCGATATAACGATCAAAAGTCTGATAGATTTGCAACAAAGGTTCATCAAATTAGGAGACCCTAAAAAGGAACAAAGTAAAGCGCAAACCATAGATGCGACAAGGTGATGGAGGAATATTCCCGAATCGGCGGAGCTGGAAGCGCAAAGACGGCGGCGGGACGGAGAAATGCGGGAGAAAAGACGGAACTGAGGACGAAACGCGGCCAACTCAGTGCGGAAGTTAACAGTGGTTGTAGAACAGTGTGAACTGAGAATTGCCGAGTTTCTTCGCGGCGACGATGAAGAAGACGACGGCGATGCGATACAGAGAGTCCATTGACCAACCACAGCCACTCCCACCATTTTCTCTGCTCTATTTGTCTGTCTCAGCGTCTCACTGCCTCCGCTTCATCTAAGAAGAACAAGCTGAAATGACACATTTACCCTCTATCCATTTACACACTCGGCAGATAATTTGGGTCTAATGGATCAATCAAAAAGTATCCGGGGTCAAAAGTTGAACAATGACAAAGAGAGTTTCGTTAATTGCAACGGTCATCCCTGTACAATTTTTTATTTTTTTTAAAGAGTTAAAACTTTCCAATTTTCAACAAGTTAGTCCCAATTTGGCTGCTTTGATACCAAACTCAACAAACTTTTCGACAACATCTTCCTATAAGCAAATATTGTTCTTTTTATTTCTCTTCTCTTTTTGTGTCTTCATCAATTTGCAATCATCGTCAACACTCAACAACAGTCAGGTTGAGAAATAAGCAAAACAAGCTCATCCTCTGTCTTTGTTGTCCTTATGTCTCTGGCTTTCCCTTTCCTTCGCTTGCTTTAGGCCATTTCACGCCACATCACATTTTGTGCACAGAAGATTCATTGCTTACTTTACTTCATTTCATCCCTTTCTTCTTGTTGCTTTTAACGAGACCCATAAGACAAGGACATCTCAATCAACTTCGTCTTCCAAAACTTGCGCTTCTTGCTCTCCCTTGCCCACAACTTCGGTTTCTTCCCCTCTCTTGTCTAAAACTTCAGTTTTTTCCTCTCCCTTCTCTAAAGCTTCAGTTTCTTGCTCTCTCTCGCTAACAACTTCAATTTCTCGTTCTCCATTTTCGACAACTTCAGTTTCTTGCCCTGCCATGTCAACAAATTCAGTTTCTTGCTCTTGTTCTCCCTTGTCGACAGCTTCAGTCTCTTGCTCTGCCCTGTCGAATACTTCAGTTTCTACCTCTCCCATGTCGACAGCTTCTTCCTCTCCCTTGTCTACAACTTCAGTTTCTTGCTCTCTCTCGCTCACAACTTCAATTTCTCGCTCTCCATTTTCGACAACTTCAGTTTCTTGCCCTGCCATGTCAACAAATTCAGTTTCTTGCTCTTGTTCTCCCTTGTCGACAGCTTCAGTCTCTTGCTCTGCCCTGTCCACAGCTTCAGTTTCTACCTCTCCCATGTCGACAGCTTCTTCCTCTCCCTTGTCTACAGCTTCAGCTTCAGCTTCATCTCCCTTGTTCAACACTACAGCTTCTTCATCTCCCTTGTCCTCAACTCCATTTCTTTTATCTAGCACATTCTCTAATTGTTCTTTTCCTTCAATCTGGTTGATAATTTCTTCTTCTTCGTGGTTCTCATTATCTTGTACCTTTTGGCTTACCACCTCTTCTCGCCCTTGACTTCCACTAACAAGTTGGTCTTCTCCCTCTTCTCTGTGGGGACCAAGTGGCGGCACATTCTCCATTTGTTCTTCTCCTTCCTTTTGGTTGATGGATTTTTCATCTTCTTGGCTTACCAGTTTTTCATTTTCACTAACAAGTTGGTCCTCTCTCTCTACTCCGTGAGGACTAAGTGTGTGTCTTTCTTGTCTATCAAGGGACTGTTCATCTACTTCTCCTTGCCTAAAGTGTGGCTGATCTTCTTCATCGTCTTCGTCCTCATCCATTTTCATGTACAGGCCTAGCTGTTCTAATGGATTACTGTTTCCTTCCATCTTAAAGCTACCCAGCATATCCTCACTACATTTGGGGATCATCTCTTCCATGAAAGTTGGTAATTGATCACCCTCGGCACCGGTGGCTCTAAGCATCTCCAGGTCTTCCATAAACCGCCTACCCTCGTTAATTTCCACGGTCTTTTCCATCTGCAGCCATCCAAAAAAGTCATTTAGCATGATTGTACATCAGGATAGGTCTTTGAAGCGAAGAAAACCTTGAAAAGTCTTTTATACCTTCTGTAAAGCCTGTCGTGCAGCTTCTCTCTCTTGCTCTCTTTCCCTCCTTACTATTTCTGCAGCTTCTACGTCGGCTTTTCTCTTAGCCTCTTTAGCAGCTTTGGCTTCGGCTTGTAACCGTTCTTTTTCTAATCAGAAGGAAATCGCAAGAATTAATAATAAGCATTTACTTAAAAGTTATGAAGTACATAAGCACACTCGATGCACTACAATCCAACCTTCCCTCAGCCGTTTTTCAAACTCCTCTCTTTCTATCCTCAGTTTTTCAGGATCTCCTTTCTCACCCTGAAAATTGATGCGTCAAAAATTGTGATTAACAACATTTCCAGACATTCAGACGATCTTTCTATTCATCACTTGAAAACTCAACCTTAGTAAGGGCCTTCTCTCGAGCTTTCATAATGGTATCAGCAAAACGATTCTTCAACAGAGCCGCACGGTAACGCTTATCTGGGGAGATTTTCCTCTCAGGTGGAGCAGTCTCCTCTATAATATAGCCAAAGCATGACAGGTAAAATCATGATCTGAAAATAAACAGCTATTACCATCCCCAACCTTCCTTAACGTTCATTTCTTACCCTCTGGAAGGACATGTACTGCATCCATGGCGGTCGACTTTTCCCCAACATCATGCTCAACTTGACCCAATTCATTCAAAGAATCTACAGAGAACAAAGAATGAGTTTCGAGAAGGCTTCCATCCTAGCACTCCGACTTGCATACATCAATTGAAAAGAGACTAACCATTTACAACAATCTTTTCACTGTTGATATCAACGTCCTTCCTGTTTACACCAACTCCTGGTTCATTTTTATCCTAAATTAAGGAGAAGACTACACTTATTCTACTGTAGTAAAATTCAGTTTTATGATTGTAAGACAAATGCTGAGAGTGAATCAAGGAATCTCGCACAGAGAAAATTAGACCAATATCAAACACAGACTCCATGACAGAGGTTATTCCACTATCGGGTATACCTCTGTACCAGTAGGATTTGAAGGTTTAATGGAATCTGTTTCACTCCCAGAGGAACTACAAGAATCAGAATCTGAAAGATAATAACAGAAAACATCAGTCTTAAAGCTCTTCATAAGGGGAAATTAAACAAAAAACCCAATTTTAGAATTCATCAAATCACGACGTAAGAAATAACTCCTTCGTCACAGAGACTAGCTACGATATCATCTATAGCAAGTGTATAACCACACTTAGTAGAGCAGAGAAACAATATCGAGTTTTCAGTTTTACACTGAGACCCATTAACACAATTACCAGAATTCTAATGATCATCAAGATAGAAAAGAAAAGACGGATAGCAGGCTCAAATTTCAAACCTGACTCAGAAGTCAAATACTAATCACTCCACGAGAAAAACGTTAAGTCTAATAGAAAAGTTACTTTATTTCCAATCTTAGCTACTCTTACATACTGTACAAACCAATGCACAATTTAAGAGAACAAATTATTATTGTAACGAAATAGAAGAAAGCTCGCATAAACACGAACCACTAGATGAAGATCCTGATTCACTACTGGAGCTACTCGAACTGCTGCATTCATTATTTCTACATGCAGCATCTTTTTCTATCTTAAGAGGAGGATGGCTGGAAACAGGGGGGTCATTCCCACCAACTATGTCAACATCCTCGTCAATTAGCAGATCACCTGTGATTAGGAATACATCAGACTATTGAAGGAAATCATTTTCGACACCAACCCATATAGCAAAAACTTACCTTTACTAGGCTGCAGAGGGGAATTACTGAATCCAGAGTCATGAACAATCTGTTAGAAAAAAAGTTAAAACAAAAGTCAGATGTCAACATTTCCTGACGCATACAAACAATCGTTAAAAACTGATCAGATAGATTCTTTACCTCCATCTCACAAGGTTCACTCTTTTCCTGGGATTTCTTTTTCTCCATTAGGTAGTCATCCAGGAGTTTCCGAACCATGAACAAGATTTCATCAGAAAGCGTTTCTATATCTATCTCAATCTCAGCTTCCCCAGATTGGCCATCATTGCCACTTTGCTCTCTCAGGATATCAACAATGTTTTGCGGAAACTCTTCTTCCAACGCCTCCAAATCTAGGCTTAATTTTTTCTTCTCATCATCTGTCATGACCATCTTCACAGGTTCCACCCTCAGCTTGCTCTCGTTAACTGCAGCTACTTTCTTTCTTGGCGGTGCTACTTTAACAGGGATTTCAGACTCCAGAGAAGCAGAACTGGTTAAGGGGATGACAGGGGGTTCAATCACAGGTATTTTTTTCTCTATGATTTTCCATCTCGCCTCAAAATATGTGCTGAGATCTCGAGCCATCTTATGGTATTGATTTCCTGGTGGGTTGTAAGCTATAGAATTTGAAAATGTAAGACGCACATCCGCTGCGAAGTCCAAAGGACTAGAGTATTCATCTTGACGCAGTCTGCTTCGTATCGTTCCAAGATCCATCGGGTGCTTAATCACAGTAAAATAGTCTGGAATATTCAACAAAACTGGATCAACTGGATTGCGAAATGCAAACCCCAGCTTATGCGACCATACTCGATCGAGTAACCTCTGACACTCCTTCATCACTGAAGCAACTGTAGAGCTTGTTGAGACATCTAATCTTGTAGACTCAGGATGCCGAGATGGGCCTTTCTTAGTCCGCTGTTTGTCATTGCGCACAGGACGACGCTTTTTCCCCTGTGTACCAACAAACGTAGCAATGTTCTCTTGTGGCGGCCTCCTAGACCCATCGCTGCAGCTATGAATATCGCTATAAGGGGACAACAGAACAGTGTCTAAACTAATACATGCAATCTTCTTACGAAGGTCCCTGACCTGTTCAAGCTCCATCCTCAACTTGCGAACTAAATTCTTTCTCTCGGACCTCGACATCTTTGACAAAGATAAAACCTCTTTAGCAACACCATAGCTATCTCCATTCAAACTAAACCGACTCCGTTTCAGTGCCGGGGGCTCCTCTATCTCACTATCGATTCCGCGTGAGTAACCAAACTCGTCAGGCTCAACCATCGTCTCAACAGCTTGCATATAATCAGGCACAAAGCCCGATGATTTCCCTCTCGAGTGTTTCCGTGCTTTACCCATCATTTACAAAGACAAATTTGTCTTCTCTCCCGCAAACTCTACAGGAAAAGTCAAAGTGTGATAAGACTACCTTCCAAGGACTACACATTAACCTGAACCATTCAGAAACCTAACAGGTCATTCGCTTTCCAGAGGTTATCGTCGTCCCACTACCAAATTCTGGATTTCAAGACTCGAATTATAGAATTCAGAACGAACTGAAAAAAAAATGAAGCTAGTATGCTTTAATGCCCCTGCTCCAAAAAAAGCTTGCAGGTATATGCTTCCACAAAGAATCTATACTAAATCACTTGGCGGCGTCTAAGAAACATGCAGTAATCAATCCGGGGCTTCAAATTTCTTGCCTCAGTCCTTTCCACGATCAACCCTCCTTGTTTTCGAGCCAATACCGCAATTCGCAGGAAAAGAATCACAACGATGTGATTTACCAAATCAATCCGATGATTGATTCCTATGAATTACACGTATACTTACCGAGCTACTGAAATCTGCAACCGCTATAAGCTCCTTCCTGCTTCCCGTCTAGTAACCCTCGGGTCAAAATCAAAAATCCTCGACGGAACGAGACCGAAGAGATAACCTTCCTCGACGACAGATTGGGGGAAAACCCAAAATTGAAACCCTAGAAAAACCCTAGACTGAGTAAAAGCTACCAAAATCGATCTGAAAAAACGAGATCCAGAGTTTCCAGATATCGTTTCCCAGGGGAAAAAAAAATCGAAAGAACGGAAGAGGAGAGAGAAATGGAAGAAGAAAAAAAATAAGAGGAGAGAGAGAGACTTACGCCGAATAACGAACGAATTTGCTTCTCTACTTATAGATCCGAAGGGATGATCAGCCCGCCGCCTTTAATCGAATCTAAGCCGTCAATTACAGCCAACCAAAATTTAAACGGCTAGAAATGTCCGTTGAATATTAACCGTCAAGATCAGATCCAACGGCTGTTAATCCTACGGCGCCATCTAGTGGAATCAGGATCTCTAATTATTTGAGAAAGATCTCTCACGCGCGTGAGCATAAAATATTCCTGATTGAAGCGTAATTGGATACACTCAGTGAGTGACACGTGTTGCTAAAGCGCGTGTAAAAAACGCATCTACCGACCTACAGTGCCTCCACCACTTTGACTACTAACTATTTTACCCACTTAACGCGCCCTGTAAGTCGCGTTTGAATAACACGTGCCAAAACTTGATCCGTAAATCTTTTGATTTTTGAGGCCCTTACAAAATTCAAGGCCCATTGATTATTGAATATCATGATACTACCCATTATTGACTGTGTTTCTACGTTGTCGTTTTGGTATGATGGAAACACACGACTTGAGGTTATTATTAATTTTTATATGGCTACTCACGTTATATTTTTGTTAGAAGAGGTTATTCAGATTTCAATATTTCATTTCTAGAGATAACCATTTAACTAACGATGAGCAGATGTCTCGTCAGCAAACTACACAAAGAAAAGCCTCCTAATACGTACGCTCACAACGAATAATAATATATATCGTTAACACACATATTAGCATAACAAACAAACAACTCTATATGCAATATGTTAAAAATCTTCACTGTAGTGGTAGTTGCTTTTGTTAAATATGTAATAATTCACATCTTATGAAAATCAAATCCGATTCAAACCAGATATAATGCAAATTAACTTTTTCAGCCAGGGAATAATAAGGAACGCACCTATGATAGACTTTAATAGCATCTATATAAAATAACAAAATAATTTTTTTGAACTGCTGATATCATTATTTTTTTGTAGAAAAAAAATAACAAATCTAACGGTTGATATTATTTTAATTAGTTTTGATTTCAAAATTTATTGGCTAGGATTTGATTGCTGATATTATCTTCTAAATGTTAAAAAAATATAGATGTAATCTAAAAAGACACATAGTTAAAACATTGCAACTTTATATTTAATATTGCAACTTTATGAACCATCGTGACTTTTCATTTTGGTTGTCAAAAAAAAAAAATCAATCTAATAGTTAACTCTTTGTTTCTAGATTTAACGTTAAATATTAGATTTATTATGTATGCCTAACATATACATATTAAAGAACTGTTGCAACTGATAAAATGAATATTTGCAACCATTTCGATTATTAACAATTGCAATTGTTGGATGAATAGTTACATTATTTGGTGACTAACCATTGCATCAGTTGATGATCAATCATTGCACCCTAATCAACCATTATAATCTTTGGAAGTGACATTTGGTTTCCTATAAAAGGAGTTGTGGGCATTGCCAAAATCACAACAAAAACAGAATACAAATTGAAGCAACAAAAATTAGAAAAAAAGTGAGAGAGAGTTTCACTATTCTAAAAGATCATAAAAAAATTCTGCAAAAACACATATCACCATTAGAACTGTGTTTTATCCTACAAAGGTTTTTGTCTAACTCAAAACTTGATAAAGGTCGAAATACTTTTTAAGGAAAATATCATTGTGCCAATCATCATCCAAATTTACAATTCATCATTCAATTTCAAGTAACCAACAAGTTTATCATTGTAATTTTTCACTTTAAACTAAATTTTCATTTTGAACAAAAAGTAATATTAAATGTAGAACTTCTTAAGACATTTTTTATTATTATTTATAGATAACAGAAGATGTTAGTATTTCAAAAATATAAATCAAATAGTTTTATAATGCGTACGTAAATTAAATACGAAAATAATGAAAATATAAATATTAGGATGCCAGAATTTTATAACGAATGAGGTTTAATTTTAATTATTATCTTATTAGATTTAAGTTTTAGTTATGTTATTATAAATTGTTATTCTTATTTTTATTTTATTTTATTTTGGGATGTCCATTAAATATTAAAATGCGGTTATTTACACTTTTTTATTATATACATATATTATAATAATATATTATATAATCTTAATATCATAAAATTTAATATTAAATTTACTATTATTTTAGAATGTGTAAATTTGCTAATGGTTGTTGCAAGATCTCAAAACAATTTGTAGAGAAAGTTACAATGTTCTATTCTCTAATAGTTTGTTAAAATAAATTTTAGTTACTAATTAATAATTAATTTAAAATATTTTTTAAGTAAGTTTTATTTTCTGGAATAATAGGTTTACAATTGTTGACTTATAAAGCCATATATTTAAGCTCGGCTCGGCCCGATATATCGGGCCTATATTTTGAAGCGCGGCCCAGCAGTAACAGAATATCGAGCTTTTCAGATTTTTTTGGGCTTTTTAGAAAAAAAAATTTTAAAATAATCATAAATATAGGTTTATCAAATTTGAAAGCAAAAATTTAACTTATAAATTCATATAAATTCTAATATCAAATATAATTAAATAAATATGTAATATAAATAGTAGAAACAGTATAATCGAGATGAAAATCTTCTTGGTGAAGGTATGAGTACTTTTTGAAACTATTTAGTTTGAGCATTGATGTTATATGAAGGCAAACAACTACAAGTTAAGATTTTATATTAATTAAGAGTATTAGAAAAATTAATAATTCTAATTTTTTAAAATTATAAAGATAATTTATTAATAAAATTTTCTAAATAAAATTATAATATAAAGTACATGGCTTTCTGAGTAAGTCTGGAACCGGTCGGGCTTAAGCCCACCCAGAAAGCCTAATTTTTTTGGGCCGGGTCATGCTGGGCTTCGGGTTTTGGCCCAAATTGACATCCCTTTGTTGACTTATTTAAATTAGTAGATATGTTTTACAACAATCGACTTATCTAAAAAATAGAAATTAGAAATCAAAACAGAAACAATTACAAATTAGAAATTAAAATTAGAAATTAAAAATTAAAAATAATTAGAAATTAGAGTATATACATTATTGTACAATATAACATCTTTAACTGTCAAATAACTGGATACAAGGTTCAGTGTGTTTTCATAGACTATGCAATTTAGTCATAATGATTATTATTCAAGTAATATTAAAAGATATTTTTGATTAATAAAATTGATAGAAATTTGATTACTAAAAATTACAATATGGTGTGAAAACATGTTGAATATATGACACTTCTAACCGTCAAATGACTGGATGCAATGTTTGGTGTGTTTTCACATACTATGCAATTTAGGAATCAAATTTCTTTAAATCATCTAGTAATTTTAAAATGTAAAAGTTTTTAAAATACTATTTTTATATACTATTATTTTTATATACTACTACTTTTAAAAAATAAATACTAACAATTCTTATGACCATTATTCTAATTTCATTATTATTATTTAGTGAAAAAAAAATTATTAGTAAATTAATACAAATTTGATTACTATAATTTACAATATGGTGTGAAAACAAGTTGAACATATTACACCTCTAACCGTCAAATGACCGGATGCAATATTCGGTGTGTTTTCACAGACTATGCAATTTAGTAATCAAATTTCTTTAATTCATCTAATACTTTTTAAAAGTAAAAGTTTCTAAAATACTATTTTATATACTATTATTTTTAATTCATCTACTACTTTTAAAAAATAAATACTGAAAATACTATTTTTATAAAAATTCTTATTTTTAAAATTACCATTATTATTATTTAGTGAAAAAGCATTTTTATTAGCAGATTAATAGAAATTTGATTATTACAGTTTACAATATAGTGTGAAAACAAATTGAACATATGACACCTCTAACCGTCAAATGATTGGATGCAATATTCGATGTATTTTCACTAGGGATGGGCATTTCAGTTTACTTATGGTTTCGGTTCGGGTTCGGTTCGATTAGTTTGGTTGTACTAAAATTCTAACTAAACTCAATCAAAATTAATTCGGTTTGACTTCGGTTCGGTTTGGTTTAAATATAGTTCGGTTTGGTTTGTTTAGTTTGGTTTATACTTAATAGTTTGCAAAACCTTGCGTAAATATTAATGTCGAAATCAAAATAAAAATGTAAACTGTCTTAAACAACAAAACTTATAAAGCTCAAAAAAACTCTAATTCAAAATCATACTTAACTAAAAAAAAAACAAAAACACTCAATTTCATCACATCATAGTATCTATCTTGCCTCTTGCAGCCTAAAAACAACCTGCAATAAATCAATATCAACACAAATTTAATCAAAAGAAAAACTAGAATTTCGCGACAACATACAAGAAATTTAACTAATATAATATATTGTATAAAGGTCACTACCACTTTTATAGAATCGCTCAAGCTCATCTACTTAGATGTGTGCACATCCGTCGTCTCAGGAGGATTAAAGTCTGACAAAATGAAATAACAAAATTAGATTAGAGACTAAATCTGTGAGACTTCGTTGAATATCATTTTTAAATGAAAATACCTGTTTCAAGTGAATCCATAAACTTGTTCTCCTCTTCTAAATTGTCAAGAGTCTTCATTGCTTCCGTACGAAGTGAAGCACGTAACCAATCTTGAGTTAATACCAACGCTTCAACCATATCAGGAGTCAAACAACTTCTATATTGGTCTAGAATACGACTTCCGGTGCTAAAAGCTGATTCAGATGCAACCGAAGATACTGGTATTGCGAGAATTTCTCTTGCCATTAGAGACATGACAGGATACTTTGAACTATTTGTCTTCCACCAATCTAGAAGATCAAACGGAAGCTTCAAATCATTGCCGGCTGGTACTTCTCGTTCATCATTTAGATACTTCTCCAGCTCATTCACAACTTTAGAGGAAGTATTCTTAGCAACCATAAATTTCAAAAAGGGATCATCAATGTTGTCGACCTCCATATCCTGATAGTCTTGGTTTGGTTGGGTTATATTCTCACCATCACAAATAGAAGAAGAAGACTGTAGATTTAAGCTAGTGTACCGATCATTATATTCCTTAAATAGACTCTTCAAAACATCCATCACCAAATCAGACATTTCTGTGCACTTTGGATTACCTTTTCCATAGATAAGTTCAAAGCTAAACTCAGTAAAGACCATGTTGCGACGAGGATCAAGTACACCGGCCACTATTAATATCTTATTGATCTTTTCCATACCTTCCCAACATTTATCAAATTTAGCCGCCATTGCAGAAGCCATATCTCTCAAATCAGAATCGCTACTGCAAGCTATAGATGCCACACTTGATTGAATTTTGCATATCTCATTATAACATCCATTTGAAGTTACCTTTATGGAAGAAGAGAATGCTAAAGTCGAATCATAAAAGGACTTTAAAAACTTTACCATATGACGAGCTTTATCCCAATCAACTGCCATTGGAGGTCCTTTTCTCTCCTTTCCATTGGAGTCACGTTCTTTGAACCATGCATCGTATGGTTTATCCATATCAGCCATCTTGTCGAATGCAACTTGATACTTAAGTGCACTTTTCAACATCAAATAGGTAGAATTCCATCTAGTAACACAATCCAATACCACACTTCCTCTTGATATCTTCTCAACCTCCACCCAGCGCTTGAATGATTCTAGTCTTGTATTAGAAGACCTCACATATTTCACAGCATTGCGAACACTTATTATGCTCTTACTTATATCGTCGAGACCTTCATTGGCAATCAAGTTAAGTATGTGTGCACAACAACGAATGTGCATATATTCACCTTTGAACATCAAAGAACCATTCTTCCTATTACTCAAACGAGCTTTCACAACAGTGATAGCTTTATCATTGCTGCTTGCATTATCTAGTGTGATAGTAAATACTTTCTCAATACCCCAATCGTCTAAAGATTTTAAAAACTGATTAGCAATAGTCTCCCCTTTATGATCAGGAATAGGACTGAAACTAATAATCCTTCTATGCAGACGCCAATCCATATCAATAAAATGAGCAGTTACGACCATGTAACTCAACGTCGTAATAGCAGTCCATATGTCGGTGGTAAAAGAGATTGCTTGCCTATTTTTCCCTAACATGGTCCTCAATGCAATTTTCTCAGCCTTATACATAGAAACAGCTTCCCTAGTAATTGTTCTCCGTGACGGAATAACAAACCTGGGAACAGCTATCTCACAAAAATGTCTAAACCCATCATTCTCAACAAAAGAAAACGGTAATTCATCCATGATAATCATTTTTACCGTTGCCCTCTTATACGTGGTTTGATCAAAAGGCTTTGTCATACCAACACCTTTACCACTATGGTCACCACTAGAAGCTAAGACTTTCTGAGAATCAGATTCTAGATGATCTAAGTAAGCTTTGCACTTTTTCATGTGCGTATTCAAATTGGTAGTTCCACATGTAGCAGGATTACATGAATAAGTTTTACCACAATAGTTGCAGGAGCACTTTAACTCATTATCTTTGAGCTTAGTGAAAACGTCCCATGCCGGTGATCTTGTAGGTAGTGTTCTTTTTGGCTTTGGCGATTTTGTAGGAGAACCAGGCTCTTTTCTTTTGTTGTTGGTAGTGTTACTTTTATCCATCTACAAACAAAACATATGAAATTGTTAGAAAATAGTAACTAAGAAGTAAGAACAATCGTTTTGTGACACTAACAATAGAAAAAAAAACTGAGAAAGCTTCACGTTCCAGTTTCATACTAGTTTATTATAATAATTTGTTGTAGTTTAAAAATTATTATCTTGAAACTATGGAGAATCAAGAAAAAAGATGAAAGAACTTCTGTTTTTTATGAAAGAAACCTAGCGAGTAGCGGCTGACTTGCTTAGCTATAATGTGAGTTTTAGGTTTTTATTTTTTGAGAGTTGAGAATTCTTAAATAATCATGGTAAACTGTTAATTATTAAAGATAATTATCATTAATTATATCTTTACTAATTTAATAATTAATTATTAAGAAAACATATTGGTTTTCGGTTCGGTTCGGTCCGAACCATTCAGGTTGATAGAAATTCCAACCAAAATGTTTTGATATAGAATTCGGTTCGGTTTGATTCGGTTCGAGTTCGGTTAATTTGGATTAATTCACTTCGGTTGGATTTTTTTGCCCACCTCTAATTTTCACACACTATGCAATTTAGTAATCAAATTTCTTTAATTCATCTAATAATTTAAAAAAATAAAAGTTTTTATAATACTATTTTTATATACTACTACTTTTAAAAGGTAAACACTAAAAATATTATTTGAAAATTATTATAATTTTTTTAAATTAGCATTATTATTATTAAGTGAAAAAAAACATTTTTATTAGCAGATTAATGGAAATTTGATTACTACAATTTACAATAGTGTGAAAACAAGTTGAACATATGACACCTCTAACCGTCAAATGATAGGATGCAATATTCGGTGTGTTTTCACACACTTTGCAATGAAGTAATCAAATTTATTTATTTCATCTAATAATTTTAAAATGTAATTTTTTTATAATACTATTTTATATACTAAACACTAAAAATATTATTTGAAGTGAAAAAAAATATTTTTATTAACAAATTAATAGAAATTTGATTACTACAATTTACAATATGGTGTGAAAACAAGTTGAACATATGACATCTCTAACCGTCAAATGACTGGATGTAATATTCGGTGTGTTTTCACAGACTATGCAATTTAGTAATCAAATCTCTTTAATTCATCTAATAATTTTAAAAAGTAAAAAATTTTAAAATATTATTTTTATATACTATTATTTTGATATATTACTATTTTAAAAAAAATAAACACATACTATTTATAAGAATTCTTATGAAAATTATTCTAATTTTTAAAATTATCATTATTATTATTTAGTGAAAAAATATTTTTATTAGTAAAAGTTTTATTAGTAAAAAATTTACCATTATCTAATAATTTTAAAAAGTAAAAGTTTTATTATCATATCACCTAATCAAAAAGCAAAAATATATATTTATTATCATATATGAGCTAATCAAGAAGCAAAAATTAATCCAACCAAAACAAAATAACTTGAAGAAAGAAATCATACCACCGTCATATATGCAGTGTCCGTCCAGTGCTTCTTTTGCTATTGTCTAAAAACAATCATGAACCAAACGATTACTGTATTCAAGTGCTTTGTATAATGAAAGTTTTTTCAATCATAAAGGGATTATTGTACCAGAGTTTTGAATTAAGGCTTGTGTTGAACCATTCTTCTCAAAATAGCAATCTTCTGGACAGTTCCATACGCGGGAAACACCTGTGGGAAGCAACGGAAATTATTAATTTCGAGAGATTAAAACATAATTGATATAGTATGTATAAGTAAAAGTTACAAAAGGAAGTTCGCTTGATATTTTTATGTATTCATCTGCTCGAAGCACAACACACTGTCTCACCCATGTACAAGCATCAATCTCAAGTTTTATCAAATATTAACCAGTTTCTACCACATCGACAAAAACAAATCAAACGAAAGAAACTCACACTAGGAGTCATTACATAGTGCTAGAATCCTAAAATAAGATTGACACACTTACCAGATCGATGCTCACTTCGTGAGATTCCACTCCCTCGAAGGTAAGATGTATGAGATTACACACATCTTATTGCCATCTCTTCATTCTTTGTATCTATCATATTATCATTTCCAAAACGTTATAAGTAGGAGGCTTTGCTACTACATTCCATGAATGAAAAGAATCTTCACTTGCTTGGTTATCCAAAATATCCACATACATGACATCGTAATGAGGAACCACGGCGAGTTGTTTTCCGATACACACAGCTACTATGGCTGTTACACCATCCTCCTCCCTACAAGTGTAGCCACTGAGATTACTACACTAGCACTAATCTAAAGGTTACATAAGCTGTAAAATGCACATACATATACCTCAAGATGGATAAGCCAACTGTTGGCACCTGAACCAAACCCACGATCTAGATGATAACCAGGCAGCGTCCCATCCAGGCACACTGCAGCAATTTAGAATCGAACAAAACACTAATTATCATCAAACCATTACAAGAGAGGAGACTTGACTTCTACCAAATCATTTTCATCAATAAAAAGAAACTGGGCCATGGATTTTAAATCTAAAGAGCCAATGTTTGTCCCCAGAAACTGAAATTACGAGCGCAGACACACTGAAACTCAATCGAGCTACAGGCAAAAATCAAACTCAATAATTTCAAATTCCAACTAAGGGAGACAAAAATCGAGATCGAGAGAGAGAGAGAGTACCAGCTCCTTTGAAGTCAAGGTGAGAGGCACCATGGAAGCCTTTGATGCTATCGATTCGTTTTCCAGAAACGATATCGCCGTCTCGGTATCTCTTGGTTTTCCAAATCCATCGCTGGATCCGCTCCGAACCACCGCCGAGGCAGAGCCTAGCGAGCATACAGCCACCGTGATCCATAACAATACGCTCCTCATCTCCTCCGCCGGCGCAACAAAGCCAATTCCTGGAGCTCCGGGAAATGCAGCAAAGACGACTAATCGAGCGCCAAATTTTTATCAATATCTAACCCAAAACCCAGGAACTAGAAATTGGGGAAAGTGAAACAAACAGTCTGATCGGAGAAGAAATCTTACAAGTTCGACAAAGGCTTAATTGCGATTGGCGCCGACATTGCTCTTGGTATTGACTTAATTCCAGCGAAGCCACATAAAATTTCCGTCGCTGCGTAAATTACCAGAATCAGAAGGCGAAGAAGGAAGAGAATCAATCGGTTGGGTCTCTTCATTCGCTGAAAAGTTGCTCTTCACTTCTGCCATTTCGATTCACACAGCAAATAAACCAAAAAAAAGAATTGTAACTGGAAATGATAAACGCTGAGGAAGAGAAGATTTTTGAAATAGGAATTTTCTGTGTTGTTTGTGGCATTTTTTTTACAACGGCTATTTTCTTACCGTTGTAAAATTGAGTCTCTTCATGACCGTTGGATACTTTTCCTCAGATAACTAAAGCTGAGCGGCCCACAAAGCCCAGACAACAATATTTTCAGACTTCTATGACGTCAAAAAAACAAAAAATTTCAATTCCTAAAAAAAAAACACTCGATCATGCTACAATATACATCCACATTTTTATGGTTTATAAAGTTAATCCCCTAATTTCCACCATTCAGAGTATTTTTTTAAAAAAATAACACACTTGTTTTAATTGCTGTAATTATATGGAAATAATCTTTATCAAGTGGTCCATCTTACTCTGCAGATGTGCACATAAATATAGTGTAAATGTTTTTCCTCTCTTCCAAATATAAGTCTACCATACGAAATAAGTTGAACATGCTAAATAAGTTGAGTAGTTGACTATACCAAATAAGTCGATCATACAAAATAAATCAGCTATATCAATGTTAAAAAAAAAAATTAAGTGGACTGTTCAACTAAATCAACATACAACAGCATAAACAATTGTTTTGATGTTTCTTGGAAATTTTAATCCATATATATACTGTTCTTACCTAAATTCCGATCAACTGGTGATTTCAAAATCATTTAAAACAAAAAAAATCATTTTAACTTTCTTTTTTTTTGTTTCAAAATGCAGAAACTATAGATCTTATAAATAATCGAAAGATAAAACAAACAAAATAAAGCAAAATTACGTAGATAAATGATAAGACCGGATCCTCGTTTATTTGATATATCGCTTAATCATCATTATCAGATGCAAATTGCATATATATACAAATTTGTTGAAACAATGTTTTTTTTTAATATTATTAAAAACATAAACTTGAGATTAGAAATTCTGGCATCATATAAGATTAAGAACAAAACATAAGAGCATATTAAAGAAAACAAAATCCTACAAAAAGAAAGAAGTAGACTGAAAAAAAAAGATTAACATATGTTCAAAGTGAAAACTAAATAACTAAAGAGTTTAGTATAGTTTTTTAGTGCATACGATCGTGACCATGATGAATCCGACAGTGACCAATTCTTCAGAGACACAAAGCGGCCTTAACGTCAAGCCTCCACGCAAAACCTCCACCGTCCATTCTCCACGTGTCACAAGGCACCGTGACGGATCCTCTTTCACGGTCAATGTACTGTAGTCTGACTCTGCATGTGAACGCCGGGTACGTTAGCATCGGCCTCTCCTTCATCACTAACCGTACAATCACGTGAATATTATCGTAGCTAATCTCTCGTTCACCTTCCTCCATCGGGATATTAATATCATCCTTAGCCATCTTTCTGTAAGCCTCATTGGTCCACGTGACTCTGCCTAAGCCGTCCGATATAAACCCTGGACACGCGTCCCTCACCAGATTCATCTTCCTCTCCTCATCTGTCTTCCCCAATTCATAACCGTCGTTCCAAGCGTCAGTCACACGCTCAACCGTCACACACGACGGTATCACCACCGTTCTTTGCGATATCTCCGTCTTCTTGGACGGCGCTAGCATCCCACCGCCGCTGAAACTCAGCCACAACGGACCGTTCCGCTTCGGCTTCTCCACCGGAGAAACATTTAGATCTGGGAAAACTCGTTTCTCAGGCGTCTCTTGGTATAGAGACAACTTAACCGCTGCCGTGGAAGCAGCATCTCCGCAGCTGATAACTGCATGTTCGTCGGAAGTTTGCGATCTCTTCCTCCGATTGCACCTTCGGGAGTTACCACCTGAACTCTCCGTCTGATTCTTTCTCTTTCCTCTCCCGGTTCTACCGGAAACATCAGAGCTTCCACCGCTCGTCGTGGTGGAGCCATACTTTCCGGCGTCGGAAGGTCCACTTACGCCATCGCTGGCCGGTTTGGGAGCAATCGGACGGAAACGGAGCATGATGCGATCCGCTTTGGAAAGACCATAGCGACCACCGTAACCGCCATATCTGGCTATGCAACATCCTCCCCTACCATCCATCTCTGTCTCTTGATTTGATTCTCTTGGTTTCTATGAAGAAATAAAGGTTTAATGGAGCTGAAAATGCTCAAGAGGTGGCGAAGGTTTTTATAGGAGTCTGATGATGACAAGTGTTGGGTCGTTACGCGTGTGTTTGTCTACGATACGACGCTTATCAACGTTGCACATGGTTTTTTTTCTCTTTTTTGGACATGAAAATTATTCAAATTACTGTTTAAATATGTTTAGAAAAATGTCATGAGATAGATTAGATACTGACTTTTTCCATTATATCCTCTCCGCGTAACTTTTAATGTTGTATGTATTTCGTTATATCAATTTGATCATTTCAAATTTAAACTTAAGTTGCACGAATAAAAAAATAATCCAAAAATTTATCTACTTATTTAGAAGAAGAAAAATATCTGTAATTTTTTTTTATCATAGAGTAAGCAAGATTGTAATTTCATGTTAAGAATGAAACCTTTATGTTCATATATAGTCCACAGTACAGAACAGTATTGGACAATGCTTATTTAAGATGACATATATCTTCTTTTATCAGACAAAAACCAAAACCAATATAAGGCTATGATTTTTGTAATCTCATTTTGTTTAAGTAGGGCGTGGGTTGAAATTTAAGTATGATGTAAGCACCAAATCTAAATCGATTACTTTTTAGGCCTACTCTAAAGAATGGTCACTGAACACAGAAGTTGGTCTAACTGTACGCTTATATATAGTCTAATCATCACTTGATTTTCTTAATATTCACTGTACGCTTTTTTTAGTACTTGAACTGGTTTGTTTGGCCTTAAAACAGCAGATATTTTGTTTATAAATTATTTTAAATATAAAATAAGATCGCATAAGGTTTACGTATGTATATATAAACATTTACGGATCCCAGTATGAATTCAAATATCTAGTGTTTAATTTCATCTGCGTGCAAAGAATATATGCGAACTTTTAGGTGTTGAATTTTGGTCCAGTGCATTAGTCGAAAGTAGTTTTTGACGTGGAACCTGCTCATGTCCTCAAAAATATTTGGGTACTACAACCTTTCAGACATTTTTGATACATTGTGCCAAAATTATTTGTTCTCAAAGTAAAGCCATTTGCAAATGTAGGATCATCATACTGTCATTAGTACATAATAAGATTATCATAAGAACTCAACTAAATTCTTTTATATTTTTACGAAACTCTTAGCTAAAGTTATGATTTAGGCCTTGGTGTATTCATAGCTAGCATTTTACTGCTTAGTTCCAAAATGTAGTTATTTTTTTCTTTTTCTTTTGGTTTGCACTTTTCCAACTTTCAATCAGGAATAAATGCTAAAAATATGGTGCTACATCGCAAGGAAAGAAAAAAAAGGTAATGTTAGGCATGGTCCAAGAGATGAGGGTTCATATATTATCATTGACCAATTCTGAATTATATTAGTGGAATCTTAATAAAATAAAGGTGATGGCGACTCTAGATCTCAACTCTTAATTGAGGGGACAAGATCGACGATCTGTGCCAATAAAGTTAGGTCACCTCTTTTTAGGAAAAGAAGGAAGATTAGTTAAACATTTCACGAACGAAAATCTACATAATAATAGATAAGTTCAATTGTTTTAGCTATGGATTCTACTAAATTCTTTTACACGGGCCTCTCTTCCCTTAGCCAACCAATAAGGTAATAACACATATCGACAAAGTAGGAATATATAACTGGCTTTTGTTATTCTTTTGACCAGCTCAAATTGAAGGGCGTACGTAATTTTTTTACAAACAAAATGTATTAAAATAGCAAACAGACATAATACATCGTGGTCCTATCCCCCCATTCGGGAAAATTATGGACAGAAGAGTCAAAAATATTATTGAAATAAAATAGAAAAGAAACCATAAAATAAAAGTAGATTCGGAGGGGAGTTCCAAGAAACGATGGCATCTAGAAAATCTGATGGGTTTGTGTTGCGTTGTACTTTGCATGGTAACACGCAAGAGGACACGTAGAGACTTGTAATTAGCTGTACTATTTAATTATCATTAATTCAAAACATATGAATAAATTAAATTAACTAGGCTTAATAATTAGTCTACCCGGTCCCGATTGCCCAGACTGAAAGTGGGACGAAACTGATGACTGATACTGACACCTGATCAGTTAGGTTTGATTCTTATTATAATTATCAACATTCGATCTTATCTTTCATCATTCCATATCTTCTTTCACACTCACATAACGTTTGAGAAATAAATTTATATCCATCGTCATTTAACTAGTTTAGTAAATTAACGTTCATGGTTATTTAGTACAAGTATCCGATCCCTAAGTCAACTATACCATTTTGCTTACATGTATAGAGACCATACCCTACCCGTGAAAAGAGGTGATTAAATTGTCTTATAATCAACGAGTTCAATTCTTCAATAGTGGAGTATAATATAAATGAGATCTAGAGGTTTCACTTTAGAGACGGCCCTATAGATAGTAAATGCAATTACAGATAGCATGTCAAACTTTCTAAAAGAAGAAGCTGCACATCTATAATCTTTTGGTTTGGATCAGATCAATAAATGGCTTAAAGACGTTGAATAATACTAACAAAATCTAATATTAAATTATTTTGCTCTCACTAGATCTCACCTGCTGCTTCTATAGCTAATTAATTATATAATTACAATTGCGAAAACTAGCCAACAGTTTCAAGTTAAACCATCTTAAACATGTTGAAATGTTTTTCCGATACCATTTTTTGTTTAAAATAAATATAACTTTGTCTTTTTTTCTCAATGAATCCTCTAGTGAGTGACCACTTTATGTATCTGTTATAATAGACACTAGAATTATTGAGAATATATCCAATGAAATAAATATATGCATGTGATACTTTTAAAAGGAATTCATTGCAATCTATGAAATTCATTCTCTTTAAACAATTTCAATCCTTTGGATAATTCAAAGTAATCGTACTATAGACTTCTGTAATTTAACGACTTTTATATAAACCTGTGTATGCACATTTCGAAGTCTCTATTTCCGATACGATATACATATATCGTTTTATGTATATCCATTTGGGTTATTGATTTTGAATTTTGTTATGAAACATCGGTTAACATAAAGAAAGAAAAAAAAATCAGTGCTTGCAAAATTTGGTGAAATAACGGACATTGGGTCATATAGTTTGATTTTGAGTAACCAATGAAAATATATCGTTCATTGATATATAAT